TTACTGCATTATATGGTGTCGTGTGGCGAAAAAATGTGGGAAGATGGTGGTGATATATTAAGATGCCATCTCGTTAGGTAAGTTTCAATCTATCTTTTAGTATAGTATACCGGATAACAGTAAGGTTTCGATGTGTATGATGATGCCAGCAATATAACGGTAATGTTGTCCCTGTCTAGCTGTTTTATGTTTCTCCGTCTTTATTGTCCTGCTATCCTAAATCCGCGCTCATTTAATATTGTATCTGGTTAGTAAATTCATAATTGCTAGGCATTTAGTAAGTTATTGCTGTAGAAATCAAGTTTTAGTGAAAAATTAATTATCGTAAACTTTTGGTACCTTTTCTAGACCCGTTAACGCATGCTGCTACTAGAAATTTGATGACATTTGCAAAGTGTCTTCAAAGCTTAGCTAACGTAGCTGGTGGTGGCAAGGTTTATATGATTAAAATTTATTCTGATTCTATATAAGCAATATTATTTTTTCCCCCTCTTTATTGGAGTTTATTAACTTGGTTTAATAAAAAACTTAGGAGGGAAGTCACTTTCCTGAACTTAGTAGTTTTTTTATGGTTAATAAAGGCAAAACGATGAAATTTCTCAGTGATTTAACGGTAATTTTTAAATTTATAAATTTAGTTTTCCCTTTGTAATTTTACTGATTGATGAGTATAATATACACCGTGATAATATACAGTATATAATACCTCCATAATGTAGTACAAGCTCTAATAAAGGATTTATTTCGCTTTGTAAAATTGAAGGCGATCAATGACTATCCCTCCAATCGAGAAACGATTACTTGCAATATCGATACAGAAATAGCGATATTTTATCATTTAAGTAAATACTACATTGAAGACTTGAAGAAAAAAGTTGATAGCGAAGTATGATTCAAAAAATGTAACTGATTTGATTCATAAACGCATCAATCACCTTGATTTTGCTAAAATTGATAATTATTCTTTATTAGCTGCAGGATGAAGTTACTGATTTTATCGAAGTATTTCAAAATCTGGAGATGAAACATGAAGAAAGTTGTTAAATTATACTGGAAATTTATATTATTTATTTCGAGTTACTTGGTAATATATTATATGATCTATTACCACTGTAGTCATGAACGAGTTATTACCTTTCTACCGACAGTATCTCAAGAAGTATCTACTGTACAGTATGCGTCGATAATTGTTTATATTAATGGATGTCTCCGCAGTTGTATTAATTATAATTATTGATGCCGATATGTTTGATAAAGATGTACTGTATAAACGCAGATATTTTATTTGTTTTCAATTTATGAAATAGAAGAAAGTAGTGTGTATCCAATTTGTTTCTGTTATTAAAAGCAAATAAGTTTATAAGTTTGAAAGACGTTTAAATAAAATTGAACATTTAAAATTAGCTATCTGCGGGTAAAATACAATTAACGAGTCAAGAAGGATCGAAGTATTGATTTTATACCTGACACAATAATTGATTATTGTATGCCATAATGATGCTGCTGCAGGAATCAGTTTACCACACATAATTCAATTTTATTAGCCCATCAATGATGGCATTACTATTCTTTGCTATTGTTGAAATAAAATGGGTTGGAAAAATGAAATAGAAAATCATATCGGCATTGAGCCTGGTAAGATTTTTCTTTTACCTTATATGGTAAAGAATGTTTAGGAAATTTTTAAATAGCCACAACTAAAGTACAAATAACTAAACGAGGTTCAATCAAGATAAAATTGAATAGTTGTAGCAGTCAAGAGCCTAGGAATAGATGCTACATTAATGCGAGAAATTACGGCTGGCAGTTAATTGTCGCGCTGAATAGCGAGTAAAATGAATTAACTAGATTGCCTCTGATATAAATCCGTGTTCGACTTCTCTTCTACAGACAATATAATTTTGTAGATGCGTTTTGAGTAAAAGTGTATAAAAGCTTGATGATCAACTGTATAGAGAGAATTGGTGAATGAAGCAGTAGTGAAAATACTTTTAAATTTCAATAAAGGCTTTCCTACCTCTTGTGGAGTAGCGCCTAACTATTTAGCTAACTAATTAAGGTATACATTACAGCAGTAGTACAGTAGAACGGGGTCGTCGTGACTATAAAAGCAACCCACTTAGAACTAGCTATACTTTCAACAGAGAAAGTTATGTGCGTGGCCGTTTTGATGCTGACATACTAATAGGTCATATAGTATAAAACTTTTGCAGGATTTGCATTTTTCCCATTTTTAGTAGGACATTTTTGATATCGCAGTCAATTCAAAGTGGTAAGTTTCTCCGACATCTTGTAACTGCACGGTCAGCGCTATACACGGCATATGATTGTATGGAGGAGTACTGAGAAGAAGATTTGGACTAAGCACTCCCTCAGACGGACGGACTTATTTTACCTAAGGAGGCCGTTCATGTCGAAAAACTAAATAATAATAATAAAGAATGACTACTTAGTATATGGATCTTCTGTGTCTGTTTTCCAAATCACTGATACTCATTTCAATAACATTGATGATCTTCTCTACCTGATTTCAAGCAGAACTTGAGTAATAGATAATAAGATTCAAGCTTAATTGAGAGAAAAAAACATCAGTCAATTTAGTCAGAATCGACCGTCTGTATACTTATAGTACTGTCATAACCAAGTGTTTGGGACAATATTTGGAGGAGATGAGACCGAAAAAATATCCGTCCGTCCAAGAAGTGCTCAGCCTACTGTATGTCTTCTACTTCTAGTACTACTGTATGCTGTAGTACGAGTACTGTACTATACTAGAGCATAGACTACGACAAGAAAATCAAATAGTCGATGCTTATATGGATGAGAAAGTTCTACGACAGCAGTGGACATTTTAGTTGAATATTTGGGACTTCCTCCCTCAGTGAGCGAGATTCGGTCGAATAAAATACCTCCTTACCTAGTTCATGAAGTTAAATAGCTACAAAATGGATGGCATATTCAAAAATGATGGTAGTTTTTTAGAGAGATTTCAACAACTTCAGCAGCTGCAGTCACAGTCAACGGCAAAAGAAACAAGTGATGATACAATAAGCCGAAAAGAGGAAAAGACTACGACTAAACAGGCTGAAATTGGAAGCAGTCTTTCTAATCAAGTCAGTAAAGTGAATTCTACGGTAGCCAGTAGTAAAAGTGAAGACAAGGTAGATCAAAGTTTGTCTAGTGGCAAAAAATCGTCTTTTAAGATGAAAATTCCATCGCTAAAGAAAGCTTCAACGACCAAAAATGTACAAGATACACGATTCAGCAGTACAAGCGTATTAGAAAGTGAAGAAGACAAGGAATATATTATTCAAAATGGTAAAAGCAGATACAGTGATGCTATATTAAAATAGTACCTTGGTTTAGTCCTATACTTGATGCAAGCATGCAACTTAGTCTTAAAGTGTATGATGTAACACTAGTAACACTAGTCATATTCTGAAGGTGTTCGGTGTACTTTTTATTAAATGCTGGCGTGTCCTTGGAGTATCTGATGATCCTAATCCTAACGTGCGACAAACTAGTTAGTCGACAATTGGATTTTGATTTTACAAGATTGAATCGGCAGTTGACACGCCAAAAATACCGTACACCTTATACTCATAAATAGTCACAAATACTGTTCTTGAAGCTTGAATGACAGATACCAAGAGATAGTTTTATCTGGCACTCTACTTTATCCTATATTCGTATTCTACATTTGTTCAACAGACAAGTAGTACATACGTATATACGTAGGAGTCCGGTAGGACTATTTCTAAAAGTTTATCAAAAAGTTTCCCTACCAGAAAATCCTGATGCATTCGAATCGAGAGACCAATTTGTGCAATTGGTTGCAACAAGGGGCGATGAAGTAGAAGAATTAGCAAGAATAAAATACAAGCATGACCGCAAATTCAAGTAAGAATTATTATAGTTGATGTTTTAGCTCATACAGTCGATACAGTAGAGAAGTCTAATGTTGTCATTGAAGTAAATGGTGATCCTAAACATAACTTAGTATCAGTATCAAAGGTGATAGAAAATGAAAATGTATCATCTCTATACGTAGTATGGCTACGTTAAAGTACAGTATACAGTATATTTTATCGACCCTTTTAAATCTCACTGTTAATACTGACTGTGTATCACAGTGCATAATATTTACAAAATGGCCTATAACTTCTCATCATATTGGATAGAGTTTTAAATATGATTTACTAGCTAATCAAACACTGTGGCTGCTACCTTGTTAGGTTTTTAATGGATAAAAAGGCTATGGAATATCAAGCTTTTCGTATGCAGGTGGAAGAAGTTCGACGTCAGGAATCGGAAGTCACAGTACCTACTGTGCCCGACAGTTCTACCTCTACTTTTAGTTCAGGTTAATTAGTAGTTATCTTAAATTAGGTTCGGTTCGAACAATATCTAATATGAGTATACATATCTCTTATTCTATTTATAGGAGTTAAAAGACGTGCTGAAGAATCAGTAGATGCTGCTAAAGCGTTAGCTAAGGCTCAGGAGATTTCTCGGTCCTTAGCCCAGGCAGGTTCAAGAAGTGATGTAAGTTATATCACGATTGTTGAATTATAGTTGTACAAATTAAATTTTGACCCTTTCTTTACCAATGATACTGTTAGATATCACAAAGTACAAGTAGTCAGCCTACGGCGTCTGCTGAACAGGTATTAATTGGCTTTGACAATTACTATTCTCTGAAATAGTTTGCTGTAATTAATTATTTACTTGTGCAGATCTCAAACGAATTTATTAGAAACCAGTTGGAGAAAGCTAAGCAAGAAGCTATAATCAGAGCTCAGCTATTAACAGCTAACAAGAAGAAGAAGAGTAAGTACGAATATGATTCGGATGAAGAAGTAGATGGTGGTACTTGGGAACATAAGATGAGAATGAAAGAAATGGAACGTACTCGAAACAAAGCAGAAAACCTGACACAAGAAGCTAAAGGTAAACATCATCTGGGAGATTTTTTGCCGAAAGATGAACTGGAAAAGTTTTTGCAGCAAATTGAAGCTATTAAGCAAGGAAAGACACCGCATTTCTCTGATTACATGAAGAATAAACTAAAGGAGAACAATATTGGTTATCAAATGTTGTTGGCAGCGGGCTGGAAAGAGGGTACTGGTTTAGGATCGTCTGGCCAAGGAATAGTTGAACCAGTTAATAAGTTAGTTATACAGTACAATATCCATAAACTAATCATATAATTAACTAAGCCTTGCATCATACTGTACTTTTAAAGTTATATATTTATATGTACAGTGAGTATGTGTAAAAGGATATCTTGCAATTTTTGTCTTCTACATTTAAAATTGTTCCAGCAACTAATGATCTTAAACGTACCTAATTAAACGCATCTTTTCTCATGTATCTGTCATTAAAATGTTAGGGGTCCAACTAGCTTTGATAGCTCCGGAGTTGGAGTTGAAAAACCTCAAGAAGTAAAAAAATCTGATGATGAATTTGAATTATATCGTAAAAGGATGATGCTTGCATATCGATTTAGACCGAATCCGCTGGTATATAAATTTTATTATTTTCTATTTTACTAGCATAAAATGTTTTCATTATAAATGGACATTTTACTAACGAAATGATTTATTTTTTGAACCTTCAGAATAATCCACGAAGACCATATTATTGAAATAATAATTATTATAGCTTAAATTATATAATATAATCTAAGATAGTTATGCAGCAACTGATAACGGAAATTGTTATTTCTCCTGTTTTTTGGACCTTAAAGACTTTATAATGATTGATTCGAAAGAATTTTTTGACATTACATAAGTTACTTTTGTAGCATTTTCGGCACTGGTATCTTTGTGACCGTCTGTAAATTAACACACAAGTATAGAATATATTAGTGTTGTAAATTAAGGTGTATTATACCAACTCTACATTTTAGAATGATTGACTGTGGCTTAGATTATACTGTATACAGTGTATGCTTCGATATATGCTAATAAAAAGCTATAACTTTCTTAATTTTTTGGCCTATTGGACAATTGATTCATATTTTATGAAGATACGACTAGTTTATTGCTAAACTTTATTGTACTACAGCTATTGTATGAGAAATTGAGAATAGAATACGAGACAGTAATACCAATTATAAGAAGTACGTAAAACGTTGAATTTTTAGGTGAAAAGATTCATTAATGTCCTAATTCAACTGGTATCTACGCTATTAATATCATTCTTTTCAGGTAGAGTGGCATATCATAGCGATGCGTGTATGTACATGCAGATCTAACAGATATAGGGATTTTAACCTATATAAGCTTCACGGATTCTGGTTAGCTTCAGCTCGGGGGGCTTCGGTATCACCGTTCCAGTTCTCCTAGATACACGGACTTTTTCTCCATCTTTGGTAAACATGAAACCGACTTTAGTACCTTTTCTAGAATTTTCGTACCAAAGTTTAAAAATTAGTATTGTAATAATATATTAGGTTAAGGGGCAGAAGGGTAAAAAATAGGTATCAAATAGCTGCTAGTTCAAATGAAGAAAAACGCTGTGGAATAAGTATCAATAGGGGTACATACCCATCTGATGGGTCAACTAATGCAACTTTAGAGTAATGCAATGGGGCTTCGCTTCGGACCAGGCCGCCTTGAAATTCTTCATGCGGTTTCAAATATCGGTAATGCTATCCAATATTATAATAAATTACATTAGTAAGATGTAGTTTCTATATTTCTATATCGAAAAACACTTTGATCGAACATCCATTCTAAATATTAGTAGCTGCTATTTTTCTGGGATTTACCCCGCTGTATCATCGACAAGATGGCATATTTAAACTTACACAATTCAATCCTTCAACAAACACTTTATTTTGACCTCGTAAAACTTGCGACACTTTACCGACGACGCCTTTATCTTTTCCAGATAAAACTTCTACCTATAGGAATTCAATGGGTAAATAATAACTTGATTTAGATGTATTTCGGTGAATTACATCACTGAGTGGCCTATTGACGTCTTCTATAATAATTAATCAATGTCAACAAGCTTTCTGGATTGCATTAATGCTTCTCCGTAGTTGGTGCAGCTAGGTAGAAATTATTTCGATACTTGTTGCATTCATGTTTGACACTTTACGAAATACAAGTAGGAATATCAGTTCATTTTAACTTGCTCATTAACGATATGTACTGTACTATGCGACAAGTTGGCTACAGCTGTTGCTCGATAGGTATACGTGTGTGCTAATTTACTGTGCTGTAGTCGTCTTAAAAGTTCAATTCATGACGACTAGCTGTACTGTATTTGACAAGATCCAAAAGCTCTTCATTTCTCCACTTTACTACAATAAAGTCGACTAGTTCGACTTGAAAAGGTGTCTAAAAAGTAGCTGCTTTACTGCTTTTTTGCTGATATTGCTAGTAATAGATCGGTCGTTGCTCATTCACTGCAGCGGAATTAAAAGTAGATTCATCACAACTGGTTGTGCTGTTCCATATGCAAGTGGTCTCCATTTCTATTGTCTACAATAATATGATATCCTATGTCTAGCATATGATATTCATTGGGGGTTCAAATTGCAACCATCCTTTCATCTTGATTATCCAGTATGTTGTGAGCAAGATCTCCATTTTACATGACATGGACAAATAAAGTAGCATAACAACACCCTACGCGTAGACGTACAGAATCTCCACGGACAATTTTCCAGTTACGGATTTGCAGATCAGGCTTTACTTTACGAAATCTTCTCGGTCCAGTTATTGGCCTTTGTAATCTTCCAGTTTTGACTAGTAAATTTGATGCCACTTTAGTAGACATAGTAAATTATATACAGACTCTCTTCATATCCAAAATAAACTAGGTAAGAATCGAATTTGAAGTTGCCACTGCGCGTGGTGGACTGCCAATACGAGCTTGGACTGCTACCTAGGTGCAGGATTAACATGGCATGCGCAGTCAAAAGCTTGACACGCTTGACGTGTATGTAGTACGTTTCATCATGATCGATCGTTGTGCATCGCAGTGACACCTTGCATGGCATACGCAGTCAAAAGCTTGACACGCTTGACGTGTATGTAGTACGTTTCATCATGACCGATCGTTGTGCATCGCACTGACACCCAGCCACTACGTCCAGTAGTGACACTGTCAGTTTGAGACACGGATCGCTGACGAGTGACGTTCTCTCTTTTCTACATTGCATGTGTGACAGTAGCGTGTACTACTAGCAGAGTGACACAACACTGTAACACACCAGGAGAGTGACACAGTACTGTATTGTAACACACTAGCAGAGTGACGCAACGCAACGATCGACTACGAACGGGTGACTGCTAAAAAGTGACGCCTAAATTCATTCTCCTTTCTATCAAGGGTCATACACTACATTGTTTTAGTAGGCGAACGACTGAATCGTTTGCACCCTTCAGCCTTAACATAATTCGCAATCGCTTCTGTGAAATTTGTTCCTGGAAATCTTCGCCATAATTGATTGCTGTGCAGCCTTGACATAATTCGCAATCGCTTCTGTGAAATTCGTTCCTGGAAATCTTCGCCGTAAGTGATTGCTGTGCAGCCTTACATAATTCGCAATCGCTTCTGTGAAATTCGTTCCTTGAAATCTTCGCCATAAGTGATTGCTGTGCAGCCTTACATAATTCGCAATCGCTTCTGTGAAATTCGTTCCTTGAAATCTTCGCCATAATTGATTGCTGTGCAGCCTTGACATAATTCGCAATCGCTTCTGTGAAATTCGTTCCTGGAAATCTTCGCCGTAAGTGATTGCTGTGCAGCCTTACATAATTCGCAATTGCTTCTGTGAAATTCGTTCCTTGAAATCTTCGCCATAAGTGATTGCTGTGCAGCCTTACATAATTCGTAATCGCTTCTGTGAAATTCGTTCCTTGAAATCTTCGCCATAATTAATTGCTGTGCAGCTCGTTGTGGACACAGTGGTTGCATCTCCAAATTATCATTAGTAAATTGAATTGAATAGTTGAAAAAGTGCCTTGCCAACTACAGTATGGCTACTACTGCTGGAGAGGTGGTTTATCGCCAAGGATATGTAAGTAAGGGTTGTGCAAAAGCCATGTACTGACTGCAATGTATCGCAAACATGACGTTGGCGATGAGTTGACTTAGGTCAAATTGCAGAATAGGCCTAGAAATACATTTACTTTCTATTTTTGTCTCTCAAGGATGATGATAACTCCGACGTATGGGATGATAGTGCTCTAATCAAGGCTTATGATGAAGCAATTACATCAATGCGCGAAGTAAGTTAGAAGGAAAAATTGTTGCATTAAATTGAGCTAATTATAGTAGAAGTTGAAGGACTGAGCCTGAAGGCTGGCTCAGGACATAAAAATACAGCGTAGTAACGAATCTGTCATCTCAGTCAATCAGTGAACGTGATTGATTGAATACGGTACTATATTATAAATTAGAGCTTGAGGAAAGTAAAAAGGAGCATCAAAATGCCTTGTATCGATCAATTAATTATAGATACGTACTCCTATACGCATATTTAGATTAATTATCTTAAGCTACCTGTATGCGGTAGTGGAAACGATTCATTTTTGGAATGTTATTTAATGCCTTTATAGAACGTATTGTGCTGATAGAAATGAATTAGTTCACAAATATACATTAACTTACATACAAAAATGACAAGCTGGTTCGTAATTATTGCAAGCTAATTCTAGCAAAGTGGAGAAGTCTTTTATTCGCTCAATACACTGATTGATACTGCCATAACTTTTATACTTTTATTGTCAATTGACTGGACGATTGCAAATTTGCGTGGCTACTACTGACTATGTAAAATTAATCTGGACGAGTACAGTAGAAGGACTGTATAGCTACCACTTACAGATACACTTACACCTGTATCGAGTATCTCTACTGTATATATTTTTCTGAATGTTGACTCTTATTTTCATTACTAGGGTAAACTACCAGAAAATAAAAAAAATAGGTAATTTCCACTTTCAATCAATTTCAGCCTTATTTTACAACTGTTTATTGTAATGCTGTGTCACAGTCGTATCTTAAATTAATTTCATCTGGAAATAATAATGAATTAAAAACATCAATAGGAAGTCCAAAAAATCAAAATCAAAGTCACCACGTAATAAGGTATGTATTCATAATCTCTGGTAATACGTCAGAAGTCATACTTAGAAAAATAGTTACTGATTCGCTTCTATTGGCAATCCATGCATTAAGGTTTCACAACTTAGAAAGGGGTGCAAGTGTAAATTCTTTTATGAAAATGAAGTCAGAGTTGGAGAAGTTACCTCAGTAGATGAAAGCTCAGGAATATGCGAAGTTGTGTACGGACAAGATGGAGAAAATAGTGTGGAATTATTACTTGACCAAGTAGTAGTCATAAGTGAGGATGACTATGAAGCCCAAATCAAACTACTTGATCGTATGGCAGACCGTAACTATGTAATGTCATATATCTACCTTACAATAAGTATTTTTTAAGTTTAAGTTTAATGATTTCTACAGCACAAGTTAATGTAGATTACTGTTTGAATATTTTATCTATGTACTCTCCTACAACGTAAAGGAAGAAGAAAATCAAGATAGAGAGGAAGAATATACCGAGGAAGCGTATAATATAGATTACAGCAATCAATTTGCAGATTATTATCAACAGCCTAACAATTATCCCTCTGGTAATTTTCCACAAGACCGTACAGCCAAAAATAGTCATTGGAATAGGGCCTCTTATCATCAGTCTAATTATCCAAATTATGGAGCGAATAACTTCTATCCGAATGCATATGTACGTCTTCCTAATGCTGTATAAAAAGCTACTTGCGGTTAAGCATACACGTGACAATGATAAGTGTTTACTCAATACTGTAGGAATATAGTAATTATTTTCAAAATGAAGACAGATGATGATCTTTAACAGTGTGCAATACGAACATCGCAAATATATTTTCTATATACCAGCCTGCTGATTTACTAATTCTTATAACGCCTGTTAATCTGCTGCAATTTATCATAGTATCCGCCACCACCACCACCACCCGTACCTCCGATGCACATGCAACCTCCTTTTGTAAGTTGAATTCATGATGAAGATATAATGCATTAGTGGTATTTAATATTCCATAGCAATACGTGTTATGGATTTAGGATATGAAATTTTATTAAATAGCCTGTTGATATTTAATTATGTTTGCAATTACATTCTTATACTGTACTATGGCATTTATCTGTAAAATGCATCGTCGGGATTCTGTCTGCCACTAAATTGATTGATTTACTTGCTTTTAGCAAATGCCTCCATTTGGACATCCGGGTATGTCAGCATCTGCTGTTCCCGTAAGTGAAATTTAATGGCGGAAATTTCAATACTTATTATCGATAAAAATAGCTACTACCTTATGCTTATTTTATAAAACAAATACACTACCGTAGTCAGTTGAATATCATGACAACAATTGCAATTGTTATATCGTAGCCGCTTCCTCCGCAACCACCGCCATTATCAAGTGATGACATAAATGATGAACTTCTTTCCAACCTAATCATGTCCTGGTATATGGCTGGCTATCGCACTGGATATTATCAGGTAAAAATTCAGTGTATTAAGCGTATATGCATTTTCTTTTGAAATAAACCTAGACTGTTTACAGTTGGACCAGCGCTATGAGAAGTGTGCAAGCGCGTAGCTATTCCTATTTCTCCGTTGATCTACTGCAATTAATATTGTATCACTTTCGAGTCTGGAGTTTGAACATATAGAATTTTTGCAATAGTCCTAAGGAATAATTTGAAAGTATAAACTTTAGAAAATAATTTTAATTATAGGCCATTAGGAAAGCTAAGGATAAATCCAAGAAGAAATGAAAAAAGGATCCCTGAAAACGAATACTTCAAGATGTTTGTATTATTGTATAAAAACAGGTTCATACGTTTCATTAAACGACTGTAAAAATTAATTTTGCTACGATCACGGATGTATATTTGAAAACAAAATTTCATTAGATGGTGTCGTAATAAAGAACACTTTATCCTGTCTTTGCAATTATATATTTACTATGTGAGCAGATTTTGGTAGATTCGAATTACAAATGGAAATGCTTAAGTATAACTACGTTTTACTAAAGTTAAATAGAGCCCCACAGTATTTACAACGACAAAATAAATCAAAGTAGGATTGCCCAGAATACGTATACAGCTATTTATATGTTAAGAATTTTCTGATACAGTATCAAATTCCAGTTGCGCCCATTGCACACAATCCACTTTTCACAAACCCAAGCAAATATACTAACACGATAGTCAGTTACTGAAGTGGTATCATGCCACAAGCATGCATTTAGGTATGCATTGGTCATAATATACTGTAATTGCGATAATGTCATTTTTAAGCTACGAAGGCTAATATAGACATAATTGATGAAATTAACTCGTGATTTACATGTGGTGAAGATCAATAGAAATGCAATAAAATGTATCAATTTTATGACACGCGCTACGTAAGATTCATTAAGTTTGCTGAAAGCAATCAAAAACTTAAAACTGGTAGATTTATGCCCCTTTATTGAATTTCAAATTTCCATCATTTTAATTTATTTATACATTAACATTGTTTTGGCTAATGGCTTATATCGAGCTAGTCGACTCGATATCAAATGTACCAGAACTTAACCTTTACTGTACCTACTATAGTATCCGCGATGATAAAAACAACCACATACTGGTACATGCCATCCTAAGAAATAAGGATTACCAGAACACGTATCCAAATAAGAAAACTAATACCGTGTATGTCTTTAACTAGCTACTATCTATAATTATTATTGCTGTTATTACTTTTGGTATATTATTATTCATGAATTTGGTTAGTTGATAAACATTTGTGATTGTGGTAGAAGACTATGCTAAGTACGCATTTGCAGCCAATTCAGCAAATGTAGCACCATAGCATAGAATGTGTGTTATTATATGACAGACTCATTGAGCATCATGTTTCTTCTGTTTTTCTCTCATCGCTTGAGCATCCCTATAAAAAAGAAGTTTGCAGTTTGAGTCAAATTGGCTAATTAAAAATATGATAACAACTACACATTGCTGTTGCAAAGACCACTTTTAAACTACAATGTAAACTATCACATCAAAGTAGTAATACTGTTATATTACAAGAGTTTGATAATACTAAATACTATCTACGTATACAGTACTACTACAGGGAATGGGAAATTCACTCAAAAATGATCCATTTATATGATCAGGTTATTAGGCCGTTTTATATACAATTCTGTCGAAAGTAGTAGACTTACAATTCCTTTCGTTTCGTTAGGTTTGCGTTTGATTTACTTTGAGATTTTTGATCTTTCTGTTGCTTTTTTTGGTTCTTTGCGCGGGCTAATTCACGTTGATTTCCACCTAAAGTACAAAGGCTAATATCAGCTGACGGTATCGATAGGACTCTATACTGGCTTTAACAAAATGTGCTGTCATTCTCGTAGAGAATTTCGGAAAGAGACTGCATTTGTATAGAATAATTGCAGTAAGAATAGAAGAAAGTCGAAAATTATACACACACCAGTGAGTAAGAGGAAAATTTTGTAGATGGATTTGTGCTATTGTCTTTGCTATATAAAAAGAGGAATTATACGAATAATACGCTAGTAACAACGGTAACTTGCTTTATTTTTCAATTACACGTACAGTTGCACTTAGTTGTATAACCGTCATAATTAATGGTTTTAATGTCCGTTTTTTTTTTATTGTTCTTGCGTGACGAGTAATGCAGATTATTTATTTGCTTATTGATTTTTAACGTCAAATGATCCACCGCTTTGATCGAGAAAGAAGCGTTTAATCGTTACACAAATTTCGGATCCATTTCTTCGATTTCAAAATATCGTATGAGCATTGCATTATCATCTAGAATATTAAATACTCGTATGGTAGTTGTGGGTACAACTGAAGTATTTCAAAAAGTAGGAACCCAATTAAGTTAAAAACATCAATCAGACAATAGTCGAGACGACTAAACTTAAACTCAATTGCTACAGTATGAATGAATTAGTATATCTGAACTAAATCAAGTTCAAAGTTTCACTGACATAAATGCAGTGTCAATAAAATGATTATTTGCTGGTGCTTATTTCACGATTAATTACAGTTATTCTGTAAATTATAGAATTAATCTTTTTAAATCCCCTAGATAAATAACTTTCACCCAACATCATCATGCGTATGATGATACTATACATAGTAAAGTACGAGTACTTTTGTGGGCCTTTTCTCAGGCAGTGAATTAAGGGTTTAGTTGTACTTCATCTTGGTATATCAGTACAGCAGTGTCATTCCTGCATTACGGTAGGATCGCGACTGCAAGCGTTGTACCGTAAACAGTCCATGCACCAATATAGAGCAAAGTCAAAAATTCTTAGTAGCAACGACGCCGTCAACTAAACTGAAACTGTCATTACAACACCCATAATCCATTCGAAACAGATAATACAATCATATAGAGCTAACAATGGCATCTTAGCGATAGTATCATTTCGATATCCGATCGAAAATCGAGGAGTTACGCTGCTTGTGACACTTGCGACGCCATTTATAAATGGACAAGAATTTCAAAAGGGACAAGTACGTTACAGTATACTATAGGCGTATTCACTACAAGAATATATCACTATCATCCATCCTATTGACTTGTAAAATACATAAAGTGGTTATTTACTAAATTAATACTGATTTGCTATACTTACGGGTCATTATGGTAGATAACAGCTAGTGAAAGTGTTAATCACTACCGTTTTTTGGCAACTAGGATTGATCCAGAATATGGAGGCGAAAAAGGAGTTGGTTCGTTGAGCACTTTCGTTGGAGGGGGATGGCTTTTGTTTGGCTAGAAATCGCTACAGTCCACGGAGAAAATTCTACAGTACAGTACTGTACCACGGTGTACTGTACACGGTGCACTGTACCGCTACAGACGGACGGGAAAATGCCACTGAAACAGCTTTTGGTCAGATTTATTATTGAGGGTTTTGGTAGATTACAGTTCTTGATGCTCTTATGACAGTAGTGTACTATACTGTACAGTACTGTACTGCACTGTACTGCACTAGTCCTGTATCATTTTTTACAGATAATACAGACAGACAGACTCTCCACCACTTGTCAATTTATAGTTGTAAATACAAACGCAAGTTTACGAGATTAGCAATGGGTCCTTCTGATCTTAAAAGGAAAAGAATCAAATCTGCAGCAATCATCAACAGTTCAGAAGATTCCAATAGCTCAGCAGAGGAAGTTAGTTGTAGTTGTTATATGGCAGATATAAGAAATCGTTCAGAATGAATTAGCTCTAGTATTGCATGATGCAATTTTTCATCCAGGAAAAAGCACTAGCAGCTCTGTAGCACGATGATACGATTAAGTGAACGGTTAAATTAGTCTAGGAAGAGTGGAAGACAATGAGCACGTTAGTACTTGTTCTGAGCTCATTGCTATCGTGCTTTAACAAATAGTTTCATTAGTGATTCGTTTTACAGTAAATTTGAAATGCAATGCTTACTACCGTCATCTAGTTAGCAGTTGGATACATTGTTGAATAACAATCTTATAAAATGTATATATTCTATGTAACAACATACTTGGAAGAACTAGTGTAAATACTGTCCATAGAGCATAGTTCGGTAAAAAAGGCTGAATGCCAATTATTTACCATGCAATGCTCATAGGATAATATGGACTAGGATATGAGCTCACTGTGCCATTATATTGCACTATGCGTTTTGCAAAGTGATACAATACTGTGTAGAATGAGGTACGTTCATGGTACTTTGCTGCCCCCTTGTCGATAATTAGAATTCGACTTGATACCGTCAAACAATACAGTTAAATAGTAGGATCATCGTAAATGTATAATTTGCGGATGCTCACTGGTATAAGTGTAACTACAAATAAACAAGAAAATAGGCAACATTTATTTATACGTTTCATTACTGTACTGTATATCGTAACAAATTCGATAGGCAGATAAGGCAAAGCTGACATCATGATAATATTGTTATAAGCGTATTACTAACGAAAATTATTATTCGCATTGCATGTTAATGGTATGTTAATCACTGATCTGGGAAAGGATTTTATATCGCATTTCTTTCCACATGGTAGGAAAAAGCATCAGTAGATAAAAAGGTAAAGAAAAGTAAACCAACTCCGAAATCCGAAAAGAACGATTCGGTGGAAGATTGCATGCACGAGGTACAATGTTAAAATGGTTGATAGTCCTGTATTTATGCTAAAATGATACCTTAGCTATTTGCCTGCTTTATCTATATCTTGTCTAGATATTCATTTCTACATAAACTCAAATAAATATTTAGAACAAAATGAATGCAGATAATAACGTAATTATGCCATTATTGATTGTTGTTGGAGTTGTCTATAAGCTCTAGAAATACGGAAGAATTAAGTAACACATGTGTTCAATTTTTGAAATACGAGTATCTGTTGTCATAAGCAAAGTTATTGAATATATGGTAGAATGATCTTTCGCTACGTAATAATGTAGTAGCTGATGACATATTGATCATATCGATAGTGGTTAGTTACAAAATGACGCATAGTAGAACAATAATCTTAGGAATAGTTAATTAAGCATGTAATTATAATCATATCTTGATTTATTAATTGGTCATACATGTAATTCCGAGATTTTATATTACAGCTATCTTCCAAGAGGTATGTAAGCGTACGATCGTTTCGTAAGAGTACACTAGTTGACATTCGAGAGTACTACAAAGACAGTCATGGTGAATTAAAACCATCCAAAAAAGGTATTAAATAGAACTGAATCCTCAAAGTGCTGTATTTTGCATGAATTATGGTTGACGATATGTGCAATATCGTAGCTACATCTAAGGATGGCAATGCTTGCTAATATTTTAGGTATATCACTTACTAAAGAACAATGGGATAAATTACTGTCACTGCAAAAGGAAATTAACGAAAATATAGTCCGTTGCCAGTATCAGTAATCATAAGTTGCTTTTTTATATACAGTTAGCAATTATTTTCGTTTTTCAGTAAAGATAAATACTGATTCTAATTACTGTGAAATGATTTCTTAAAAGAATTTCATAAAAAATAAATAGATCTTACTTCGAATTTACCATATAATAGCACCTTAATAAGAAATTGATGCACAGTGTAGATAATGGTATTTACCAGTTTAACAATAATAATTACAATTGATGCATTTGAATTTAACCGAAAATGTTACCAAATCCAGCATAATACGGAATGTTATCTTACAGACAAAACTAGGAAATATTTCCACTTCATAGATTACTGACTAGTACGAACATTGATATCAAAGCTTGCTTTTAGTTCAATTGATATAATGCTTCCCAATATTTACCTTGTGCCGGGTCTATATGAATTGCATTGCATATGTATCGTTTGTTCTCGTAATGCAATCCCATGTGATAGTAAATCATGGACAGCATCAGGTTATTATCGCAATTCTTTATAGACAGTTGAATATTATCGTTTTCTTTCTTACTTATAAAATAAAGTAACGATAAATACCGTGAAATATCGATAGACATGCAATTTTCTTGCGCTAATAATTGTTTACTAAATCGATATGCATTTTTTAGGTTTTTATCATGGTGACTAAATAAGCTTGCAAATAACTGTGATAAACTATTGTTGGAATATTGCTTCATTATTTCACTAATCGCCTCTTGCCCAAGAGCTAGCCACCGATGTGATTCTTGATCCTGGTAGTTTATAGCTCGGAGAGCTAAATGGGCTAAGCAAAATAATGCCTCTATTTGAGTAGTTTTTTTATCGGCCATTTTCAAATACCGACGGTAACAATATTCAGCTGCTTTCATCATTCCGAGATGTGTATACAATTCGGCCATTTCCTATAAAGGATAATGCAACAAATGTGGTATGAAGTAACCTTGGAATTTTAAAGTAACGTAAGCTTCAAAGATTAGCGAGTATTATTACCACTATCGTATGTTTACTACGTACTTTCCAGAAATGAGGCTTCATATCGACATTAAGTAACTTGAGAGGTGATAAATCTACAGCTGAATTTTTCTTCGTAGTCATTATTAGGGATTTATTCAGTAAGAATTCTATTTCAGAAGCTTGCTCGGGGAAATCATTTTTCGCCTGTACAAAAAATGTTGCTACTTAGTTAATCGGAAAGAGAAAGTATATGCTGGTAATAAATAATTGAAAAAGATCAGAACTACATTACCTTTAGGTAGAATTCTTTAGCCTCTTCTACTTTACTACTGAAAACCAACGATCGAATTTTCGCCAAGGTTAGCCAAACTTGTAATCGATGCAAGGAAGCTATACATGCAGAGTGTAGTTTTGGTACGTGATATTTCAACTCTTTCGGGACTACCTGCTTCTTTAACTCAGCTAAGAAATGAATAAAAATATTTGTAAGAACTTATCTTAATCGACATCGGTATGAATAGGTAACGTGTGAATTTTCCAAAGAGATTTTCACAAGCATACAAACCGCTCTACAAACTTCACATGGAATTTTGCACTTTACTACAAATCTACACTGTAGAGACCTGAGTTAAATATCTTTCCACATGCTTTTTTATCTATGTATAGTAACGCAGGTATACTAAAAGAAAGAAGAGATAAATGCTCTCTTTCTTTTAGTAGTCACTGTAGTACAGCATCAATTGTACGGTGCCATAAGGAGTTCATAATGTTAAGTTCATATTCACTAGGTATGAACGTAACATACTGTACACTTGTAGAAAAGGAATATTTTATAACTTCGCGCGATAGTAATCGGTAAAGTTTCAATTTTATCAAAGAGTTCATTACCAGCTCGATTAGTAAATGCCCAGACTTTCAAATTCAAATTGTTAAGATATTCCTTCTTCATTGTGTTACTTGCAACACTATACCGATTATGAGCAGCAATTGCAGTTCCTAGTACTGCCCAATTATAGGGATTGTCTGGTTTAAGAAACACCACCTTGGACGCTACTCTAATTGGCAATTTGTGAACATTACTAGTAAATCTAGTTTTATCGTTGCTACCGATTTTACAGGTTAGCAGACCAGTCGCTTCTAAAGCCAATGAACTCTAAATGGGTTAAAATTTAATTTTGACATTTAAATGAAAATATGGCCGCAAACACTTACGTACTTCTTACTCCTGCATTGCAGACTCATTCCACGGATAAATTTGAAAATGATAGTTTATAATAGAACATAGCATATCTTACCGGGCTAGATATAATATTTAAAATGCGTGAAGTTCTAGCACATTTGCAAGCAAGGGATGATTTTTCTGGTGAGCTTGCGATAATGTGGTTACCCAATTGCCGCCAAAGCACAGCGTACTCAGGCTTTTCGTGAATCATTTTACAAATAAAATTTCGAGCCTTTACGTTATCGTTCTAGATTTGAATAGAAGTTTAAAATATAATAATTGAAGATAAAAATAGCAAGTTCTATGAATATCGAAAACTACTAACTTGTAACTTATAAAATGCTGAGAAAAGAAGACTATATCTGCTAATGAATTGTTCATTCTTAAAACTAATTTTCATCAATTCTGCTAAAACAGCCGTTAATAAAGTTCCATCTCCTAATAGGATAGCCAAATACGCAAGAGCTAACAACCCATGTCGATTTGCTGGCTGCATTTGTGAAACCTGAAGGAGCAGAACTTTTGCATGCTTTGCATCGCCAGCTGCATAAGCTATTATCGCTTTTAAGACTTTACCATGCGATGCTTCTTCAGAGGTTATATTCATCTTTATTGCCTCCTCAAGTACTATAAAGAGTGTTACAATAAAACATATATCTCATTGTAAAAGTATCACACATAAGCGATTATCTTAAAAGAAAAATACGTATACTATAAATACTTTTATTTTTCAACATTGTAACTTTAGCTATTACGACTTTTAAAATTAGTTACCGGCGTAACTTTCTTTGAATCGACCGCTGAAGAATAGATTTAAAGAAAGTCCAGTTTTATCATCAAAAGTAAGGTCTTTGGCCGATAAAGTATTGTAGATGTCGATAGATTCCTTAAATTTTCCCGCTGAGCGAAGTACTCTGCAGTAGTTCCTAAGGACCATTACTTTCTCAGTTGTATTATCTTTGAGCAACTTTAGTGACCTTCATATTCAACGAGAACCGTATATAATATTATATAATTGCTCTTGTATCAGAATTTAGAACATTTGTAACTGGATTACCTGCTGTATGATTCGATTGCTGACGAATATAATGACTGCTGTTCATATAGAATGCCCAAGAGGTTATATGCGCATGGATTGTTACGTATACGGTCTAGATAACAAACATTGTAACTGTTATGACACTATAGTAATTTTAATCCTAATTTCTGGAAAAGTATACGTGAGTGATAGCTTGTGAATCAAGACTGACCTGTATATAAAACTAATCCGTCGGTGGCTTGTTTTATAGGGTTTCTGTATTGGGAATAATTCGGTAATTTTTTGTCGGGTGTTACTATCGTCTGGCAGACCCAGCTAGCATACCCAAGACAGCCTTCAATCTGTGTATAGTTTAATATTAAGAGAATTTCACGTAATATCTGAAATTTTAAATATTAATATATTACATGCATTCCTAGATCCATTGAATGTCTGAATAAATCCATAGCTTGATCGACCGTCGATACTTCGGCGATATTGCTCTATTATTATAAGCATTTTAATGACGAAAAAAGTAAAGGTAATTCAATACTTATAGCCTAGTTGATATAGTGGTGGTTAAATTAAATTAAATAATGCCAGTAATAATATTTCACAGTACCTGCCCGATCCATGCCTCAATATAGTATGGATCTGCACTCTGCGATCTTTTGAAAGCTTCATGTGCTAGCTGCAACGGTGAAATGTTAAACTTCACTAATCTAATATAATAGCACTTGCAAGATACAATTAATCATATTGCTATTACTTCAATATTTCCATACTGAAGATAAAGTATTCCCAAATTAGTCCAGGATAACGAATTCTGTAATTCAAATAGATTGATTAAAAATTATAGTAAATATACCTGTGATGTACGAGAGCAACAGATCATAAAAATAATTCGATTATAATTATTGACATGGTGTAACATACTTGCGTTGAGAGTAAAAGCGACTTTATAAATGCATGCTGGGCCAAAGCTGGATTATTAAGCTCTAAAAAATGTTTAATATTAAATATTATGATATACACGGGTAGTTTGAAAGAGATTAAAATATGACTTACTGCAAGCTGTTACCCCTAGTGCAGACCAAGATTCAGGATCTTTCGAATTTAGTCGTATAGAATTTTTCAAACTCTAAACATATCGATGCAATTGAAGGTATCTTAAATGCTACTTTTATCACATTGTTATTTAAAGAGGCTTAAAAAGGTTGCAATAATATTGCTATTAACTATAAATAACTATTAATAATAAGTAATTTTAATCTTGCTAACCTCGAGAGCATTCAGTAATGCTCTTCGGTCAATATTATCTGAGCACTAATTAGTGGTAAAAGCAGAAATGAAGATATCTCCGGAAGAAAGAAAGATTTTGCAACGTATACGAGTATTTGAATAGTAATTGATTCGTACCTCAGCTTGTCGTAAATAATTAACACCAAGATCGTACCATAATGAAGCTGAATTTGGGTCTAAACGAAGTGCAGCAGCATAATATCTTGTATATTAATTGAAGGAAAAGTTAAAAGTTAGACTTTCATGTTAATACCACAATTAGTCTTTAACGATAATATGCTTTCAAAGTTAGGTTATTGATACTTACCTGGCGCCAGCTTTCAAAATTTGCGATTTATCAAGATAAGGACGTGACTGTAAGTCTGGTGGAATGATACTCGGAGGTATTGATAACCTATTAAAAACAAAATACTAGGTACTAGAGCAAAAGTCGTGATACCTTGGGTACGACGAAAATACTAACCTAATCGATTCTTTATTTGCAACAAAAACTATAGTGCAGCAATCGCCAGCCACTTTCCATAATGATAGCAAATTAGTATTCAGGCTTGCAGTTCTAACGATAGTATCAAGACAGCGATAACAAAATTAGTGTCTCGCAACCTAACCTTAACCTGGAACTAGCATTTACAATGATACTAACTTTCCCAAGTAGGTTAGAGATTGTTGAACGTAGACCATCATACGATCTAATAGGTTATATCCAGTACAATCCATGGCCTTGGCGAATAGTGATTTTGCAATTCCTAAGTAAAAGTAAGTAAGGTTATTTAAGTACTTTAATGGTATTATAAATATTATAAATAAAATAGTAGCAACGTAATATTTACTCAGTACCTATTAGTACTGGTACATAGTCAGCATGGAATTCTAAGATTTTTTTATAGTCAGCAATGGCTTCATCCAATAAACCCAGCAGATGCTTAATGGATGCTACTTGAAACAAAGGATAAATGACTTTGGTGTCCTCTTCTCCAGCGAGTTGCACACAGCGTGCGTATGCCTTAATAGCTGCTGTATAACTACCCCTTTCTTTGTAAGCGTCACCAAGACATTCCCAACTCCAAGGATCAACAGGATCAGCGCGAATAGCATTCTGAAAGCTGATACATGCTTCTATAATATCCATATGGTCCATTTGATATAAGCCTAAGCGAAGCCATGCCCACTTGCAACTACATTTTGATACGATATACTCAAAAGCTAAGAATATTTCAAAATACTTATAACACTAATAGTAAATGATTGCATCCTTTACCTCAGAATAGGTCGCCATTCGGTTACACTTTTGTATATTTTTACTGCGGCTTCATTGTCACCAGTGATTGTGCAAGTATCAGCTAACATCATCGCTGCTTCATCATGATTCTTATCCAGGTCATAAGCCTTTTCAAAGCACTTGCGCGCACGATGTATATCTTTAGCAATCGATTTATAATATAAACCAAGATAATGAAATGTATTGGAGTGGAATGGATCGATCTTTGCAGCCTACGATAGATCATCAGTATAATCATTACAGCCTATCAAAAAGTTCATTTAATGAAATATAGCACCATTAGCAATCGACATACTTTTAAAAACATAGCTAGGCATTTTGATTTGTCAATTCTGTTTTCTTCCTTGCTATCCCATAATATTCTGCCATATTTATAATATAATTCGCCAAGACGTTCGATATCATCAGTACCCTGAATAGCTATTAATATTTTCCTTTCGGCTTCATCAAATTCTTTTATAAGGAAGTGAATCCATGCTTGATTAACTATGACGCCAGTATGAGTATCATCAATCTCAGAGGCTTGCGAACATAACTAAGATTTAATGTAATAATAAAAGTTATTACCGAAAGAATACAGGGAAATAAAGATATCAAAATTTGGCATAAAATTTAGTACGAAAACTTTTACAATGAACCTACTTTAGTAGCTGTATCAATTTCTCCTAAATCCATTTTAATTTTTGAATATTCAATGAGATATACAATATCGTGCGATAGGCGATCATATAAGCTGGCTAGAATATCTGCTGCTGATAGCAGGGATGATTTATTACCGATTCCCCATAAAGCCTGGGCATTTAATATCTGTAATTGCACTTTCAAACTATCCTTAACGCAGCACGCAGAAAGGTGCTTTTCTATACAATCACTGGCATTTCTAAGTGCACTTTGCATATCGGAGTATTGGTGTAAACGGAAGTAGGCTTTAGCAAGTAAATACCATCCTTCGAATGAAGCTTTAATTTCCAAATCTAGAGAAGCAGATTGTTAATCTTAATCTAACCAGTTTTACGAATTCATTTATTAGCCGCACAAATATTAGAAAAAGAGTTATATACTCGTATAACAATTTGTAAACTAGTATTTAAGAGCTACCTCTACGTAATAAGTGTTTTGCCTTCATATACTTTCTCATTGACATTAGTATTTTGGCTAAGCCACAATAAGCAAACTTTGATGTAGGATGGATGTGAGCCAGTCCCATGAATAGGCGTGACTTGGTATTTATTTCAAATTCTATAAGCATAAAATTTCATACATTAAGTATATAATAACTATCACGATAAATATAATCGGAAAGTTTCTTAGTTATACGCATAGTTATACCATTGGTATCACGTAAATAGAGTTGTGCTAAAATTTCTAATGGGAAAGGCGAATTGGTAAACTTGGCAGAGAATTTCAAACATTCACTTTCGATAGTGGTCAGCAACTCTTCCTCCACCGTCGACATCTTTAACTATAGCCATATGCATGCAATAATAATAATAATAATAATAATGTGAAGAATACTGCATTTATAGTAAAATCTACGGAAAAATAGATAACTGTATTTGTCTCTATAGCTAAGTTAAAGCCGTTTACCTCATGGCAAAGCAAATTAATGTATTTTTGATACATTATCATACGATTTTTGTCATCTAGTTCTTGATTTAGATATTCTTCGTAATATTTCAGTAACTAAAAAATATAGAAATTACCAACATCATTTATACCAATAAACCATTTTAATGGTAAATTTAACGGGTACTTTTATCAATTATAAAGCAATTTAAAGTGAAGAATTAAAAGACCGAAAGATAGACTAGATTCGCTTTTTAGTACACAGGGATGATAGTTATACGGTATATGGTGCACGTACTTGCTTTCGGTTTGCATCAGTTGCCGGTTTCTACAAAATTGGGTATCATCATTGTAAGATAAGATTTACAGCTTTGATAAATAAATATAGCACGTAGTAATAAACTTGCTCGACTTACTTTGTTTTCTACTAATGAGATGACAGCTTTTAAAGAATCAGTCTTGCAGTCTTGAGAATCGGAGGATTCTGCAATAATGACCCAAGTAGCAACAGCCTAACAAGAGTAACCGTGAGGAAAACTGTTATAGGACGTAATGTCGACATTAATTAGACATATATAAAAATATAGACGAACTTTGTCGATTTGACCAACGTTTTCACACAGTTTCGCCAGCTTTATACCAATATCTTGAATTTTATTATTATCACCTTGCCTAACAACATTAACGTTATTGTCTTCACTACAACTAAGCTCAAAATCAGGCACATAGTCTTGCAAATGAATTGATTACATGAGTGTACTCACCCATCTTTTATGAGCTGCAATAATTTATCGTAGATTTCTACTAGCTCAATTTTCTTTGTATGTTCGTCGTTCTTCTCAAATAACTCAACTAAGCCCTAGAATTAATTAATTTATATATTTCCATTTCCAATAAGTGACATTGTGGTGATTGAAATTACCCAATTGAAGTTTATATCTCTCTTATTATATTATGCATAAGAGAATGTGTAAGATAATGTTGCAAAGCCAAATTGTAATTACCTGCCAAGCAAGCATTAAATCTGGTGAAGATTGCGTAGCCCGCCGATAGGCAGCTTCAGCTTGATCGAACTGTTGCATTTCAGTTGCAGCTTTACCAATAAATACCAATGCATTATAATTGGATTTATCCAATTTTAATACGGCCTAACAGGAGAATGTAAGACGAATGTAATTCTAGTTGGATCATAGACATATAAAATTTGTTTTTATTTCTTTAGTTGGCCGCTATGTCTATCACAAGCTCACGATGAGCAAGAATTGTTATGAGTTTGTAGATACAGTAACAATGCCAAGGCGATTATGCGAATGAGAGTTGGATTTGGTCATTTTGCAGCAGTCTGGTCACTACGACCACTACAGAATGGATTAAGATTGCAAAATACTGTCCATTCTATCATGTATGGGATACCAGCATGAGTTGCTGGCTCCTTCAAAGTACAAAACATGGTTGTCAAGTACCGCATATATTTTCATTGGCTGCAAAATACTACCGTAGACTAGCGTCCTGCACTACGACACCTTGATTGTACTGTTTACTGTTTTGCTTGGAACTGAAACAGGAACTCAATCTGACTTAAAATGACGAGAATTACATAACCATTGTAAGCTACTAGCATTGGACATGGATCCTTTCGTTGATTTAGTCACATTATCGAGGCTATTTTAAGTGATTTCACTGACTATCTATCACCTATACGTATATCGCTATAGTAGATAGTAGAATCCAACCTTGCAATTCTTGAGTACATCTTTATATTCGCTAAGACGGATAGCTTCTCTAGCAGCTTTAAGGTAACCTTTAATTTCTTTGGACATCTTGATGATGTCGCTGTATAGCAATCCTACAGCAAGCAATGAGTAAATGTTGACCGCAAGGTTAGCATCTTATTAATTAATACAGAGTGTATTGAAATCCAATGATAAATAAATAGATAATATACTGTAATAATGTTAATGGCCAGCCGATTCCGGACAGCTTGAAGGTTGAGGATTTGCGCAAAAGTTTGTTGTGGTGTTGATGAAAGCAGCCAGCGTACTATACACTGTATAGTACAGTACCTTGTACTGTAAGTATGCACCGTATCCAAAGACGTGCTTGAGATCTGAGTCTTCCTCTTGGATGGACAGACACTTTCGCCTTCATCGGGTCAAAATAGAGTGGCAAACACTGGGGTTATGGCAGCACTTTAGTACTGTATACGGATATTCCATTTTAAATGGACTGTTATTTTCTTAACGAACAGTAAGCAATATTGCATTGAATCTTCTATAATCTGTTTCTAAAGTCTGCTTGAGAAAACAGTTGTATAAGATCGTAGACGCTATTTCAACTAGTACTAATGATTTCAAATAGGGACATGAAAGATCTACACTAAGCAGCCATTTTTCCATATTGATGGCCTCATTTGAGAAGTCCGTCTGTCTGATAGAGTGCTCTTGGAGTGTACACTGTACACTCTGAGTCTGCTACGCAAAGCTTAGGATAGTGCGGACAGAGAGACATGCCCAAAAGCCATTTTTCCATATTGATGGCCTCATTTGAGAAGTCCGTCTGTCTGATAGAGTACTCTTGGAGTGTACACTGTACACTCTGAGTCTGCTACGCAAAGCTTAGGATAGTGCGGACAGAGAGACATGCCCAAAAGCCATTTTTCCATATTGATGGCCTCATTTGAGAAGTCCGTCTGTCTGATAGAGTACTCTTGGAGTGTACACTGTACACTCTGAGTCTGCCACGCAAAGCTTAGGATAGCACGGACAGAGAGACATGCCCAAATGACATCATGGGTGCACGAGTCTTGTGACTTGTGGCCTTGTCGTCATCTCTCTTAACCCACCCCCCACCGGCCAAGGCGAACCATTGACTGCTGCAACAGCTCTTCTCTACCTAGTGTTTTCACTCAGGTATCCTACTAGACGAGTGGACGTAGGCGATCGTAGACAGTGCAGTTCTTTGCAACGTTGTTTTGTGCTTTCGAGCCTTTCCACAACTATATCATCACTTTTAGAATTGCCTGCGAAAATACCATATTACTCCATGATGGCTATTACTGTAGCATTAGTTCAATATCTAGCAATTATTATTGGTTTAAGCATGCAATTAAGTCCAGCTGATGGCGCTTCATGCGGTTTGACATCCTTTTTTGATACTAAGAATTTAACGCAGTAAGTTGGAAAAAGAGATGAGGATAGACAATCATCAATCAATAAAATAATTCATTAATCAATACATCATTTGAACTGTATATATAAGTTAGATAGTTTACATGATATCATGGATATTTAATAGTACTGCTGATTGTCAAAAGTTTTTTCTGGCTCAAAAATTGGATACAACTAGTCTTGAAATGAAAAGGTTACGTTAGCTAATAATAGTTCACAAAGACAAGACAGGAGAATAGTTGTTATATACAGGACTCTGTATGGCAAAGCAACGCGTCAATGTTGACTGTAAATAAGATCCAAGTGGATTTCGTATCGAAACACTCAAAGAAAAAGTTCAATTATCTCATGGCATACTTTACTTAGTTCATTTGACCTTACTACTGTATGCATTTTATCGATATGCAGAGCTAAAAATCAATCGATTCAAGCTAGAAAGAAGATGATAAAATACTACAACCAAAAAAATAGTTGCACCATATTATGATGATGAATAATTCCGTACAAATCCTGAATTCTTGTTGGTATTAACTTAACCAATTATTTCTATATACATTGCACTATCATAGAGCTCATTCTTGGTCATTTACATCTCCAACATCTTGCTATTACAATCAATCCAATGCTGAAACTTGCTTATTTAAAGTATCCTTTTGTCATCCACTGAGATTGTCCAACCTGGCGATCCAGTACCTGGAATGACACAACAATATGGAATAGATGAGAACACCAATCTATTAGTGGGTCAATATTCTGATCTAGCATGGCAAGGAGGTATGTATTGACGCATCTATTGAACATAACTGTGCTTACATTACAGGTAGAAGTACAACGAATACCGCTGTATCCAACTTATGTTTTGTAAAGTTAATTTTACGCTCTGTGAAAGTTGACACTCGATAAAAAACACTTGCCTGTCGATGACGAAAAGAAACAAAAATAATATTATTAATATGATAGCTATCATACAAGTTTTCAAATAGCCATAAAACTCAATCAGTAATAACTATGACGATCTCTATATTGTATTACTGTCGATTAAACCATAAGATGATTACTATAATTTCTCGTAAAGCCGACACGGGAAGATGTTTCTTATTGTTTTTAACCACCTTATACGAGTACACGTATACTATGCTCCTGTAATTAACATAATATAGAAAGGAAGTACGAGTACTGTATATACAGTATATAGATTCAACATAGAGCCATACCTATAACCTGATTTATCGTATTCCAACATCATATTAAATTCACATAATGTTATGAACAAGAAGAAGAATCCCGTCCAAAAATTTCAATATTCTACTTCATTTCCTTCTTAGGTCAAACTTCGTTTTCTGTACAGTATTCCAATGGTACCACTGTTCATAATGGCAATCAGTATCCATCTCTATCAGTTAATATGATTTTTCGTTGCGCAGAAAAAGCAATATGGTCAGCCAAATTAAATGAATATGCCACTGTACCTACGGAGGCTAATATAAATGCAATCGTGGATCGCGATACAGGCAAGGTAATCACCAAATCACTAAATGAAGCAACTAATTATGTCTTATGTCGTAGATATTGTGTGCATCTATAAAAAAATATGTCCTATTAACGCTGATAATAATGAAGAGTTATAAATAGTATGATGTGATTACACTGGGAATTTTTAATTTTATCAAAAATTTAGACACATTGAATTTTAATGCTAATTGCGCTCATATTATAATTCTTTTAACTGGGGGTCAAAGTAATACTGTACCTGGTATTCGATATCAGCATTAACAAACCCATACCATAAGGAATGGAATGCAAACAACGACTCAAAGTCAATTTTACATTTCCAGCGTCGCATACGCGATGGCTATCACTCATTTTTTATCTCTTCTTATTGTTGAAAGCAACTACTTACTTAAGATGTTGACCCAGTTAATAAAGTGCTTCAAGTAGCGAGTGTATGCAAATATATACTATTTTAGATAAAATGAATCAAAAATTCAGATTGATATAATGTACAATGTGTCAGGCTCATAGTGTCCTTGGACTGCAAGTGATTTATAATTTTACATATAATTTGTTATTATCTACAATTCATATAATAAATATCATAGTTAGAAATAAGTAGCTAAACCATAGGTAAATTAATAATATTTGAAAATCAGATATTCATAAATTAGATATGACAAGGTTATTTATTACATTGACACGGCTTGTTAAATTAAATTAACTTCGATTACTAATTAATCTTTTTCAACCGACATAGTATCAGTTTATCTTTAACTACGCTGGCGCATGTCGTACACTTAAACCGGCTAGCTCACTCTTAAGCGGAGGTTCTGTCTTGCTAATAGTGTAAGTATTCACACATATAGATTTAGCTTTAATAGACTGCATAGTAAATTTTAATAGAATAATGAATTGCAGATGAATATGATTTGATGATATTTCTAAGCCTAGTCTTAAGGAAATATCCTGTAAAAATGATCTTATACCTTTTAGAATGTATATAAAATTCATCTTTCCAATAAATCAATGATTGCTAATTATCACAACGATAAACGTAAAATTTATCTCACGCTACCGATCAGGTTATTGTAAAATCTAGTTCAATTTTCAGAATAGCGGCCTGATAGTAAATAATAGATAATTTTCTATCGCTTTTATATTATACTTCAGAATGCAACATATCTTGTTAATCGATAAGTAAATATTTTAAGTTCGAATTATGTCGAAGTAACCTGAATTACGTACTTTCTCCCGATTATAGCTTCTTTTCCCTCCTGGGTGCTTATCTAATATTTGGTATTATTATTCAATCATCTCGTGGTGCGCGGGGATATGAACTGATACCAAATGTAGAATTTTGGTCAAAGATACCTGGTTGTATCAGGGTAAGTCAATAATGCCTAAAATTCTGAATGATAGTTTAACTTACAGTTATGGAAGGAAATCAATCAATAGATAATAAGTTTGTTTTATATATTAGGATGGATTCATTTTTACTATGGATAAGATAACATGCAATCGAACACCATTATCTTCTTCAGATGAGCGTCGAGCTTTCGTTAAGGCCTAAGTTCTTTTGTCCATTATCATCATTCCTGTCATGGATTGTCATTCAATGATCATAATTATATATCACAGACATTGATTATATTTTTTATATTGTCACCACTGTTACAGCATACTTAAATCTAGTTTATTGATGGCAACCTGTATATAACTGGTATGACATTACGAAACCAGGTACATTTTACAGTATATAGAGTGTATTTCAAAATGGTTGCCCTGGTTGCAGTGACCGTTTAATGCAGTGATTGTAGGATCAATTGCTATTATTAGTCTATTAATCTTGTGAATTGTAGTCAGTATATCCAGTGATTTATATTCTTTCAAGTCTGTGCATATCTGTCTCGACAGAATATTTGAAAAAGATTATCCTGTAGACCTGTCCAGTTTATAGTACTTGTACAATACAAAGCGCTAAGTGTAAATGTCTGATTTGGTACAGATTATTGATGAAATTTAATACTTAGTTACTACTTGGTAATGTCTTATCTATCTACCTATAAATTGATTGTTTTTACTATAATGAAATTTAATATCTATGTAAAGGCATTGTATGATTTATATGGTATTCATAGAAGTTTAGAAAGAATTTATCAAATAGTGACAAACTTGTTATTCTTTAGTCGTGTTTCATTCATTAATATAAAAGGTATGTTCAATAAAATGTATTCTCCTTACAGACATTCTCGTATCAAAAGTTAAACCTATGAGGCCTAATTTATTGCGCTAGAAATGGCATGCTATAATATTATAATAAGATTAATCGTATTAATAATTATTTACTAGTATACCCCTCGCTCGTTAAACTTCGCGTAGTATACTGTACAAAGTGTACGCATACAGTACTGGTGTGTTTTTATACACATACTTTACTCATTGTAATAGACCGAAGTATACGGTTACGTTAGTGCCAACAAGTCTCTTTCTACCATACTATACATATCAAAACGTTTGTAATATCATACTGATCTCAAGATCAACACTTGTATGATATGTACCATTGCAGAATTCGCATCCTGAGCTATGATAATATCATACAAATATAATCCATCGAGATAGCTTGCCTCCGCAAATCTTACTACTGTATTATAGATGTACCACAGCTGTTTCAATATTTTATAAATTCCATTTCTTAGAGACATTGCTGCCAAATAATCCAATATTTACTACATTTTGGGTTAACTATGTTTACACTAAATAATAGACAACCAAAAAATCAACTTCTGGTTGCATGACCGGTTGCAGTATTCTTAATGACGCATATTATTATAGATTGATGCAATATAATGTTCGCATATACTCATAAATTGAGTCACACTATCATTCTTGACATGCATAATCTCCAGTCTGCAACAAGGAATCAGACTGTATGCTGAATTATGTAAATTTATCGTTTATATGACATAAATGATGTTAAGATGAGTAAAATAGAATATTGCGTTTGAGTTTTAGCAGGGAAATTGTCGAATAAATTTTACGTTGTAATTCGGATCCTTTAAAATGACTCTAATACAAGCATACGGAATTTAAATGTATCGATTTAGCATCCAAAAAATTTTCTACACTCTTATCAATAAAAATATCTTATCATCGTGCATCAATCAATAATATGAAAGAGATAAAGCAATTTGTATATTCGAAATTTGTCAGTACTTGCGATTTGGATATAACTTAACTCGAAGATATATTATAAGAAAGTCAGATTTACTAGTGTGCAATTTGGCCAATGTACCGTATAACGCGAGGTAATCTTATTTTATTCGCGCTATGCTCGAGTACGTGTAGTTTTAGAATAAAATTTTCAATTAAGGAAAATAAATAATTAGATTTTTTTCATTTGAGCTTACACATAATACGCGTATTTCTTTATAGACGAACTTTCATAGATCCGTATATAGTGTAATTGCTTCATAGATACGACTTGACCATATTTAAACCTTATACTACTTTACAACTATGTATTTTTGGCAAGTAACATTTACCCTAGTAGTTTAATCGTAATTATTTTAAGCTGTTGGACTACGTTCCGTCAAATAAGTTAAATAGAATGAAGTAAAACATGTGAGATCGTAATGAGCTTATTGAAAGTATACCATGATGCAAATGTAGTAATAAACAAATAAATGTTGGTTTAATGTGAGAACGCTTTGTTTGATCAAGGATAAAAGTTTACAAACTTGGAGAAAAAAGTGATCTGAAAATTGATTTTAAGCACAATCACTAGGCAATTTAAAAGCTATCAAATTTTTACCAAGGATTGCTCGGCATGCAGAAAAAAATCAAGAGGGCTAGTATGCGTATACGGACGGCATACCCAAGCTAATGTTCATAATGTTTACATGTTTATTGTATGTCATCGAACATTATGTTAATAATAATAATTTTCCCGAATTTTTTTAGCTTTTTGTAGTACTAGATACAGGCAAATGTATAAGACTTCCCCTTAGCTAAATTCTAACAGTAAGTAAGTTAATAAACTTAGTTGCACCGAAATACTGTTAATTTACAACCAATGTCCCGAGAAATACAAATAAAATTTTTTGTTCCATCCGTGTCTTGTGCACGATATTTGTGCTTATGATATCTCGGCAGATTAACCACTCCAGGAAAATATCAGATTAACCCAAATCTCCTTAATTTCTGTAATAAAAATTAACGCTATTAGGACTACAGCTTTGGTAATTAATAGATACTGGAATGCAGCAGAGTGCTATTATAAGCATTGTCGTCTACCTATTGTCAAGTTGTTATTCCTGGTTTTTATTTATTCAGCTAGTGTGCAATAATTAGAAAAGTACAGATGCTCACCGAAATCACTGATGCCATTAACATCACCATTAAAATTTTCAATTTAATTGCATATTACAGTAATTGCTCAATCATTTTAATTCATGCTGTACATTAATACTGTTTCATAGCTAGTCATATATGTGTGCATTCGTTCTAAGTGGCAACATTTAGCAAGATAGCTGTAGATTAGGAACCTTGATACTCGTATACGATAATAAATAGACAAGATACTGGCAATTCAGATTTCAAAAGAGGTTCGTGATAATGAACTGGTATTTATCTTTCAAAGAAGATGTTCATGTAATCTGAACGCTACTACTCAATTTTAAGGTAGACACTATCGAGACATTTAACAATCACTAAAAAACAATATTCCTATGTATTCATGATACGATGGTTAAGTATTTAGTATGAATGACTGACTCATCCGATATCCACCATATTGCCATAAATATTTCCGTAACATGCAATAGTTTATCCAAGAAGCTAAGAAATGCTATTTTTATTTATATTTATTAAAGACTATCATTTGCCTGCTAGAAAGACATTCTATATGTACCATAACCTTGAATATATTGTTAATTTTCTTAAATACTAAAACAATTATAATCTAATCTAGTTAGATGAAAACAAGACTTAACACCTACCACGCTAAATGCTGGCTAATTCTTATCACTCTCCTAGTTTACTAATTCAGTGTTATGTCTGTTGATCCTATATCAAGCTTGTTTATGACTCAACGGCTAGAACAATCCATGGCATTGCTATGTCAGAGCTGGCATTGCAATTTTATTATATAACTATAAATTAATTACCATGACAATAATTACTTTATTGTCAATCAAATAGAAACGTTAATTGTTGTTGATTGCAAATTACTGTGATTAAATACAAAAAAATATCAACTCTCAACTAACTGTTTTTTATTAATGACATTCAGACAACGCCAATATACTTGTCTATAGTTGGCAATTCGATTTGCCCTGTTTTAATTATACTGAGCAAGCTGGTTTAGAATATATAATCAGCCTGTTAGCCAAATTGGTTCTATTTAGTATAAACAGCGGGATGCAAGACATGGTACACTGAAGATTTCCATATAACATATCATTACTTCAGACAGTATAAATTATCCTTCGTCTCCTAATTATATTTTCCTTGTAGAAAGTTATAATTAGAGATATCATGGAGTCGTAGTGCTCTTCTATTTTCCGTAATAAGAAAGCGTTATACTAGCGAGTTAGTGATTTAATTTACCTATACATGAATCGATGTTTTAATGCTATGGCCCAATGGAGATTTCACCTCAAGAAGGATTAACTTTGGTAAGGTTCATAGTCCATTCTACGTGTAAATAGCATATTCTCTAGAAGCTTTTCGGTCGACATTGTTGTTTAAGAATAGCGTTTTGTATAACCATGTATGCAAACATAATTACTCATCTCACTGCTTTCGTCAAGTAATTACAGTTGTACTGTAAAAGTTAACGATGTAACATAACAAATTACAAGCTTACATTTTTTTTTTACCTCTTTGATCAATACTCCTTCTCCGGTTAATTTTTCTGCACTCAGTTAAGAATACTGCCAATTTTATAAAGCCAATAACATTATGTCTATTTCATTACTAAATCAATTTTTAGATGCTTGTGCTTGAGAAAAAAGGTTAACCCCTTTTGTATGATCACAGACAGCGTCTGACTAGCAAAACCGCCATATTTTCTGCCATACTAAGATGAAATGATGTACTGCAGTTTGCAATAACTGTAAAGAAAATATACTAGAATAAACAAATCTTGCAGTTATTCATAAAGAAAGTACAGTATTAGGATAGTAGAAAGAGCAACGCTGGCTCTTTTCAGCAGTTCTATTTCACTAAATTATCTTAATCGCATACACTAAGGCGCTGTCGATTATTAAAAGCAGATTAAGGTCAATATTTTATGTACATAATTATAAACATTCCGGTGACATGTTATCTTAAACCATCTCTCGTGAAAGTTTCGATGTTGGTTGCAATTAACGGAGAAAACTGATAGGCAGTTTAGCGTAAAAGAGGATCTTCCGAGAAAAGATTTAGTTTTACGATTCTACGCAGGCCTTATTCTTAAGAACGACAATTTGCTCTTTAACATTATGCTAAGATGATTATGATTTCATGATTTTTATTAATAAGCACGATATAAAGCATAACATCCGTATACGTAATAGAAGTGATTAGGTTACATCTGAAATAAATTGATACCACTTCCTAATTCAAGTATGTTTTACGCGTCCAGCGTATGTCGCAGCCCTCAATAAATCATTACTAGATGCTTGACTATTTAAAATTGGCCACCTGTTACTTTTGTAACGGTATCGATGTTTATATTCCGTAATATTCTTCATCGTCATGTTGTTCAAAAACTTTTTCCCATGTTTTAATTAACTGGATTCTATCATGAGTAATTTATAAACATCTAATTCGATTTGCACTTGGGACTCTAGTACTGTTGGTTATAGTAGATAATTACTTAATTCAAAAGGTTTATAAAGGTAATCCTATTTTTTGGATGATCGTTGGTTGCACAGTCTAATTCAAAATTTCTCTACTGACTATGATACGCTTTGATGAAATTTTTGAAACCATCCTGTCCTTTCATAATCATGGCTAAGCAATTCATGAATCAGTTCAACCAATGTAACAACTTGAACTGAGGATCATTTCCGATTTTATTCATCAGTAATGCTTACACAAGTTGGATTAAAAGTAGATACTGCCTATTACAGTACTGGGCGTCCGTGTCCTAGTCAGTATGATCATACGGCCACAAAAGAATTATTATAGACATCTAGAAAGCCTAGAAAGTTTCCACATTGCGAATAACTTCGTTTATCATTCCGTCTAGGTCTACTATATCACTAAACAGCTGGACAATGTGCTAGCTAGTTTTACGAATATTGATTAAATGCCTTGTAATTCAATACGCTGCAAATTTACGAGAGTAGTAAAATCACGATCCACGGTAAACACAACACAAGCCCGATACTTGCCCTAATTGGATTTTCGATCTACCTATATTACAGTAAAGCGTGGTTGAACAACTTTTCATTTTGACACATCTTTCTTTACCAACAAAGGCCTTAAACTACAGTAAGGCTATCCTTTATTAACTATAAATTGCAACGAAAGGGGAAAAAAAAAATGGCGTTCTACATTTAATCAAAGCTAATAGCTAACGGTTTGATTCGGCAAGACACACTTGCCGAATCACCCTAGCAGCAGTCATCCGTGAAATTGAACTGATCGTGCTGATAAAGTCGGCGACTTGAGGTTGACGTTACCTGTACTGTGACCCGTACGCTGTACTTACCACCTACTAGTTATTGTTAAATGTGCTGGGCTATGGTGACAATAATAAGGGTGAAGATACAGAATTGAGGTTGAGCTGTCCAACTTCACCCCGTCATTGGTCATAGGTGAACCACGGAGCTTCAACGGTACGATCAAATGGAGACCTGACCTGTTGCAGCCTCACTCTAAAATTCATCAATATCGTAGTTATCACTGAAGCATTTCACTGGCGCAGGAAGTTTTACAGCAGCTAGAAAAAAATATTCAGTTAGGTAATTGGGTAGAGGCCAGGTCTAGGTAGAGCTATAGCATTTTTCTTTCCACTGGGATGAGAAATTTACAGCAGTACTTACCACCTACTAGTTATTGTTAAATGTGCTGGACTATGGTGATCATAAGGGTAAAGATACGGAATTGAGATTGAGCTGTCCAACTTCACCCCGTCATTGGTCATAGGTGAACCACGGAGCTTCAACAGTACGATCAAATGGAGACCTGACCTGTTGCAGCCTCACTCTAAAATTCATCAATATCGTAGTTATCACTGAAGCATTTCACTGGCACAGGAAGTTTTACAGCAGCTAGAAAAAATATCCAGTTAGGTAATTGGGTAGAGCTATAGCATTTTTTTTTCCACTGGGATAAGAAATTTACAGCAGTACTTACCACCTATTAGTTATTGTTAAATGTGCTGGACTATGGTGATCATAAGGGTAAAGATACGGAATTGAGATTGAGCTGTCCAACTTCACCCCGTCATTGGTCATAGGTGAACCACGGAGCTTCAACAGTACGATCAAATGGAGACCTGACCTGTTGCAGCCTCACTCTAAAATTCATCAATATCGTAGTTATCACTGAAGCATTTCACTGGCACAGGAAGTTTTACAGCAGCTAGAAAAAATATTCAGTTAGGTAATTGGGTAGAGCTATAGCATTTTTTTTTCCACTGGGATAAGAAATTTACAGCAGTACTTACCCCCTATTAGTTATTGTTAAATGTGCTGGACTATGGTGATCATAAGGGTAAAGATACGGAATTGAGATTGAGCTGTCCAACTTCACCTCGTCATTGGTCATAGGTGAACCACGGAGCTTCAACAGTACGATCAAATCGAGACCTGACCTGTTGCAGCCTCACTCTAAAATTCATCAATATCGTAGTTATCCCTGGAGCATTTCTTTTTCACTGGCACAGGAAGTTTTACAGCAGCTAGAAAAAAAATATTCAGTTAGGTAATTTTAATCATTTGTTTAGGGTAGACTACAAAGTAATTTATGTTGTAGATGTTCTGTTACAGCATATTGCAGTTTTTGGCAACAATCTATTGGAATAGGAGTGGTAAAACCGTCAAAGACCAAGCAGTGATTGAAATCCAAAATCACTTGCTGTCTCAATCCAACGCTGGTATCATAATTACCCTTGGGTAGAGCGATAGCATTTTTCTTTTCACTGGGATAAGAAATTTACAGCAGCTGAGAGAAGTTACGAGCATTCAGGAAGATGAGATCTCCTGCTTACATACATTATAATTCAACTGGATCTATAATTTCTGATTAATCGAGCATCAAATTAAATTACTCCCATTATCTCTAGTATCCAACCATCTTGAAATAACATTCCTAACCAAAGCTATAATATTTACTGGAACTTTTTATCACGGATATGCGCACAAGACAATCTTAAGATTCCAGCTAATCTATAATCTCGTACATACAGTGTCAATCTTACAATTTTACATATCACTTAACGACTTCCTACAATCTATTAAGCTATTTTTGCAGGGCTGCATGACAGCTACAAAGTGACTTATATCATGAATCTTCCAATATACCTAAATTTCTGACAATAATCTGCTGATTCGCATGCGAGTATGGCGTATTAACGCTGACATCGTAATTATCACCAAGGTGTTCCTCTTTTCACTGGCATGGGCATTTTACAGAAGCTGAGAAAGATAGTGCTCGGTCAGGCAATTTTGATCATTCTTCAGTGTAAAGTAATTGATATCCAAGATCTTTCACTGAAGGACGTTGAAACTTTTAATAATATCCCCATATCAAATATTGACAAATACTGCGAATATTTGACTAATCGTTCTGAGAATATCAAGTAATTTTGAAACATGGCCAATTTAATGATGTATATTCTACAATCAGTAAAAAGATGACTATGTTTACTCCTTTATAGTACAGGCTATCGCTTTATAAAACTCGAAGAATTATCATAGACTTTAAAATTTGCAATAATGTATGATAATATTTTTGAATTTTGATGGAAAAGCTAATGTGAGAAATAACCCTACAGAGTAATAATCAATTACTGTAGTGCTGTTTAAAGATTAATTCAACGTGATTGTGATATGTACATTGACATTTCATAATTATATTACCTACAGGCATACATAACAATTAAGATTTAACTGCTTTCTTATGTAATTTTAAATGAAAATATGTAATGTCCTTCGATGGTTCCTGTGGCATTTTTCTCAATCGAATCGCTGCTATTCTGTATGGATAACAGAATAGTTACTGTCAATGCATCACGGTTACTGTTTCTGGCGATGTCCAACTAAATAACAAAGAATTATATTTCGTCTTCGAAGGTAGCAGTTTACGCCACATTACATCAGTTCAGCGAATTGATGGCAACAGGCTGCGCATTCCTATCCCAGGTAATAATCGAATATAGTAATCTAAGTAAATAAAGATAATGATGTAATAGCTATAGCTAATTATAGCAAAGGTAAATTTACTACGAAATGTAATGATCGTATTTATATTGTACTGTACCTGAACCATCGCTATTATCGTATGCTTTTTGTGCAATAAATTATAAGCCTCCTACACTTGTTATTTTACAACAACTTAATATGCCTTTATTATAAAGATCACGATGTTCCAGAAGTAGTTCAAGTCTCCCTAATTGTCCGAGCTGAAGATGGTATACATCCATTGGCAACAAGTCAATTCGAATATCGTCAAGATCAAGGCCAATATGTTGCTGAATTTCTTTTATTCAGTACAATAAATGATGAGGCAGCAGAATTTTTAGCAGCACTATCGCCGGAATCAATTGGATTAAGAGATGTAGATATTGCTGAATTAGATAATAGATTAGCCACAGGACTAAAATTAACCAATATTTTACCAAGAAATTGGTCCCTTTTACGTCACAATTCCGATGGCAAAGTGTTCATAGGTGATATATTTGTACTAATTGATCATGTTATTAACTAATGCGCATACAATAACGATTGCTTGTCATCAGAAATTTAAAGATCGATTGAAAAGTATTATGGCCTTGACAAATATAATTTATCATTTTTGTTGCACGCATTTCTAAATTAGTAAATCAAGATACTATATTGCACTTTGCTACTCGTTTTGGCTTACTTCAAACACTAAAATTCCTTCTGCAAGCAAGTGATGCTCAGCGGGGACTAATGGTTAAAAATAAGCGTAATGAACTGGTTATTGATGTTGCTAAGAAATACGGCCATCGGTCGATCGAAAACTATATGCAGCGGTAAATTGAGCATTAATCCTTATAGTTAATCGTTAGATACACATTATTACTATTAATATATACTATATCAGAAATTTCTTCACTTTAAAGTTATTTAATAATGGCTATGATCAGAAATTTAAATTACGACTTCGATACATATGTGTGCAATTCTAATAGTTTCACCGATTATAATTATAATATGCTAATTTTTGAAGAAACGTTTGATACTAATGTTTATAATGATAATATTATCTAATATGTTTAAAGTTGCATATACATGTTATCAAAATTCTTGACTGATATCAATTCTTTATTCAATATGAATATTTATATATACACATACGTACGTGTGGATATCTTGCGGATCTTTTAGTAATATCGTCGACGATGATAATGATTGCATCGGAATATATTTACTTGAATCTTACGCAAAAGTTCTAATTAATGGATTAGCCATGATCACAAGACAGAAAGCAAAGACTGATTTCAGTCCGAGTAAGTAGACCACGTCAACGAAAAACATATAAATCTGTGCTACACGTAACAATAACTATATCTGTAAAAAATGATAAGATATTTTATTTGACTTTTATATGGAATGACGTGGATGTAATTGAGATTTTAGGCTTAGTTGTGTCGAGAATATAAAAGAATGCATACAGTCTGAAAGATTTAATTTACAAGATCAATTTACATATTGATAACCTACATAATATATCTTATCTATCTTATAAAGTTATAAAGTTAAGGTAAATAGGTAAAAGAATACGAAAAGATTACTCGTACTTATTGGTATATATTATAGCATATTCGCACTTGGAATACATTATGAATTAACAATAGCTTTAGCAATTCTCGGTTGACGTATTTTATGTGTTAAATTACAGAAAATGATCGTGATTAAGTATATATAGAAAACTTTGCGATACTGTGAAATCAGTAACAATGCCGTATAATTAAATATATCATGTAAATCTATCTACTACAGTATTTTCGCTCATTTATAATTCTCATTTATAACTGTGTAGATGAAGATATTAAGAAAATCCAACAACTACAAGACTTTGCAGCAGATGAGGTAAAATTCAAAGTCGTTTAATATCGATTTGTTGATTATTAATGATATATGCTGTTATAAATAATCCTTGATTTTTATGTTTTCATATTATCTCTATGATCAATGACTTGATAGCTATTTGAATTCTTAAGCGTTTGCTGATTTTCTTATCGTGAATAATTATTATATAATTAATCCGTTAATAAATTAATACAATAAGTGAAAGAAGTATAGTTGAATTTGATTCACTATGCACACATTTTAACTCACTTTGTGTGCTATTATCATATCATAAGAAAATATTCTTGCATAATACGGTCAAAATGGAAAATTGGAAGAGGCTTTAAAGTTGATAAAAGTACAGAAAATACAATGCCCCTAATCCTATAAATAAACGTATTGCATTAAAATTTACTAATCTCTAAATGTGCCTTACTTTAACAATCATCAATTCTTGATGTACCATTCTTGCACTAATAATAAATAATGTAGCTTCGAGTTAATATACTCTTACTCTTTCGGGCCTATTTAAAGTTTCACTTATGCAATGTTTTTGCAATCATATTACTTAATTATTACCCCACTATTATTCGTACATTATCAGCAGAATTAATCCATCGAAACTACAACTAAAGTTGGTGTCTGAATAATTTATAATTTAAATCTTGTAACTGTTATTGCAAATCTTATTGCATTGTAGTGGAAAATATTCAATTCCTCTCTTTATGTATTCGATCATAGTTACATATAATGCTTTATACTTTGGCCAATTAATATTTGTGCTCTTAATACAAAATATACTATTTTTATATAACAATGTTATAGCCTCTAGAAAAGATTTACGCTGATAATGCGCTACTCCGGCAATTTAAGAACAGTCTGCGCGAGAGAGGATTTGGTATAGACCATATCACGATTCAATCAATAACACCTCAGTCATCAGCAATTGGTAAAATATTATGATTTATTTACTTCAAACGATTTTAATAGTATCGTTGGAATAATGTAAAGTCTAACCTTTTCTTACAGTCAAATATTTATTATAACATAAAATACTACCATAACTTAAAAATATTTTCTAAATTCAAATTAAAGTTGTAATACATTACATAAGCGGATGTGAAATTAATGTTAACCTGTATTTACGAAACGCAACTGTTTATACACCTACTATCGTTAATGATTTTTGTTTTATACGACATCTTTATGTGAATAATCTTATAAAATTATCATTTATATAATTTTCTGCCCAAATTATGGTTGCTGCGATGGATACCGTAATATTAGATCGGGTTTTGAACACATTTAAGGCATATATTCAAAGCTCCAACTTCGATCATAAAGGAAAAGACGATATGAGAGTAAACTACTTTCATGGTAGCAGCTACAACAACAATAATTATGGTAGTGTGAAAGTAAGTAAAGTATGCTAGAGTAAATCTTGTGACAGTAATGATATTTTCTACTCCGCATCGATTAATTTAGTGTTGAATATCAGTGACAAATAAATAAATTATTGCCCAACTTCTGAGCATCGTAACAATTCATAAAATAGGGAAAATAACTACTGTATATAATCTATATACACATGGTATCGTATATAATATAAACGTTGCAGTGATGGCGTCAACATTATTTGATACTTTCTGTAAAGCAACTAATAATCAGAAATGAAGCTATCTTCCTTCATGCTGATGATAATGTCACCTTACTTTTGCTGCATATCTTCTTTAAAACTATGTCTATGGTATATACAATGTATTAATATAGCTAAATGCAATTACATAGGATACCTCCAAAGGATTTGTAAGATGGCTATTCGGAGGTGGCTCGCACTTACAAAATTTAAATCGAGACGAACATGAGCTATCCGATGACGATAGAGTTAACGCTGCTGAAATCGAAAAATATAAATCAAAAAGGGGCAATAGGCGGCATACTTGGGTCAACATCTTAAATGGTGGCGGTAAAGGAAAACAAGGTAATAATTATTAAAAGCGATGTCAGCGGTATATCCTTTGATTCTAAACCATTTTTATAGTTTTCGAAATCTATGCGTATGGCAAAAAGCGAATCAAATATCGATAGGCCATTCTTATTCAAATTCATATAAAATTATAAACTTTGATTAGTATCTCATTGTATTCATGAAATTCATTTTAAAATAGATTTAATTATTGATGCTATTTAACACTATTGTAATAATCCATACATTGAAAAATTGCTTCTATGATGTTTAGAAAATCCCAGCGAGTTAGATTTTGAGAGCGATTACGATAACGAAGTTGGTTTAAACATTCGACTGGATCAACCATTACCTTCTAATGACGACGATGAATTTGATTACGATTTTGACATACATGCGGTATCAGAAGATATAAACGGGGGTGGTGCTAGCTCTGACACTGGAGCGAATTTTCTTGGTGACAGACTTTCTGATAACATGCATTCATTGAAACGAATCGCAAAATCAACAGAAGATCTGCGAGAGGCTAGCGCAACAGAATTTTACAATGAGTGGGATGACGGTAGGTACTAAAGTCAACAATCCACGTAAAATTTGATTTTATGTCGTAAATTGATAACATATCATTAATCTGATTCATAAAAGTTATAATTATTACAACTGGCTTATCACGATATTATATATATCCTGGCACTTATATCTGGTGTTTTCAACTATTCAGAGAAATTGACTTTACCCCCTAGGTTGCAGCAGATGAAAGGGTCAGTTAGAATATGTAAAATGTAATAATTACAGATTTATTCCTAAATACTGTATTTGTACCAAATGTTTTAGCTTTACGGTCCTTATTGTTTTCATAGTATTTACCATACCCATTATAACTTCAAAATTTAGCCGCGAGATAGTTTTTCGTCATTACTCATCTCTACTATATACTTTATTATAGCGTTATTGTGTAAATTTTTGTAATTAATACCATCTAACATTGCTAAATACAGTATTGACAATTTTAGGCGACCTATGAAAAAGAAAAATATTACTATGGAAGCGGAATTAAAACGAGCAGCTAAAGGGTAATTAAAATATTACAGCTACTATCATACATATTAAATACCACAATATATTACCTATCGAACAATTATGTAGTATCAAAAAGTTACAACAAAATTCTATTAATTGTTATATTACTATACTTATTATTACTGTAGTGTTGGTGAAACCACTTATGGAGACTTAGAATTTTAAGAATTGCATAACTCTATCTATTATTATTTTGATAAATAGACAACCTTCTTTCGACAAGTTTACCAGATATCCCAGAGGAAGGTTCGCTTATAATTGAGTTTCATTTTATTCATGTAGAGATATGAAAATCCTTATTTCTCTCGATTGATAATTACAGTCCTGTAAACCTATTCGTCGATTTATATAAACTATCCGATCTAGTTTCTTATTTTTGGTTGTTACAGTTGTACTGCATGGATGATTGGTAGTTTAAGTCATATCCACATTCGAAAGAATGTGCAAAGTATTACCTTAATGGCCCTGCAATCATCTAAATATCTTACACTTACACTCTGTAGTACGTAGTTTATTTCGTAACAATTGCATTTAATCAAAAATAAGTTGATTAAGATTCGTACAATCCTATTTGCTTTTTAAAATTGAAGAACATCGATATATATAAGTTCATGTGCGATTAAACTTTATGCTTCAGCGATTATAAATTTCATATATGAATTATAATTATACCATATACAATGTATATTCATTCTCGGAAATAAACAGCATTGTCCGAGATGAAGTTGGATACCACTCAGATCGAGATGATCCGGAGCGATCTATGTTGGTGAGTAGCTACGTTATTGAATTAAGGTTTCATTGCTACTTTGGTTTATCGAAAAGAATATGATTTAAATCTTAGGCCCGTGGTAAATCAAAAATACACGCATCTGCAGCTACTAGTAGTGGTGTCGGTAGAAGATTGACTATATTTAGTAAATCCATAAAGTCTGGCAAGGTTATTACTTAAGTTGCATTACTAGCATGAGTATATGGCAAATGTCTAATATACTGACAATACTCACTACGTGCGCTAGATATCTAAAGAAATGATAATATTTATGTTATTTAGACTAGGAAAACAACACATCAGTTCGTTCCAGGTGGGAAGTATATTATTAATGCCACCTGTGAATATTGCAAGAAGATTGTTAAAGGGAGCGAAAGTCTGATGTGTATAGGTATTGATATCTTTCTTATTTATAATTACACTGTATATTCGAAGGATAAATTAACAGTGGCTCTAAAGACGCAGCATAATACTTCTTTGCAAATTGATTGTTTACAATTTCATTTTTGTATGCTAAACAACATTCTACCTGTACCGCCTATAATGTCGCTATCATGAAATTAGCATGCAGAACCGTCGTTCACGCAAACGGAGACTGCAAAGATAACGTTCCTTCCTGCCTAAAGTTTATTGAGTTACAACGAGCGGTAAATAAAGTATTAATAAGCTAGATAATACAATTAGCGTACGACCAAATAGTTTATAATCTTAGTCTATTAATGTAACATCTGGATCAATTTGAAATAAATTTTCATTATAAGAATATGGAAAATTACCGGCAAAGCAACCAAAAAAAACTAAGCCATAAGGATACCAATTATGATCGGTCTCTAGTCGATACAAAAGGTTGATAGATGCAACAAATGATAGTTAATATATAGTTACAACGATCTCCATCATGGTATTCTTATTATTTTAATTAATGAGCTTACTTAACAGAATATATAATGATAGATTATCAAAGAAGGGCGCCAATTCAAGTGGACAATAAGAAATATGTCGAATATAAGAGAAAATCTGCGCGATCAGCTAAGACAAAATCTGGAAATAGCAATTCGCCACAAATATCACCCACCAAAAATCCATACCTTCAGTTGCAGGTAGATACAAGCGACCTTAATTATAATCTGTTCACTGTATTTCTTATTATTGTTCACGAAAATAATTCTCATTATAGGATAATTATAGTATTCTATCGTCAATAAAACTATCAATTGTGATTACTATTAATATAGAATTTCTCATTCAGCTATGATACGAAATGTAATGACGATTTTCATTGTTTTCTCTGGATTATCGACTGCTTCAGTTTGGTAATCAAAATCAGCCAGAAAATGATCAAAACGAGTTACAGATACTTTCAGCAAAGGGAAAACCATTGCGACAAAGGTACAATAATATTATTTAGCTATTTCTCGTTGCAAATCAATTTGTACGAATCCTAGCAACAAGTCCTTAATTTATATTAGTTCGTATATAATAACAGATTTAAAGAATTAATATATTTTTTCGACCTTTACAAACTTAAGCTGTCATAACTTATATCCTATGGTTTGTGACACTATTCTTAGATCTAATACAGAAGATAGCGATACCACAACGTATATACAACCTTTGAAGTAAGGCAGATGAATCTATTGTAATAAAATATGGCATTATTCATAAATATTTGTAGGATTTTGTAAATACCTAGTAAAATGTTATTAAATGTTAAAGAATTTTGTATCTGAGCATATAAAGTTTACAATAAGCTTGCAATGACTTCTTCCTTTGTCATAGGTCTGCTCAGTCAGATCAGAATATTCAAGATAATCCCGACGAAGAGGGTAAGATATTTGAGAAATTCTTTGATTGATAATGCATTCATTAATTGGTTACGAAACCAGTTAAAGTACTAATTCCGTATCATTGCAATACATTGAGAGGTTCTAATATTATCATTCTGAATTACTTTATTATTTTTCATACGGTTATCTTAATTGCCAAGTTTCCAGCTATGGATTAATTTTAATTTTTTTAATTTAGTTACTTTTCACATGGTAGAAGAGTCGAGAGATGATAGCTATGTAAGCCAGAAAAAGATATTAAATACGAAATAAGATTTCCCAAGCCAAATCTGTTTAACTTAGGAATATATGTTTACAGATATTGACAAAGTCTATTCTAAATTAGGATATTGATCCGGACTTGGCATTAAAGGAAGAAGTTGAAGCGTGGAATGCAACAGTTAGCAAAACGGTATTCAAGCTTCCTAGTAATAAAACTATTAATAAGTAAAAAATGCGCAAACGGATTAGTAAAAGGATAGTTTAAAGTCTTTTGAATCAGTGACGTATAAAATGTTCGTTTGTCTTATTAGATATTAAAGAAGATGAACAAGGAAGAAGTTAAACGACAAGATGTTATTTTTGGTATTTGCCTTTTTGTATACCGCTTATGATCTGTTACTTATTGTGCGACAAGATGTCAAACCTGCATTAATTTTACTTTCTAAAAAAATCGCTCTGGACAGAATTCATAAAAACGGAAAAGAATCATTTGAGAACATTGAAGATAATACAATTGGTAAATCTTTGGCGTAACTCTTACTAAGCTAATGTTATTAAATGTAGCGTCGATTTAACAGCGGTAATTACTTTTTGATACTGAACATTATACTAATCAATTTTCGTAACCTATTTTAATGCAAAATTAGATTTTTATGAGGGGAATGTTAAAGGAAGCAGGGCTACAAGAGGAGTTAGTAAGAAGAATGTTCCCTGGAATTGAAAGAATGATTGAATTAAGTAACATTTTCGTTGAAAAGCTAACCGAAAGACAGTGTCAATCAGACGTTGTAAATAGTCTCGGCGACATTATTGTTGAACATGTATGTAAATCTCACCTAATAAGTAGATCCTAGAAATAATCCAGGAGAATAAAAATAGTATAACTATATATATCGAAATTCGTCTATTAAATACTTATTATTAACATTAGAATAATTCGCTAGTGATCATTTTTAAACTTCCTCTTTTAGTTTACTAAAAATGGGGCTGAAATTGATGAGAATTATGGCAATTTCTGTAGTTATCACATACAATCACTAGCACTTTATAAGGTTTGTCAGATATGCAAAAATCTACTATGAATGCAAAGCACTTTCATTTTATATGAAAATGATGTTAATTCAACATCTTTATTCTTCAATGAATATGCTCAGGATTTATTAAAGCAAAGAAAGTTTTCAAATTTTATTAAGGTCAACGTTCGATTTTGGATTGAATTATATATGATATTATTATGGTTTATGATTTTTATTATCAAAGTATATCATGTTAATATTTTGTTTTTATCGTACCTAGAAATGTGATCGAGACCCATATTGTCGTCGATTGTCCATTCCAGAATGTTTTACTTTAGTAACTCAAAGGCTAACAAAATATCCTATACTGATACAAGCGGTTATCAAATCAACACCAGGTGACCACTTACAATTATGTCTATTAAATTAAATGATTAGATCAAAGCTAAAGAGACAGCTATCTTTACTTATTCCTATCATCTATGGATGATAACAGAACATTTTCCCGACTATGCCTACTTAAATCAAGCCTTAATTTTAGTAAAGGTAAGCTATTCAATAAGCTAAGTTTTACGGTAAACAATAAACCACCATAATCTCTTCGCATGGAGGCGTGGCAGTAATAATATTCTTGAAATATTAATTTACAAACATTATATATTTTATAGCTGAATGTTGAATTGTAATCCGCTATTATAAGATTTTAGGTTGAAGTAGCCTCTTTTATCTCACACGGCTACTGATATTTAGTATCATCTTTTTTAAAGATGGAGCACTTAAATTCTTACTTAATTAACAATAACAGTAATTGTATGGTAATTTTTATGATCGTTTTATCAACCAATTGAGGAAGTTCACTCTGCTATATTCCCAATGCGTCTGATTTTTATGAGAATGTCGTTTGATTTTCAGAGTACAGCAACTAATGTTGATGAAAGAATTCAGCGATATAAAAGCATACAGGTATAATTTTAGCACCAGTGAAAGATTTGTACATTTGCCAATGATAACCGTTTTTATTGATTTGTAGAGATTAAAACAAATTCAGAGTAAGCTGGATCAAAAAGCATTAAGTACAATTCAGGGGACCCCCATTAAGGTGATGAATATTTGTTTTAATACTTTTACAAAGATATAAATAATTAATATTATTTATTAGAGAATTACGATGACTTAAAATTAATCTAACCGAGTTTTATTTAAATTAAGCATTTATCTTTGATTGTGTTTATACTACAGAAACTAAATCTGGCTTCAGGACATTTCATGCTGCTATTAGAAGATAGCTTAATAGTAAGAGGTGCTCGCGGAAAATCTATAGGTAAGACAGCTGACCTATATTAAATCATAATGTAAGCTTTGAATTCATTTTATCCATTAATTTACGGAAACAAAGTCAATGTGAAAATTTTTTTATTGATTAAAACTAGACGTACAAGCACTATTACTAAACAATTTGATCGTACTATTACAAGAAAAAGATCAAAAATTTTATTTATTGCCCATTGAACAAAAGGTGTACATAATTATAGTAGATTTGAAATTACTAAGTGTCGATAAAAAATATATTTCCCAAGATCAATAATAAGATTAAAGCTACACTTACTGATATAAATTCTATGTATAAAGTCTCCTATAGTTCCTATTGGCAAAGCTATGATACGTGAGAATGCTGCAGGTAAAAAATAGCTCTCGTAAAGTTATCTGAAATTCTAAATACAATAATATATTACATGACAGAATATCATTCGCACGCACTTGTACCCTGATTTATTTGACATTATCAATTGATAGTCACTTTAAATAAAAGTAATTTCATACATCAAGGCATTATGCAGCTTTTAGAGAATTAATGTCTACACACCCACACTTTCCTTTTAACAAAATGTTTATATACTTTTGTTTTTCCTAATACAAATTTAGCAGTAATCACACAGCGTTTGTGTGAATATTCCTTCTTATACCTGGAGTCACTATATTTTTATGTAGCATTCGGAATGTTAATTAATTCGATAAATTTTGTCTTATATTTAAAACATGGTCATAAGCCTATTGGGATGTCTGTCGATAGTCTGATATTTCGTAAACCAATACCTTATTTTACTTACTATTGTTTACTACCTTAACTGTTGGTTCATTTTACATTTTAAAAGCTGATATTTTACTATATACTCTATAAAAATAATTTATTAATAGCCTATGAAATATAAATAGAGCTTGATAATTTCAAATAGCTTCAATATCATACTAAATATTAAAAATGCAATGTAAATTAACATGTCATATCATGTAATAAGTGTTAAATCAATTAAGTTATGTCCTTCTTTCAACATAGATCCTAAAGCTATTTACATGGTATATAATAGTGATCAAAAGCCACAAATGTACGAATTGATATGTCGATCAGAATCTCAGAAGAAGGGGTAAATGTATTTTCTTAAAAGTAATCAACTAATAGAAATACAGTACGTAAGATATGTGGCAGCATGGTAAAACCGAATTTATTGTTACAGTTGGATTCAACAAATTAATAACGCAGTACAGAAAGCTACTCCAATTGAAGACAGTCTAATAAATGATGATGGCATAGGCTAGTATTTTTTTACAAAATTCCTATGAGTAGTTGGTGTGGAGATATTGCACCATCAACTCTATTTATTCACATACGGTACCGTATTCTATTGATCTTATAATTCTAAATCAATGAAATAGATGGTTGCATTGATGATCAATCAGAAAACTCCAGCTTGTTATCACCGTTTGACCAACTGCTAGGTAATTTTTTCTGAAGTATAGTGTTAGATATTTTTGACATGCGATACATCATCCCGCTGCGGTTATTAATACGCTATTCAATGGAGAACTTGAAGAAATAATTGTCGGGAAAGAGTTTTCCCAACAGATACTATTTGCTAATAATAGCTTGCAGGATAAGTCGTAAATATAGTATTTCTCTCTTGACTACTCTAGAGCAATCCAAAATCGTTGACGAACAAATCATTAAATTGATTGCGGAAAGAGAAAAAGTATTTCAAGAAATGTTTAATGCATTTACTCCTGAAGATGAAGAACAAAAGGTATGAATTAATTCAATTGATAAAAACGTAAACTAAATAATTTACTATTAGCTTTGAGCACAAGTTACAGAACGTATTTCAATTTCATAGTACTATAATGAAATGACCTTCCTAGTATTGAGTATTTACTAAATTTGATACATGCATCATAACAATTCTTTTATAGTTTAATATATAACTGACAGTTGTTTGAAATGTACTCTTGATTTTTATTAAGGATAAAATTAGAAAAGAATACGAAAAACTGGACTCGTAAGTAGAAAACGATATCAATCTGGAAGTTTTGATATTTCTAATATTATACTCGTTTAATCTAGTAAATTATTGATCATGATACTGGAAATGTATTGTTTTTGCCGGAACTATGCAATATGTTCTATGGTAAATCTACGATATAAATAGTTCTTTATTGAGTGTGATTATTTTGCTTTTTCTTAATCCATGTATATCCAGGAAACTTTTGGAAAGAACAATTGAAGAGTGTAAGTTAATGTAAAGCACTTTTCATGATAATATCAAATATCGTGCTTATATAGATATTACCATTACTTGTCACTGTAGCCCCTAGACTTAAGACGAAAAGCAGTGTATACTAGTAGATTATATCATAACAGTAGCTATTTTTAAGATTTGGCTATAGCGCAATTAATTTTCGATTTCTTATGTATGACAAAAATGATAGCCTTCAGTATGCTAGCTGCGGTATCTTCAGGGAAGCTAATTAAAACACCACAATCTATGCCGAAAAGAACCGAAACATTTCACGGTTTTGACCACTCATCAAGAAGACGTATGACGGATGTAAGCATAAAAGATCGACGTGCCTAGCTGTTAATGCTAAGGAATTTTTTCGAATTAATTACCTCTAAAATTCAAATTATCTACATATTATGCCATTAATTGATAATATTTGAATATTTCACTTTCTAGCCTGATTTACGGCCAATTGCTATTAGACGTAGGAAAACGATGGATAGTAAAGATGAAACAGATAGTTTTATAATTGAAAAGTCTGATTCACAAGGTCACTAAGTACCTTACTCATTGACATGTCAATTTTAATTTATTTCTCTATCACTAATTACCTATATAAGCTAAATATAGTTCAATTATATTAAAGCTATAGCGCTAATATAGATTCTAGCACCGGTACCTATTATTCAGCTAAGAGTATGGTCTATATATACTTTTAGTCTAGATAAAGACTGAGCTAGTTCTCTAAGCAAATTATGTAGGGAGTTATAGGACAATAATTACAGTATATAATTTAATGAGGATTTATCTGTAATCAATGACCTTAATATTATGGATAGAACGAACTAGACCTCTAGAAAAATTGCTTAATATATAATAGAAAAGCAATTACCATTTTATGATGTAAAGCTATCTTGTCAGTATGAGAAAACAAAATGTTCGAAGTACGCGTACAGTATAATTAGTGACTGTGTTTTCTTAAATAGATTCTTCCTCAATCCCTTCATCAATAGCAACTACGCCATGTAACTTATCGCCTGCAGCCAGCGAACGGGTAATAAAGTACAGTAATCTTTAGATTGCTAATTGTGGGTATATCTGATTAATTGTATCAGATTGTATTTTCTCACTCATTCATTACGATGCCAGCGTAATGTCGATGTTTTCTTTCACAAGCTTATATTTATTTGTAATCAGATATTTGTTCGTTATTGAATTTAATACAGTTATATTTAACTAAAGCAGTAAAGAGCCGACTAGAGACTTCTACTTTTAATAAGTTTCAGTGTAGGTTGAGGACTTTAGTTGTATTAAGATAGGTTAATAGTCTGTATTAAATTGTTAAGAATCCTATGAGAGTTATATGTTTTAAATTTTTTCTACTTTATCATATATAAAGTAAGGTGAAGATTTAGAGATATTTAATTAGATCGCAGATAATTTTCTAGAATTATTGCCATTAATTGTAACAGCTTTTTAATTACTCGAAACAAATAGCCAACATTGAAATCGTTTTTTGTATATTCATTTAGCACCTATATAGTGCAGTGACATTAAGTGAATGTATCAACAGATTATTGGTAAGGTTATACTTAATCTAAAATTAATTTATTTGCATACATTTTTAACTTAATCATTTAATCATATTTACTCTTAGCTAATTACAAGTCAGAAGGACAACGAAATTGAAAGGTTTGTGAGACGGATCAATTTATCATTATATCGTAAATTAGATAGTTTAGACGAAGTTGTAATTTATCAAAACTGTGAGTAGTGCCTAAAAAATTTGATATTAACAGTTTAAAAGGAAAGATTAGCTGCAGTGATAATAAGATCAAAGATTTAGATGAGCAGTTAAGGATGAAAGATCAAAAAATAAAAGAAATGAATACGACGATTTCGAATAATGTTCAAAAACCAAGCTTATCCTTACAAGAAGTAATAAGGAAACAACAAACACAAATTGTTGAACTACAAATGGACCAAAAGGAATGGGAAGATCATCAAGCTCTTATTAGTCGGCAGGAAGAGAAAATTAAAGAACAACAAGATAATATAAACGAATGGAAAGAAAAGTACGAGCAACTGCAAGATGAACTCTCTAAGAAGCCAATTCGTCCCGTTATACCAGAAATAATCAAGACTGGAAATGTACCTGATAATAATAAGGTTATCACTAGGAAACATTCAGCGCCGTTAAGCTACAATGCTGTTAAAAGAGCGACTAACTTGAATACTTCGCGTCGGCATTCTACTTTTATTCCGTCACCTTGCTTACCTAGAGCTAAAATAATCCCAAATCAGCCAATTTCCACATTAAATGATCGAAATAATTTATCAACACAAGGTACGGAATTCTTGTCTACTTCTTTACCAAATACTTCTTCAATTTCTGCAATATCTGGGCCTACAGTGGTTGATAAAGACGTAGAAGAAAATAGCTCGTTTTCTGATGACGAAGTAAATAAAGAGAATGATAGTGAAGGGCTGTCAGATTCGGAAATGATATTTTTCTAGTCGAAATTTTGCATCCATTAGAAAAAGGTTCACAAATGTTTAGTAGGTTTAATAAGGTTTGCACGTTAAGCTTTTCAATGAAATATTTGAGCTTTGGTATTACTGAAATTAAGAATTTCTTATGACTTTTCTTTAGCTAAAAATGAAAATTTATAGGAACGTAAATTAATGTTCTTCTATTTAAAGCATGGAATTCCTTATCAAAAACAAGCGAAATTGTTCGATTGTAATATGGCATTCGTCAGTTCACTTGAAATTTTAATGATTCACTTTAGTTACTTACTGTATTGAGTACATTGTTCCTATAGAAATGTGAAGGCAATAGCAATTACTTGTCACTTTTCAAAGATACGTATATCCATTACATATTAGAATTATTTATGATGATTCAATTTTTGATTATCATTCTGATTTAGGAATGTAATGACTGGTTTAAATAGTTGATTCCTTCACTATATTAACGCTAATTTGTATGAATTCAATTGTACACGAACTTTAATTTTATCAACACTGTCTTGGAATATTTGCCGAATGCGTCCTATAGTTGATGCTATAAATTGCTAATAATCATAGCTTATGTAAATATTTTAGCGATCCCTGAGTTCTCTGTTTACTCTTTATCATTTGCAATCATGGTAAAAGTATAATATACCGTAGTATTTGTTACGAAAGTCTGTTAAAACAGTCCATCATACGCTTACATCCTCGTAGCTATCATCTTTCCTTTAGGATTGAGTTAGCCTATAGATACAATACGAATTAACATCTCTTTAACATTTAATCATCTTTTCAGATTAGTAAAATTCTGGGATTTCAATTTTGCATCTTTATTATACTTTTGTTGTTACTTTACTAAAGCATGAACTACTTTTGAATGCGACTGTATGCACCAAGTAATAGCATGTGGAAAGGGTAAATTGCAAATAGAAACTACGTAACACAGGCAATATGTCGCTTTTCCGTCAAAATTTTAAATAATTTTAGGAGAACAGTAAATAATGTGCTATGGGACTATATTTAAAATTGTTCAACTTTTTGAGATGTAAATGTTTTTGAGTAATGTTCTTATAAATAAATAATATGCTTACGCGTGTATAAGATTTGCAAGACATTGTATTGATGAGATCATTATCGTGTTTCTATTTTTTTTTTTTTACGACAAGATCGGTGAACTTATTTACCGGTATACATTACTATCATAGAAATATAAAAAAAATTTAATTTTTTATATAATTGCTGTAGTGTAGTATCAAGATATCGAGGAGTAAAATCCAATAGTACAACTGTTAAATAACTGTACTGTATAAATGATATTAGAATTACGATCAGAAAAAGGTTCGGTTTGGGTAAGTTTTTACGGGACTTAATATAGTTCTTATACTGTATTTGGCATAGAGATTATAGTCAAAGTACTGTACAGTAGGTGGTCCATTAATTTAAAGGGTTAAAAGAGTTGCGCATACGCTGTGAAGAGAAAAGGTTAATCTGATCCGCCCTAAATTATACAGTTACTATACAGTAGTCCATACTACAGGTGGTATTGTACTGACCAGTATAGAACAAAAAATGTACTACTGTTTGTCAATGCAAAAGCAGTACTTTTCTTTGGAAGCCCCCCACAGCTTGATATTTAAAAGTGTTATTAAATGCTGAACATTTAGAGCATTGTATTACTTGTAATAATATAATTGATAACATATACAAGGTAAGTGAAATCTGTAGAGAAAGCCTTTGGTGAATTTTAACTGTTGGTCATGGTGTACAGTACTGTACGTTTGTACACTGTATACTGTAGACTGTACAGCACAGTACGGACCACTACAGTATTTCATACTGTAGGGATGACCACACCTACTGTTCTGTACAGTACACCAGTCCATACTGTACTGTATACTTTACCAAAATTAAAATTTTAAGGCATTTACTTTGAATTTGGCTAATGTTTCACGAATACAGATCACTAAAACCTTAAGCAATTGACATTTGATGCTTTTTTTAATATACTGTATACTGCATTATTGAGCTGTATTTTTTCTTTGAAATTTCGAATACGGAACCGTCAGTAATTAGTACAGTGTACAGTACAAGTCACGCTGAAATAGTGGTCTTTTTTGTGGCTGAGCACTACCGTAGTCAGACTGTGATTCTACAGTACTGTACACTGTAGTCTTTCTCTTGACTTCAGCACTTTATATGGAAGTGACGCAGACGCCAGGCCCTACAGTACTTACCAAAATTACAATTTGAAGGTATTTACTTTGAATTTGGCTAATGTTTTACCAATAAAGATCACTCAACCTTAAGCAATTGGCACTTGATGCTTTTTTTAATATTGAGTGCATTATTGAGTTGTATTTTTTCTTTGAAATTTCCAATCCAAACCATCAGTTGCTACAGTACAGTATACAGTACAGTACTGTACTATAGAGGTCTTTTTTGTGGTTAAGCAGCAACAGTCAGACCGTGGCTTAAAGTCCGGCATACTGTCTGTGGCTCTACAGTACTGTACACACTATACACTGTAGTCTTTCTCTTGACTTCATTACTTGACTGTAGTATAGGGAAGTGGGCAGGCGCAGACGGCGAGCCTTAGAACGGCAAGTGACAGTAAAAAATAATAGCAAAGACGATCTTTTTTCTTGTCATTTTACTGTACCATACCACTTGGATCGCACACCATACTATGGAAAATTTTGATGCATGGTGGGAATGAATGATGTCACAGTGCGTCACACGTGACCACCGTACTGTACTGTACAAATGGACATTGTTCAGTACAGTACAGTACATTACTGCCTCCAATGATACTGTAGAAATGGAATAAATACTGTAGAAACGCATAGGTCAAAAATAAAAACAAACAATAACACTGTTGGTTTTCGCCCCGTCACTTGCCTTGTTTTCATACAAATTGACTAGAAAGTACAGTATAGTCCGATAGTCGACACCGTGCACTATACTGTAGTACTGTGGTATTGCTCCATGGTCACCTATTTTATCCTGCTAGTGACAATACTGTATACTAGAGTATAGTAATCGTTTGCAAATTAATTCAGTTACTGCTAGAAAAGGAAAAGTCTTGACTTGCAATATCTTCATTTAATCGATAGAAGTTGGAAATCATTTTATTGTTGATTTAAAAACTTGTCCAATCGATTTTTTGGTTCGCCCATGGTTATTTTAAGTGCTCTTGGCCTTCCGGTAAGTAGTAGCAATGATAATCCCATGGTATTTGAAGGTTGTAATGCTTAGCGCTATTTTTGTTCCACTCGTTTGTAATGCAAGCCAAACTGTCAATCGTAGAATAGCGTAAGAATGGACGATATCCATGTTCACACTATGTCGTATGTATGCGTATTTCTTGCAAGTAACACATTGTGCTGAAATAGGTTTAGGTGTGTTATTCTATCTACGATATTGATCTAGGGTAGAAATAGCTTTCAATGGTGTCTGCTACATGGATAACTTCCCGTTACAAATGCTTCTTGACTATCGCCTCTATCGTACTGTATTTATTCTTTCTTGATATCATCGATTGTCAATTTTTCTTTGTAAAAGGAACCACTGCAGTTGCAATACATTTGTGGTCCTTTTAATACTTGGCAACGTCTTGCATTTCTGTTATCCAGTATTCATTTATTGATAGATGTATTAACGCACATCACCTGTCCAATTTTTCGTCGCTACAAGATTCTCATACTGTAGTCGAAAGACGCGTAGAAACCGGCTAAATTGATACAAAAACAAGTTGTAGACATTTCATTTCAACTTTAGCTTTCAGTGGTAAACCACCTTCATAGACAGTATAGTACTGCTGATGGAACTTCGATATATCCAACTCAAAGTGGAAACGTTTCCCAATGTTCTTTTAGCTTCGATAGAGGATTACTGCTACTAACATAGAGGCACATATTTCCTCTTATATCAAGTCGAGATATCGAAACCTTAAAATAAGATGATGATGATGATGGCAGCCAGATCAGTCATTATTACTTCCATTGAATTAATCAGCGTGAAACCATCCGGTCTCCTCTGACACATACTGGAGACAGTATAGTTTTAGTGCATACCGCACTGTACAGTATGGTGCGATAGAGGAGCAATAAAGGATTTATGACGATACTGCTAATCGTTCCATGGTTATGGTTTTTTGGGGGGGTTTCATTTATTGATTGATTAAGGCAAACTCGATCATGTTCTCTACATTATCATCAGTTTGTATGATGTGGAGTATAGTTTAGTTAAGTGGATTTGCTTGACCATAATTAATGGTGAATTTACCTTGGTGGAAATTCTAGGAGAGTTGCCGGATCCCCACGTGATGTGTACTGTAGCGTACAAATAAAGTAAATAAAAAGAAATTTGTCCTGTCTAGTATACAGTATGTAGAAATGGCAATGTTGATACAGTCTGCCTACACCAGGTTGGCGTAATTTGTACCAGGTACAGTGGATCCCTTCTTAATTTGGATAGGTTGAACACCATTTTTCTATCGGTGAAAATATGTCCGATACAATAGGGTAGGATTTGGTCAATGACCCCCCGTTACTGGAGTCATTACAAATCAAAATCTCCTTTGCAAGATAGTATACTGTTGTAGCCGGTAGCGATTGGCTTCAACAAGTGTAAAAGCCATTTCATTCTACGACATTGCTTTGGCGTGATGATAAAGGAGAGAGTACAGAAGTGGACACAACCGATGATGATCATTATTTTTGTACATTGTTTTTATGAGTATTTTAATGATCACAGAAAGGACTATCAGTTGTTCTTTTCTGCTAGAAAGAGAAATTGTCGCTTTTATGCAGGATATGACTCCATTTTCTACTGTACAGTACTTGAATTTATTGTGTCTCTGCGGTGAAATAGATCCCCGATTTCAGTACCACTGTAGTCGTTATTTCGGCTGGATCGTTGGCGCGGATACAATGTGAGTGGAACATACACTGAGTAAACATTTAGGACAGTAGGTACCGAACGTTGATCATTTGTACCCGTTAGTGCATAATTGCGCAGTCATGCTCATAGTGAAGGTACTCTTGTTACGCTAGCAAAAGCCGGCATTTACCCAGGGTGTATTTGGAAAGGGAACACCTTATACTGTAATGGTAGAAAATGATCTGCCAAGATTACCATCATTATTGGTCTTACTGAAGTAGAAAGACTATTTATAATTAGTCATCATGTAAAATGACCAAGATCGATACTCTTTCACTACTCTGTACACGAACTGACTATCATTATTGGCCTTACTGAAGTACAAAGACTATTTATAATTAGTCATCATGTAAAATGACCAAGATCGATACTCTTTCACTACTCTGTACACGAACTGACTATCATTATTCGCCTTACTGAAGTACAAAGACTATTTATAATTAGTCATCATGTAAAATGACCAAGATCGATACTCTTTCACTACTCTGTACACGAACTGACTATCATTATTCGCCTTACTGAAGTACAAAGACTGTTATAGTTTATCATCATATAAAATGGCCAAGATCCATACTCTTGTTCATTACTCACTACGTTAACTTACCATCATTATTCGCCTTACTGTAGTATAAAGACTACTATAATTAGTCATCACGTAAAATGGCTAAGATCCATACTCTTGTTCACTACTCCGTACGTTAACTTACCATCATTATTGGCCTTACAGGCCCTTACTGAAGTATAAAGACTGTTATAATTAGTCATCATGTAAAGTGGCCAAGATCCATACTCTTGTTCACTACTCCCTACGTTAACTTACCATCATTATTGGCCTTACAGGCCCTTACTGAAGTATAAAGACTATTATAATTAGTCATCATGTAAAATGGCCAACATCCATACTCTTGTTCACTACTCCGTACGTTAACTTACCGTCATTATTGGCCTTACTTATGTATAAAGACTACAATTAGTCACCATGTCAAATTTGAAGCCTTAAATTGCACGGATGACGATGATCTAATATTTGCCTACGGCGTTGTACAGTAGATTCGGATCAATTCGATTAGACGGACCTTCTACTGTATACTCTGCTATAGCATACGTATCTACTGCACAATAGTGTATATATATTGTCATCAAAACACAGTGATCTGGTAAAGAAGCTGTAGCATATAGTGTCCCATACAAGACTTTTGTTTCAATACAGTCGTTCAAGCCATGGAACACTAATAAAAAGTATCCCAGTCTGTACTTGCAGAGCAAGTAAAAGAAAAGCGGGATCAAGTCGATTAGACGTCGGTCTAGCAGAGTATAGTTCAACTTATACAATTGACGGCATGGTATATTATACACTCTGGCAGATACGCATAGATACTATTGATAATATAATTAATCAATAAGCGTATACTGTACTGTAGAACCAGACCGTGACAGCTAAGACTTGCGAATGCGCACGTAAAGCCAGCAAAAGGTATATTAACGCTTAATTTTAGTATCATACAACGTTCTTGCAATGGCGTGATCATACTACGCAGATACTGGCTGTTGGTTGATTAATACTAGTGTTGGCATGTAAACGAAACGGCATAGACTCAAAAGATACATGATTCAATTAAAATCAACATATGTACTGAAAAGGTTTTTGCTTCAAATAGAAATTACTTTTGTAATTCTTATCAATACTGTTTGTATTTATCATTAGGGGCCTGAACAGCGTATTCTGCGCCTAAGGGTTGATCGAGCCCAAAAGCTAGCCAAGAAGGACATTTTCGGTTTGAGGTACCACGCAGTTGATCTCAATCGAATTTAAATTGATTGTCGTGATGAGTAGGTACAGTTAATTAATATAACAACTATGATGGTCTTATAGTGATCCATATGTAAAGATAAAGCTGTTAAAGGGAAGTAATGACACAGTGATGGCTACTGTTCAGACTAAAACCAGAAAGAAGGTATCTTTATAAAAGCTATTCTTCTAAAGTAACATCATCACTTGTACTGAAATAGAGATAGAACAGTGTACAAGTTCTTTCTACTGTACTAAACCCTATCACGTAGTAAACTATCTTTCTCGTTTATGACATTAAACTTTTTCTTTCCTCCGTCTCTCTGCTTTCAAATAGACATTAAATCCTACCTGGAATGAAGAATTCACATTCTACGTAAGTTTAACCTTCAGCATATCTCTTTATAATATCTTAAACCAGCCACAAATCGCATTTGTAATTATTCAAATAATGTTTTCAATCGTAGGTTAACTTTGAGGATTCTTACTCTATCAGGATGGAAGTATTTGATGAAAATAGATTGGTAATGTAGCTGTTTCAGTTTTGATATGCTATTTGTTAGTAAAGTCGAACAACATTGTAATATCTGATTTACAATATAACACCAGACAAGGGATGACTTTCTAGGCATGGTTGGCTATGAAATTAGCCGTGAAAGAATACAGGTACAACGCTGCATGTTATTACATTCTCATTTTAACCTGGAATATGATAATTGCTTTTTATAAAACTTTTAGCGACGAGCTTACGTTTGCATCGAATATGTTATTTATAGATGAATTAACGCAATTTTTCTTATAGAATGTTGAATCCAATAATCAATTACCGACGGAAAGTCAAAAGTTAAGGAAAAGGAGGTATTGATATTAAATTAATCATTTATCAAATCAAAGAATGACGCTTATGGTTATATATGGAGCAATTACATATACAGCATACTGTAAAGTAGTATTATATATAGAACGATTAAAAGTCGTACTGTAGAATTACAGTTGAAAATGATTAACGTTCTAATTATGTAATTATCATTTTAAGCTAATCTTACATCTTATATGGATAATCCTTTAGCTAAACCATAAGTGAAGTAATCTAGCAAATGTATAAATACCTTCATAAATTTATTAATAAACGATTCTCAATTGAACCTACACCGTTTACCACGAACATAATACTTTTGATAATAGCTGCATAAATTTTTACTAGAATGAAATAATCGGTTATTAGCTTTGCATACAAGGAGTAGTATACATACGTACGCACTTGAATTTTATCATATGGTATTTTAAAGTGTCATCCAATCCTATCGGATTATAGTTCTCGATCGAGGGTCAGAGGTGATCTCTTCTTTGGAATTGGCATAGTTGCACTGAATGGTGAACAGGAAGAAACTACAGAAGGTAGTGCAATTTTAGAATCCATTAAATTTATAGATAATATTATGCACTCATTTTTCGCTTATTTACCCAAATCTGATAGCTGTGGATTCTGCTAGCATTATTCCAGTAAGTAAACTTATTGTTTAATCGCAATAGTTATGTAGAAATTTTAGAGTTGTGGTCGCTTCGTTCCCTTAAAAAATATGCTTTATTTTGTTTAGGACGTGGCAAGCGTACCTACTGTCGAAGGTTCCGTATCGAATAGTGAATCGCTACCTCCATTGCCATCTGGATGGGAGGAACGAACCGTAAGTACTACGTATTGCATTGTGACTACTATCTACATTTAGGAAAAACTATTTATCTTCACAATTTTATCGTTATAATTTAGGATGCAAACGGGCGTTTATATTACGTAAATCATATCCGCCGAACAACGCAGTGGGATCGACCAAGTGTTAGGTCAGTTGTTCTGACATACTGCATAAAATTGTGCAATCTAGAGAAATCATTGACTAATATATTATCAATTTCAGTGCCTCGGAAGATCCAACACGACGTATTCAGAGCCAAAGTTCTACGCCCGATCCTAATACGACGATGACACGAAACTTCCTGAACAGACATCACATCAGCGAAGATCAAACGGAAAGCAATCGAACTGTTAGTTGAAATAAATACCAAAAGACTTGTGTGAAAATATAAAGCTATGTATTAAATTAATATTGAATCACTGATAATTTAATGTAGGAAAATGAAGCCTTACCTCCTGGTTGGGAAAGGAGGACAGTAAGTAATATAAGATACCATAATTAAATTTTTCTAATAGTAACGTCATAACAATTGATCTTTCAGACCGAAAGTGATAGAGTATTCTATGTAAATCATATGAGGCGCATAACGCAGTGGGAACCACCTTCTTCGTAAGTTCATTATTTATACAGAACATTACCTTAAAAATTAGCCAGTGATTTAGTTACGGTACATTGTTTTAAGTATATCATATAAAGCTAATTTGTAATTATAATTGATTAAAATTCCTAATATATCGATAATTAATATAAGTAATGACTATCGTGCGGCTGGTATGGAACAACCTGCACCATCGCAACCTAGTCCTGAGATACCAGTGCCTGTGCAACCAACTCCTATAACAGTCTCTCCTACTAATACTACGAACAGTAATGGTGTCAGTCCACAACAGGTACAGCAATTAACTCAGTATTGCTATCCCTACGTCAATGCTGTGAAGTAGTTTATTGAATAAGTTTATATTACTATTAATTAAATGTTGTTTAGGCTCAGCGCAATAAGGCAAATACACCGCCTTCCAAGCCTCCTTCGGAAGAAGTAAACAAAAATCCAGTTTTTTATTTAACAATGCTTCGCTATAATTATAGTAGTTTTAATGATAATCTTTGCCATTAACGTAGTCATCGAACTCTAAACTATCGGAACAGCCCTTACCACATGGTTGGGAAATGATGTTTACGGAGCAAGGACGGCCTTTCTTCGTAGATCATAACACGAAGACTACAAGTTGGGTAAGCGTTTTTAAGTTCATTTCGGATTTAACTTAAATATAATTTAATTCTCGATTCTTGTGCTTGCATAGAATGATCCAAGAGTTACTGGTCAAACTGCGCTTGGTCCTCTACCGGTCAGTAAGTTAATTCAGAACATAACTACCAATTAATTTTTAATCTTGATATTTTTTGTACCCTATAGCCGAATTGGGAGATGCGTTATAGCAATGGTCGTCCTTTCTACATTGATCATAGTATGTTAATATATGATTTGAAATATGTAGAAACAATAATTGATTATATCATATTAAGAGTTATTCATCATGTCTATTTATTATCAACTAATTAATTTTGCAGAAAGTCGGAAAACTCAGTGGGAAGATCCCAGATTAACGGTTATTACAACTTTTAATTATTCTAATAAATGAAAATTAGCTAGTTTTCAACTGTTTCTTAATTAGTTTGAGAACTAATAATTTAAATTTTGGTACTACAGGTCATGCCTTACTCTCGTGACTATAAAGCAAAGTATGACACTTTCAGACAATGGATGAAAGTCCCGGTAAGACTATTAATCATTATATAATTGCTTAATATACTGTATGTGGTTATGTTAAACTTCGTTTAGCGTACTAATATTTGAATGTCGTAACTTTTTCGCTAGGACAATCTACCAAATAAGTTTGACATCCGAGTCAAGAGAAGTCATATACTAGAAGATTCTTTCCGATCTATCTCAGCTGTAAAGAAACCCGATTTGTTGAAAACTAGACTTTGGATTGAATTTGATCAAGAATCTGGTCTTGATTACGGCGGCTTAGCTAGGTATGCTAATTCTATTCATTGGTTAAGATTCTAATAAAAGTAGGAATCTTGTTGTAGAAATTAAGTTAGCTACATTTATTCGGTTCTAACACTTCTTTCTTATTCAGAGAATGGTTTTATTTACTTTCTCATGAAATATTTAATCCTTACTATGGCCTGTTTGAATACTCGGCAAAGTATTTTTTCTTAATTTTTAAAAACTTTTGATTTCCAAACTTGATGACTTTATTATCTTGACGTTTAGTGACAATTACACTCTCCAAATCAATCCTAATTCTGGCTTATGCAATGAGAATCATTTGGCGTACTTCAAATTTGCTGGAAGAGTTGCAGGGATGGCAGTATTTCATGGAAAGCTATTAGATGGTATAATATTGCATATTGCTTTTTGATACACAGATCACTTTGTGTTCTAAAGTGCTTTGATAATTTGTATCCACTTAAAGCATTCTTCATCGCTCCTTTTTACAAAATGATGCTTGGTAAGCCTATAACACTGGATGATATGGAAGCAGTTGTAAGTTTTATTACTAAATATGAAGATATCTACTCAGTAACATTTTTATATATCATTTTTCACACGACTGATTGCAAACTATTAATTAGGATACTGAGTATTATAACAGCCTGCAATATATCATGGAAAATGATCCGAGTGAACTTGATCTTTTATTCTCAGTTGATGAGGAGACACTTGGAAAGGTTTAGGAAGTTTTAATACTATAAAAAACTTAGCTCTCTTTTCAACTAAGTTAGATTTTATATTTACTATTGTATTTTATTGGATACAATAAAGGTTAATCAAATAGATTTGAAACCTAATGGTAAAGATATTCCTGTCACAGAAAAGAACAAAAAAGAATACATAGAGTAATACACAAATGTTGACTTTAATTGTAAAATATTATTAAGTAACTTCCTAATTAAACAATGATTATTATATACAGTCTCGTGATCAAATGGAGATTCGCAAGTAGGATAAAATCTCAAATGGATAAATTTTTGGAGGTAATTGCACAAGCAATAGATGGAAAGGTGTTTACTTTTACTCACGAAAGTTCTTATTATTAGGGATTTAGAGAATTAGTATCTTTAGAAAGGTTAAGAATTTTTGATGAAAGAGAAATCGAGGTAACATAACTATCTGTGAAAGGGTCATATCGTTCATTGTAAAGTAAAATTATTTATCTCGATTTGTAGCTGTTAATGTGTGGTATGGGAGATATTGACGTTCATGATTGGCGTAGAAACACAAACTACAAGAATGGCTATGGTGATCAGCATTTAGTAATACAGTGGTTCTGGCAGGTTAATGAAATAATTAAGCTAGTGCTATAATGTAGAGTGATTCTCCTTTTAACATTTAATTGTAATTATTTATAGGTTGTTTACGCTTTGGAGAAGGAGTCTCGCTTAAGACTGCTTCAGTTTGTTACTGGTACATCTCGTGTTCCTATGAATGGTTTTAGCGAATTATATGGTATGTCATCTATCGATGGATTAGAAATATTAAGTATAATAAGTACTTTTTTCTAATTTGTCAATAAGCGAATATCATAAGCCATTGAGATTAAAGTTACGATGTTATAAAAATTTACCAAAGATAAATATTTTTCATTGCTTGATCATATTTTGTACAAAATTTCAACATTAGGAAGTAATGGGCCTCAACGGTTTACGATCGAAAGATGGGGCAAATTTGATCAACTACCTCGCGCTCATACATGGTTAGAAGTTATCAAATCAATGTCTTCTTTATTTTCTTCTGGAAAAAATTTGAACTAACTTTGTTTGCATATTTTTAGCTTTAATCGCATTGATTTACCGGAATATAAAAGTTATCAAGACTTACATGATAAGTTAATTATGGCCATCGAATGTACACAAGGTTATGAAGGAGTAGATTAAAGTTGTTGCAGTCAGCATATCAGTTAATTCATCCTTTCATTCATAAGAAATTGGAATGATACAAAAGCATGTCATTGTCGAAATAGCTTTACCAAATCCCGAATGTCAAAGAATGCTACGTTTTTTCAGGGCTAAATTATACTTATTTACACATATCAGCTTAATCGGATTAACTTGTACTATAACTTTTATATCAGCCTAGTATCTCTTCATGTAAAATATTTTTTACGTCACTTGCTTTTGCATATCGCTTACCATATTTTGAAAGACAAAAAGTCATTTCTAACGCTACGGAAATCAGTTTATATTGCCAATAACTTCTATTGGAGGATATCTATGTTAGTAAAATAAGTAATATATGATTGTTACAATTTTACAGTGAACGCTATACAAATTGCTATCATATCAATAATACGAAACGATAGTGCACAACGAGCAAGTAATGGTTAAATTAGACTTTTATTGACGTAGATCTTCTAGATTTATTAGTTACCACGCCACTAGGAGCAGATTTATTTACCCAATTTAATTCAGTTTTTGAGCAGCTTTTCCCCATTGTATTGCGATAACCGTTGACGGTACATCCTGTAACTTGTTCATGTCCTTCTTCTGTATTTTCAATGGTATGATATCGAAATTGAACTGTACTGGATGTACCTGTTAATATCCTTGTGGTATTAATTTATATTGCTTTATTAGTTGGGGAGAAAATTTCCGATATTTCAGTTGACTACATGTAAGAATTTTCGTTTGCATTGTACGTATTATAATATCGACACGACATGTTCATAACCTTAACAGATTTAATCTCCTTCAATATAATTTCTAGTGTTCGGGTGAACTAATGTACTGTACAGGATATCTGTTTTGCAGATAATATCAATACGAAAGGCCAAACTTTTAATGGATAAAAATAATATGTCAGTAACTTTTACGCTAAATCATACCTACACTGATACTTCATATTGCAGGTACATAAAAATACGCCATTTAAGCTGTTGATACACTAGTCTGTTATAACAAGGTTATTTTATGCTTTAATCGGTGTTTACGATAGATAGCTTTGATGAATAATTTTGGCCATGCTACATAAAATAAAACAAACGAACTATTATAATTCTATGTATACGCGTATATGATTAATTGATTAATAAATATTCGTATACCGTAGTTGAAAAATAACCAGTATAGACTCGTCCCCGCTCGGCGCTCGCCTTGTACGTTGATAGCGAGGGATATACCGTACTAGTAATTATAAACACCGCGCAAATATACTGCTGCGGTTGCGGGCAATCATCTGGTGCTATTTTAGCAAATATTGACGGTACAGTCGGTACTTATATCATACTGGTTACATCGCACAATCTCAGAACTCTCAATATTTGCTGCTACTATACAGTACTGTATGTCATGGACTACCACTTCTACTATACAGTATATCTAGTACTTACGAGTACAGTACATGCCCACTACGATATCTGATTTTTGTTTTAAAAATATGGCACAGTGCAGTACACTAGTAGTGATAGTGGTAAGACAAATACTTAATGTTAGTAGTTCTAGAGGTATCTAGTAGAAGTCCGGTCTACTTTTGCTACTAGTGAATATTGCATCGGAGTGGCATGTTGGTGTAAGGACTACTGCACACAAATAGACAAATAAAGCACTATTTGACTGCAAATGAAAAATTTTTGAAAATAAAACGTTTGCGTCAATAGAGGACTTCGACCGAAAAACAATGGCGTCCGTGTAAAAATGTTCATCGGCTGAATTTAGAGCTGGCTGTTACTTCTGCACGAAACTTGTAACAGTTCAATGGCCCACTCCGTAATCTGTTAAATATTTCCATGTATCATATAAACAGGGTAATAAAGCTCATAAGTTTGGGAGTACTATCTATAGATATTAAATAAGATGATCAATATTTTCAGATTTTAACAGCTTTTAGACCAGGATTTTGGATCATGAATTTACGTTGTTGCACTTTGGCTGACCGCTGCCTTTTACAGTACTGGACACTGTACACTGTACGTACTGTACTGTACATTCTGCCTTCAGCAAGGATCTTCATTTCATCATCTCGGTCCGTGGCAGGTCGGAACTCGGAAATTAGATTCTTCTCCTTCAAAATTTATTCTAATTTGTAACAAGATTGGGAGGGCTAAAGTACCTTGTAAAGATGGTACTACCGATCATCATGGGATTAGCTCGCACTTATGCTCCAATAATAGTTTTCCCTGCTGCTCTTGTGATCGGCTTGGTAGGATATAACATCGAAAATTTATTTGGTGACAAGTCAAATAGGGCTGCTATTGCACAAGAGAGTGCAGTCGAGGAAAGAGAAGAGCGACTACTCAATCGGATCACGGTTGAAGATTGCGAAAAGAGTGATAAAGAGAAGGTGAAATTTCGTCGAGCCGTACTGGAGCGTAATTAAACTGACTCATTAGTTATTTGTCGCAAATACATGTTCAATCAACATCAATACATGTCCACTATCTTTTGTATAGAACTTAAAGCGACATCGAGTATGATTGCATCATGACTGAAAATAAGTAAATTAATAATATTTATACCATACGAGTAGAGTACTAAAGCATCCCATATAGACAGCAATGTGCCTGGAACTTGTATTATGCTGCTATAGTTCGTGCAATTATCAACCAATAGAATAACATGACCATCATGACACAGTATAAAATGTTGTAAAATTAGTCTGCTTTTGGTAGTATTCATGCCAGACGCGATATGCAAGCACGTCTACTCGTATTGTACAGTCGCAATATGCAAACGCTACAAAATTGCTAACTGATCATACCAGTAGTGCTTGCGATACCGAAAAAAAGTTATTTGAGGGAAAATCAATATTTCAGATTCTTTTTATAACTTAACCTAACTCAATATCGTCATCTAAGATTGATCAATCATGTGTTAAAAACTATCTGTAGGGGCATCTTCAACTATGTATATCAATCTAGAAATGTCTAGCATAGAAACACTGTGCTACAAGGCTTAAAAATAGCAGCTAAGAATCGCCCCTATCGGTAGTTTAATTTCATTTTAATTGAAAATAATGTTATACTCGCAATACAAAAATGGAGGATATGCAAAATCGTTTTCAATATTTCAATCTTTTACTTCTATAAGCGAAAATAATCTGAAGCTTTAAAGTTATGGTTACGATGTATTCACGATATCTTTTTATACATAATCTTTGTAGAACAGTATAATAAAATTTGAATGAATTAAAATGTTAGAAACTTTACTTTAGTCATATTCACCTAAAGTGATTATTAATTTACTGTTATATCAGCCTTTATTTATAACACAATGTACAGTAATGTTATCTTATAATTTGAAATCCTTGTGTTTAAAAGAATAGACATGATCGATGTAAAGCCAGAAGTCTCTCTCCGTAAGACCAATTTAAAGTCTCTCCTTGCCGATTAATAAGCTTCTTATACACCATAACAGCTGTATCTTGTACGTATATTTACCGAAATGATCATGAAGTAGTACTTTCAAATTGTGCTTGCCATGCTTTATATTTATCTTTAAAACCGCTTGCTGATGGCTTAGTATCCTTCAACGCTTCAAAAACGTTTTGAGTAGTGATGGGATCAATACTTAATGCTTTCGATAGTTGTGTTGCTGATGATTCTCCATCTAATGTAACAAGTAAAGTAGTTATAACACTCATTAGCTTTACTTAAATCTCTGTATATCGTTTAGAACAATACAGTATAATCTTACCGAGTTGAATACTTTCTAAAACATCAAATATTTTACGGATTGATCTCATTGCAGCTTCTTTGCAAACTAGGTGAATATCCGAGCCCGAGTAACCATCAGTAGCCTATATGTAGCAAAGTGCTATAGTTAGCCAATATTACACTTGCAGCAATATTATATTTAAGTATCGCAAACTGCCACCAGCCAAACATTTTTACTACTGTAACTAATTTTAGTTTATAGCAAACCTCAGCTACCATTTCATAATCGACTTCAGTCCTTAACTGCAGCCCTTCTTCTTGCATTTGTATGACTGGGGGCAAATGATAACGAAACATGGCTTTTCTGGCTTGACATGTTGGTAGGTCGATTAAGATTCGCTTTTCTAGCCTTCTTAACATGGCTAAATCAAGTTCCCTGCAGTTGATGTTATCAATATTTACATAACTTTAGTAATTGCTTATCCCTGATATACCTAAATCTACCACAAGTACATAGTAAATACGATCATATCTTTACCAGGGAATATTAGATGTAGCAAGAACAAAGACTAAATCTTTAGACCGCGCCAAACCATCCATTTGTATCAGTAATTCTGTTTTCATACGACGACTACCTTCATGTTCACTACGTTAACATTGGCGTTTAATGAAGTATTAGTGTGTGCTTAACGTAGCTATACAATAAATAATTGTCAAAATAACTGAACTCATCTGTAACCTTATACCAGCTGAACCTCGCTGACCCATTAGTGATTCTATTTCATCTAAGAATATCGTTGACGGCGCATGATGCCGTGCTAGTTCGAATAATACCTAATAAATCAAGTGTCAACACAAAAAGTTTTATATGATTAGAAAACGTTAATAAATATCCATTTAATTATTTACCAAACGAACTATAGATAGGATAAAGTTAACGTTGTACCCGGACTAATTTTTCTGAATCGCCCCTCCATTTGCTTACGATTGAGGAAGCAGATATATTAAAGAAAGTGGTATTACATTCTGTAGCTACCGCTTTAGCTAACATAGTTTTACCGGTTCCTGTTGATTAGAAGAGTCAGAAGGAATAAATACTCTAAATCGTTTATTATATTGTAGCTACGATAGTACTCCGAGATATAACTGCTAACCTGGTGGACCATAAAGTAGTAATCCTTTCCAAGGAGATAGTATACCACTAAATAATTGCGGATACTATATAATAATAGACGTTTAATTTAATAATAGACTGATATAAACGTATTCCTAAAATAGTTTAACCAGTTATATCTTGTTAATTAAATGTTTTTAGTTTGACTATGTATTAACTTTAATATGTTAGAGATATTCCTTTACCTTTATTGGGTATACAACTGATTCCTTTACTAACTTTATGGGTTTTTCTAAACCAATTATGTCTGACCATCTGACATTTGGATTATGAAGGTAAATTTCCTATTTGATAGATCGATTTCAATATACATCAGAGCCAAATAAACTCAAAATATAACGTAAAAGAAGAGACTTATTGTCATTTGCCATTACCCTACTAATGATCCCAACTAATTCTTTCATTTCATTGCTATAACCAATCATAGTACTAATAGGCTTAAGTAATCGTTCAGATGGATCATATGGGTCTGATTTTCTTGTATTAGCGATCGACTTTACTTGATTTGATAAATTTGTAGTCGAATCTGTAGTCTTTACAATCAATTTTCAAGATCAGACTAGACATGATGTGAATTAAAGTATCTACTTTGATATCAATATTATCTTGTTAACTCTACCTTTGATAGTTTTTGCTGGCCTTTACTAGTAGACGATGTACTTTGTACAGCAACTCCTGTTAGCCCCAAATCGGATTCTACTTTTGCTTCTGGTGTAGATACCGATTCCTATTAAACACACAAGACAAAAAACTGATGTATAACTAATTTAAGTGAAGTAACATTTATAAGGTATGTTAGTTTTAACTATAGAATATTTAATCCCGAGAGAAGTCTTTACCTTTTTATTTGTTGAATTTTTTTTAGTGCTGACAGAGCTTGCACTAAGAGAACGATTCTGACTATTATTATCCCGCGGTTCCCGTGCTGCTGTATCATCGCTTGGTCGACGACTAGGTGGAATCTTTGGAAGAGGATTGCTAATTGTAGTAACAAATTATTAAATTAAATACGATGGAAGTTACTTGCTTAAAACCGAAAATTCATTTATTTGCATATATAATGATTCTTCATTGGATTTTGCATGTTAGTACCTTCTGCCTTTATTTTTCGAGATTGAACTGTTTTGTGAATGAAATTGAGCTGTAGGTAATAAGCCATAAGTTATTAATACACTTCATCATACAGATTGAGATGCGTATCATTAAAAGAGTATTGCGTAACTACATATTGAATGCACGAGCATATAATCTATATAACCGATTTTACAGTGGTACCCTGTTTTTCAGCGCTAACTTTCTTGATAATCTTGGGATATTTATTAAATTTGACGTAATAGTACGATTCATATTCCTACAAATTTGATAGATGAACAATTATTGTTATACTAAAATAAGTACAGATAGTAAGTAAATCTGTGGTTATAGCAGCAAAATGTGTTTGTTGTTCTTTATTTTTTAAATTGATCTGTATCAAGAGACGAGTGTACATACTCGTGAAATGACGTTATATTTATCAAAGATGGCCGAAAAAAATAATTTATCCAGCATGTGGCCCACAATAGAATGATTTGCAATAGGTAACTTAGTAAAAAATAGATTCAATAATGAAAGCATAAGTATAATTACTTGTAGTATCGTCGGTAAATCCACGTTATCGCAGACTTGGAATTTATTTAATGTTGTCGAGGATTCAGTTTCAAGACATTTTGCGGATTGAACGTATCTTAGGATAGATCATCATTTACATTAAAACAACTTCTACTCATTAATGTTGTCAGTAATTAAGAGCGAAAGGACAGCTTACCCTTCGTCATTTAAATATTGCAAGATTAATACAAGAAGAGATTTACGACGTTGTTCAATTTTTTGTTCCTCCTACAGGACAGGAATATTATAACGGTAAGACATTAGCCTTTGCAATATCATGTTAATTAATCCTGAGCAAGCTATCTTGAGATAGTTGAAACATCTGATATAAACATTTCTATTAACATGCTATATGCAGTATACACCCCTATAGGTCAAGGAGAAAGTGCTATACATACCGCTTCTCTAACTTGATTAGCTGTCTTAATTTGCATGTAGCTTAGTTCGTGAGTCATTGTGAGCTTGTGCGTAACGACTAGCTAGCCAGTTCCACGTATAATGTACAGCACTAATAGCAAACGAATCGTCTACAAATCCAATCTTCACCGATGTTGGTTTATTTACCTTCACAGATTAATACGTGTGCAACCCCCGTGATATTACAGTCGATGAGATTTAAATAGGTATGAATGACTTCTTGATGATTTATATATTACGGAACCATAAGCCAATGTTAATCTGATCCAGGAGATTATTTGCTATTGATAGTAACTGACAACCGCCACTGTATCATACTTTCGATTAAATTGCCTCCTGTAACCTAAATATCTTATCTTCCTTTATACGGATATTTACATACCCAATAATTACTAGATATAGCAATATTATTTTATTAACGGTTTTAACTATGGAGAGCAGTTATAATTCCTTGCAAACATGATGTAGTCTGTTGCCGTAGTTACCGCACGCCTGTGCCTACGGTACCGTTTGAACTGTACTGTACTGTACCTTGTACTGCATGTCTTGCTATATGCCCAGTTGTACAGATAGACTGACGAGCAACTGTGTTTAGGTGTTAACTAATTATTTATATAGAAATTATAATCGGATCAACTTGAAATAGTCTCGTCCGGTCTTATTTGCAGTTCGTTATTTTTACCAGTACTGTATTGTATTAGCGGCTCACGCCTTCATGATGCAAAATTTCATTCAGTGCAAGCACAAATGCCAATATCCACAATATGTAGGAAATTATCTAAATAATCTGTATGTACTGTAATCACTCAAAATTTTAGCGCAAAAGTTGATGATAACATCTTGTCTAGCAGGATACTGAAGAGATTCATAATACGAGTACGTATCTATTTTTTAATTGTATTACCATACATGTACAATTATACATGATAACTATAGTTATATCAATGGCAACAATATGGCATGTGCTTCTCAGAATCCTATCATAATTATATCAGGGACTGCTGTCTATAATACTGAACAATTAATAGCAAGGTAAATAGGTCAGACTTTAATATGCAGTATGCTCCCATTAGTAGCATTAAACTGATTAAATTCGATGTAACGGCATGCATACGTGGATTCAAGCTGTCAAATTATTTACATGTACAGCAGTAGTAAACAACAGCTACAATATTTGATGAGATAAAAGTAACTACTATAAATTCTATTCTTCATTTACCTGAAGGCGTAATAACATGCATAGGTTATATGTTCACATATACTAAACAATATTTACTAATACTTTTAGAACTTTGACACGAAGTCACCACAATAAACACAATCGTGATACGTTTCAATTCCCCACTTTTTTAATTTTTGATACTTCAAATTTCTTGAGATTTGTAAACCTTAAGATAATTATAATGTTACTTAGCATGGCTGTTCTGTCGGAGTACAAAAAATCTCAATCCTGTAAAAATTTGCACATTGCTTTCACGGCTTGTGCAGCGAAATTATTGCGATAATGTATAGTAGAAGCTCTAGTCTAGTTCGCAAAGCTTCATTCAAGAGAAGTACATAAAATGATATTATTTTATTACATTATGTGCTTCTTAACCGCTTTTAGCTGCTTTCACTTTTTCGGTCAACTCTGGCACAGCCTATTTGTGAATTAATCATTGACAAATAAAGAAACTCGTAAATCAGCTGATATTCGTAGAGATTCAAAGAAGCGTGCGTCAACATGAGAAATATAATTATGTATTATACCTTAAATAAATCTTCCACTAAACCGTAGTCAGCAACTGAAACGAAAAAGGTAGACCGCACTCAATCAGCTTGTAAAACACCATGTATCGAGAGTCAACCGTTAGAAGAATTCAGAATTTTACCTTGAAAAATTGGAGCTTCAGGATCTTTATTAACAGCGACGATGGTCTTTAAAAGTATAGAAATAATACCATTATCGTGTTAGCACACAGAAATTATCTAGATAGATCATGATATTTAAAGGTGAAAATTCGCCCATTTTCATACCTTACTATCTTTCATACCAGCTAAATGTTGAATTGCACCGGATATTCCGACTGCAATATATAATTCCTTAGAGAAGGGAAAATAGTTGTTTAGAGCCTTTCATGTAGGTCAACTTAACTATGCTATTACGATTATTTATACCGGAGCTACAATTTTTCCAGTCTGACCAACTTGCATATCATTTGGGACGTAACCTGCATCGACTGCTGCTCTGGAAGCTCCAACTATTTCAATCGATATTAAAAAAATTATTTATAATTTGTGCATAATGCTAATATATATTATGAAAAAATCCATACCTGCAGCACCCATGGTATCTGCCAATTCGTACAGTAAAGAAAAATTATCTCCACTCTTCAATCCACGACCTAATTTCATATTAGTAATAGTTATATATTAATATCTAGTACTGCTTTTAAATGATATTTAACTAGGATACTTTATAAATACCTCCAGAAATGACGTAACTTGCACTAGTTAATTCTGGTCTGTCGCTCTTGCTTAGCTCTTGACCCTCCCATGAAGATGTATTAGGACTTTCAGCAGATGGCGCTGTATAAAATAAAGTTTATGGTCTATGAATAAAGACTGGAACATGCAATTGTCCTAACAACATAAAATGATAAAAGTAATTTCTCAACATTCACCTTGTTCAACTCCAACAGCATCGCTTCCAACATCAGCCGCATCGAAAGCAGTAGCTCTAACGGAAAATACCTTGACATTATCTTTGGATTTTACCGTAGCAATTGCATTGCCTAGTCATCAGTTGAATCGTAAGTGCTTTCAGTATACAAAAAAATTTATGCAACGGCTTTATAAATGCATAAGTGTTACCGGCATAAACTGTTCGCGTAAACGTATCCTCCGATGTGATGCCTATTATGTCTGATATTGGAGATACATCCAATTTTGCAGCAAGTCTTGGGATAAAATTCTAGGGATTCATTATTTATCAAAGGATATCATTAGGAATTAGCCAAATGTACTTAACTGTAATATGTATAAGCGATTATTGCATTCTATGAGTGATATTAAAGGTTTCATACCTTTCCAAAGGCTGTTGCGGTAGCAGTAATGTGTGTATAATTAAATTGATTCTGAGCAGCTAATACAAGTGGTGTTATCGCCTCTAAAATTTTAAGTATGAATAAAAAGTGCGACATAAATAAATATACGATTTGATAATTATAATAAAGTAAAATTATCTTTCATAGAGGTTGTATTTGAAAGATAAAAGGTTTGAGCAAAGAATGACTGTATTACCGGGTAGCAGTCCCTTGTAACATTCGTTATCAGCATAAAGAACTTTCGAAATTCCTTTTACTTTGCTTACTTCTTCCACAATCTATAGAGATAAAGTTTTTAAAAGTGAACTATACGTACATATAAACTTGAGCTACAACATCATATACACTAACCTTAGAAGCATTGGCACCTGCTACTAAAGCAGATATCTCTCCACCGATGGCTTGAGCGGCAGTTACGGCATTTAAAGTTGCTTTAGTGAGAGATTCACCGTTATGCTCTGCTACTATCAAGGTTGATAGGCAACGGCCATTGCTTAATAAAGCAATCTAGTTTCGTGAATCAAAAAATTAGCAGGAAGTTAATTTCAACAATAAGCTCTTAGCTAACGCACATCAAAAGTACAATTACGAGCTCTATTTACAATTGAATGAATGGATATTTAATTGACTTATAGTTGAAACCTTATCAAGGTTATTCCTTCCGTACTCTACATCCTATTCTTTCAACATTTTACGTCAAGTATGAATTTTACTACTAGACCGTACTGTTACAATAAGGGAGTAACATGTATTTTAACGCTTCTAATAGTGAACATCGGTGAAGCTAATAATATTACTGGCCAAATGCGCAGCCGATAGATTCATATTTTATCAAAATAGAAGAGTAAGTGAAATAGTTAAGTCAGTTTTGTGCGATGCTAGTCTAGAGAGTATGAACTACGTACGAGGTATATATCAGTTCATTTCTGGACCTAATAAAGCATTAGCACTTTGCTCGTTCTTGCAATAACGGACAATGATGATAAAGTACAAGGTACAATGCTGAGTCTAATACACAGTAGTATTCAGAACGTTTATTTATGATGGAATAACTTGTAAGATACAAATAATGTCAATGTACAGAATAAAAATCAAAGATAGCTATATACTCCTTTCTACTCTTAGCTGCCTGCCTCTACTACAAGAATAACATTGTATTTTATCAATGCTACTATAACGATGGCGCAAGACAGAGGATGTTCGCGATGTACGTACGGTATTTACACATCGTCCACTGCAAATATGAGTACATCAAGTAAGTCCGAAAGTCCAGATTTTATCTGAGAAGGTAAATAGCAAAGGAGAATCACTATTCGAGATACGATTAACGCTTGATCTTGATGATTACACATCATACTATAGCAACAACGACCATATTGCAATTTATCATAAAGTTGCTATAACTGTTTTATGTTTACGATGGCAAGATAGCGTCGCGCCATTGTTGTTCATGATTTCCAGCATGTCATTAATGATATTGATAGCCTGGATTAGCTGATGAAAAGGCCAATCGGTACGTTACTGATGTTGGTATTTCCCACTAAAAAGCTGAATTTTACTTTACTGCAAGTCCATGTGTAGTGTAGTCCAGGTTGTAGCTCAACAGTAGTACAATCATGGAGTCATTGAGTAAAATGAAGAGTTTTGCTGGGTACTGAAGAAGAGTGAACTGATAGAGTGCAGTCAATACAATCAATTTTCCTACGCTCCGTGATCAATCGATTTGCATTTGTAAGGTATGTTATGACACACAAAGCGACTATCGATATTATAACTGTACATTCCATAGTGAACAGCTTAATGTAAAGCTTAAACATCATAACGAATTGATTGTATAAGACACCATGATGGCTCATGTGGGTTGGCATCATGGAGTCATCGAATCACGTCTAAATGGCAGTCAATGTGGCAGCAAAGAAGACGTTGCTTCATGCTATAACTGAGTGACTACTAATGAAAATTTCCAAGAGTTAATTAGTAGACTATATGAACTACATTATTCACTTACTGGAGTGGTTCTTAACTTGGAAGAAATCCTACAAAGTGAAAACATATTCCACAGATTCTTTTTCAAAGACTGCTTTGCCAGCGGTCAACGAAGTAGGCTTGCTAAGAGTGAAGAAGAAACGAATGATGGCTGCTACCTGATGTTGATCGTCCTATACAATACGGTATGCCTTTCTGACATGCATGGTACAGTACCCATTCTAACGACAGCAACTACTGTACTGCCTGAAGTCAGTTGTTACAGTCCAAAGTCCAAGTCCAGCACGGTACGGACTCTATCGGTACTGGTACTGCAAACTGGTTTTTCTGGCTGCTACAGTACTAAGGATTGAAAGTGTACTGTACTGTGAGCGGACAATCGCTGAACTGAACGCCTGAACCTCATACGGACGATACTAGTGCACCTCTGACCTCAAGCGTCAACCACTAGATGGGGTCACCCCATGCACGACACTACTCAAATGATCGTATTTCACTGGTCATCCATCCAAGGTTACGGTACAAACTATTGAAACACGGCAACCGGTGTCACTTTGGTTCAACTTGAAATACTGTACTGTATGGACAATGACGCGACCAGTCGACCCAAATCTTCTACTAAGCCGGTACTCATTGTTGGCATTTTACCCCCATACTCACCCTGTTCACTAACCTACAATCCTACAATGGATGCCAATAAGTTAGCATGTTTTTCAGTGAATTTTTATGCTCATACAAGTATCAGATTTAGTTGAGATGAAATCTATAAAATAACTAACCTACAATGGATGCCAATAAGTCAGCATGTTTTTCAGTGAATTTTTATGCTCATACAAGTATCAGATTTAGTTGAGATGAAATCTATAAAATAACTAACTTACAATGGATGCCAATAAGTCAGCATGTTTTTCAGTGAATTTTTATGCTCATACAAGTATCAGATTTAGTTGAGATGAAATCTATAAAATAACTAACCTACAATGGATGCCAATAAGTCAGCATGTTTTTCAGTGAATTTTTATGCTCATACAAGTATCAGATTTGGTTGAGATGAAGTCTATAAAATAACTAACCTACAGTACAGTACAATGGATGCCAATAAGTCAGTTTGTTTTTCAGTGAATTTTATGCTCATACATGTATCAGATTTGGTTGAAATGAAATCTATAAAATATCTAACCTACAATGGATGCTAATAAGTCAGCTTGTTTTTCAGTGAATTTTAGGCTCATACAAGTATCAGATTTGGTTGAGATGAAATCTATAAAATAACTAACCTACAATAGATGCCAATAAGTTCGCTTGTTTTTCAGTGAATTTTACGCTCATACAAGTATCAGATTTGGTTGAAATGGGATTTATAAAATAACTTATACTCACCCTGTTCACTAACCTACAATGGATGCCAATAAGTTAGCTTATTTTTCAGTGAATTTTATGCTCATACAAGTATCAGATTTGGTCGAAATGGGATCTATAAAATAGCTTATACTCACCCTGTTGACTAGCCTACAATGGATGCCAAAAAGTCAGCTTGTTTTTCAGTGAATTTTATGCTCATACAAGTATCAGATTTGGTTGAGATGAAATCTATAAAATATCTAACCTACAATACATGCCAAAAACGTCAGCTTGTTTTTCAGTGAATTTTATGCTCATACAAGTATCAGATTTGGTTGAAATGGGATCTATAAAATTCACCCAATATGTTCTGAACGAAAACGAGTTGGAACCTACGGTAGTTTTACTCGTATGTTTCCTTTTCTAGTGGGCAGTTTTGCAACAGTCGCATTTCAATCGCTACAGAAACTGTTCAATGCTATTAGTATACAGTGCGGTAAAAAAAATTGTAGCATCATAGCGCCAGCAACGCAGTTATTTACTCATTTTAAACCATTATAAACCTTTAAACATTTTCATGAGACGTGTATTTAACGTTAAGATTGATTGATTCATCTAATTCATAAAATGCGGTATTCATCTCTATAACGTCTCGTAGTTCGATAGAAGAAAAAAGGAAGTCAAAACGATGAAATGAATCCACTCTCAAAAATGCAATTCTTATCATTCTAAAAGGGAGACAGCTACCATTGCTATCGATATTGTTCAGAGTGGGACAACTTGACATTCCCTTTTTCGTTCCCAACCTTGTGACAGTCGGGTCTCAATGGCTATTGATACTGCTAATATACTGTATGTAACATACTATCGATAGAGAACAGCCATTACCGGTATTAAAATGTTATATTGCAAACGAGATAAGACTCTGGTTATTTTCCCGACACGGACTTGGCAAGCGTATATATAATTAAAAACATTTTAATGATACGCATTTTATACACTGAAATTGACTTATTTAATTTGTAGTTAATAACATGCGGTATTTATCTATTTAAACGTATTTAACGTCTTGGGTGTTCGGTTAAAAAAAGTAATAAGTGATGGCGAAATTAATCCACTCTTCAAAATACTATTCCAAGACTGACCTGACAATATCTATGCGTATATAATTACAAACGTTTCAATAATACATATTCTTACGCTAAAATTGGCTTATTTAATATAAATAGGGGGGGGGGTATTTATCTCAATGAATAACGTCTTAGGTCTTCGATAAAAATAAATAAAATCATGGCGAAATTGATCCAATTTTAAAAATGCTATTCTTTAGCATTCTGAAAGGAAGACAGGTACAATTGCTATGAATACTGCTCAATGTACGGTAGAAGATAGCAGTATTAATTAGTGTTAGCAATGCTGTGGGTTATTGCTCATTTTAATCTACGTCCTGTATTATATATTTAATAATTCAATAATAATACAGAGTAGTAACGAATCAATAAATGATCAGTTTTTGCGCACAGACACACACAGAAATACGCATCAGAACGTTTTAATATAAGCGTATTATTTTAGTAGTCCTTGATATTATACGAGCATAGATGGAGAAGAAAAGTTTATATGAAATATTGCAAAAAAATGAACTATTGTGGTGACTATAATATCTTCTACATATCCTTACACTAGTAGTGCTGAGTAGTGACTAATAATAAGTTAGGTAATTCATTAAAGGCAATTCCGGCATGAATACCAATCGGATACTAATTGCTACCATCTTCCTAAGATAGTTGCTCTCTTTATTGACCTACTTTCAACCGACAGATAGTAAATGCTAATAAGTCAGTTTATTTTCAGGAAATTTAAATACTCATAGACTTTATCAGATTTGGCTGAAAGTACATCTGGAAAAATTTACCTGGGACTGTTAGCGGAAATTGAGGAGAAAAATTTATTTGGAATACTCCAGCTACCCTAGTCATGACTACATTTTTACCTATCCTTATGCTGCTAGTGCTAAGTAGCAACTAGTGATAAATGAAATAATTCACTAAAATAGAGAATTTCGGCATATTTTATTCCATTAATGGCAATTGGATACTAGCATCTTACTAACATGGTAAGATAGTTGTCCTGTGTATTGACCAACTTCCAATCGACATTATTAATGAAAGCAAAAAGTACAAGTACCAACGCGTACAGTACGTGAAGTAAAGTATAACGAAAGTAGGTTTTACTAGCACTAATAAAGGCCAATTGAACAAGCCAACTTGTGTTTTATAGTTTTACAAATTATAGTCGCTATAAATTAATAATAAGAATACTGTAATTTAACTTTATACCGTAGTGGGTCATGAACTGAGCAGTCAGAAATGTTACAAGATTATAGCAGAAAATAAATAGAAATACTGCTATAATATTGATCATTGTGCAGTCTACAAAATAGTAAAGAGCTATTGTAAATGCTGCATGTTTCATTCATTCAGTGTAGGGGATTGAAATAAATGAAAAAGAAACTGCTCATTCGGAATTCTATAGTCACTATCAGTTAAAGTGCTTTTGTTTTTACACACTATTTAACGAAAAAATCAGATATCAAATTCATGCATTTTATTAGTGCAACTAGCTGTACCTGCATATAATACGTATCGAAGATACATTTTTATGGTACAGCATATAAAATAGGTTAAAGTGCATTCTCAATAAAACCAAAATTCTTAATATCTCAACAGTAATTAAACTGTAATCATAATTTGAAATTATAATTGAATTAACGTTATTTCCATCGAAAATTTTTAAATTTACAGTGTTTCGAGATGTACAATAGTAGTAGGCATACTGCACATCGCTATTTTACTATTCTTTATGTGCCTTTAATATTTCTTTCATTTATATCAAATGTTATAAAACAATACTTAATAATATACCATTGTAACTCTTTCCAATCTCAGAATAAAATCATAGTGATACCAGATTTTTAACTAATACGTGCAAATTTTAGATTAGAAGCTTTGTCGTAAAACTGTATCTATCGCTACAATTGTGAGTGGCTAACAATGACAAACATTCTACATACCCTGTAATAATGTATTTTTGAAGATAGATTGAAGAGGTCAAATTACCAAAAATGATTACTCGTCTGTTTAGGTATTTCCCTTTTTACTGCTATTCTTTCTCGATCTCAGTACTCTCGTACTTCCCTTACTAATACCTTTTGGCTCAGAATTTTTGGAAGATTCCTGAAAGTCGGGATCTTCTACCTTGATACGCTTACGAGGCTTTTTTATCGGTGTGATGTCCTCTTTCTTTTTACCTTTAGTACCACTCTTTTTATCAGTGCCTCCTACGTTAATAAAAATGAATCCTTTCCAGTCTTCATACGACAACAATCAATAACAACAAGCATATATATATCATAGCGTTCTCACTTTTTCCTTTAGCTTGATTCTTTGGTAAGTCTTCTTTAACATCATCAGATTTCTTTTTTCTTGAGCCTGTCATCCTACTTTTTTTATCTATGAGGGGACAAACGACCTTAGCACACAAATATACAATACTAATTCTATTAGAAATTATACAGACACTACCGACTTTTAGGAGCTAAAGGTCCCGGATTTCCCTAAATAGCAATATTCAAACTATGGTTAAATACATGCTCTCCAATCTCAAAGTTAAATGTTAAGTTAATTTTATTGTGCACTGGAATAGACTGCGATTATATTCTCCCTTTCATGGAAATGCAAGACTTACTAGAAACCAAATCGTCCGTCCAATATTGTCTACCAGATTTTTCATTTCAGGCTTACAATAACATTGCAACCAAGAACCAAATCTAGCAGTGGCCTCCTCATCAAATGATCCATGCCATGATTCTGCCCCTAAATACGGTTACCAGTTGCAATGACACGCAAAATTAACAACCTTGATATTATATTCGTATGTCAAAAGATTATATTAACTAGTGAAACGAATGATTAATGAAAAAAGAGAAGAACTACAGTATGAAGTAGCAGCATAATAGCATCAAAAGTATTTTAAATGTTAACTACTGTAAGAATATATTTGTGCAGTATAAAAAATTATACACTGGCTCCTATGAAAAGTGCACAGTAAATAAAAAAGTGGTATAATTTTGTCACATACTTAATCCAATTAATTCTAATTGCAGGTCGCGACAAAGACTCAATACTTTATTGTTTTCGATCCCTCCTTCGATTTTAACGGCATTACTCATTTTAGTCTCCTGCTTTGGCTAAATAGACATCAAAGTAAATTATTACCCCCAATGAAAATATCTCATACCATTACAGAAGCATATCTAAGCGTAAGCATACCGCACCTAATTTAAAATCCTGCAATTTCTTCAATAACGTAATAAATCACCGAATTAAGAGACTGTCAATAGCTCACATTTGCTATAAATCCGTACACATGATCAGAATATATTTCTACATGGCATCGCACTTATAGCTTTGCTAATTTACTTACAATGCTGTACACTTTGTCAACGAGATCGCCAAGTTTTGAATCAAAATAAAACGCTATAGATTGAATTAAAATCTGAAATCTATTTAAGAAATACCTTAGAATTATTCTTCTTAGATTTATTCTTTGATTGTGAGGTTGATGGATCAAATACATTCCTTGCCATAGTAAACGGAGGGATACCAGCTCTGGTTATGCAATTGCATTCATTGAATTACCATTATGCCAAAACATAAAACAAAAATCGAAGAAAAAGAGTCAAGTTTACTAAATATGACACATATTTTAAGGCAAAGTACAGTGCATAGTGAATCATTAATTTTTATCATTTATTTGCATTTTATGTCAGTCATCTTCTGGATACTCAAGACCGCGATTTGCCTCTTATAATTGCAGCAGATTCAAGTAATTCTGTAATTTAGCTGCTACGGACAAATGGTGTATTTTAAACGTTTACTGTTAATCACTGTATCGAGACCATAAACTTGTAAATCATAACATCAACTCAATCGCTACTTTTACCTCAGACAGCAGGCTGAATATAGCATACAACAAATTTTGTTAATAATTGTCCTATAGTAGTAAACTTGCACACTAAAGATTACGTTGAAAGCCAGCGCGGACTGGATTTATCTACTATTTCGCTGAATAATACAACATCGTTCTTATTAACCATACATACATTCTTGAAATGAAACACTGCACTTGCTTGCATTTACCTATACAAGATTTCAGCTCTCAGGTAATTACCGATACCGTTAAAATATTTCTGGTCAAGAAGAACTTCACATATTGGCTTATTGAATAGAGAAGCATTTAAATGGCTTGCAATATTGTTGCAAAATAGCTCGTATTCAAAAGCTGCATCGGGTCCACGATTTGGTGACCAGTTATTAGTGACTCTCCAGGTACCAAATCGACGCGGATCGACAAAGTTTAACACCATCGATGACTTGTTATGTGCATAAAACCTCAGGTGAGAATGTTTAGGAATGTTGTCGCTATCCGTTACAGAAAACGAACCCGACATACCAAATCCAAATAAAATCCTCATTTCCAATCTAGAATCACATTCTTTCTTAACACGATGGTTCATTTCCTCGCTATTGCCATTGTTAGCATCAGCTTCTTTCAATGTCAAAAGCAACTCTTTACCACGAGATTGACCAGTAATGGTATAAAAAGGTGCCGCAAATGTAATGGATGGATTCTTGCTAACATCAGACTTGACAATTTGACCTGAGAAGATCACATTGCAACAAATGTGATTTATGTAATCACTTGCAAGACGTACTTCTGGACCTTCAGGCATACTGAAAAGCTACCAAAACATCAAATAGAATTCTTTTACTAAAGTGAAAGGACCAGGCCACGATTAATGGGATTGCAACGTGGAGGCCAAGTTCGCTAGATAGTCTCGATAATTAATCCGTGATTGCTAAATGCTGCATGCGAGCTGAGCTCCCAGGAAAACATGCTCAAGGACCTTGCAGAGGCGTCTAGAAATGCTGACAGTACTAATACAGTATACTAAAGTTTACTGTTTTGCGACAATGCATAGTACATTGTATGGGGGCACCAGGTGATCCATCGTTTTGGCTTTGTTTACAGTTCTTGAGCATCAGACCAGACAGCCGGACCCTCTCAGCTGCCCTTTGGATTAAAACGATGTTAGTACAGTATATTGGCGACGGAATGGCTATCTAGTTAAATTCTTTAATGTATACGGCTGTAGATGATATAATCTAGTCTCAGAAGTACTGCAGTGCCTTAGCACACTATTTTTATGTACATGATGGACAATTTTAACTGTAATATTCTATGAATACGCTGGTTGATTGTACTATTGAAATTCTTTAGGCAACAGAAATCGATGGTGCTATGGTCTAGTAGATACATATTTATACCGTATTAATGACTTAACTATTATATTCTACATCATTTGTACCATCTTCTTCGATAATCCTCCTTATTTCCAGAAAATCTGCGGTATGGCAGAGGCTTTCACAGCAGAATTTATAAATTCAGCAATAGAAATCTGCAATACTTTACGTGTGTTCTTATTATACTGTACTGTATACGTACGAGTATATGTATACAACATATACAATTCTATGCGACAAACTTTATTCTACATAATATAGTTCGTACGATCCTTTTTAATGCTTCCTTTTCCTAAAAGACTGCAATAAGGATCTTTGACGTAGAGTCCTTCAATTTAGTAATAGAATATCTTTTTAATACTTTCAAAACAGTATTCTGTTCTTTATCCGTCGTCAGATGCAGGTTAGACAAGATACGGTAGTTAAGCTTCACTTCTTTTCATATACAAACTGGGTAAATATACTGTACTGGTATATCATTTATTCAGGCTATATGGCATATCAGAGACATTTTCTGACTGTATGCATGCGTATATTCATTAGTGCCGTGTTTCTATCTAATTGTTTACAGTAACCGCCACCTGTTAACTCCTCCAAAGTCATGGTATAATCGGATAAAGTGGATGCATTTGATATACGCGTAAATTATACGTATTTATGCACTTAGCCTTTTATATTAAGTAGTTATAATTATAAAAATGGTTATATAAATCATTGCTTTTATCATATATTGTACTCGTGAAGTACTACATTATTTACCGTCTCTAGGTATTACGGATCTATACTTTATTACCCCATTTGAGCTTTCCGCAGTCCTGGTAGAATCGGCTGCGCATACGGCATACTCTTGTTGCGATACACAAATCATGTTGTACTATCCAAATCTTGCGAGTAAGAGTAAACAATTTAGCTGACAATCAACTTGTAGTGGATATACGTATGCAGCTTATGCTATGCTTAGTTACCGGTACCATAATCTACGAGAAAAAATCGTTTCTTGTTCTAGTAATCCATATGCATCATGTAATGTATTTTGTAATGTACAGGATATACTGCACGAGGAATCGTTACCATTCTATCACGGCAATTTATACATGTTTACCAACCCATAAATCTTATTTTTTTATAAACATCAAAAATGGATTAACTATCAGAAGATGTTACAAGTTTTGGTAATATAATCTAAATCTGTAATAAATAAAATTATTGGCGTATATCATTCGACGTACTCATTAGGGCTTACGCTAAGATAATTGTAATATTAGCACTGCAGATACCATCGAAGGCACAATATTTTAGAACAGATAATTTAGAAATGATCTCATAAGTTCATTGTACTAAGTTGTAATTGAGAGCTGCAACACATTATTCGCCCTATATATCGCCATCACTTGTTTATGTATATACAAGTACTTCGGGTTCTACTTCTTCCTTATTATCTTTAGCATCGTCTGCCTTCCTCTCAGAATGGTGACTTGCAGCATCACTATCTCCTCTACTACTTCGTTTATCACCTTCTTGAGCATCTTTCTCACTCTTCTCTGTTTGACCAGTTTCTAATGATTTATCTTCTTCTTTATGATCTACAGATTTACCTTCCTCATTCTGATTACCTTTGCCTTCTTCTTTTTCATCGATAGATTTACTTTTCTCTTCCTGATTGCTTTTGCTTTCTTCTTTTCCATCGATAGATTTGTGCTCTTCTTCTAGATTATCTTTGTCATCAATAATATCTGGAATAGATGATTAAAATAAATTTTTAGTATTCAGCTCAATCAATATACTTTAAGATCATATAAATGTCAAATGAGTAGCTAGTCTGCTAGTTACGTATAAATTATTCAAGGTTTACCTTCTTCAATAACTAATTTAACTTCCGCAGGATCTCCATCTCCTTGTTCTGTTTTAGCTACAATCTGACGGTATTCGATACCTTCTTTTTCTAGTATACCTTCTAGTAATTTTATTTCCTCCTAATAAGAATTATAAATCAAAATCGTTATATTACATTACTAAAGAAAGAGTATAGAAATAAATATTTTAATACCATGTCTCTTGCTCAACGTACGCCGTACATGTTGTGTTACATTATATGACTTTACTAGGAAGAAGAAACTAAGCGAACACTCAGAGTTTCGAATTACCCTACTAATCTTACCACTTTGGCACGCGCTACTTTAATAGCTCGATTTAATTTTCTTCTGCACCGATTTCTATCCTCTGTTATTGTTTCTAATCGTTTACGCATATGCTTTTTGACGGATGCTATAATTCCTAAAAGTTAGATACCATCTCAAAATTATATTAAATCTCTAACTACAGCCAGTTCAAAATAGATACAGACTCAATTAGGGTACAAGCAATCTAATAAATGCATATTACGAGAAACTTTTTTTGTAGCAAACGCATATTCTTTATAATTATTTAAGCTACCGTTGACGATTCTTGCAATACGCCACAGACGTAAAATTATAAGCAGTCCGATGCCTCGAAGCTTATTTTCAGCAGCTCTTGCGTAACAAATTAGATTAAATACATGATTATAAAAGTAAGGTACTCTTAAAAAGATAATTGACGGTAAGAAACGAAATTAATCATGTCATTCTACAATAATAAGAGACTATTCTAGATATAATAATAGTAGTGTACAATTCAGTATCATATGTAAATTATTGGCACAACTGATTGATTGATAGATTAATTAATAGATATTTAGTGACAGTATTTTACTTTACTTACAGCGACATAATATCCACAATAAAGGATATAATAACAACTAAGGCATCGAGTACTTCGATATAGTGAAGAAAGAACGCTAATCCTTCCACACATATTTTTAATGCTACCTAGCCATGCAATATGGATATATTAAATAGAAAGTTAAAGACGAATGAAATGTGATCGTAGACTATAGAATAATGTTTGAAAAGGTGCATAATGTAAAAACATTATTGATTTACTGACTTCGAATAAGAAAATTCCTAATATCATTATGCTGGTATAATGGAAAGCTTCCTTCACATCTTCGACGTCTTCAACTATAGATACGACAAAATAAGGTTTATCAGGTAAAATTCAATCGATGACATCGTTATTTTTGTTCATTTAGCAATACTTAGCTTGGATTAAAATAGCATTTTTCAAGATAGTAATACAAATGAAAGATGTTGGAAATGAATACCTCGAATTGCATCTCTGTCTATGAGCAACTCTGCAATAACAATTCCACAGTCAATGAATACCAGTAGGATGAGAATTAATTGAGTTATAGGGTGCTCCATGATTTCCTCTGTTTTATGCAGACAGTCACTATTTTGTTGTAAAGTACTAACGTTAGTAAAATTCATTCGATATAAAAATTAAATAAAGTACGGTCGATCTTATCCTTTCAGTGCTTTAAACTATTTAAAAGTGTTTACGATTCGTATGATAAATAACCATACGGATAACGTGATAATACTCACTGATTAGCATGATCAATACGAACTGAAGCACTTTCTTCATCAAGAATATCGATATAAGAATCTTTATCTTCAGTTTTCACCTTTTTAGACATTTTAATAGAACACTTCTAACATCGATAAAAGGAAATGTTATAATTAATATAGAGAACATTTTCATTAATAGCTAGTTACTGTCTTTAGAGCAATCATAGATTTTTTATGGAAAATTCAATAAGCATGTGATGTAACTTATAGCTTCGTATCTTATTTATTATGAGCTTTATTGTTCAGAGTATAATGCAATTTATACCTACAGAATTCAGAAATACAGAATAACTTGGCAAAAATATATTTGATAAGTTAGCGTGCGTGTTTTTTTAACGCCAGAGCCTTGGGAAGATTTGATTGTATGATTATATCCGTAGGATGATTGGATGGAATAGAAAAAAAGGCAGCGAGTTCGTATAAATTGTAGGAGATGTAACATATGCTCCTACAAAGCTTCCTAAAATACCCTACGCAAAGTAAATAATCTGAATAACTACATTGTCGGTTGTGTACTCTGGGTTGCAGTGAATGGTGTCTGGTCAAGTCCAGAACGCAATTGAGCATTGAAATATTATTTTTTAGTCTTATTTACCTAATGTAATGTTTCTGGTGGGTTCAATTTTTGTTAGGTTATAATAAATAATTACTGTAACAGTAAACAAGTATTTCACATACAGTTTTCTATGCGTTTGTACTTTGTATTGATGCTGTGATCTTTTAAAATTTTATTGCATGGCTACAATTCCTACAATAAAATGTTCAATTGCTTTCAAGCATAGAACTAATCCGTATTATATGACGAATATTGCTATTTTTGAAATTTTAATACTGTTACACGTTGTTTCATAGTGTAAAATGATCACATTGTCCGAGTTCTTCATTTAGTCTTCCTAAAGAATCTAAAAATGTATAAAGTATCTTAACAATCTATCGTGATAACCCTATAATTAATCCCAAGCTATTTATTTCTAAAAATTGTACAGGCACAGAGTTAGCACACTTTTGCAGATACGTACAAGAATAATGATGCAAGTGACAAAGGAACAGTGAACTGAGCGGATCTATTTCTTTTTAGTGGTGTTTCCTCACCAGCAGTTACGAAACATAATTTAGAGAGTACAAGATTTCAATTGTAGTACTTGTATAATTCTACAGTAGTACTATTAGAACACGTACACATCTTCAAACGAATGCGTAAGTTTTTGTATTATTTAATGCCAAAATGCTGTAATATAGATAGCCTGTACGCATTTATCTGTTATTACATGGGCGGTTATTCCAGATGATAAATTCAATAAAATTGTTCAATACTAGGTTTTGAAAGTAGAGTAGAAATAAGAATTTGGATTAAGTGGCTATTTTTATGATAAATAGTGGTATAATTGTTTACATTTAGTATTTCCATCAATGAATTACTGTAATTGAAGCAAATGTAACCGCCTTATTGACAGTTTTTACATCTTTATATAAGAAAAGGGTTGGACAGTAATGTAAAGGAATTTATGAAGTTTTTAATAACTCATAATTGTGATTCCATAATCGCATTGAGGAAGATTTCAGCATATCCATACAACCATTTTGTTTATGTTTTCATATCTTACAGTAAAAATAAAAAATCTTAGGCAAAGCTATAGGAGCAGTTGCAAAGTCTTAAAATTTGCAGTTTACAATACATTAAATAGTTGTTTTGAATAAATAAAATATGTTTGTAGTCTACTACTACTCCAAAACATCGATCCTTCTTTACAACCAAACATCTACAAATATCATCACGCTACCGTAAAATATGAATCATGTGGCAAGTTGATCTAGTTGATGTTATTTGCTTCATCGTATTCATTTAATATCGAGTGTGTACAGTATATAAGGTCATCAACAAATGATAGACTGTTATATAGTATTTAACTATCAAAAAAACTGAGTGAGTCTACGGTATACAGTATACAAACTAAAAATTAAGACAGACCAGCATTCTTAAATTAGAACCCAGATCAAGCATTTGGGTTCACGCTGTCCTCTATAAAAATCATAACATCAACTGAAATGTAGGAACAAAATTAGATAGCAGGACAGAAAAAAATTAGCATAAAATTTTATCATACATTAAAAAACATAAATATTACAGTGAAATTACACCATTTCTGCAACGTATAAACGTTTGAACACTCTGGATCGATTCAAACATAAATCGTGAAATGAAGTATAAAATTATGTTATTATAGATTTTGGTGTGCAGTGTAGTACAATATATTCTAGTATTGAAGTATTAAATAGATCTTTAAGAATCGGTTCAACAAAATATTCATGATTTCAGTTGTACCTAGTTGATATTAGTGTTATATTAGAACTCAGGAGTAGCGGCTGTTAAATATTGCTATAGATCGGCTCCCTAATATACTACCAAAGAATGGTACCAGGAAGCAAATGCGATTGGAGATATTTCAATCTTTTACGATATTTTTACTTCCTAATTTTTATAGTTATATGTAAATAATCTTCTTATCCAAAGATTACCTTTGCCTTTACTATATAATAAAATGATTGACAGCAATACTTCAGCGTTGGTACTCATCGGCTTTATATCCGTTGTTATGGTTTAAATGTGGATAGTCACCTCTAGCAATTTAATGTTGATCATTCATCCTACCAGGATCATGCTATCTTATCCATGCTGAAGTTAGCTATCATAAGGTTTTGGGCAGATAGAACCTATAATTATTTATAAACAGCTGTCATTACTCAAGGGTAAGCTGGTTAAGACATGGACCTTGACTATCTCAAACACCAATGTGCAATATATAGATCTCCTAGGCTTAGGTATAAAACAACTGCTCTTCTCATTATCAAGTGTAGACCATCTTGTGTAGGAGCACTCTCTGAGAAGATTTTAACATTAGTAAAATAATCTCGATCAAAACATGTAAAACTTCTTATACCTTAACGTAATTGTAATACAAGTAGATTATATTTATTATCACTCGATATATGCCACTATATAAGGACTTTGGTTCCAATTTTTCAAGACGCATGACTTCAGATAAATCAAGTGCTTCAAGAACTTTTCAGTACCGAGGGTACAATTGATACAAGCGAAGTAGTATGTTGTAAATTTTTAACCAAATCTGTTGCGAATAGTAGGATAAAGCAAAATTATTTATCTATTTTCAACAATTAATAATTTCAACGACATTTCAAATTATTGCTAAAAACCTGAAAACATTGTTAAAAAGGCACGCTTGCTTTGATAGGCATCACCAGCTTTTGTCATAAATTTTAGTACATTCAATTGGCTATTTGGATGAAATTCAACATTTGTATTGTTGTAAAAAGCTTCGGGGTGCCACTGTATCCCTATCACTGGAGCACCATATTTAGATTCAAAAGCCTCGACTATTTCTTCTTCTGGCTGCATCATTTCCCCATGTCTATGTTTAGCATTACAATTTCCTATAGATATTGCTGAAACACTTAAAACTGGATGGTCCGCATCTACAGGTGATTTCCAATGTACGCTATTCACTGGAATTTTTTGCACTTCAGCATCCAGCTGAAAGTCCATAATACAACTTAGAAGAGAATCTTGTTGTATTAGTACATAATGAACCATTTCATTATTACCTACAGTCTCTCCTAGACTACTTAAAGAGGTCATTCTATAATACATATGATCCTGAACGTCTTGAAGTTGTAATGTTCTTCTTAGCTCATAGCCATTTGGTGTAGCCACATAAAGCTCACCAAAAATCTCCCAAATACGCCAGCTGCCCGCACAAATACCAAGAATTGGTTGACCTCTTAGTCGTGCTTTCCTGATTGCTCTCGACTCTAATTCTTGGCGAAGTTGACAGTGATTAGGTAGCTTTTCTATTGTCTTTCTAGCCATACCTGGGATCAGTAGCAAGCCAAATGATTGATCTTGACCTAACTCATCATCTAAGATATACTCGGGCCAATTTGCATGGTTATCAAGATTATAAGAAAGCTGTTGATGATAATTGTTAAGTATATGTATTGGATGTAGATCAGGTTGTCCTTCTGGTTGAGTTCTTATCATGCCTTCGACTATAATCGTAGCAGTTACATGATTTGTAATTTTACGTGTTAAGTAATGATCATAAAAAGACCCTCTGACCTGATCGGCTGGTCTAATGGTAGCTTCTAATCTGAAAGGTATGATCACAATAGAAGAAGTGTCTACCTCTTGATTAATGTCTTCTTGTAATGGCTCTTGCTCGTCAACAGGGTTTGCTATCAGCTGGTTCGTGTTCATAGTTTAACGCCAGGTTTTGAAACTACCTTCTGTTGAGTGAGCTCAATTTGATTACTATCCTTCAGAGAAACGCAAAGTATACCTTATCGTTTCAGGTCCGTTCTCACTTTAAAACAGAAGAAAAATAGTTCCAACCTAGGAGGATCGATTACTAAAGCTCTTCTTGCGGTTATACTAAGATGGGATTGCATATTCTAGACTTGACTTGATTTTACCGTAGCGTTTTACTAATCAAGGATGCTGACAAGTAGTTGTCGTGGGCTTGATTGAATTCATTGTTGGTTTCTTGCCTTTTAATTGATGTTGGCTTGATTGTCATGCTTGATAATTAATTGATGATTGATAATCATCAAATAGCAATTGCAAATTAGTAGTAATTGATATCAATGTTTGCAGTGATTAAGTGACAACTTTTATGTAACAGAAATTAGTTCTCTATATACTTCATTCATTATATGATGAATATGTATAGTCCAAGATTTATAGAAGTTCTATTACAACAAAGTCGGTCGGTGGTCATAAGCGTGAGGATCCTGTTGCCTAGCGACATGTACAGTTGCATACACCCATGCCCAATTGCCCATGGACTACTGGAAGTGGTCCGTGCCAAATGCCATCAGAATGCTCAGCAGATTTACAGTATACTGTACTGTATATAGACCTGTCATACTAAGTCGTGAAAAGTGCTGTAAATTCAACTTTAAGTTCCAATTTGTGGTGATCTCAGGGGGCTTAATCAGTCTCTGATCTGTTGGCAGTATCGCTCTCTCCTTCGTTTATTTAATATGACAAAATTGCTATACAGACCGACATCGTACAGTACTGTAGGTTCAAGCGCTTTCATCGGCGTTCACGTGACTTGAAACTGGAGTATCTATGTTACTATAGGCACTTGCACAGTCAAGTCATGGGCTCATAGTACGTACCACTCTTTTGGACGGACAGACATCTGGGCCTCATTTGGTCAACAAATTACAGCAAGATCAACGCTTGGTACGACAGTACTTTAGTATGCAGGCAGTCGATTGTGAATTGACTGCCTGCTTTTTTCTCAATGAAATACAGTTACATTGCATTCCATTACCTGTTGCTAAGCTCTATTTGGAAGCAGTAACTTTAGATCATCAATGTGATTCAAATAAATACGAGTGATTTGGATAACAGACGCGGAAGATCCATACTGAGCGACTTATCTGGTACAAAAAAGTCCGTCCAATGCCTTCCATGGTCAATGCAGGACACGGGACTGATACGTACCAGACCACTGCTAATTAGTGGTCTGGTCTGCTACCTACAGCACAGTACAGTACTGTACAGTCATACAAGACACTGTACTGGACGCCCCGTATCCCGTACTCACAAGGAGTCAAGGACACTCCACTGCATCTAGTCGTCCAGTCGTCCATGACGATACCAGTACACTATCATACGTACCATACCGTAACGTGCCGTAACGTACCGTACCGTATTGGTACTTAACAGTGTCGTACACTAGTGTACGACACTGTACAGGAGTAGCTTGGCCTGGCCCCTACAAAGGACTGCATCTGGTCGTCCAGTCGTCCACGACGATACCAGTACACTATCATGCGTCCCGTACCGTGACGTACCGTGCTATACTAGTACTGGAGAGTGTCCTACCCGCCGGTCTTCTGTAATAGGTGTACAGGACTTGCTCGGCCTGGCCCCTAACCACCCTCTTGTTTGTCAAGTCAACGCCTTGATCTGGAGCCATTTTCTCCTCCATGATTTGCTGCTAAACAAATGATTTCATAGCGAGATTGGACTTCTATTTCTTCATTCTGCCGTTGAACAGCTTCTATTCCTTCCATCAATCTACTATTTGGTGGAGTAGACGTCTAGTACGCGAAATTATTCCGTACAATTAAGTGAATCAACACCAAGGGACAGTTACCCGATCGATCCACCAATCCTTCAACATTCAACATGGAGACAGGGTAAGCGTTCTCTCTTCACACTAACCTGAACAAAATAAGTCCAATGTTATGGCATGCACCATGTTCTACTTCAGTTTTTTCTCTCTCCCTCTCTTTCTCTTATGCGCACACTTTATTCTTACTCATGATTTTCCTATCTTAACGATCTTGAATAAGGACCTGTCATTATTGTACTGTTCTACGATCGTGTTGACAATCGATGATGGTGATCATAATCATTTCGAAAATTGCATATCTCTTGTACAGTATATTATTATGTCCATTCCAATCGTTCTCTAAACCATCTCCAAATTTCTCATTGACCGTCTTGTTGGAGATCCAATCCCAATAGAATAGTTCTATCTTAATGGGATACAAGATACAGTTTACCATAATCGATAGCCTTCATGATCAACGATCATGATGGCCTTTATTGAAAGTGATGAAGCAGTCGGTACCTCCCTCCTCGTCAAAAGTATACATCAAAGTGCATCAAAACACCGTTTCCCTAATGCCATGCCAATCAATTGGCTTTTGATGCGGCTAAGAGTAACTTCTTTATTGACAGGATAATAGTATCCTAACCATTACTATTATATTAACGCTATAAGGTATAGGGATGGCAATAATAACTCCCTTTAACTGTCAATGGCTGCGCTTGATGCTTGCTAAACCTGCTAATACTGTAGTATCCATCCCAACATCGCCATCAAGAAGTTGCTGTTCAGGATGGTCATTATTTTCACCTTTATAGTTGCACTCACGTAGCCATACTCTAATGAATGGAAGAATAAACATCCAAATTGGAATCATGGCTAGATATGCTATTAAAATACGCACTATTGAAAGTTGATTGACTGTAATAATATAGTAATCATATTAATAATAGAATATGAAACCTACGAGTAGAAACGAATCACTCATTTCCATCGCAGTTACAAGCCATTGTCATCATGACGATTACAATCTAAATATGTAGTCAGCCAACGAGGCTGATTGAAAGTCAAAACTAGACAATTTCTCACTTGTAGTAAAGTTCAAAACTGTTATATCACCAAATAGATGAAAAACGAATGGCTTTTACTCGTAGTTGAAAATAGACAGGCGTTAGTTTCTTCATCAATCTGCCTATTTGTAGTCTTTAAACACATGAATAAAACATAACCTCCTCAGTCTCGTTATACATGACTTGGAGTTAAACTGATGGGCTTAAGATAGAGTTATACTAGAGCTTAAAATATTCTTCTATTGGCCTTTTTCGACGATCTGTACCAACGCCTTGCTTTCTCATTTAGATGGCTTGCTCAAGTTGAATAACATTACGGTTATTGCATAACCTGTTAGGGCACATTGTAATTTCAGTATTCAGCTACACCATCAATAGATTGTGTGGTTGTTGAATCATTAAAGCTACGCAAAGACGTACAATGTCATGAAAAGAAGTAATTTATTATAATTACAACATACTGTGGCGTATTACTAATTCCATTTTAAACTTATTATTAACGGGCTAGTTGTTGGTCTGCTAATAGTTTATTGATTGTATGATACTTTTGCTTATTTATCATAATTATTGTAAAGCTTATGAAACGATATTTGAAAGTTATTGCTAACGAGCAACTTAGTCAAACCAATACTCTGTAACGATACTTTTTAGTGACTACGATATACTGTACTACAGAATTTTTAGAAACTACACTTGAAATTTACTATGAGCTAGCTACAGTAGATATTTTTAGTCTAGCTTACCCTATACTCTTATACGTGTATTATTACCATATTGCATAGGACTAGTCAATAACATCATTGAATTGAATTTTTCCCTTCCTTGCAATTACTTTATTGATGAAAATCAAACGATTAGTGAATACCAATGTACAATACCAAGGATTAGAACGTAACAAGGGCTTCAATACGATGACTAAAAAATTGTCTTTAGAGGGATGGTAGTTTACGATTTGCAGCCACATACAAAATAATACTGACGGAAATATTATCCTATAGGTTATTGTTCAGTAGAAATCCGCTGCTATTAATTAACTGCTTAGACTATCTTGTCTTAATTAATATTATTATGTAATTTTATTGGATAATGGTCTATGCTCTAATACTAGTCAGTAACACGGACAATCTTTCTATCTAGCTATGAAAAGATGATTGACGATGGTGACAATAATAGTGAAACGTTATTTGCGGTACATGGTGATAATGAAGGAATGAATCCGCCTCAATCAGTAACATGGAGATCTGAGTAAGTTACTTATATCTTGATACAGTAGTTGGTAGCTATATTAGTGCTATTGAATATACGCCGCTAATATAGCACAATAGTGATTGTATCAATGTCGTAAGATTCAATAACGTATCTCTCCTCCATTATTTTATTTCTAGTCATCGTGCCAAATTAAGACAACTAATATATAGCCACAAAGTTCATATCGCCATAGTGGTCCTAGTAATATTAGACGCCCTTATTGTTATTGCTGAATTATTGATAGATTTAAGTGTTATAAAAGGTAAGTATATCTAATTAACTGGGAAATTTCCACGTTTTGAAAGCATACAAATTAGCTGTTTTGTTATGATTAGTAACGACAATGATTACTACTACTAAGTTTTGATAATTTCATGACCCTGTTTGGTTTTCCATCATCGATTTGATCGATGAATTAATATTTAGTACATCATACAAGTCCACTTGCACGTGCATTCCATTTCACCAGTATTGCTATTTTGGCAATTTTTCTTGTTGAGGTAGGTACTTGAGGATATATCTTGAATAAAAATTATACATTTCTAATCTGGCGACAAAGTAAAATCCTGATGTTCTTTTAAATGGATTCTATTTATTAGATCGTACTGAAGCTATATGCATCCGATTTAGCATTCTTCTTACATTATTTTGAAGTTTTTGATGCGTTGATCGTTATTGTTTCTTTTGTCTTGGATATTGCATACTCGTAAGGAATAGAATTTTCGATAGGAATTCTGTCATATAGGAGTATAATTAATGTTGCAATTTAAAGAATATTATTTCAATGACTATGTTCCATTTAGAAATTCTGAAGCCTTAAGTGGAGTCGGATTACTTGTAGTACTTCGGTTGTGGCGTATAGCAAGGATTGTCAATGGTACGGAAATAGTGTGAAATCCTCCTTTCACATGTTATTCTTGTAGCTTTCTTTCTAACATATTCTACTATGGAATAAATTTATCTCAGGTATTATAAGTTCCGTTAAATCACAAGCCAACGATAAAATACATCATTTAAGGCGCGAACTTGAAAAAACACGTTCATACCTGGAACAAAAATTAGATCGTAAAGAGGTTAAAATTTGCATTGAAATTAACTTACAAGATTGTAGCAATAAATTAACAACAATAAAACATATATGATCGTCAAATTTTCCTTTAGGCTGAAATTCAGCTGCTGAAAAAGGTATTAACGGACAGAAATATACCAATTCCGAAACCCCTTCTCGAGGTAGATTTAAATGGAAACAGTACTGCTCAAGCCAACGGTTCAGCATCGGAAGAAATTACTGTTGTAAGTTACATGGATTATTTAGTAAGGAAAAATTTTCATTAATAATATTAAATACTGTATATTATAAGTCGATGCAGTAGCATGAAAATTTGACAACGAATAAGTTACTTGATATTAATAAATCATTCATTACATTCAGTAATTTTTTCATGCGAATTAATTAATTATAGGATATTGCAGGCTCGTCAGCAAAGTCTACATCATCGGCTTACATTGGCTAAGATTATAAATCTGAGCTATTACAGTACGTTTAACGTTAAATTGTTAAAGATTGAAATCTGCTTTTATTAAAACAAAATAATCGTTATGTGTTTGTAAGTACGTTACAAAAATTAATAGAATAGAAACACACAATAAAGTTAAAACAGTTCGAAATAGTCAGGTAATTAATTGCTATTGTAACAGAAACTTAGTGTACAAATGAAGCTAGCAATAATTTAGTATTACTATTACCCTAACGATGCAGTTATTATAGATATAGCTGTTATAACCTAGACAGTAAAATGTATTTTAGCCTACAAACTTTTTACACTATAGATTGTGCTCTATTATGTACTATATCTTAAAATTTATTTCCCAGGGTGTGTGACTTATGTAGCGATTATAAATCTACATATGGTGTTGTACGTTTATGATAACCTGTTGCAAATCGATAATTCTGCATTTAACATTTTGTTTTATTGGAGTGTTCAATGACTTCATCCTTTAACTTATGTAGGATTTCTTTTTATACGAATATTTAGCTTGAGTAATTGATATTTGCGACGTTCGCACTCAATATAAAAGTATTTTCGAAATGCTTAAACGAGGACGCACAGTATAAGGCGACTTTGCACAAACATGTTGTGCTATGTGGTGTAAAGATCTTGACTTTATCTTATTCACTTAGAAGTAACTTTTTTTTACGAAATTCTATTTTAAGAGTATACATATCCACTATAACTAAAAGATATCTTAATCCTTTGTGTAATTAGTGATTTTAATTTTAATCTTGTTACTTACTGGGCCCTTTAACAAAGGAAAATGTTCATTTTTTGAATATGTAAATTCAAGTTATGACTATGGGCAATAAAAACAGTGTTCTATTGTATTGTCAATCCTTCTGTTACAGATTAGCGTTTTAAAAGCAAAAAAATGTTGCGTGATCATGCCACGATGAATGATTGTTAATTATATATAAGCATAATAACTTTATCGCATGACTTGAAGCTGATGACGAATAGCAAGATACACATGTTACAGATCCATTTTTATTGCCACTGAAGACTTTGTCAGTCCATAGTATCAGCGATACTATGGCATACTGGATCAATCTGTTATTGGTTACTACACTTAAATATTTAATGGAGGATACTAGTGATGGTTATTTGAGTTTGCTTTGGGTTATAACTATTAATCCACTGATAATTATAATGCCAAGGTTTGTAGATACTGTGCTTCGTTTAAACTTGAAAAATTACTCTATGATGGATTATGTAAGCCTATGGAATAAAGATTGAGCTGTACTTAATATACTTTACTCAATTAAGATGGTGCAGTTTTAAGAAATCAGAAAGAGAAATAGTTTTTTTGTAATCATTTAATTTACATATAGCAATGTTTATTTAAAAATTTTTTAAATGTTGATGAAATTAACATAATCTCCTTTCTTATATATGTCGTAAGAGAGAAAGTAAGTACTGTAACTTTATAAATCGTTGATAGTAAGCCAGTAATTATGCATGTATGTCGAGTAGCTTATGTATAAAAATAAGAAAGGATTTAAAAGAAAGTATATGCAGTAAATACATTAGTGTTACTAAAGTCATGATAAAACGTATTGTAATACCAACATATACATGATTCAATCGCTATAATTCTTATTCTTTTTTAATCCTTATATGAAGAAATTACTATTCGGTAAATACTAAAGAAAATAACTGAATGTACAATATCATTCTGGTATTCATTTGTAGTATAAATAAATCTTTACTTAAATTTAGCAACAAATATGAATATTAATCTATTACATTATCGGACACTAGTTTTGCGAGTCCTTAGTACCATTTTTGCTTACAGGTTCGATTTCAAGTTATGTGAACACCTGCTAGAATGCTTGTATAGTTTTTTCACCGTAATGGTAAAATTTTATTGTAACAGAAGAATTCTCTAATAGATGATTACTGGACGATATTACAACGGTACCTTTGGTGTTATTACTAGCTACTTATCTGGTTGAGTAACGAGCATGATGCAATATAGTCATCATGTGATACGGATTAACAAACAAACATGTGAAGATCAAATACAAAACTTGGTAGGAATCTTCCTATACGCAAGTATGTAGTAAACAAGTTTTCGCACGTTAATATTGCAATAATAAGAAACCCCGCAAGGCACTACTATTCAGTTTTATAAAATTTTAGCTTGGTTATAATATATTCTTTAATAACAGAACTATAGCTTAATCACAATGATCAAATCTAAGCCATCTTATAACAAATTATATATCTTCAGGAACATTGATATTCTAAAAGTATCAGCTTAGGCTTCTTGTTAGGGTTAGGGTAAGAATACATTTGACGATATTTTAAACACAATCATTAAATATGGCCACTGTATAAGCAAATATTGTTACCTAATTATTCATTTACTTTATCATACTAGTGTCAATCTTGTTGGAATTTCAATATGGTTGAAGTATGGGCATCGAATGGTATATCCAGAAGAATATCACCAAAATTGATATTATACCTTAAACACAATAACGCTGGCTATATAAGTCAGTATTAATACTCGTAATTATTCATTTACTGCAAGATGCTGCTGTCCAACCCTAACGAGAGTTCAGGATGGCTAATGTATAGATGGTGAATATAAATATTCCAAAAAATATAATCAACTAGTACTTTAAGCAAGTATTAATAGTGAAAGTCTATTGATTTGTCTGGAATGTAAATTCATCGAGTAGTAAAGGAGTTTCTTACCATAACGAATGCTATTCTGAAAATATCATTAATCGGCACTTTAAAGCAGTAATTGATCATCATAAAAGTGTCAATATTAAAAATTATTCATTAAGTGCATGACACTACTGTCTAATCCACATATGATTTGAATGTGATTAAGGTAGGTTTTAAGTATACTAATGAATCATTACGATTGCATAAGAAGATCTCGATAGTAAAAGTTACTCACTTACTACAAGCTATAGCTATCAAAATTTCTGATTTTAAGGTTATCTAACATATAGGCGATAAAACTAAATCTTTATCGTGATGATCATGTTTAATGAGGTACAGTAAAATCTTTATTCTAATGAATACTCATACTCTATAAAATTTTATTAAACAATTCCTTGAAGCAATAATTAATAAATAAGTAAATATCAGTAGAAAGAATTATTAATTTATAATTATTATTACATTTGAATGACGTAATTATTATAAGTCATGAATATCACGACTAGTGAAGTTGGTTGTAAGGTCTATTCTCTATCATATGGTAGGCATATTTTCCTTTTATGCGACCATATTTTCCAATATCAGTAGATCAAAAGAAGTATAAACGAGCAAATCAGTCCTTGAAGACCCAACCTAGCTGTGGCTTAATGAAAAGTATTCATTTGTTCCCTATCACTAATATTTCCAGGAAATATCAGCCAGCCAGCCACTACAGATTTCTTGCTAAATCAGACAGGTCTTGATGACAAAAGGCGAGAAATCCTTACCATTGAGCAATCATCAGCCTAGAGATGTAAGGCTATCGTCATTTATTGTACTTATAGTGCTAATTATTTATACAACATTATTATAGTTAGCAATTATTTATACTATATGTTTTTACTAGTCGTCATATAAAATAGCTTTTCATAGCCAAAACTGATTCTTTGCTTGTTCAGATTATCATTATAAAAAAAGGGAGAAATTTTTGTTACCTTCAATTCGTAATCATCACAACGGTTTGCAGCATTAAACTATCGGTATTTATTTTACTCTTAGTTATTAATCTATATCAAAGTGATCTACGGTCAAGATATACGGCTTCTATTTGCATTATATATTAGCGTTAGAAGATACGCTATCCGATACCCCGAATTAATTGTTTGTATCGAATTATTTTTAGGACATTATAACTTGCATCAAGCTATGACTGATATCTTAGCTACTCAGTCTTTAATTCAGAAGGAGTAAATCTTTACCTTTAGTCAAATAGCATTTTGATGGTCTAAATCGATCGGTATTAGTTTTGCTTAGTACTGTAAGCTATTACCAGCAAGTTAATGGAATAGAGCTTATTATTCAATGATATTTCTAGTCATTTCAAGAAATAAAACATAACAGTGATTGGATTTAAAGTCTTCAACTCTACTGTTATTTTGCTAAACGAAACCCACTATAGAAAATTAAATTATTGTCAAACCATTCTAGGATTTCAATATGAGTAACTCCCAGACAGATATCGTTGATGGGCTATCTACAGTCGTACCAACAGGACCGATAGAAGACCTGTCTACCAGGTATAAAGATCTAAAAATAAGTTATTTCACTATAAAAAATAAATTATACTTTGAAACTGCTATAATTAGGAATAGTTTGTTTCAATGTTAGATACAATTATATGCCAACTCTGATGCTATGATCTTAAAAGCAAAATGATTTTCTACCCCTTATTGGAAATTACGTTTTGTTTTAATTAAAAGTAGAGGATTTCAAGTCAGATATACGACTCATAGCTTATTTTACTGGATATCTTTTGATAATTGATCAAATAAAATAATACTGTTAAAATCTGATTTAACTAGTACAAAACAGTAGCTCTTTTATAAATCAATAGAATGCTATTGCTCTGGCAAGGAGTCTCAACGTTGGCAATATACACTTGATATTAATTGTGTCCTTGATTCTGTTCTACTAAAGGGAGCGATTGCAGCGAATTGTTTTTAGTCATAAGTTCCATACTACAATTATTATTTTAGTAGTCATTGACCTCCTAATCGTTATAGCCGAATTATTAATCGATTTACAAGTTATTGAAAGTAAGTACGCGACTATAGAACGGAAATTGCAGGCAAAACTCTACTACTATCCTAATCAATGCCATTTTCTGATAATCATCGCATAATTTGTTTTACATAAATCCTGTATCTCTGCGTTATATTATCAAGGGAATCGCTTAAAAGATATTAATATTTGATAATTTACTTTGATTAGCCCATCATGATAGTCCAGTGGTACTTGGATTTCATTTTATTAGCATATCCATATTGGGCATCTTTGTTATTGAAGTAAGAATTTGAACTATGACTGAAATTGGAGTACTTTTTTTAAGTTTTCTCATTTTCTCTTCCAGTTTGTATTGAAGATTTACGCCTTTAGGCTTGTATTTTTCTTGTATTATTTGGAAGTTTTCGATGCCCTCATAGTTTGTATCTCCCTTATTCTAGATGTTTTTTACATGTGAGCAATCATAGTATATTTTGGAACAATATTAATTTGCACTTTAACAGAATTTCAACGATTGATTTATCTGTTCATTTAATTTTTCTATTCTAGTCATGTCCACTATTCCCATTTAGCATTTGAAGGTATCAACTTATTAATGATATTGCGGCTATGGCGTATTACAAGGATTATCAACAGTAGGCATGATAGATACAATGATCTTCAATATAAGGCCAATTTGAAACTATCATAATTCTATCTTATAACAACACAGATCTATAAGACCAACTATTAAACGATGAACTAGCTGATATATTTGACGTTTACTTTTATGCAGTTGATCAATTCATGCCTTTTGCTTTTATATAGGTATTGTAGTATCTGTTAAAGCTGAAATGGAAGAAAAACACGATCATAAACTAAAGCAGAAGCGGATACTTATTGCCAATTTGACATCGAAATTGCATCATTGTCAGGTCGATACTCTTGCAATGCTTGATATAAGTAACCATCATAGTTTAAGTTTCGTCTGTTTAGGTGGTAAAAGTGTATAAGTTTCTTTACTATTTACCGTATATTTTATCATTGATTTACTTCCACTCATTTGGGCTAACTGGATACTCATATAGGCGCTACTAGTCGAAAATGATATCCCTATTCCTGAAGATTTGTTATTACCTGATGAGCTAGATGCAACGGAGTATCCAACTGCCATACCTCCAAACAGCTCATCTGTCATTTCTATCGTTTAAAATACAGCTGTAGTGTAACTATAGCTGGGAAGGGAAAATAGATTTTCATTCATCGACTCGATATTGGATGATTACATCAATACTTTTCAACTATAAGCTTTTAATAGTTACGAATTTACTATAGCAAATCTTTACGTAGGCATGGCTATAGAAAGGGGAAAATAAATTTCCATTTATCGACTCGATATCGGATGATTATATCAATACTTTTAACTTTTAAACTTCTAAGAATTACGAATTTACTATAGCAAATCTCTAAAGATCATTTTTAACAGGTTCTGAGTAGCTTTTCTTAAAACCTTTAAATTCAATATGAGAAGGTGTACTAGAACAGTTGATAAAGATAGCCTAGTCCAGTTGTACATACAGATTACGTCTATATATACATACTGTACACTATTTTAATACTTAAGATTTGCCTTGAAAAATTATCTGTGTTAGTGAGCAGTTACTAATAACAATTACTGCATAAAATCGTATAAAAGTTATTGGCAATATACTGTCACATGGAATAAATATCTCCTCTCAGTGACTTTATCATTGTTAATATATGCTCATAAGATAAGTTCTCATATGATGAAACAATCATGAAATATATTCATTACTGCTGTTAAATAAAGTTTTTAAAAATACAAAATTATTGAAGAGATATCTTGTATACGTCCATATTCTTCTCTATACGATAATTCCCACCCAATTCGTTTATAGACTAATTGTATAAGTGGTGGGCAAGGCAACAAGGAAGTTTTAACAAATGAAAACTTAAAATCATGCTATCAATCTCTGCAGTAAGATCTGATAAAGAAACTTTAAAATTATGTCGATAAATTCTCGGTGCCAATTTTAAGATTATACCACTCACATACTGACAAGGTATCGGAAAGAGTCATCTTAATAAATTATATCAAGATCAGTTTTATAAACTTTACTTAATGTATCTAGTTGTATCGTAATAGAAAAAACTTAGTAGCAAAGTATATTTCTAGTTTCAAAAGTAAATTAACTGCAAGCCATCGTATTCCTGCAGAGACAATTATAAATTATAAAATTAAAGCTTATTTAAATAATGCATAAAACTCAGGGATAAGATTCTACGTGTAGAATTTTGGCTTGCATTTCTTGTAAAGCATACCACCAAGGAAACAGATGAAAGAAACTTTGTTAGAAGTTATAATACCATGTCTTGCTACCCTATATAAATATTATATCGGATACATAAGGTACACTAAATAAATTTTCCTTAACGTTCATCGCATATTTCCCCGTAGGCATTTATTATACCGTTTATAAGTATGTATATGTTACGCTTAATACGACTCTTCTTTTGCTTAACAAACGATGTAAAATATTTAGCAAAAGGTGTAACCGACTTTTTACTCAATTCAAGCATTACTCAAACCATGGATTACTAGATATACGTATCTAGAGTAGTCCATACTTAAATTCATCAATCAAAGTGATGACACACTATACCTCATCGTAATACTTTTCATACTATAATTGGGTTATTTAACCGATTCTGAATGTAAAGGTGACTAAAAAAGTACATTCTTGCCTTTGTACATACGACGAATACATCATGTACATATTAGGAACGCAAACTAGGCGTCTAGGGTCCTAATAAGCTTAGGCTTTACAATGAGCCTGTTGTGTAATTCTGAAATTCAAGGTAACAAATCACCCTTGCGTAATTTCGTAACCAAATCCTATTTTTAGAGTGTTGTGATAAGCTTTCAGAGGAATTAAGTCATATTAGTACTTCGTAAAGTCTATACCGATGAGGGTTAAGTTTACGACCAAATTAGACATTGATTACAAAAGTTAAATTTTTTAATCATTAGATCCAGTTACGGTAGAAATTAAATAACTAAATATACATGTACTATTTGGCAACATCATTTGAATGAAAAAGGCTACAATATAATCAAATATAACTGAAGCATGATTAGATGTACAAATAATGCTGCATACAGTTGAACTTTACTATAAATCAAAAAAGATATCCGACAATCATAGTAGTAATCAGCGCACCAATCCAGAAAGGACATGATATATAGATATCATGTCGTTATAAACTTTTGCAGTATACAACAACAATCGAAACAAATATTTACAGTATCATACAGTAAGAGATGGGATAAACGAATCGCTAGCTTATAAGAATAAGAATTTATAATACCCCAATGTGTTTGTTGATCGATTCTCGATTCCTTCAACACTTTTAGGAACTCTGTTATTTTGCAACCTGTAGTGTGACGATCAATTCTAATAAATAAGTGCAAATGTTGCCAAAGCTTCATTTTTATCCATAGTAGTATTAATGGTTCGTTGATATAACAGTAGGACATTTTGAATAGTTTAAAGACAGCGTCTCTTTTGATGGTTTGATTTCAATAATTTTAAACATCTTTCGAAGGTCTATTACTACTAGGAGGATTAGATGAAGGTGTTATTATTGACGCCAGGTTGCCAAGGCAATTGCGTATAAACTATTAAAATCAAAAATAAATGATTCTTAATAAACAGTAACATCAGTTATGATAGTTCCGGTAATAAGATGGCTTTGCTTACTTCTTGTTCGTCAGGATACATTGTATTAGCAAATTCAGAATCTACTGTATCTAAAAAAATTGAAATAATAGGATCTTTTATACTTCAAATGTCAGCTATTAATTATCTTATCATTATGATGCCATTCATGTTACATCATGGATAAATTACTATTAATAGACAAGGCTTAATCGACTACACTAATACATACGGATGCATTGCATTAAAAATAACATAGCATATCCTTTTATCAATAAAATGAGTCTAGTGTTAATTAATTAGATTCCCTTCTTAATCTACAATAGAATTGTAACATTACATCAAAAACACGACGAATTTATGCTGCATCCTATACTAAAGACAATTTATCGTACCATAAGTTCCGCATACATAATTATTCATTTCAGGTGCCAAAGACGATGTTATAGGTAAATGTGGAAGTAAATTATTTGGCATAGCATTAGGCAAGTAATTATTACTTCTCTGGCTATGACCAGGTACAGCGTATAAATGATAATCAGGGAAAACGGTTGTAATAGCAGCAGAATGATTTGGAATTTCCTGCCTTTCCCTTTTTTCCGGTTGACTATCGGACTTCAATCTTTTAGGTTCTGGTGTATCACTGTAATTAAAGCGAAAACGTTAAAATTTAGACAAGAGGGATGATATTTTGTGTCAAAGGTGACGGAGACAAATGATAGATAAATGTATGGTATTTATTTCCAAAAACTTACCCTTGAAAGTCAGTAAATAAATCATCAAATGGAACATAATTATCATCTTCACTGTCACTACCAGCGGTCAGGTCGATGACCTCAACCGATTTATTATGTTCTTTGGGCTTGTCTACAAATCATGACGGTCGATGTTAATAATATTTGTATTAATAATATCTCATTTGGGTGCTAGACAGTACCTTTAACTACATGTGCAATTTCAACTGTATCCTTAATCACATTCGATGATTCTTGGAGATGAAAAATATAGTTAGTAAGACTTTATTGTAAACGTTAAAACACGAGAAGGGAAAAAATTTTTTAGCTGTCATTATTTACTTTCGTCTTCATTTTCAGCAGTCCAAGAACCATCCTCATTGAATGATATCTCGAGTACGTTAGCGGGAATCGATTCAATAATTTTACGACAATAACTACATAGAAAAATGGCGTCTTACTAAATATAGCAATTATAATAGTTTGTCTATAAACTGCATCATCCATAAATCAACATACTCATCTATATACAGTGAATCAAAATCAATTCTTTTTTCACAAATTGGGCAAGTCCAGGTTGATTTTCTAGTTTTGAATATTAGTAGATATTGAAGTAAATTGTCGCTAAATGATGATCTACCGTGTAAATAATTGAAATTTTTGAAATGCTAATTACCTCTCATTCATTCTTAAAAATGACATTGCATCAAAGCATTGTAAATGCTTGCATGAAGAAGATCTTAAGCAGGGATACAAAACAGCATTTATTAACTGATATATTACAATTTTAGAATATAGCGATTGATGGTTGATAAGCTAGAAATATCAATTGGCCGACATATGACTACTTACCGGCAAGGGTAGGTCATTAGATTTTTCATTAACTATAAATATAGCAAGTGACTTATTAAACGGAATATTTTTAACAAGATATATGTTTAAAAAACAAAGTTTTCTTACCGGACACTGAAGAGACATGTTTAATTTGGTAGTAACAATAACATCGGAATTTTGCTTCAATTTCTCTTTAACTATAATGAACAAAAGAAATATAGCAAGTATACATCAATTGCTATTTTTACAGGGCTGAAGGTACAAGTTTAACAATAACAATGTGCATGTTAACTAACCTAAGGATATTGTCTGCTCTTGACTTGCATCATCTTTGTCGAGAATTTTTTGCAAAAGTAATCCTGGCGTCGATTGTCGCACCAATATAATGCTACCGTAATATTTCTAATTTGGTCAAAATGCAGAAAATCAATATTACAATAATTTCATGGACAGTGTGAGTACACTATAAAATAATACGGTAGAGGACATAAAAGAATTTATACTAACTTCAACAGTCAGTGGAGTGCAGGAAACTTTTACTCGGTTAGTATAATTTGGAGTGATATTAATATATTGTGTTATATCAATCGGCTTTTTGGATTTTTTTGCTGTACCAGATTTGGAATTGTTAGATGCTGAAGGGGCTATATTCTTTTATTTAAAATTGATTACAAAAGTTGAATTAGAAATTAATGGCTGATTGATTAATATTTGGTAAGTATGACATTATAATACCGGTATTGGACAAGAAGATCCGTTAGCTTTAACACATAATGCATGGGGATAGTAATCTGCAAAGAGGCCATTTGAATCGACTGTCCCCAATCTGATCGATTAATATGAAAAAATTGGAGGTAATTAATAATTTAGATTAGGTATTGGATAAATGATTTTAGTCATTTACTGTTACAATTGAAAATATGAATTAGTCTTTTACCGGAGAAATAAATGATGAAGGCTTTCATTTTCAGGCTTATTTATGTGATGTCTACAGTGCCAAATTTAAATAAGTCATTATTTTTTAGTAGAATACCATACGTGTATTAAGTAACGTAGAGACTGTAGAAAATGAATTTTTCCTTTTAAAATAGTATAAATACCTAGTTTTATTTAGCATTTCAATTTGGGATGATGACAAGGTAAAAGTAATTTCTTTTTCGTAATACCGTCCTTTATATTTAATATCTAAATTTCGTTGATGGAGTTGTTATACGTACATCAGTTGAGCGATCATTACAGTATAATTCAATTAAAAGTATGGCATGCAATAATACATCAATAGGTCAAGTAAAATGAAATAAAAATGGTCTGGACTCAATATTTTCATTAGTTATCAAGACTAATATTATTGAATTATTTACCTAATAGGAATGTATTAGAAATAGATTCCAATGGCTCATGAAAAGGGGTGATCTTTAATGATTTAAAATCAAGTTTACTGGCCGTATTCAGTGCAAAATGGAATTCGCGATGGCCTTTACTTGTGCTATTATTGAGATCGCCAATATACCAGCCAATTTGATTTCTCGAATTATTATTTACAACATGAAAATTAGTATTGTTATTATTGCTTTGATTGGAGTAGGAAGGCACAACGTGATTATGGTTATGTATGACAACGTGGTTAGATGCTTGATGATGATAGTGATTTCGTAAATTATATATTTCTCTGATTTTAATTTTTACATTACGGCTATCACAAGTTTCCAGTAATTCTAGCGCTCTCGATATTAACATAGGTTTTCTTCCAGTTTTTCTACTGTTGAAGGATGTTAGCAATTGTTGCAATTCAGGAACGCGAAAGTTATTCAGCATTCTCTAGGTATATGAATTAGGCCAAAGCAGAAGGAAAGAAAAACAGGCGAAAACATTAGAAAAGTTGTATTTGTCTAACATTTACAAGTAAAATTTTATGTTTAATGGTAAGGATATCATAATAAAAGGCACAATTAAATGAGGCATATTATGATAAAGACTAGATTCTATACTTTGCACAGGTATAAATAACAAGGACCATATTACAGATTCAACGAGATACGAAAATCGTTTTTGGATATTACAAGTAATCTTCGAGACTGATTGTACAACTATCGACGTAAAATAGAATACAATATCGCTCAATGTATTCGAAGTCACAAAGCGATAACTCTAAGACGCCTGAATTAATGGAATGATCTTTCTTCTAATTTCTTTTCATACTTGTCTATCACTAGTTTAACGAAACTAGATAGTATAAACAGAGGTCATAGATAGTTGATGTTATGATAGGAAAAAGTATTCAGACTATTGCACGTCTGTATCATTACTGCTAAGATTGTTTAATTTTAACAACTGTGGCACAATATCTTGCGTAGATCAACTTTTGATCCCATCATGCCAATAAAGCAAATTAAGTATAATTACAGTAGTATTATACAACGATTTTCAGCACATTATTGTTTAAATGGCCAGCTGGTTGACTGTAAAACGAAGGGTTCAGGCTAAAAGTGTTCATTCCAATGGAATATAAAAAGGTTTGTAGCTTATTTCTAACTCATTACTAATCACGACATCAAATGAAGCTTAATTAGCATTCCTTGCTATACTATCCCTAGTTGCAGGTCATGCTATCGTTTTTAACCCAATGTAATTGAATATCGTAGTATTTTATCCAATTATGTTTATCATCGGCTGGCTACGTTAGCAATGTTGTTGATTAGTTTAATGATCAACTTCTCTTCAGATTGATGCTATCACCATCGTCTAGCTATGGTGTTGATTAGCTTACAGGATTCATTGCGATAAAACTACACTACACAAGAACGTATCATGACGCATTTCTTCAGATTGATGCAATCACCATCGGCTAGCTATAAGAAGGTAGTGTAGTATTTCTCTACACTATGCCATCATAGGGTTAACTATGATATTGATTAGTTTACAGGATTTATTGCGATAATACTCCACTACCCAAGATTGTAGTATTTCATTTATTCAACGTTGCTCTTATCGGCTAGCTATGTTGTGAGCTATGATGTTGATCAGTCGTTACTACGATCAAATTATACTACGCAAGATCGTAGCATTGGTTGTTGATCAATGTGAATTGCGGTAAAACTATACGATGCAAGATCGCAGTATTTCTTCAAAGGATATAATGATCGGCCAGCAATGTTGATTAGTCTAAACTGCGATTAAACTATACCACGCAAGATCGCAGCATTCGTTTAAGTGATGCCATCTTCGACTAGCTAGGTTGTTGATTAAATGTCCATTGCGATAAAACTACATGATGCAAGATCGCAGTATTTCTTCAAATGATACAATGATCGGCCAGCAATGTTGATTAGTCTAAACTGCGATTAAACTATACCACGCAAGATCGCAGCATTCGTTTAAGTGATGCCATCTTCGACTAGCTAGGTTGTTGATCAATGTGAACTGCGGTAAAACTATACGATGCAAGATTGCAGTATTTCTTCAAATGAGACGATGATCAGCTAGCAATGTTGCTATTAGCCATAATGTTAATCAGTTTAAAATTGCAATAAAACGACACTACTTCAAATGGCAGTATTTGTACAATTGATGCCATCCATCGCTTGCCATATTGTTAGTCATGCTGTTGATTGTTTCTAGTCATATCATTCAATAACAAACTTGTTTAATGGTGATGATATACAACACTTTTCGTGCAATCAACTTTCGTCAGGAGATGAATACCAGATTCAAGGCTGCAAGGTTTAACACAATCGGATGGATTACGGATCAAAATGAAGTAAAGATAGCGAGATAGGAGATAAGAATGATTGATAGCGATCAGAAAGGATACAAGTGATAAAAAGTGTGTTTTAGGATTGGACAGCAAGGAGTATGGACTAGAACTCTCATTTCCCAAGGTAATTTCATGGAGAACACCATGTAGTCTACTTTACTACCTACAGTATATACAAGGAATGATCGGAGAAATTTGTCCCAGGTTTATTTTGATAGATACCATGGTGTACTTATTGAGCGGATGATCGATTGCACTCCATCGTCCTTTCTTTTTCAATATCTACTAAGTGTAGTGGCTGTTATTGCTGTGGTTGGAATCCAATGGACTGCATTTACAAATTGCTGTCAAGAAATCGACTACTACTGTTTGACGTTAACGACAATGATGATAGCCAACCTCGATAGTACAACTATCACTGTATGGATTGGTTTATCTCCCGATCTACTCTATTACAAACAAATAATTCATTTTAATGTATACTATTTGATGGATTGGAATCGGCGTCCTATTCGTTGTAGGTTGATTTGTATTAGGAAAGGGATTGAGGCGTTGTAATATTTTCCCTTCTCGTGATAGCCATTGCACTATGGTATACCGGAATCACTGTAAAGTGATCACTTTATTGATAGGCAATGGGATCAAAATTGTAATTTTAATAATCGACTACGAGTATATACTGGATTAGCAACAATAATTGGATGGGATAAATTACGAAACGTGTATATACAAGTCCAAAGTTGGGGAAATTGAATGCTTTCCGTATAATAAACAGGATAGTATGAAAAAAAAAAAAAAAAAAAGTCCGATTGTTTTCGATGTTCCGCCTTGGCCGAAGCCATTTCAATATGCGGTATCGGCGTTAAAATCAGACTTGAAAATATCTGGCTAAGCAATCTTCCATCTGTAGGGAATTGTTGTTGATAAGAAATTGATGGATGATTGATTGTGGCCATTCAATTTCTATTTCCCCATTTTGACGATAGTTTAATTCAACGCTTGTCCTACTTTATCGACGTAGGCAGACTTTTGACTGCAATCATGGGAGAAAAGTATATATACATTGTTATTCCCTCCGGCTAAAAAGTCTCTCCTTCCATCTTAAAAAAGAGATCAACTAAACAAGTCCATCTTGAATTTCTATTCGCTACTGTTGACTACTTGTGGGAATTTGGACCGAAATACACTTCTTTCAGACTGTTGTATAGTAGCGTGATAACAACAGGAATCCAGCAAGAAACAGTGATTTCCTGAGTGGAGGGATTTTTATTCTACTATTCCTTACTGTTCGTCAAGTAAGCATGATTGTTTCACTAGTGGCGAGTTGTCAAAGGATCGAGAGTGTAAGTAAATGATTCTTTTGAATTGGTTTGAATCCGTATGTTGTCCTCTAATTGAAGATTGGGTGGAAATTAAAATAATATGCATCACCATAGGAGTCCTGCTTTGGTAGTTTAGTACAGTACAAGTTGTAGCGACGATCGCAAAGTGGCCCCTGGTTGTCTGTATCACGTCAAGTTTTCAAGTCCAACAGGTTCAAGGGAGAGAAAGAATCAGCAAGGGATTCATGTTGTTCTTTACTCCTATGTCTACGACGCAATCTTTGCACTCATTTTTAGTAAAGTAAGACTCTAAAATTGTAGACAAAGTTGACCGTCTTTCTAGGCAACAAGTAATTGAACGCTCTCTCTCCTTCATGCTGTTCATGATTGTACTATGTTTGTGTAAAAGCAACGTCGTGATTGACAAGTTGGAATGAAACAACTGGAAAATTCTTCTTCTTGTCTCTATTGCTACATTGTAACTTTTATGTCATGGTGAAATAAGGTGATGGATGATTTTTTATAGTGAAATAAGTCATCATGAGGAGTCTAATGCAGTCGTTGATTGGATCCCTTATGATGGAGTGGATAGGATGACGATGGTTCATGTAGTATGAAATTGTCATGCAACAAGAAGAGATTGGATAATGTGGTTGGACAAGTAGAGGCCAATCCATCCTTTGGATTGCCACTACCTTATCCAGTAGGTAAACTATTTGTTTGGATTGCTTGTCGTTTAGGTTATCCACTTTGGCGTTCAATCAAGAGGTCCTTGGTTATGTGGACTATCATTGGCAGTATTGACGTTGTGTAACGATATGGGATAGGTTATTCTACTTGCGTTAAAGATAGTCTGTCCTTTGTAGCTCAAGTTGGAGAACTGGCATGGGTAGGATATCGATCTGATCGATCGACTGTATTGGATGATCAGTATGAAGGATAGATCGAAAGTGATTTTTATCCCTTGTCCTTTCCACTGTTGACAGCGGTCCATGATCAACATGGAGTGGAGAGAGTGCTGGCGTTGGATCGACTACAGCATGCATTACAGTTGAAAGACAAGGCATGAAGAAAGTGCATTTCTCCATCGTATCGACTCGACTCTATTGCCCTAATTGGCATTATCCCCCCCTACTCTCTTTTAAAGCCATTCCAATCTGCTGTCTATGACCAGGAAATGATGATGACAACATTGGCAATCTTGCCAAGAATGAGACAACAAATGAGAAGCAAGACACTAGACAAGCCATTGGCCATGACCCAATGACTCCATGGACAACTTGCAACTTACCCGACATTCTTCATCACTTTCGGTACCATCGACCGCCATATTGCTATCAAAATGCGCTACACGATGATCGCCATATTACCGCCTTGAGAGAATCAATTGGATTGAATGAGCAAATGGGCAGACTACGCTAGAGATACAAGACAAGACGAGGAATTGGAGGGGAAAATTGCGCGTTGTTATCCAACTTAACGCGCACCACATCCACTTTGCCTGGAGCTCCTTTCGCCTCCGTCTCTACAGTCCAGTCACTGTGTTGGCACGGCTCGCCTTCAACCTACTGTACAGTATGCCTGCCAGCCTGCCGTTGCGGACTGTAGACTGCAGGTACAGTATAAAGTACTGTAACACAAGATGCAGTACGTACTGTAAAAGGCGGAGAGTGTGTACAGTGTACAGTACTCGACTACTGTAGGCGAGAGTACTGTACACTGTAGACTCCGGGGACAGTACAAAGTACTGCCAAAGATGGAGTATGTACTGTAAGTCACTGTACTGTACAGTATCATGTACTGTACTACGAAAGGCAGTGTGCGCACAGTGTACTGTACAGTACAGCACTCGACTACTGTAGGCGAGAGTACTGTACACTGTAGGCCCATTGGACAGTACTGTACAAAGTACTGTACTGCCAAAGATGGAGTACTGTACAGTACAGTACAGTGTGCAGTACTGTACAGTAGGCGACTGTACTCTACAGTACACTGTACAGTACTCTACAAGTACAATTTAGGCCAGCAAGGACACCCGGGTCACAGCCCCTTCAATAAACTTGTCTAAACATATCGGCCGCTGCCAGTTGGAAAATCAACCAACATGAAACCAATGGTCAGTATAAAGTACTGTAACACAAGATGCAGTACGTACTGTACTGTAAAAGGCGGAGAGTGTGTACAGTGTACAGTACTCGACTACTGTACTCTACAATTTAGGCCAGCAAGGACAACCGGGTCACAGCCCCTTCAATAAACTTGTCTAAACATATCGGCCGCTGCCAGTTGGAAAATCAACCAACATGAAACCAATGGTCAAATGGAGACTACACACGGTACAGTCCTGGACAGTGTACAGCCGTTTCAGCCCATTTTTGGATAGACTGGACTGTATAGACTGTATCGCAAAGGACGCAACTTATTTCAAGACGTTGGATTGGACATCATTCGTTTATTTACTGTATCAAAATCACTTCAATACGGACGTACGGACTGCCAATGCAAAACGGTGACAGACAATTTTTGCACAGTCACTTCAATCCTTGTACCGTACAGTACTGGACGCTACTGTACTGTACATTCTACTGTAACCTTGTACAGTACACTGGACTAACGTATAGTACAGTACAGTGTACTGTACACTGTACAGACGTCTTTGCTCAATCTTCTCTGCAGTACTGTATACTACACAGTCAGTACCAATACGTACATCTTGTAGGACTGAATCGAAAATAGGAGGAAAATTGTAAAAGAATACATGGACAACATGTCTGTACAAAATGCCGACAATGATGTACACTACTGTAGAAAATCAACCTAAAGCTCCTATGCGTACGGTGGCCCAAAAGGGACATCATGGACTCGAGAAAAGAAAACCTTTGTCTTGACTAAAGTTGAAGTGGCTGTGCGTTACGAGTGTACAACAAGACGTCACCTCAAGCAATTCATCTCTTCTATCAGCTCACCTCCAGTCCCTGGAGAATCCGTTGCTAGGGCATTTCCATGGGTCAAGATGGATCCTACTCTTCTTTCCTTTCCAATCCTATGGAATTTATATCGATCCACATCTTGATCCACTAGGCCACAAGAAGTGATTGTTTACCGCGGCGGCATCCATTTCTAGCCACAACTTGACTTGAGCGGTTAAGCTATCAAGTTGAATGGTAATGGATTGATCGATGCAATCAACCACGTTCTATTCTCACAGCTGCTTTCATCAAAGATGGCCAGTAAAGATCAAGCTTGACCTCGAGAATATAATAGAATACAGTCCATAGTATAGCTGCTTTCATCAAAAATAGCCAGTAAAGATCAAACTTGACCTCGAGAATAGAATACAGTCGATAGTATAGCTGCTTTCATCAATCATAGCCAGTAAAGATCAAGCTTGACCTCGAGAATAGAATACAGTCGATAGTTTAGCTGCTTTCATCAAAAATAGCCTGTAAAGATCAAACTTGACCTCGAGAATAGAATACAGTCGATAGTATAGCTACTTTCATCAAAAATAGCCAGTAAAGATCAAACTTGACCTCGAGAATAGAATACAGTCCATAGTACAGTATAGCTGCTTTCATCAAAAATAGCCAGTAAAGATCAAACTTGACCTCAAGAATAGAATACAGTCGATAGCATCCATCCAAATCTCTTGTGAATTCGATGCGGTACAACACTATTATCGACTATGGCATCCATTTCTTTCCATAACTTTGCTTGAGGGCTGAACTAGCATGCATGAATGGAGAATTGATAGATAGAATCAACGACGGTAACTTCTGGCAGCAGCTTTCATCAAAAATGCCGCATAGAGATCGAACTTGATTGATCTGAATCATAGAGTACAGTCAATAGTATCGATCCAAATCTCTCGTGAATTAGGTACGGTAGAACATTGTTCTCGACTATAGCATCTGTTTCTTTCATCAAGTTGCCTAGAGGATGGAATGACACTCAATGAATGGGCACCTAATCCTGTAATAACATGATTTACTATGACATGCTTTCTCTTAGCAACTTTGATTGCCGATAGAGTGATGTGAAATACTATTAATAGGCATTGGACACCTGATGCTTTGCGACAGCAATTACAGTCAAAAGTCAACAACATACGATGTTAAATTCGTATAGATGCAACCTCATGCTGTAGTTATCGAGGCTAAAGGAAAGATAGCTTTACCTGATAATTGTGTAGGACAATAAATTCGAAGCAAACCTTATACTGTAGTTGTCGAAGTTAAGGAAAGATAACTTTACCCTTAAGATCCTGTACAGCAGTACAAATTCGAATAGAAGCAAACCTCATACTGCACTGTACTGGCTGATAGTAAAGGAAAAAGAAGTTATCTTGATAACTGTGTAATAGAGTGAACTGAAAAATAGTATTCCAAAAATTGCGATTAGCCTGTATAATTAGTATTTACGATGAAAATAGATTTGCGCTCTGCTAATTTTTTTTAAGAGCTTTTCGTTATGATCTTGCGATCTTGTGATCTTTCGACTTTACTCGATGACGTCTGCATCGCCCGGGCGAGATTCTTTCTCGTAAGAGCTCATCACGAATTTTATAATACTATTCTTCAGTTCAATCTATTTGTGTAGTGCAATAAATTCTTACGAAAGTAATCTCATACTCCAATCAACTATAGTATACTCCTTCATCTGCTTTCGACCTTGATCCAGTTATATATTATATAGCTCGGTCTTCCTTTTTATCCATTAAATTAGACTGCCTTATCCCGCATGCAAAAGTCTTTGATCAAGTTGTAACTACAAAATCTATAATCGGCATTCCTTCTTCATAACCGCCTTCGATTAATAATATAGACTATTCCTGCCGAAAGACAGGATGATTGCGATTATGAATACGAGTAGAACCTGTATTATAGAATAAATTTGGCATGGTAGGCGATGAAGACCCTCTAAATCATGAAAACTGATAGCGTATGCGTATACAGCAAGTATGCAATAATCATAATAGAGGACAGAAGGTAATCGAGTAAAAGTAACCTGCAACCCTATAAATCATGAAAACGAATATCATAAGCGACAGTAGTCATAATATACCTAAAGTAAAGTAGTGAAAGTAAATTATGGCCACGTAAACTATAAAAATGAATGTTGCGTATAAGCAGTACGCAATAGTCCTAAGATAGGATACAAAATAATGTCGTAAAAGTAAATTATGATCACGTAAGTCATGAAAACAACTACCATATACAACAAGTATGCAATAGTTTTAACATAGGGTGCAAAGCAATGTAGTGAAAGTAAATTATGATCACATAAGTCATAAAATAACTACCTTATACAACAAGTAAGCAATAGTCCTAATATACTGTAGGGCGCAAAGTAATGTAGTGAAAGTAAATTATGATCACATAAGTCATGAAAACAACTACCGTATACAACAAGTAAGCAATAATCCTAATATACAGCGCAAAATAATGTAGTGAAAGTAAATTACGATCTCATAAGTCATGAAAACAAGTACGCAATAGTCCTAATATAGGGTGCAAAGGAATGTAGTGAAGGTAAATCATGAAAAATGAATGCCGTACGCAATATGCGATAGTCATAGTATAGGACATCTGCTGTAGTACCTTAATGATGTAAAAGTAAGAATTTTGAAACATAATGCATGTACGTATAACTATAATATGTAAAATGAAGAACAAATTCTGTATACAATGTATATGCAATAGTCATAGTATAGGGCAAAAGCGACGGTAATAATAGAGTAAAAGTAAAAATTGAGGAAGATAATGCATACGAGTATACAGTATACTTATAATTAATTCTGTAAAAGGATGTTCAATTGTCCTCTATGTATTGAAGCAAATATTGAAAACAGATTGCAGACGTAGCTCTCTAGCTACTGCAGAATATCAAGTAGTGAGAAAATCAATTCTGATAGTTACTCCTTTACCAACACTAATTTACGCTCTTCTTTTCGATATTCGAACTATCATCACTTCAATAGTGGTATCAATAAGTTAAGATTCTCCAATTTATTATCATAACGCAACATTATAACATAGTTATTTTGAATTATTACAAAATTATATAAGAACGAATTTGGGCCAACAACTTTCAGCATTTTTAAGAAAAGAGTTATCGTACTTGATATCAATATTCATTCATATTATACTATCAGCATAAATATATTATAAATAATCATAGATTCGATATCAATGAGTTGATCTTGTTAATGATATCCATCTAACCATTCATCCATTTTCTGTCAAGATGCTTCCAAATTTCTAAACAGGCAGGCAGGTAGGATGAGATCATGCCAATACCTCCTCTTTAAGTATCCCCGATAATTTACTATCAAAGTCTACTCATTGCTCTCAATATTTTCTAATTTCGGACTTTAATAATTTTGCATTTGCTAAAAATCAAAGCAGATTTTAACGGCAGATATTAGCTTTCTCTCTTCTTTGCCATCTGTTATTATGCAAAGATTTCATCACAGCATTTAAACATTACTTATTGACATCTATTTTATAAACAAGCAGTTTATTGCACGATAGGGTAACTATAAAATGTTACTGTCAATAACACCAACCTTTTTATCCATTAATTGATCACTTAAATACTTTAATTCTCCAGGCTGATTTAAAATATTGTTCTTTTGACTGATCACAGTTTATTAGTAAAAGAAAAACAAATCAGTTAAACAATTAAAAGCTATTTATGCAGAAATAAAGAGCAAAATCGATTGCGAAAATTATAGCAGAGTTATTAAAGCACAGATGAATATAACAGTAATCCTTCAAAGTTAACGGTCAAAATAATTCTTTACAGTAAATGTGATTATACCGTACTCACTTTGAAATATCTTTAACCATTTCTTTTCTTTCAATATTGATATTTCTTATATCGTCATCAGTTTCAGCACACAATCTATCATTGTGCAAAAGCAAAATTCATTATTATTTTTATAGATTTAAAACTACAGTTAATATATTACGAATTATGGAGGCATGGTTGAACAACGTACAAAGTAGAATATATTAATATGTATATGCAATTTGACAATAAGCATTCAAAACTGTCAATATTAAGAACTACCATAGCATATTCTGCCAACGGTGTCTGTGTAAGGGAAATCAAGAGCACAATAAACTATCGAGGATATTACTTCGGGTTATCTACCAAGTTCAGTATAGTCTACAAAGTAAACCCTAGCAGTATAAATGCAATGAGCTGCAAGTACGGTACGGTATTTATACTTTACTCAATCCTTGTCGAATTAATAAAGGATTGATGGAATAGACAACCCTTGGAATATTTCAAGTATAGAATAAAATAACTCATAAGAATAATGAAATAAGGAAAGAATTCGATGTTTTACAAAATATGACCTATCTAAGTTAAAACAAATTAATCCGTAGTAGTAATGTTGAAATAAAGCCTTGATACTTTGATCATCACTGGCTCGTTTACATACTGCAAATAAATCCAGAATATCACAGAGCTAAAATATCAGTCTGATTAAACTTGTATGAAACAACAATTAAGTGTATGAAAATCTAACGTAAATAAATAATTTATGAGTACTCGTTATGGTACAACTAATTATGAGCTATCTATTTATAGATATATACAATGGTAATTAACGACATATTAAATAGGTAGCGCTATTAACATATTAAGATGTATCACTGTAACCTGGCATAATATAGATTGATACATGTTTGTACATATCGTACAGTATAGGGAAGATATGAATGCGATATGCAGCTTTCGAGTTGGATAATACTTATTAGATGCTTAAAAATGATATCAACAAAGCTGACGAGTATATCAAGCTGCAAACGGTCATCTTTCTTATACAAACGCCTAACAGAATTAAAAGTATCACAATCTATGTAGTGTATACCTAATCGGCCTATATACGGTAAGAGTGTTGTAGAATATGTTATATCTACTAGTCAATCAATCGTTGAGGAACTCTATCCTATGAAACAAGAAGTAAGTTGACTCACCTTTGATATTCATCATCCAAAACTTTTGCTTTCTTTTGGGTATCATCAATTAATTCTTGATATGTTAATGCATTTTCAGGAGTGTTTACGTTAAGGAATTGGTACATCAATCAAAAATAGAACGATTCTATATATCATTAATTCAGTAATGACAGACTAAAAATTGATTAGATCAATTACGGTAAATTTCAGTAATTCAATAACATCTAAGGAGAAAAAAAAATCAACCATCACGGGTAAAAAAAGATATGGCAGCTTGGCAATTTGAGTTCGACTTAGTTTAATAGCTGTTCTAGTATCCTCTTGAACCACATTATTTTTCCTTAAGAAATGTGTAATCAATGGGCTACGGCCTTTAGCATTAAACGATACTTTATGAAATTCTTCTCCTTGGCCGATAACATGGGACTAAATTATAGCAGAATAAATAAATGAGTCATGTTAATATAACCTTGCAAGCATACTATCATAATTGTTAGCTCGATAGAGAAATGATAGCAATAGTATCTTTAAAAGTTCAATGGATGTAAATAGCCTTTAGCGATTACCAGTGGCTTCAATTTTCCTTTTTTTGCCAGCTCTTTTATAGTTCTTGTAGATTGTGTACGAGTTGTATTGGACAAAATTCTACTTTTTATTTGTTTTTCACGATCGACCGCTGCATTTTCCATTGTTGGTAAATCAATAGCAGCTACCACTGATAATAAAAAATATTTAGAAGAAGGGTAAGATAAACTTACAATCGAAGAAGATTGTACAACCATATATCTAATTGATAATTCTCAAGGTATTGCTAACTAATTTTCGATCAGATATGTTTCTTACTCGAACATGATTTATCATACTGTATTACCTTCTTTAAATCCTTCTTTCATTAAATTTTTTTCTTTTTCTAGCTTTGTTAAAATATTTTTCGGTTCATCAATATGCCATTTACTCCAAGTACGCGGAGGAGGATGGCAACCTGCAATAATACGGCAACACATTATTTTAAATAACATACTTTAATTTAGTAATTATTTAAAGGATTGAGTGTGCGAAAACACAAATCTATAAAATAATAGCATTAAATGGCTGGTATACCATCGATCCATTCTGATACATAATTCAATAGGTTACTTCTAAACTCTTCACTTATAAACATTTTAAAAGACTCTGGGTAGGCTGTTACAAAGACAGCATGGGCAGCTTGTGCTAAACAGTTGCTAAAATACTAGAAACGAAATAGACAAATTAATTAACATTTCCGTAGATACCACATTTAACAATCTGAATATTCGATCCTAATCGTAATTGATAAATTATCATAAGTAAGCCAATCTACAAAAGTTTAGTCCTATTTTGCTTCCCTACCTTGTAAAAAAAATCTTTAATAGAATCGGCTAACTTTGTTATCAAAACCACGTAACTATCGGAAATTCGAGTAAAAATTCGATCTTGAATTTTGCCATCAGGCTAATATTGAAGTGAATAAGTTATAGAATAAGCATTATTGAACGTTGTGACAATGCACACGTACGAACATATTATTAAAATATGCCGCTAAAATTAAATGATGCAAACGTAGTGGTCATAATTACAAGACTTACGGATACATTCTCGAGAAAAAACCACCAGAAGATATCCTGCCATTTAAATATTTTATAGATATAATCAATTAGTATCCAATTTCACTTTAAAAATGTTATACAGTAAGTAGTTTAAAACATTGACTTTTACTATCATCTATAAAATGTAACGATATCTTTATTGTATACAGTAATCGCTATACTTGTTACCAAAAACATAGCTATTGAAGCATCGGACATAAAATACTTTTTCCATTCTTTTTCAAATTCCGGCTAACGGCATAGAAACAGATTGAATAAGTTTCAACTTAGACTACTATTACATTTACATTGTTTTGTAAATAGAAACATCTATATTCGTTTGATAAATAAAGATTTTAAAACGCAAATCTTACTTTAAAATGCTGTAATTTAGTTACACGATACAGGATTTGTAATGGTTCCAGTTGACAAGGTAGAGGGGTTAATTCGCCGTCTGTAAATCCAGGATACACTGCAAACTAAATTATCAGCCCCAAAAGATTATATATCGCCAGTGAAATGAACATTATTATTATAATATAGTATTCAATATCTTATATGACTTGCAATTTTAACTTTCCTATCCCTTAAGCCAAAGTATATACAATCTAACCTTTATATTTCTCATTCTAATTAGATAGCTTCCATTAAGACCTTTAGCCTATAATACAATAAATAGTCGACTTAATACTTACTATAATAACCTAAACGGCTCAATCTAAGAAATTCGGCAAATGATAATATTCTCCTATACCTGTTGATGAATAGAGGAGACCTTATCTTGAGACAGTGACTTCAGTTCGTGAGAATCTTCACTAACCAAGTCCTGAATGCCTAAAAATTTTGTGAAGATGCCAACATAGCTGCTATCAAGCACTTCTAATTGTTTTTATTATGTTATAAACAACTTTGTAACGACATTTTAGCTAGTTTCTTTTATCAGAAGCCACTTACAGCTGCTAGTTGAAATAATCCATGTAGCGATACTATCAGGTCTTGGAGGAGCCTTAGTTGTTACGATCTGCGACGTATAGGTATTTAATCGACTTTCAATGTTTTCTAACCTTTGAATCACATTATCAATCAAAAATGTATTGAGAGCTAGTGATAATTGATCAGTTAAGAACAACGATTTTGAATGAATTTAATGTCATAATTAGTAACTTAATATATCGCTTATTAATGACAGCAACAGAATGATTTTGTAATATATAATTATAATTGTAGTTTGCACATCAAGTTGAACGTATAGAGGATACGAGCTGAACTCGCGAGACCAACTTTAATTTCTGATGGAGTTCCCAAAATATTTAATACTTCCTCTTTATTAATCCCTAAGGTGTCTTCACCTCTACGAGACTTTGGCCACACTGTGAGCTTATTTCGAATCATCCATTCATCGAGAGTTTTAACAGGGTCTTGATCTCGAACCTTTTTAGTCCGATTTAAGCCATGCGGTGGATTACCATCTGCAGTAGCTGCGTCTTCTTTACTAGTCGTATTGTCTCCACTTTGATTTAACATTATAGATATATCTGATGGGTAGTTAAATTACTATGCTATCAGTCTATTGATCTATTATATTATTCGTCCCAATATATAGGATAGTGTTGGAGTTTATGTAAATGATTTGAGTTTCAACCATCGAACTTTGCAATCAGCGATCCTGGAAATTACGATATCAGTAGGTGATGTAAATAAGTGATGTGAAATAACGTTATTAACAAATAACTACTTTAATTCATTTCTGCTCAACAATATTATATCGACTAGAGCTGAAAAATCTAACCATAATATCAACTAGTAATATTTAAAGTGATTAGCGGATCAAAAATTTGCAAGTAGTTTAGTCTTATATGTACAGTACTTATAGTTGAGAATACGCACCTGGTTCATCGCTTATTACATGAATACACATATGAAGGAATCAATAACGAACAGTAAAACGAAACTTACTTAAGTTAACAACAGTATTTATAAAATAGCAATCTTGCAATTTCAATTTCAATTAATTATTGTCAACCATATACAGTCTGCTTTTAGTCTACTGTATATATTTTAAACGTTATAGTATTATACTGTATAATGCTTTAATAGAATCACTGCGCACAAATAAATAATGCTTGGAATCCATGGTAACCTCTGGTAAGGATTGCTATAGTATTTCATGTCTTACCTAAAGTTCATACAAAACCTCTTACGTAATTGGATGGAGCTTAAAGATCGAATACAATACGGTACAGTCTCTGATCCAGTCTATGGGCTGTCCGATGTCCGGCTTTTTACGTTCAGACGGACGTGCGGACAGGTACTGCCATGAACAGTAACATATATACTACTGTAGATATATACTTATATTTGTCTTAACATAGACCAACAGGTGTGTGATGGCTGCGTACAGTTGGTGTTGACAACAAGTTATTAATATGTAAAGCCTTCAATTAAAGCAGAAGCTGGAATTTTATTTTGACTCTATTTAATAGTACACAGATATGTACAGTGTGAACCAGTTCGAATCAGAGTACTGTAAGGTGCCCTAAAATCACGAGAGTGAATAAAAATGTAATAAAAATTATACGAATATAAAGCTGAATAACTTTCATCTATCTGCATGTATAGAATTTTAGGCAAATTTTGCAGCTTTACTACAATTTATTTTGCCTGATAGCACTCTAAAGAGAACTGGCTCATATCGTAGTTATACTCGTACAATATTTATATGATTCGGCTTTGCACAATAGTAATACTTTATAATATACCATCTTGACATCATCAATTTAATAAATCTAAAATAAAACAGGTGCTTAAATCGTAAATAGAGAAGCTCGGCCAAGACATTCGCTGTGACGTAACATTTGTAATTCTTGACAGTATTTAAATATAAAAATGCTTGAGAGTCTGTATAGGTGTACTCGTATCAGTCGTATGTATTAATGCTAACGATTAATCCAGCGGGAATAGGATGTTCTAGGAACAGAATGTAATACATGCTATATAAATTAAGATAGTTGTAACATATGCCCATATGTATTTATATGGTTATATTCATTGGATGCTATTTACCTTAAAAAATTGAAAACATTAGCAACAAATACAGCATCTTAAACCCTCGTAATTAGAATCCAAATGATATTTTTTTATCATTTTAAATTTTACAATACTATTTTAAGTTTGAAGGATATAAGATTATTTAAAACCGGTAACTTGAGTTTTAAGATATTGCTATTTACATAATTTTATCGAATTTCGAACAAAATCCAGTACCTTATTAATTACTTTATGTACTATAAAATTACACATTTATACACTAGTTATACGAGTCTGAGGATAAATTTATCTGTCACGTTTGATAATGACATAATCGATATTTGGCTTCTATTTGTTACAGAGCTTCCATAATCGTCCTAGTATCTTTGCAACTATATACTGCACATATTTTTAACCTTCGTAAGCGTTATAAAAATCTGAAACACATTTCTATTTTTAGAAATGGCTCATTTGGCAGGTAGAGTCATAAAAGATTACAATTATTTAATTTAAAGTAGGTAATATAACTGGAATATCCTAATTAAAAACAACCGCAATACCGATTAAAGATATTATGTTAATTAATACGGAAAGATTTAGGTATTAGTACTCTTATTGCGTTTGTGAAAATCCCCTTGAAATAGCGGTCTCTCGCCTTCATTTAATAATATTTTCATAGCACGATACAAGAGATATGCTCCTAATTTACGCCGTTTCACGTGTACCCATGTTCTAGCTACGCCGTAATAATCACCTTTCCTTTCATTAGTTAAATTACTTATACCTGAAAAGAGAAGATAATCTTAGAATCACAACTATTTTGACAAGCAAGCAATTTTAAAAATATTACATCCTAGATGTTGGTTCAATCCAGTCTTCAATTTACCTATAGCGTCGATCATTGCTGCCTCTCTTGTATAAGCTTCAACCGGTATGACACTTTGAAAGCAATGGAGAGATATAATACCAAGTCCTTCATTCCAAATTTCTTGGATTCGCTCAACTTTCTTTCCAGATTTCTAACAACAAATGATACTTTTGTTATTTACAAGGGACTTGCAATCATTTAATTCGATACAACGAATTTATTATTTATTGCTAAAATAGCTGATAGCATTTATTGAATACCTTAGCTGGAGAGTCTGTTGCTTTTATAGCTTCATAAAAATGAGCAAATGGCCGCGCTTTCTGACCTTTACCGATGTAGAATACAGCTCGTATAAAATCTTTCATCAGCTCGGTGTCGCTACATCCCTTGCTTCGTGAAGGTAGATTTCTAGAAGATACAGTAAATTTTAAGCTATGTTTATAGAATATGCATGGTGTACAATCAAGATTACTGGTCCCTTTATTTAAGTTACTTTGTAATACGTGAGTCCAATAAAAGGTAATTGAACGAATGCTTGGCGGTTCCCTCTCGCCACTTTCGATTTGGATCTGGGTGTTGAAATTCGGCTTTCAATTCTTGTTCTAATTTCGCCATATCTTCCGTAATGTTACCAGTCTTTAGTAATGTTGAAATTTCTGGTGGATACTTAACTATTATCGTAAAATACACCATAAGTTACAAGGATAGCCAATAATGTGGAAAGTAATTAATTACGAAAATTGCATTACAGCTTATACTAGATATAGGAATTCAGATATTAATGCTTAATTATTAAATTTTAATCTTCTAGAAATGGTATAGATTCATACTTATTGTAGACTTTGAACCGGCTTGATTATAAATTTGCTGCTTTAATTTGACGATGTAGGTAAGATACACTTTCTTAGTTGTTGCGGTAATCGGTCCCGGTATTTCCCCATAATCTTTGAGCTCCTGTCGAATTTTGTCATTTGACCAAGATAACATAACAGAAGGAATTTCTACTTCTTCTTCAAAATTTCCTTTACTCAGATCACTACTCGCCAATGATAAACGAGAGCATATTTCGTTCCAATCGTATATGATAGTATCACTTTCTGATTCTATAGAATTACCATCTGATACATAATTCGACCAAATTTCTTCGTCAGAAGGGCCCTCTTGTTGCAAGGTAATTGCTTCACTTGTAGCGTTGTAGCTGTCGTTTTCAGTTAGATTAGTGACTTCCAGACTTGCAACTTCTTTATTTATACGCGCTAAATTTTGATTGTGATGATATTTTGGTGATTTAATCTCTGGTGTATACGAGAAAAGCTCGTTTGTTTCTGATTCATCACTGACCGTACTTTTGTTAAAGCTGTTAAATTTGGTACTCAAGTTGTGTTCTTTATTATTGATAGATAGTTGTTTGCTGTTTTGGTTAGCGATATTACCATCTGTGCTGATAAGCAATTTATTCTTGATAGCATCTGAAATCTCATCGCTATCATCTGTATGTTTATGAACGCAAGGATCAATTTGATTTACGTCATCGGCATCGCTACATTCTATAGAAGAAATGGAATAAAAACTAGACGAGGATGATTGAAAGGAATTAGACACCATTTTACTTAGTTTAGCTTGTGAATTATTTTCTCCAAAGCTATTCAAATACGAGTATGAATAATTTTCCAGCCCAGTAACGTCACAAAATGTTGAGTCGTAATTCTCACTTACATCCGTTGGGTAAACTACAGAATCAGAACTATCTAAAGAAAGTTGATCTATTTGCTCCGAATTTAATCGAGGGCTACTAGTAATAAGCGTCAAATTGTCCAGTTTACTATTCTTCGCCGTTGAATATGGGGATTTATGCGTAGTACCAGCTGTTTGATAGTAACCATTATCCCTCGACATTTTCGCGAATGAATGTTTGCTATTGCTCTCGTATTCATTAGGCTTGTTTTCTGGTTGAGGCAAGTCATTGCAAATTTGGCTGCTACTGGTAAATTTTATAATGTCGACATTTTCTTTCTTGTCATCATTGTCGTTAAATATTTTACGTCGAGCAGAGAGTAATGATGCAGCATCCAATTTCCCTGATACTCGACGCTTTGATTTACCATACAAGGAGCCAGTAGTATATGGTGCGCGCTGTATAACTGATTTGCATATCGATCGATCGTCGTCGTTGGTAATGTCATCAATTAGTTCGGATACAGTTTGGCCACAAGCTGTTGTTATCGAGGGATCTCCTCCATGAGAAATGAGCTGTTGAAGGCATCGAGGTCGGGCCCAAGCGGCTGCTACGTGTAGAGGAGTTAAGCCTTCATCTGTTGCACGTAGATTTGGATCAGCACCTGCTCGCAACATTGTAGCAATGAGAGCCGATGCATTTTGGGGATTAGCGTTGGCTACAGCTAGATGAAATGGACTTCCGAACGTATCATCTGGATGATTTGGATCTGCACCGAGTTTGAACAATGTCGCCATATATCTATATTGTAATTGATAGACGTAGAAGTTTGCTTAATAAATTATGCTTGTTAAATTATTTTTGCTAAATTACGAGCATCTTCACTTTGTCTATAAAATTTTTGTCGGATTATAATGAAGTGCAATTTCATCATTTCATTACTCATATGATATTAATACATGACACATTGCAAGGCTTTAACAGTTTGTCACGCTGTGTACAATTATTCCATGATATTTCTATAAAATATCGTAGCACTTTTGTACAGTATAGTAATTGAAAGAAAGAGTGGTAAGGCATGGGAATCTACAACCCTACTACTAGGTATCTGATCAGTTTAGTATCTATAATTTAGGATTTAGTTATCGATTACATAATTACATCTAGTACACGATAAATTATAAATTACATCAATTTATAATTACAATTTATTTATCCGGAACAATGACGATATACGAACACAGTATACTGTGCAGTAATATCGATATTTGTACCATCAGAGACTTATAAGACCCTAGTGCATAGTCGTGACGTTACGATAATCCGGCTTGGCTTATCTACTAGTGCCGATCTACCGAATACAGCATAGGAATATAACTTTTGCAATTGATTTTGGCAATGTTTATATGAGTGGTTTAGTAAGTATCATCACCTCTATAATTGACGTTTAAAATATTATTAACACCCCCAGTTAGTGAATTAAAAGCGGAGGTTACGCAAGCTTTTTAATCAACAATGTTTATCACCTCGGCTAATTGCTAATCCACTGTACATGCATTTTATGATTGGCTAGATGATTTTCAAATGCTAACGGGGACAGCTAATACTGCCGATCTAACATTTCTTATTATTTTACAGTCGATAGCGTTGAAATAATGAATCTTTGCAAAGTAGGATCTTACCAAGTGAACACTTTACTGTACTGTACTGTATACTCTGCGTATTTTATTATGAACGACGTGATATCAAAAGGGATACAGCAAATGTTGACTACTATACCTTAAATCTTCTTTTTCAATTGCTCTAATCAATTTATGTTGTAAATGATCTTCCGCCATTTTGAAATTTTTTACTGATGTCAATCTATCGCTACGTTTACTTAACTACAGTAGAATTGAATAAGGTTCAAAATTATGACTGTAAACTGTAGCTCAGTCTGGCCATGATCATGTATAATAAATAATAATAATAATAATTCAACGTCCTATCTAAAGTATGACAAGGTGTACAGCATTATTTGACTAACATGAAAATTGTAATACTTGTATCAGTATTGGCTACTGCCATAGCTAATGTAAAAATAAAGTATGTATTGATGTCATAACGTTAATATCTTCTGCATAACAATAATAATTAATTCTAATTACGCGTATACTAATAAAAGCATTCAAAACAAGAAATTTGCAAAAGTCGTTCTGGTCATTTGGCGTCTTCAACGGTAAAAATGGAATTCGTACTATTACGTCGACAATCAACTTAATAGCAACTACCGGTAGACTGTATTATAGTTATATCAAATGATCTTCATCATTACTGTTCACCAAGAATCATAAACCGATAGCGAATAGCAATTTCATGGCTTGGATCCTGTTGATAGAATGTTTTACAGCTGCTCGCTTGTGTTTTTGCTCTAATTTTAAAATTGAATCCTGGTTAAATAAATTTGAATTTGGTGCGTAAAAGCGGTATAGTACAGTATAAACACCGTGGCGAGCAATGCAGTGCAGCGCAGTTCAGTCAAAACCTATTCTCTTTGAGTGGATCCTGGTACAGTATAGTTTGGTATCAGAGATGTACTGACTGACTGACAGGCGGACTGGATCGCGATCAATTTGAATCAGATATCATAGACGTACTGACTGACTGACTAGATCGCAATACAATGATATACATCCAGTTTGCCTACTTTAACTAGTTATTATGAAGAAAATAGACATCGCATGCCGATTTTAATTGATGAACTATGTTATTTCGATCTTTCTCTACCGATTGATGTATAGTTTGTGCAGGATAAAGGGAATCATTGATTTTTCTGGTTAAAATTTATCGGCTAAAATACCTTCGACATACTGTACTGTATACAGTAAACTGAAACTGCGATATAGTATAGAGTATTGTAATATTCTCGTATGGCCTAATGAACACCGATACTGAAATGGCGTTGATATACGAAGTAGAGTGATGGCGAGAGCAATTAAATGGAGTAAAAACACAACTCGAACCCAATCCAATGATTGATTTTCTAACCCGAAATGAGAGCAATTGCTATACAAACACTGTATCACCATGGAAATTTTTAAGCCCAATCCCCCCTCGAGTCGGGTTCAAGTCGGGGCTTGACTTTGAAGGACACTGGTAGTGGAGTTTTTATACTGTACAGTGGTCTGGTCTACGAACTAATCCATTTAATTAGGCACAGATGTTCACGATTGAACGACGGGATTCTCTACGAACATGAGCAAGCTCTGTCGCTGAATACAGTACTGTACAACTCTCATTTACATTTGATCATAGGAATGAGCTGTAGAGTACCGTAGCAGCTAGAGTTTTCGCCAATGATATTACTTTCATCTTTAAAATCTGCATGAGTTTGATATTAAAATCGAGATTTGTAATCATGACAAAATGAACAATATTCATGAAATCGCTGATAGATTGTTGTGACTCGAACAACACTTCTTTCTGAAAAATTGCTAATTGATATCGTTGTAGGATTATAATTATACTAGACATTATAGAGAATATCTTGAATATTATTTGGCGGCAGCTATTTTTATATACTGTGTATTGAAACTTGTATCGTTCAAATTCAACTTCCTCTACTAGATGTAATGATATCAATAAATAGAATGAATTTGCAACATTTGAACATCCTTTCCAAGAGTATCCAACTTCGAGGATTGACCATAACAGTAATAAATATTTTGCTCAATGGTATCCACATAGACGTGGTGCAAGAATTGTACCTACGCACAGGAATACCCGAAACAACGTAACAGAAAATTCTTCTTCTTTTACACTCGTTGGTAATACTACGAGAATGAGAAAGTGCTCTTTTATGGTAATATCCAAAATAAGCTCAATTCAATTAAATGAGTCACGCAGTTGTTGATAAAAATCGAGCTATTCCATCAAAGTAATAATTGTACTGCAGGGAAAATGAAAGATAAAGGTAATTCATTTTGAACAAGTAATGAATGATAATAAATACGAGTATAATATTTCAATTATTGAAAATCACTTTTGCAAATGGTACATTGTGGCAAAGAATTCGATCAGCTTATCATTTGCCGAGGATATTCTGTCGCGATCTGAAATCGATGTATGACCCTGGATATAGTTTTTATATTGACTGGCTAGGCTAGGCTGTTGCAGAGATCTAGGTCAATATTATTGAGATTATAATTGCGTTGATGTCGCATGTTAATCCACGCTGTTCTACGATATCCTTACGATAGTTGACTGCAAGGTATTTAGCAAAAGCAATTTAAGGAAATGAAATGCGATAGTAATGCATTCTTGACTACTGTCCATCTATACTCTCTCTACGAGTGCTGATGAAGTCATTCTATGCTGTATTGTGAATTTAGAATGCGTTACTGCTGAAGTTGTTGTTGATGAGTTGAGGGACTACTAAAGAGAGTACCTACTGAGACGCGAATGCTATTCTAAACCTACTTTCTCCTATGTTCTATTTGATGATGACGTATTATCATCCAATGCTACTTATAAGAATATTCGTAAGGGCTGCTTCCTTCTATTATGCTCGTACAATACTTGGCGACTTTTTAATTTCAGAAAATGGAAGTCAATTGGCATTTAGTGCATTTATCTTCTATACTACTACTGTACGTCGACTCTACTGTACGCCTTGAAACAAAATGAGAGCGGATGGTGTTGTTATTGATGGTAATACATTCAAAATGCGACTATTTTCTCTACATCGCCAAACGAACTAGATCTAAACTAGCAATTCTATTTTGGCTTTTGCTGTCAGTATGCCTAACTGTAAATCAAATCAAACAAAATCAATCAATCAATACTCCATTTCTTGGGAATGAATGGCGATGTTGTGCTTTAATAACGGATGCCAGTACTGACAGTGATATGCCTCAGGTGACGGTCACGCGCATTCTCGAGGCATTCAATAGTACAGTCTCCAATCCAGATTGTCCAGTATGCGCTTGCTCAGTTAGCTCGCTTTCACTGCTACAGTACATTAGTGCATTGACAGACTGTAGAATCATACGATCACGCCACGCCCTGCGTTGACTGAATAACCAACGAGCCATCCACGACAACAGGGCTAAACGATTACTACCGCTAAGGGACTGTCATCTGTGCTACCACCCTCTCGCTAGACCTCTTGCCCATCAATCGATAAACAATACGTCCAATGTTAGTTATCTAGTAACTAGAAAATACCATCAGAAGATGTTATAAGTTAGATAGCGATCGAGAAGAAAATTCAATATAAATCGGATTGTACAGTTGTTTCAAGATGATCTGGTTGAAATTCAATTGGCTTCTAGCAAGCTTATTTATGGTGGCTGTAGTATCAGGCAGTAAACCATGTTGGAAGAAAATGATGAAAAATGGAGTCGTATGTGTTTGTAATAGTAGCTATTGCGATAGTTCCGATCCGATCGATAAAGTGGATAATGGCAAAGTAATTGTTATCCAGAGTACAAGTTCAGGCGATAGGCTAGTCAGAAAGACCGTTTCCACCAGTAACAAACCATCCAATAAGAAGATTTTAACCTTTAGGCCTGATCTAAAATATCAAAAAATTGCTGGTTTTGGTGGTGCTTTTACCGATTCTGCAACAATGTTAATCAACAATGTATCAGCCCGGTTACGCATGCAGATTATGCGATCTTATTATGCCAAGGATGGCAGTCGATACACCATGGGCCGTGTACCTATTGCCAGTACCGATTTTTCAACACATCGTTATACCTATGATGATAACAACAATAAGCCTGATTTTGACTTGAAAAATTTCTCCTTGGCTATGGAAGATTTACATTATAAAATTCCTATCATCAAGTTAGCTAATAAAATCGCTGACAAACCCCTTAAGTTAGTTGCTACTCCATGGACTGCCCCTGCATGGATGAAAACCAATAACAAACTGATCGGAATGGGTAGTTTAAAAGGTCAAGCTGGCGATAATTATCATACTACTTGGGCCAACTATTTTGTCAAGTAAGACAACTTGGTTATGATAATGATGTTTACAAAGAGAGACTCTACATTCAATTAAAACTGCCTCCTTATACTCGTACAGTATACTCAACTTTGATTACAGTACAGTCCTATCGTTGACGATAGTTCTACAGTAGATTGAAAAACGATCGGTAGTGACCATCATCATCCGACCCATGGTACACTGTATATGATATTTATTTATTCTACAACAAAGATGTATTTTCCTTATTGCTAATTGATCGTATTGACATCATTGATGCAAGTACATCAAGTTGAGAATGGAATATTTAAATCCGTAGCTATTATATGGGAGAGGGTCATTAATCATGCTTAGGATTATTTTTATCATTACTGTATACTGTACACTAGTGTACAGTGTATAATATCAACAAGATCAATCGCTACATGCAAATCCAACGCTAAACAAGCGCTATAGGTATTGTACTGCAGCAGAATCATCCTACTGTAGACAGTACCTAAATATTGCTGACAGCATTAGGTATGCTGCAGATACGAGGATGGAATGATTAACAGCTCCTTTCCGTAAAGTTTGATATTTTCCTTCTCCTTATAAATGAGACCTACTGAAATTGTCATACTTATTTTCACTCTCTAGAATGCCGATGATAATTGGACACGATTTGTTGTATCTCAATATGAACACTTTAATTAATTAAAACCTTGACGCCAGTTCCCACCAGAATCACATGATAATCACTACCGTAGTAATAATAATATATTGTAGTCAGAATTGGAAAAATTTCTCTTGAAATTGCCTTAAAAGCCTAGCCATTCGAAAGATCAACATTCATACTGTCATTAAACTTTTAATCGATTGCCTGTTTTAAATGTAATTGCTAATTAATTACTTGTATTTATATACTCTCAATTTTATTGCATATTATAGACAGTATGTGTACATGCTGTACTGTTGATCTCTACGCGTATATTTATCTACAGAGATACATATATACGCGCATATGTATTACGGTAGATAGCGATAATTGACCAATTTAAATAAAAACTGAATTAAATTATATTAGATTATATCCTATAGCAATCAAGATTCTTGACTAATAGTTAATATTTAATAAGAGTAGTAAATTAATTTTAGTTATTGGATTAGATTTTTAGATTCCTATTCCAAGCGAGGCATAACATTTTGGGGAATTACTGCACAAAATGAGCCCACGGATGGTAATACACCAAAGTAAGTTTTATGATTAATAGGTAAACCCGTTTCTTTACTGCATATCCACATGAAGTTAATACGTATTTATTGACAGCTAAAAGCCACTTACATTTAACCTATTTCAAATGGAGAAAATTTTACAACCTAAACAATAAGGATATTACAAAAGTTATCAGATGTCACTGATTATATATAATTATTGTAGACTATTGATACTAAATAAAGAATAATAGTCAATTTTTGTTCTTGTTATCATACATCACTGTTAATAATTGAAAGGACTCATCATCATAACATGTTTATGTTAATGTTGGAGTGTGCTGATATAATTTCTCATCACGCCACTTTTTAATCATTCTTTAGTTTCTCGTTTCAATGTATGGGATTTAAGCCAGACGCAGAAAGAGATTTCATTAAAAAAGGTAAAGATAATATATAATGTAGTAAACTTAAGTATATTGACCAACGATACGGTCTACCTTTTATCAGATTAGATATTACTATATCGCCCGATTTGCTGTATCAAAAAGCATATTATTATACAGCATAAGATTCATTACCACTTATATCAACCTCTAGCATTAAGTTGCAGAAATAATCTCCATCTAGAGTGCTAGAAATTTATAACTGATTTGTTCACCTATGTTTAAATCCATAGGTATCTAATGGTTTTCTAATTACTTTTTTCAAAATCAATGCAGATCTTGGGCCTACACTTGCCAAACATAATTACAGCCATGTCAACCTTATAATACTAGACGACAACCGACCATTATTACCGGAATGGGCCATCAAGGTTAGCGTCATTGAAGAGATTATATATAACTTAAAGCGCGACTACTATATGTTTGTAGCCTAATATTAACTATTCTACTTTGTTTAATTAGATTTTAAAAGACAAGGACGCCCGAAAATATGTCAAAGGCATAGGAATCCATTGGTATTTAGATGTTCTTGTACCTGTTACGGTACTAAATGTCACTCATTATTTGTAAGTTAAACACCATCCGTTCTATCTGCTATGTTATAGTCTTTTATGATATTATAACTATTATAGAATTTTACTACATGCCTATGAAATTGTTCTCCATACAAGATTACATTTTGAAATAGACGACATTTTATCATAGATACATTTTACGTTTTTCGGAAACATTTTAGTTGTATTTCCAACTGATAATTACTTTAGTAATGCTTCATGTAGTATATTTTATTAAGCCACTTACCCTAATTAAAAGTACTGAAGTGTATTAATTATCGATTAGTGTGTCCTCACAATTCAATTGCCATCTTACGAAATTAGGTTTCCGGATGTTTTCATTCTAGCAACGGAAGCCTGTACTGGCACTTCACTTTTCGACACCCCTGGACCACTTTTAGGAAGTTGGGCAAGGGGTGTACGATACAGTACCAGCATTATCGATGTAAGTAGCCTGCAAATCTGATATCGATTTTAAGTTAATGCGTGCTAAACTATTCTTCCCATATCAATGAAGGACTTGAATAACTTTGTGGTTGGATGGTTAGATTGGAATCTGGTATTAGATTTAAAAGGAGGGCCAAATTGGGTTAAGAACTTTGCGGATTCTCCAATTATTATAGACTCTAAACAAGATGTGATTTATAAACAGGTACACTAATTTAATTCATATTTTTATCTCTATAAACATAATTTTTTGTGTATCAATTATGCTAACAATGTATGCTGAAATGTTTTTTTGCAGCCCATGTTTTATCACTTGGCTCATTTTAGCAAGTACATCAACCCGGGCTCCGTAAGAGTTGGAATTAAAGGTGACACTAATAACACGAAGATTGTTGGAGTTATTGACTCTGGCCGGGGCGTTGTTGTCATTCTCAATCCGTACGTAAAGAACTTTTAAGTTTATTGCTGGTTGCTAGTTGTCTCATAAACCATCTTATATCAACCTTTCTAAGCTACCCAATTTATTCTATTTATAGTAATCCTATGGTAGAAAAATTTAGCCTTAAGGTTGGAAATATTTACATCGACATGGAGGTTCCAAAAGATTCAATACAAACTTATATTTTTAATCTTTCTGGTGAATAAAATCCATTGACACGATTGTTCTATCAATCGAAAATGTATTGTAGTCTCTCCTGCTCTTGCAGTGATGTTTATACTGTCAGCAAATTTATGAGCGATCTTATTAACTTACTTTAACATTCCAACAACTTAATATCTAACCGAATCTATTTTTGATAACATTATAATTATACACACTGCAGGTATATGGTAAATTCTATTTGTTATCAGGTAAAAAATCTCACCCTACAGATTGTCAAATTTTTATTATCTTCGAATGTATATTAACATAAGCTATTGCGTAAAATCAATGTTGAAGCAGTTTCAAATTCATAATCGTTCCATACATATTTTTTTTAGAGTTCACGTTAGTGAAATAGTACTGTAATTTAGACCTAAATTATACGGTAGATTATAATCCTTAGAATTTCGATTCTATTTCCTTTTATCGTACAGAGACTTGTACACAATCTTACTATTCAAATGGAATGAATTTGATTCTGTTCATTAATCCATTCTTTTTAAGAAGTGTGTCACAGAATGCAAATAAAATTCGTATTATTATCATATAATGAAAGTTAGTGACTGATTTGGATTCTCGGGCCAATAATGTATAATTAGAGATTAACTCTAAATCTAGTCAATATTTTACAATTGTCTTTGATAGCATATTGCAATTATTTTCTTATGAGACAAAAAAGACTTTGAAATACTATCCTAGCAATGCGATCTGCATTTCCTCTTTGGTATAACTTGCTATTGACACTAGATTCTGGTAGTATGTCATCAAGCATAAGTTCGTATATTTTCGCTTTCTTATTAAACTCGTAAACCGTGTTAACTTTATTACTATTTCGGAGTACTGCAATATAGTTCTAACACGCGATATCACATGCATAGCCATGTAGTCTATTTATCGATCAATTAAGCAAAGAAAATAAAATGGTATACGATTTACTTAATAGAATTAACCAGAAGTAATGCATGTATGTAACCAACCAATTGTATTTTCTCTTTGTGGCATATTCGATTGTAGATAATTTCATAGTAAAAACTGTATAGCGATCATTGTTAGCGATTATATATCCTGTATAAATCGTAAGTGATAACTGATATTGAAAGTTAAACTAATCACCTAAATCATAGTCTTGTAATACCAGATTTTTTTAATACCATCATTCAATCAACTTAATGAATATGAGATGTGAAACTGCAAATTATAGCCTAACCATAATTGACAACAGCTTGAAAAATTATACCTTATATAGTGTATTACAACATAGCATAAAATATAGATGCTGCTTGGTTGCTTTACTATTGTGTAAAGCAGAAAATTAGTAAAGCACTACAGCAATAGTATCCGTTGAATTATAAAGATTTAAACTATCATCGTAATAGAGAACATTCCAATAGCGGACAGCAAAATATTTTACTTCATTATAACCATGATTCTTTCAATTTAAGACTTATTCTTCGGCATACACTTTGTCTATAACATCAGCGTACAATTTTAGAACCACAGGCCTCTTTAATTTTAATGTTGGACCTATTTGCACAAGAAATTAGCTCATTAGAATGAGTGATTATTGTATATATTTCAGTCAATCATTTACTGAGCATAATTCAAGAACCAAAAAAATGATTGATCGATTCTAACCTAATTCACCGCCAGGTACGGAAAAATCTTTCTCTATAATATGAGCTTTTTGTACCTTTTGAGCCCTACTTTTTGATCGCTCATTGACCCTATCCAAACCAGCTTGTATCGCTTTCTTGATAGTATCTGTTTTATCTTCTATTACCTCTTCAACGGTTCTTACTTCAACTCCTAACTTGTGACAAATTTCTACAGCTTCTGGAGTTAACTTATTTGTAGGAGCTGTAGTGTTAGGGTCTACTTCCACCTAGTTCAGAAATTATACAATTTTAATAAAGCAAGTTTATCGATACAATTACTGAATAATATTAAAATATATTACATACCTTGAATGCAACGAGGCAAGTTAGATACTTTCTTTGATCTCCAACAAGCATAACACTGCTGAGCATGGGGAGCTCCTTCTTAATGTCTTCTTCAATTGGTACTGGTGCAACATTTTCACCGCCCGAGGTTATAATGATCTCTAAATTGTTGAAAACAAGCACGAATTAAAATCTACAAGATTAATTCCTGAATAAAAATACATACATCTAAAGAACTTATATTAATAATTTACCTTTTTGACGACCGGTAATATACACATAACCATTCTAGAACAATTAATCAGAACATTAGATTACTTGTATTAGACATAAACCAGTGATGTACAAATTCTGAAGTCGATAATGTACCGGTAGTAGAAAGCAATTAATACCTTATCTTGTTTTGCAAGATCACCAGTATGTAACCAGCCATTTTCATCAATGGCCTCGTTAGTTTTAGCTTCATTATTAAGATATCCCATAAAGACATTTCGACCAAATCCACAGAGCTTTATTACAAAATGAGCGCATGTTCCAAGTTAATCTTGAATGTAAATAAGCTTATTAACATCGTAAGATGAAGTTACTGACCTCACCAACTCCATCTTCGTCTGGTTGGTCTATCTTTGAATCTAATCCTCCGATTGCAATACCGCAGGATCCTAATTTAATACCGCCAACTGGGCTGAGGGTGAACGGTCCACTGGATTCGGTTAATCCAAATACTTCTTGTAAAGACAAATCAATACTCATATAATATTTCATGGCGTCTTTACTAATCGGAGCGGCACCAACGTAACGTCGTTTACATTTATCCAAGCCCAAACCGACTTTAATCTTTTAATAGGTTAACGATGATGGTTATTCAAATTCGTACGTCTTAAATTATGGCTAACAAATGTTACAATTTCTACTGTGTTTATATACCTTTTTGAAGACTAAAGCCTTGGCAATACCCCAGCCAAATGGAACAGAACCACTAAAAGTAATGAGATATTTCAACATACGTAAAATTTTCAGCTAAAATATAACCTTTGCTATAATTTGCATGGATGCACCTTATGGATTGAATTCAATCCAGTACTTACCCTTCATTTACACTGAGATTACCTCTCAGACCAACTCCTTTAGCCCAATTACCAATCTTCTTCTTCAATCCATGATTTTGCCGTGCGAGTGCTTGAAGTTTTTCAGCTATTTTTTCCCAAACTCTATTAGATTGACATCAGTCAATTAATCAATTTTAAGGTTGCCCATTAGCTCACCTATCCTGCATATTCCAAAAAAATTTTTACCACTATACATTGACTACCTTGGTACACCCATCATAAAGGTTGGGCGTACATCTTTCAATGTATCCACTAGAGTCCCCTATTAAATATAAGATAATTCTTAACATTTCAGTTTATGTTAATGAATTTAAATTCTATAGGTAATCGTACCTTCAGTGCATCGGGCCTTGCAAAGTAAACGCTACCGTGGACAGTGGTTGGCATATAAACTTCAACTAACTTTAAAACGATAATTATAATTTTAGTTCACTAGCATTATATACATATTATCTATTCTGCGTATAAAGCATTCCATACGGGCTTAAATGTACAATTCGCATTTACCTGTGCAGCAATATGGCTAAGTGGTAAATAGCTAACAAATCGTTCCGGACCGGTTGGTGGTAATTCACTATACAACCTATCCCAGGTAACATGGGCAGTCCAAACCAGCTATAGTCGTAAAAATAATTCCAGCAGTTAACTTGATTATCAATTGACAAGGAGGTTGAACAATAGCAATCATAAAGTTCTAACATTGTCATGACTCAACATGGCACCCTTTGGATTTCCTGTCGTACCGGACTAATACAAAATGGTAGAAGATTATATTTAGATAATTTGTTCTATTACATTGTAAGTTAAATACATTTATCTAAAAAATATACCGTGTAAATAAGAGAACAACATTTATTCGGTGTGATATCAGCAGTACGGCTATCAAGCTCTTCATCTGACATATCTTTTCCAAGTTTAATGAAATCTTTCCACTATAAAATTAGAATCTATTGATATTAATTTATCTCCTTTTCACCATATCGATTTAATTAATATTCTTATCAATATCGTTAGAGTTTTGTACTCCTTCACAGGCGATATTTTAGCAAATTATATGGATTGATTTCATGGCTTACAGTATAGATATTTGGCTGTTGCTCCTCAATTTCTCCAGTATATTGAATAATGGCCTTAATCCTTAATGAGCCTTCTGCTGCCTTTATGGAATATTCAGCATGATATCGTTAAGCGTCGAATTTATGAGATCTAATTCTTATTATATCCGATGATGTATATATATATATATATATACCTTTAAAACCCTTTTCAAAGAAGCAGTATTTTCAACAACTGCTATAGCAGTGTTACTATCCTCCAAGATATATTTAATAGCCTCAGGAGAGCTAGTCGTATAGATACCAAGAGATACACCTCTATAGTAGAGAAATTAAATTGTTAGTCATTTTATCGCATTCTTATTGCGATCTATAATTTAATTCTCTGATGGATGCTATTATTTAAATCTAAGTAATAAAATCTAAAATAATAAAATGAAATTTACAAATTCTAATTGACTGTCCTTCCATACATACTATATATGAGTCACATCTCTCTCTATATATAACTATCATTACATTAACATATATAGGAGATCGCACAGCAATAAAAATCTTACCCAGCAAACATGCTACCAAAATTAGATATATACCATTCAGGAGAATTAAAACCAAAGATGGCTACAGCATTGTATTTTTGCAGGCCAAGCTTAAAAAGTTTAAAAAATAGATTTAATAACTTAGAAAGCTGTTTTTACAAGTAGTAGTAGTGATTTGGCTTCAATTCGGATAATAAATCCGAAAAGCAGTCTTCATATGAGATAAACAATAATTGTTACTCCTATTTAACGTTTTTAATAATTATTGTAATATTAGCCAGTTAAGAGTAGACACGGCGTGCTCACGACAGATATTTCCTACTGTATAACGGTATCTAAAAACATCCGTTCTTTAACTCTTCAAATGTAATTTTAAGCTTAAAAGCGAGGATATATACAACCTTAAAAATAAGAATTTACTCTTGATTATAAGACAAAGCGTGAAACCGAATTATTACATTATACCACAATTCTAGGATTGAGCGTCACATAATTTGTTATGTAGATTAGAGGAACCTTCAAGTGTCTAATTGCAATATAATTAGAGGGAACTTGGTGAGAATAGGTATAAGTACAGTACACGGACTTGATACATTAGGTAGAGATTACATTATTTTCTATAGTAACGGAGGTAGGCCATTAAATATTTGATATCCGAATTGACTTGGGTCATTGATTTAAAATTCGAACTTCTGCCTATTTTTATGATATCGCCCAACTTTCCTACCGACTTTAGGAAATAGTGTAAGTTAGCTACTGTAGATGGGCGTGTCTCAACTTGCATATTTTAATTTAAAGCCACGGATGCTCGTACATTATGCGAATTGGTCTTTAATGGTATTAAGCAATTCGCATATTTGCACTAAAATTTAACACCGTTTATCGTTTCCAACTCTGGTTGCTTTAGCTTACATTACTTTTACAATATTAAATACTATTTAATACTAACAGAGCCTGCTAAGATAATACCTTAGTTAAATGGCTAACAAAAGATGGATAATAAATAAGAGGGAAAATTAATAGTATCATGGCGTATATGGTAGCCTAAAAACGCTTTTTATATAATACAGCAGCCTTTTACTGCTACATCGACGAGAGTCATAACCACTATTCTTCTTTACCTATTTCTCAACCCAGTACTAACCTTACTCATACATGTTCCGAGGAGATTTATTTTTTAAGCTCTGCCGTATTTATTATAAAAATATGACAGCTAACTCTGTATCAAATTGGGATCCCTTCCTGTAATTAACATCCATAACCAATGCGCTCATACTCGAACACTAATTCTTAAGTTACCGAGTACAAGGTACTACCGAAATGTAGATTTTTTATGCGAAATATGTCAATCAAAGGTATTTTAAAAATTCATCGCAAAAGTAAAATTGTGGAAAAACAATGAAAGTAAGGAAATAAGAAGGAATTAAAAAGTAGAATACCTTAACTTAAAATTGTAGCACAGGGTAAAATATAAAGCAATGTACACAACATACATGCACGAAACTTTTCGCTGCAGCTCTGATATCTCTGTAATATTCTTCGTAGGTCCATTTCTGCCACATATTGTCCCGGTGTACGCCCAAAGCAATAGCTTTAGGATGCTTTTGAACAATACTGTGAAGCCATCTAAAGATGGTTTGAGGCTTGTAGTTACGGGGTTTATCGTCTCCCATACGCAATCTTACTTCTTGATCGATACCGGTGACTCGAAATGGCAAGCTAGGATCCGCAAAATTTCTTTCAGAGCCGGCCTCATTATGAGCAGCTTCTACTGGGGTAGGGTCAACAGCCTGTTCAACTTTTTCTTCTTGATTTTCCTCTTTGGCTTCTCCGGTGTTATCTGCAGTTTCAGCGGCCTCTTCTTGTTGAACTTCAGTTTTTTCTGCTTCTACTTCTACGTTGGCATTATCTTCGCCAGTTGCATTACTGGGTTCTTCTTGATGGCTAACATCACCGTTCGATTTAACTTCTGCTTCTGCTATTTCGTTACTCTCAACCACAGCGTTATCGGCCATTTCTACTTTTAAAATATAAATAATTATAACTTTAAAAAGGTAACCGTATCAACTCTTGTCAGTAACTCACCAACAAATAGTAGTCACAATGTCAAGCTAGTATAAAAGCGAAAAAGTAAAGTCTTTTATTCAGTGTTTCAGAAAGACGTGCCTAGACTTTGCAATTCGATCGCACCCCGCTAGTAGGAATACGCCCGTACTTCAAAGGCTTAATTTTTGCAATGTAATGATATAAATACATCTATGGAACAACATTACGTCCAATCGTATTTTAATATACCTATGAACTTATTAAGGCCAAAAGGGCGGATATTAAAAATACCTGCTCAACGGTTGTCTTATCTTCCAACTGCGATTTGTTTATAATAAAACACATGCGTTCTAATAACTCAAGTGCTGCACATGATTAGATCTTGGTTGATTATTTATCTAGTAAGACTGCTTTAACAACAATAAAACTTTAAATGGATCAAATGCTAATGTTAATGCTATTTTATATGTTATCAACATGGCCATTTTAGGATAATGCGACCTATCTGTTCAACTTTAACTAGAATCCTTCAATCCTGGCCGGAATTGGTTGCCAACCGCCAGCAACGCTGCGGGTATTTCTACTAGCTACTTTTTAAATCTTGTATACAATCATGTTAAGGATAGTGTATACATAATGAAGTTCACAATGCACCCTGCCCGTCAAATTCTCAACACAATTTTATATTTATTTAATTTTATCAAAACCTAGAGCAGAAATACAACATGAACGCATTTAAACTGTTGTTGATGGTGCTGTAGTAAAAAAAATAGTCATGATGATTTAACTTTGTTGCTTAGAAGAAAGGCTAAGAATGAAAAAAAGTTGAAAGTTAGCAATGTTTAATAACAGTCGTTTAGTTTACGAGTATTCAATTAATATAATGATGGTGATAATCTGGTGAACCCTTGTGAATTTCCAGATTTTATGCCGTTCACCTAGAACTTTGAATGCATAACTACGTTATGAATCATTGATTTATGACTCATCCTATCGACGAATAATTATTACCAAATCACATGCACGGCATAAAATGTGATTCAGAAGACCCGTCTTTCGACATTAACATTTAGCTTTTAGATATACATTAGCGTCACCTATAATTCCGTGTATTTCGTCAAGTATTGGAGCTTCTATTCCTGATTTATCATATCACTCTGTTTTAGTAGTCCGTAGCTCAATTCCACTGCGCTTTTTATTGTGGAGATAATTTTAAAATAATTCTGATGAATAAAAAGCATCAAATGGTGCGAACGTTACACACAAACTATGCCTGATCATGGAACTACGTAGTACAGTATGTTAGTTAGTTATCAAGGTCTAATTAAATTTTTGGCTTGAGTTTTAATTATTCGTAGATATTTTATATTGATGCAATGATCTTGTCACCAGGTATAATGAAGACAATAGTTACAACTTATAACTAAAATTCGAGTTTTTAATGTCACTATTTTAACAAGTAAATAATAATTAAATCTTTTGAAGTACTACTGCACCGTTTTGACTTCTTAACACTTTTAAGGTCAAGTCCATATTTTTTGAAGTGTTTTAGCAAATTACTGTATTAATATCTTGTAGTAGAGTTTTTAAAAATAAGATGTGAATCAACAAACTTTCATCATTTTGCGTAGGCATTGCTATACTGTGCCAGCGTCTGAAGTCTTAGAGGTATTGGAAACCTCTTACCTCCACGGCTTCAACCGAGAAATAAGTTATTGTAGAATGAAACTATTACAAGATTTTATCAGTATACTTTACTACAATATTGGATGCTGGTAATTTAGCAGTTACTATGGGGTATATTTGAATACTCATTCCCTATACGAATATCGATATGATATTGGATATACCCGTCTTTTCAAAGAGATAACAGCTATCTATAGTTATTACTCTATGATTGTATTCAGCTTAAATTAATGAGCATGTTAATTAATTAATAGCATTAACTAATAACAACAGTATAATTTTCTGGTAATTAGATACGTACTTTTACAGTATATTATTATTATTTATATCCAACCATGGTCTAAAAATACATACGTCGCTCTTGTCAGAAGTATTTACTATTAGTAAGGTAGAGCTCAATACGGAACAGCCTGGGCTAGTAATTTCTTTTAAAAAGAAATCTAGAAATCACGAGTTAGCGACCAATAATAACTAAACAGCAAATATCAGTTGATAAAATTGTCACTACAACGATTTTCTTATTTAAGGTGTTATGTATCCAGGCAAAATGATAATCATTTTGTAACTAGGCATAAACTTCATTAAATGAGTTGAAGCAACAGTTAAGTAACTAATTCACTACTAAACATTATTCAACTCCGAGACCGCACACTAAATACGCCTCTAAATTAGAGTTTATTTTACAGAAAGCACAGAATATTACACGAACTTTAGCCATCTATTGTAATAATACGTGACTTGTATATTTTATCACTAATCTAAATGCCTAATTTTGATTTTATATTTTGCGTGAGTCATAAAGAATAATACAAAGTTTAGAAATTGTAATAATGATGTATTTGGGAGCTCTACAATATGACATCTATATTTCTTCCTAATTACATTAATGGAGCCTTGACTACACGGTGTTTTATGGATGGACTCGCCATAGATAACCAGATATAGAATATGGTAAATTGTAGGCTCTCTCAAAGGACTCTATTATCAATTCATTTCAAAGAATGCAGTAGTAGCAAGCAGTATAATTAATCATCCGTCACAAAGGGTACTAAGTTAGTTTCGCAAGGAAAAGTTTCATGATTAGACTTATATATTAATAGTTGAACGGCGGTTATAGATAATCGGAAACGCCTGATACTACTACGAAGAATAATCAGCTACAGAGCGCAACGTGGTCACCCTGAGAGAAATATAAAGCTAAAGAGTGATTCGTAAAGTATATTTACTGACAATGAAAAGGATATAAAAATATTTATAAAGATGACGCTACTCAAGTTATTACTTATGCAAGATATTAGGCTCTATTTTAATGACCTAAAATCAAATTCTAATAAAGGTAGCAGGCTGAAATTATGATGGACGACTTTGAAGAACATGTAACTTTTCTCTATTAATGATACCGCGCCTTCTCTCCCCCACCGACAACAAGAGCCCAGGGGGCAGCTATTGTTTTGGATATTTTTCAATGTCTAACTTTGATTTTACATTATGCGTATCAAGTATATTCGTAATAAAATCCGTCGGGACTCTATAACACTGTAGCAGCAGTGTAGCCCTTGGCTTTCTTGTTCTCAAATATGTTGTTTAATAGTGCATGTATGCGAGTACACTGAATGTATAAAGTTATACAATGTACTCGTACTGTGTGGTATATGGGTTATGCTATATAGGCAGCATGTTTATTAGAAGATTGCATAAGTTGATGGCTAGAATTTAGTGAAACGCCATTAATAAGTATAATTAATCGGCATACAATGTCGCCATTAACTGCTATATCAATCATTTCATAATCTGATCACAAATCATAAGTATCTAAGCTAAACTGCTATTTAATGAAATTTTCCATAATTCACAGTATAGGAATAGTGTTGAGGACAGTCTCCTGGTATAAATATATTTCGAATCTCTGCTCGTAAAAATCAGTTAATGCCTACAGAGTCTAAAATAGAGTCAGTAGCAAGGTTATACCCGTAAGTATACCGAAGATAATGTCCGTATGTTATGCACATTTATCGATTGTAAACTACAGAACTGTTGCAATGATTAAATAATTGAATTATTACATCCACAACCTAAAAATGTTTTAAGAGATCGGTTAAAATTAGCCATGTCGTTCGTTCATGAGAAATGTATGACATATATGTATCTCCTGTACGAATGATTGTGTACTAACCGGTTAAAACTATTGCACGTTGTGTTTCATACAATGAAACAATGTTAGATTAGTTTTATTTTCATCTCAATAATTTAATAACGTTGGACACAATAAGCGATTTTATTGACTGCGTAGACAGATAGTCTGCAATCCGAATGCTTATAATTTACTGAATGCAGAGCAACGCTATATCCAATACATTTTACCAATGCCATGTTTACCACCCAGTGTGACTCAGTAGGGCTTACATAGAAATGTTGTTTAACGTACAGTCGTACGGTATGACAAAGAAATTATTCTAATTTTTTGAAAATCAAGCTATCCTAGTTACAAAATGACTTATATCAATATTAAGAGGCATCTAACGAAAAAATCAAACTAGTTGCATATATTATGGCGTTTCTTTTATAAATAGACTAGATGATTTCGTCGTCTGTAGCACAGTGTTGTACTAGTATTAATACGTCTAACAGAGGAATTGACAATAGTGAAGAGGAACATCTAGATTATTGTTGTCCATATTAGCTATTACGAGTATTTTTATGCCTTTTGATTATATTTTAATCAAATGAATCATAAAGAATCTATATAAGGCATAATGACGATAATGTTGTAATTGATGACAGGCTTATCTACAATAGATAAATGGAAGCATGCTCTGCTATATTCTAATAACTGTTCCACTCTGTAAGTTATAGTTGAAGAACTAAGTTATAAAATAGCGTTTATGCTGCGTTATGATTGCATAATTTACTGGAAACTGAGTTATAATATAATATACGTTTGGGTATACTTTTAATTGAGATTTTACCACTATCGTCATGCATTTATTGATTTAATTATACGCCTTAGATTACGTACTCGTATATGCATGAATATCGTATACATTTTTAATTATAATTGTTACTGACTCCTAGCCATCCCTTTGCTTATTTTTTGCAATATTGGTATAATACTTATGAGAAAAGCTTAGGATAGTTGGCGGAATCTAACATCCATTTATCTGATTACACGTAAAATATATTTCAAGTAACTTCCACTATTTGTGCTACTTTTTTGAAGGTATCTTATGGGAAGTATACGATCTTTTATATTACATAAACGACAATTATAATTGTAATAGTACTACAATTTCCGATAAGAGATTAATTCATGTCACAAATGTGCTTTAGTGGATAGATAAAAATATTCTAGTTATTTATTAACTTAAATGAATATAGAAGCTGACTTGACAGCTGTGCACTACCTGTGTAAATATTGTGAATGCGTTTAACTTTAGATGCATTACTACTACAGAAGTGCAACAGCGTTATAGCTATAATTAAGTTAAATTAATCACTCTATCAAGTCAACAAACTGCCATCATGAGTATTGATATATATTATTTCATAGCTGCTATTGTCAAGCCTGTATGTGACGAATTAAGTACTTAGGTCCAAAAGAACGAAGATATTCATAAATGTTTGGAAGACGTGTTGTGATCGGGCTTAAAAATACTATAGTTGGCTATAATTATGAGCTAGAGTATCACTTTTCTTGAAATGCTATTACACTTCATGATCGGAAATTTCTTATTGTGATACATATAATCAATATAATTGATTAAAGATAAGAGTTTCATCATTATTCGAAAAATTTCAAGATTACAAATAAGAAATGCATTCAGTGTAGGGTGGAGAATTTGAGTCACGCTTTAAATTTAAGCTCATTCTAAATAAACAATATTTGTTGATAGTTATGGATTGTAAGATATTTAGAGATCAATTGGCCGCATATTAATAACGACTAAAGTTTGCTCACTAATTGGTATACAGATTTTGGGATGATTTAGTAATTTATATTTGTAATAAGAGTTTTTGATGGTATAAAAATAAACTGTGAGGTTGAAATCGTATGTACAGTATGTTAAGGTTACCATTTATAATAGGTTACACTTATTGTAAATGATATGTCAAAGAATACAATTTGTATCGGAGGAAAAATTTTGGGCAATACAAACCCTTTGGACTTACTAAATAACACTATACAGATCATTTAACTGGATTTTTTTTTACTCTACAATGAGATTGCACTATTGATTAAAAGTTTTGAGTAGCATGCTACTGTATACTTATGTCAGAAGGCGTTTCAACGAAATGATAAGGCTCTATTTAAAAGCTTCTGACTACAATTAAAATATGCGTTCTGGTGTAAAAATGATATGTTCACAAATGAATTACCCTACCCTGTATTATAATATGTTCAATTCTACAATGACTACAAGGTTATGCACCAACCGTTTCTGTAACGAGTTTCTTAGGATTTTAATGAAATAGTATTTAAGTTTATGTATGATGATCGTATTCGAATACAGCAATCAATCAGTCCAACCCATAGCCAGTTGCTATCACTATATCGGCAATGCATTTGATACTCATTTATTGAAGATATGTATATACAGTACTTGTTAGTGGAATGATTATTAAATTAATGCTAAATGAGGAAAGGCCATCACGCCATGACAGATATACTAGTGTATATTGTAGCACGCCTAATTATGTTGGCCTATACTATTCGATATACTTGCAATCATGGCTTTCAAATCAATCCGCATATTTAGAAATTAAACGATACGATATTAAAATTTGTCGATAGCTATTCATTTGAAGTTGCATGCTACGTTAAAGTTAACTTGATACGTACAGTCTCATTTTTTTTTAGCGTAATAGGATGATCGCTATCGATTAGAATTATTATCGGCACACTTCCGCACATGTCATCGAATAAGTACTTGAAAGTACAAATGGAACGAATGTAACACTATTAACTTTATCCATACACATATACAATTAGAAAAAGATTTAATATTTTAATTCTCATACCTGGTTAATCTTGTACTTTAATATATTGAATTCCGTGTTTATTTTCCTAATCAATTCAGATGCTTATTTTGTTTACTTAACCAGTAGCATTAATGCTAGACTATAAATATGCTTATCAATTTCTACGGTAGTGCGGCAGACAGCAAACCCGATTGGCAATTGATTGCAGATTGCGACACGCTGCAGTTAGTAATGTTGCTTACGTCGCAACCGAATAACTTGGCGTTATTGGGTTAATAATTTTGTAATAAAAAAAAGGAGTCACGATAGTGGCCGACACCAGGAGCCCTTTCAGTGTGGTCTAATAATTAAAATAAGTAGGACTACTCATAAAATTAGCATAACAGTAATACTACATATCGATGTATTGTTATGTGAATGTAGCATGACAGTAATAACGCGTGCACTATGTCGCCAAAGTTTCTCTATTCTTGCTAGGGAAGTTACCGTGTTCTACTACTATGGCCATCAGCATTGTACAAGTCACCACATGATTCAAATTAATAAGGCAGAACTACCTGTTGTTTTAATAATCTAAGGGCGTATGCTGGCCAATCTGTACTGTATCTATGCCATCATCATCATCGTCATTACCAAGTACTGTATGTTAAGCATGCCGTCTACACCATTTCCACTATTATATTACTACTGTATAGGACTAGTCTACTGTTGTATGTGTATCGTGTCCTTCTCTCTCTGTCTTTCGTAGTCCCTAGTGTACCCTATAGACGGTACCGTTATAGTTATGAGATCGAAAGAGCTATTTAGACTTTTTATTTGACACGGAAATCACAGTAAGTGAATTTTCTTCTTTGGCAGTTACAGTAATCTGCAAATGGAATCGCCTTCGCCTAAATGAGGCGAAGATGAAGGCATTGGAATCAGGGATGCATAAAAATCGACGCGGCCATCTCATTATTCTAATGGTTATGTATCAATGGAGTGTTTTGAATGGAGTAATTGGATCATTTTTTTTTGTTGTTGTCCTACAGTAGCTAATGATTAGTCTAATGTGGTCATTTTAAAAAGACTATGAATGCCGTCACTCGTGGTTAACTTATTTCATTAGGGTTTAGTTCTATGGTTGTTGCCGCTTCACCTTGAGTGCAAAATAATAACCGGGCCTATCATTTTTCTGCTTGTTTTACTATACGCTATCACTGAAAGCGTCGATCACAGTGCACAGCACCCAAGTAAGCAGGTCATTTGGATGATAATCATGCAACAAATACTGTGTAGTGTATCCTTTCCGATATACAGTTCGCTTGAGATAACCAGTAAAATAGTCATCTGTGTCTGTCATTTTCGTCTACTGAACGGCCATTGCCAGTCCCTCTCTTTCCTAAAAAGTAGTGACTGGTAGTAGGTAAATACGCGTACATGGATTAATAATAATAATAATAATATTAGTAACGTTTTGGAGGAGGGTTTAGTCTTGTTTGGCCCTGCATCCCGGAGCGGACAGTCGGACAGAGTAAGACTGCAAAGCACCGTGACTGCAATAAAAGCTTTACTATAGAACTCTGTGTACAGTACAGTGTACTGTACGGTGTACAGTGTAAAGGATTGTCTGCTGAGCACTAGGGAACGTGTGACGTTGATTTGGACTTGACGTTCACGTGAAGTGTTGTGGATACAGTGTACAGTACAGTACAGTACTGTAGTACTGTACCTACAGTGCATGTGCACAGTACTGTCCTGCAGATTGTACAATCGCTGCAGTGGAATTGGACTGGCTAGATCATATGACGATCAAGCTCCAAGCTCACCAACATTTACGTCACTTGTAGTATCCATTTTGCAGTACAATTTACTTGATTTAAACTCATCGAGTTGGGGTGCATTGCCGTGGCCTTTCTAAACTAAACAGCAAGTCCTTGAGCAAACTTTTACATTTTATGAGTCATTTGTAGTAGCAGTGCGGTTGCAACGTAGACTCTGCCAACATCTCCTTTAGTGGATTAGTCTGCAGTACTGCGTACCGGCATAACTTGTGTCTCGAGATATCGACATCAACAGAATAAGACGTACAGTATTTCGAGACCTTGATCCACTCAGTAAATTTCCAATTTTCCAAATACTGCACCGTATTATTTTGATATCTGCAGTATTCAGCACTTGCGCCATTAACTATATCGCTATTGACTGTGGATGTGAGAAGGATGATGAATAGTTCAATTGGCTGCTTGGCGAAATCGCCCGAATATCAAAGTTTTCGTTCTACCATTGCTCAGCGAAAGGTAAGAAGGGATCGATAATTCAATGTATAGCTCAAGGAGTATGCTAGTATTCTTCAAGAAGAAATACCCATCAAAGTTGATGTGATGTTATAGACTCCAAGTCAACATTGAAAATCAATGCTGTTCACTAGTTATGTATAAATAGCATCCATTAGCGTTGTTGACCTGTATTGGTCTATGGTATAATATTCTGCACTTTAGATATTATACATTATAACTAGCTGGATACGGAACAATAATAATATTTAATAATCAAGTTGATACACTTTTCATAATTTTAACCTTACCTATCGACTGTATCTTTTTGAAAGTGAGTTCACGACATCATGAAGCGTAAAGACTTCAACAGAACTGTATTTCATCCACACTCTAGCGACTGCATTGAAAACCATTTAGACGATTAATATTGAAGAAATTATAGCCAATACAGTACAATAACAGTGCGCATACAGAACTTGACATCTAATTATGATGACATGATTGACTTGATGATGACCAACTTGATGCGTGCAAGTGTATGTCTACTTGTTTATTATGCTTACGATAGATTGGATTTTAAAATGGAACAAGGGCTTCAAATAGTGTCATCCCTGATTTTCATTGGCAATAAAATTGTACCTTCGGAATTGTTTTTTCCGACTGGGATAGAAATGGCCAAAAACGCTAATTATAATATAGCATTGCTACAAATTATACTATCATTCTAAAACCATGATCAAATACCAGATATCATTTGCATCTTGGCCAAAGGACAATATAATGTACATGACATACAGACAATATTTTCAATGCTACTTGCACAACAGTAAAACAGCTGAACCAACTCATACTGCTAAATCGTTTATTGTAGGTCGCTATTGACAATAAAAGCGAAAATTGGGTTATCTATGACGCTGGTCCTAGAAGTGTGCGTTCGCCATTAATATTTCTGCCTCCAGCAAGTGGCAGCGCAGATGTATTTTTCAAGCAGATCGTATTCTTATCTTCCGTTGGATACAGAGTGATATCGGTACGTACCCTCCTGAGTTCCAGTATATCAAATGACAATGCTTTCAATACAATAAAGTCTGCCTCCTTTTACTACTTGTGTTTGCTACATAAATTTAGTTCTCCATATAGTTTGTCAAGCAAAGTATTTAACTTTCATTCTATCTTCAAGGTTGAGTATCCTTCGTACTGGACCCACGCAGAATGGACTGAAGGATTTAAAAAGTTATTAGATACACTGCAATTAGATAAGGTAATTTTTCAGGATAATAGCTTAGTGAATGTTGTTTCTTTCGACGTTCCAAGTATGGAACGCTTTATTGAATCAGCAAAGGCAGATTGTACTTACGTAAATCTCTACAGAACGAAATCAATGTTATAAAGCGATCCATATATGCAGTAAGGTGGCATCTGAAGTTATCACGGTTCTATTTCTAGGTACACTTATTTGGCGCTTCTCTAGGCGGATTCTTAGCTCAGAAAGTAGCTGAAAGTACCCACATAAACCCTCGTATTCACTCAATAATATTATGTAATTCGTTTTCTGATACATCGGTGTTTACCCATAATGCGATTGCATCAACGTAAGTTGTAATCGAACGTAACGTTTCATTTTTCTTGGTGCGTTTATGGTTAATAAGTTGAATTGTGAATAGTGACATTTAGCCTTGGCTACTGTGACCATGACCAATACAAACATTGATTCTATTCCTGTACTATAATTTACTAGTTTTTGGCTCATGCCTTCGTTCTTACTGAAGCGAATTATACTGGAAGGATTCAATGACGATATTGTCGATAAGGACGTGGCAGATTCTGTAGACTTTATGGTCGAACGGGTAATTACTATTTCCTTGATATTCAAGACGATAACTTGTTACAACTTATCAATAATTTCATTTTTTACTTAAGGTGGAAGGTTTAAAAAGATCCCAACTGGCATCACGATTAAAACTGAACTGTTCCGATAGTTATGTAGAACCGCAGAAATTAAGTGATGTTATTATTACAATCATTGATGTGCGTAAAAAAGATTGACAGAGTAGTTTGATTACATGATATCACATTTATAACATGAGAAAACACCATATACACGTATGTGGGTATAACTATTGACTTTTGTACAAAAAAATCTAGGTTTTCGATGAGTCTGCGCTATCCCAAAATGTAAAAGAAGAAATGTATAAATGCTATCCTAACAGCCGAAGGGCTCATTTAAAAGACGGAGGGAATTTTCCGTATTTGAGTCGTAGCGTAGAGGTCAACTTATATATTCAGGTAAGACATGGATTAGTTTCAGATAGTATTTTAATACTTTGTCATTATACGGTACAAATTTACTAATAAATATTCTCGAACACTAATTATAATTAATGGACAAAGATCCACATGCGTCAATTTATTGGCTCTCGCTGTAGCGCTGTTGCACCTGAATTCGAGAGAGACTTAGACAATGTACAAACAGAATTAGAGAATCAACTTCGAGAAAATAGTAATTCAAGCAGCAATGGATAAGTCCGTTCCAACTTCGGTGATAATTATTATTGATTAAAAGTAATGACAATTGTTAATACTCAGACGACTTAGTGACTGTAATATGAATCTACATAGATTTTATCCTAATTTGATTAAATGTAAAAATGTATGAAACGATTTTATTCAGGTATTAACGTTTTATATTATAAGATACAATTTACCTAACTAGCTATTCGACTGTAACCCAAATGTGATGTAGACTTCTGCAAATGACCCTTTTATATTCTTTTATTATCGTAGCATAATTGTCATATTTTAGAAATGGAGCAATAATTGCGTTACATTGTTATATTTTGTAATTTATAGCCTTAAGTATTATATGTTTGCCACTTAGTGTTTATTATGGTTCTATGTTTGATAGCACTTGTGCTCAAGAAAAGGTTTTGAATTTTTTTTAATAAAAGAGGTCTCCGCTAACTTTGGCAAAATCTTATGTCTTTCGAACTCTTAATCTTAGAGCTATAAATGGCGGGGTACCGTGCAGGTTAATTATCTTTTTAATTGAAGGAAAACAGTTCTCTTTAAACTCTACTGTATCAGAAGTGTTACTGGCTCTATAGAACCAATGTACAGCACATAATTATCATTTAACTCAAAACGCTGTTGAAAAGTGAACATAGAACACGTGAGGTAATACAGTAAATAGGTCAATAGGAATATAAAGAGCATCAAGACGAAATTTTTCGCCTGAACATATTGTGATAGACCGCATATCCATTGATGTATCTTCAATTTCTACGTACAGTATGTTTTCGAATGCAAGCTCGCTAACAACTACAGTACAGTTGTACAGTATAATAATTACCGTGTATACCGTACCGTAAGCAACAAGCGGCAAATATGCTATAAGATAGATTGACGATTATTAAATTTGTTGATATAGCATAAGAGAATTATTACTGTAAAATTTTATTCACGAAAATCAATGCCTTCTGAATGCAAAATAACATTAAAAAATCTTGTACAGATAAGACATCTACCATATGACTACCTCGATAAAATGGTAATAATATTATACTGTACATGTTGATCATGGCTATATCTGCAGAAGTAACTAGTATTTTTATATATTAACAAATTCAAAGATAAACAGGAAGATTACCGTATTATTGCAGTATCTAAAAATCAAAATTTAGATTAAATATTGAAGCGTCATAACCTCTGATTACTTCAATGGGCAACTGTATTGCACTTTGCAATGATATAATCAATAAGATGACGACGCTAATGTGAAATGCTGCGCCACAGTTTAATGTCATTAAAATTGCATTTTAACAACTTGTTATTGATTAAAACGAGTCTAATGTGTTAAGTATTTACGGCCTTTCTTTCGTCTTCTAGCCAGAATTTTTCGTCCCCCTGCAGTTCTCAATCTAGCTAGATATCCATGCTTTCTCTTGCGCTGTAAATTATTAGGCTGATATTCACGACCATAGGTAGCCATTTCTCTACAGCTGATGAACCAAATTAGATCAATGTCATTAGCACTAGTAGAGCATATTTCAGTAATTTGTAAAGTTAAGTAACAGACAATAAAGGCATAGTTTCTATATCAACTTGGATTGATATTCTTGCGCAGATTTTACATGAAGTACTCTCAAGAGCTCAAAATGATCCTATTTACGCGTATGTTTATCTTTATCCGTAATCCTAGACATCGCAGAGGAAAATTTCCAAACTACGACACTTAAAAAGACGCAATCTAAATAGGACTTTTATGCTATTTGGTATGGTAATTACGTACTTTAGGAGTGTATGGCTAAATAGATAGTAACGCTGCTGTCTATTGATTAGTCACTTTTGTAAGACCTATGAGCATACCAACTCGTATATGTCATTTCATGCAGAACTCTAAACAAGTACGCACGCACAGTACATCATCCATTTCTACAAAAATTGAGTCATGAGCACCAGTTTTAGATTGTAAATATTAAATATGCTTAGTGTGCAGTGAGTCGGTGATAATGTAAAGTACAAGTAAAAGGTACAAGCATGAGCTATTTTTAAAATTTAAAATTTCATTTTTTAGTAGTCCATGGTACACGAGCGAGCGATCGATTAGTCGATAATAATAATTAAGTCAAGGCCTTCAATCATTTGACATTGGTCTCTTGCTAAGCTCTTACCATTGTGATAGACTTAAGACAAGGTTTTGTCTTTGCGTAATGATGTTGGTTGAGATTCGACGGAAGATATTTGATAAATTCGCTAACATGTCGGTATTAAATATCCATCAAACAGTATGGAGGCAAGTTGTGTCGGTGTTGCTGTGAAGAGATTTCTTACTAGAGTCTACAGCTGTCAGGTCGGCGAGGTTGGCAAGCTGCTCAAGCTGTTGAGGTTTGCCTACCTTACTTTTCCATAGAGTTTTTAATCACAACACTGGCTTGCATACTGTACTCTAACAACTGTAGTGGCGATAGAGACAACATTTACCTTACTACTACAGTACTCGTACGGTAGTCATGTACTGTAGGCTAGTACGTACTGTACACTGTACTCTAGCTACTGTTGTCACTGGTTCTCACAGCAGATTTTTGCGCTGGTGAGAAAATTCAACATGGCGAATTGGATGCGAGTCGCTAGTAGAACTGTCTCTCTAGGACGAAATAGAACTGTATGGCGTGGTCTTTCTAGTTCGGCAATAAAGTTCAATGAAGTAACAGTTGGTGAGAAGGACAAGAAAATTGATTTATATAAAAATGTGGAGGTAAAAGACATATACTACTATTCTAATTTCAGCAGCTTGCCGTTAATCTTGGAAAAATAAAATAAACTCGTACTACTAGTATAAAGCGTGGTGTGTAATATCACCTTTATCCGATTATACAGTATATTTATTGCAAGCGATAAAACCTTTCACGATATAGTACTCTTAAATCGATCAACTGGAAGATATGCTACTTATTTTTGAAACGTTTAACTATACAGTATATTGACGGTGCCTCGCATTTCCAGATAGTATACTGTACAACAGTATACTAAGTACAGTATAGTGATCAATGTAGCTAGAGTCAACACGTACAGTACAGCAATAACCTTTTCCATTCCTCCAAGCATCGCATTGCTTCACGCTCGGTGTTGGGATATTAAAATCATACCACATGTTTGTTCGGGAAATGATTTCCCTCTTTTATTGCGATACTTTTTTTAATTTTACCTACAAATTGATCTCTATTCTTACAAATGCTACAATCGTAGCAGGTATTTTAAGCGTATGCTGTAAATATTATCCTATTGCAGAACTTATATTCGAGAAAAAAAGCGTTCAACATTATACCCTAGATTTTACTGCGATCATACGCGCATCATCTATGGATAAACTTGTGTGCATAGAATTATGTATATTACTTATGCTAGTAGATTCGTCGACTGCTGTACCAGTAAATTGTTTGTACTCATTTCAAGAGTTTGCTAATTGACATTTTGACCTTACAGAAAGATATATCTGAAGTTACTGGAGTTCCAATGGATGAAATGGCTACTCGGATAGTTCGTATCTATAAGCCTGCACGTAACGCTATGCAGTCTGGTACTTATGCTACACGTCTGTGGATCTTAGATTTTGATAACCAAGAAAGATGGGAAAATCCACTGATGGGCTGGGCTTCCAGGTAATACTGTGTTCTTTTTAATGGATTTGATGTTAGTACTGAGAAATTTCAATTGCTAGGCACTACATTGGTATTTATAACATGCAATTAATGTTACTGTATCCAAGCCATAGCTGTCACTACTTTAACTGATTTATTTAGAACCAATTTTTGTTACTGTATTAGAACACTATAATCTACGTCCGTTAATTAAAATGTCGATCTTGGAATATTTCGAACTTCCAAGGATTTAATTAGTTGAAAACGCGAACTATGTCCAACCATATTAATAACTACAGAAAAAACTGAATGATTACGATAATGAATAAAATTAATGTAATTGTTCATTTTTGACAGTGCTGATCCGGTGTCGAACGTTTATGTACAATTCGATAGTAAAGAAGAGGCTATTGCATTCGCAGAGAAAAACGGTATGATTGTACTAAGGAATAAACTAAAAATTTGCACATTTTATTAGACAAAGTAATTTCGTATTGGTATTAATGCGGTTCTTTTCTGCAAGTTATAATGCTACTACATAAAATTGTGTGAATGGATGTTATTTTTATTAATTGATATTACGCTACATTATAATGCTCTGTATGTCATTAATGGAATATCGAGAAATTTGTGATTTTATATGCAGTAATCGTGCTAATTTTACACTTATCATCATTCATTGTAATAGGTTGGACTTATACTGTTGATTCGCCCCAATTACCAACAATGGTACCCAAGACATACGGTGCAAACTTCTCATGGAATAAGAAAACCAGAGTGTCTACTAAATAATTCTAGTTTATATGATTATCAAGTCGCTAGCGTATACTTACGTTGTGCCAATTTTTACTTACATCTCGCTTATTCTGTTAGCTGAAGAATATACAAAGAGACAATGCTTTGAAATGATATTTTATATTTATGATTTCTGTCAATATGTTACTACAGCGGAAGTAACTGGGCACCATTGTATGATATGCTAGAATTTCTATCGTTGCATAAATATCGCTATAGTACGAGAATAGCGGCACGGATACTGTAAATTAATGAATGTTGAAAGTAGATTTTATAACTTACCACCTATAATTGATATCTATTGCAAAGTATGGTATATAATGTTTATCTAATTTTGGAGGTAGCTTGTATTACGTAATAAATTTATGTCTGCTATTTGTGTCAAATTTTGTTGACCTAGTTACTCCTTATTAATTTTTCTGACGCTGTCAGTTCTATTGGCAGATCATAGTGTCTCATTATTTGTATCCAGTCGAAGTCACGTAATACTCCAGCTTAATGTATAAGTAGAGATTTACTATCTTTTATTCATGGTATGAAAACAATCATGTGAAAGCAATATTTTTAAATGGTATATCTATAGATTCAAATTTTTTATAACTATCCAAACGTGTCGGGCTTGATGAAATAGTATATGCTTAAATAACTAGTATCTGATAATAACGTTGATTTACTCTTACCAAGTTGTCATTGGCAGCGGGAATTGGATAAATAACTATATTCACGACTGCGGTACTGAAGACGTGATAGATTTTACGTAATTAACAAAGAGTGAAGAAGCAAATATGTAAAAATTGCTGAAATCATAGATGACATGTCATGGTATTAATTAACTACAAGTTGGATTTTATGCTGTATTTAACTAGCAAGAATTAAAGCTAAAAAACTGAAGTAAAAATTTTTACATCAAGTTTAACTAGCAAGATTTGATAACAAATGTACAACATATTAGCATAAGTTCATTTATCGAGTAGTTATAGTAATATAAACATGAATTTGATGCACTTCACTTTATACAGTATCATCGTAGTACTACCTTCATCATCAGTATATATTAATGATACCTATGCATATTTTTTCATTATACACGTATATTATTAATTTACACTTAAAAAGATTACTAAACCTATAATATAAGGCGAAGGGTTAGCAATTTTATCTTCAAAAAAATCTAAAATATGTTCTTAACGACGATGCTCTTTCTTATGGCAGGTAATTATACAAGGAAATCGAAGAAAATTTATATTGTAATACTGAAAAGCAGCATTACTACGTTACTTCAATTATCTGATAGGGGTAAAATAGAGGAAGTAGATACTATAGCGTGATTATAGCCTATTATTATCATTAGAATGGCCATACTGTTCCAGCATATTTTCTATGAAAGGTTTAAAAGCGGACCTTGCCGAATCAGCATCACAGGCATAACAATTCCGAATGGACCACTTTCTCTCAGAGCACAATTCATTAATGTTAAAAGCATCAGTTATCTAGAAATGAAATATTGTCAATATCATGACAGCGTTATAAAATGAATTTAATTGATCAATATTTGAGATAGTCTCAGGGTCGTATCTTATGTTAAAAGCAGCAGAATACTAACTTCTTCAATGCTACGGGCTTTCGATTGGTCTATCGAATTAAGAAGAACGAGTAACGGCAACCCAGCCAAATCAGGATCCATAATTGCTTTACAAAATTCTTCCGACGCTATTTTTAGTGTGTCTTCATCGCAAGAACTATCTACAACAAATATCTAAAAAATTAAAAAAATAGTGTTAGCATATACAATACTGTTTATCTATGTGATGACAAGAATTTATTAACCGAATAGCTTTCTGTATGAGTAGATAACAATAACCATATCAACTATCTGTGCAGTATGCACAAGCTACGCATTGCTTACAATTCCTTGTACCCCACGGTAGTATTTTTTCCAGTATTTTCGAAGCATTTCACTACCTAAAATGAATTAAGTTACGCAAACCCTTCAGATAAGTAGTTACGAATGCATACTGCTATGTGTAAATATAGAATTGAGCATCTAATATGGAATTAATATGAACTAGAGTATTATTAGGCAGGTATATTTTATTACACGATAATTCTGATATAGGTGATTTCATTGCTGATAAAGGTGTAGAATTATCGGTAATATAGCTATATACACGTATACCTTTTTAGATAGACAAATTTGTCAAATTACCTCCAATTTCTTTTACATGAAGTATGGCATTTTCAAAAGGAACATCCTTAATTGAAAACCCTGGAGTATTTATATGATTATAATTTTTCTATGAGATCAATTTTTGATAAGGCTTAACCTGATGGAATGAAATTATTACCTTGGGTAGGTATGATTTCATCCTTTTCACTGCATAAAACAGCAAGAACTTTGGACTTTCCAGCTCCAGTTATTCCAATGCAAATTGCTGAAAAGCCCGGCCTTGGGGGAGGGGGAGGTCCATAGAAAATTCTCCTGTAGCACTGCAGATATTAAATTAAAACTTGACTACACTCTAAAGGAAACAGCTATAAATTTTTTATTAGATAAAATGGAAAGGCTTATCGTACTTAATTTTATATAAACCGCAATATTATTGTTTAACAATAATTATAATTGTTATCCTCTACGTAGCGAAGATGCTGTGGTACATGCTATCTCATTAATTAAAGATGAATAAGTATTGTTTACTAAAAAATGCTGCTTTCATTAGTAAAATTGGGCAATTGATGCTAGACCATAAAGATTGTTAACTATAAGATGATAAGCCACTGGCCGACTGATTGTTAGCGCGCAAAGGCCCACGAGCTAAGATTACTTACACATTTGGCAATTCATCAAACGATTAGTCGTTTACTCATTCAGTTAGAAGTACTTATTTGTTATCATTTTAGATTTAAATAAATACTTAAAATCAATACATCTTCTTTTCTACATTATGGCTTTGTAGAAAAATTAATACTAAACCCACAATAGTTACGCAACTCATTGTATAGATTTGAGTAGGTATCTTAACGAAATAGCATCTGAAGGTATAATAATACAGTATATTGTATGTCAGTTCCCATCTAAACTAAATTAGTAAATGCGATTTAATGAATTATGATGGTGTTATCATGATCAGTGTGTATACTTAACCGCCACATGTGCGTATTTAAAATTGGACTGTCAAGTTATTAATTATCTGTTAATTATTATTTGGTGAAATATTTTATGAACCATTAATAAAATTACTCTGGATTATTGCAATTTTATATGCGACTAGAGTGATATAAAGTAACTAACTTTTGCCAAGCATAGTCAAGGAGGTTATCTGTAAGATGGTTTCAATAGATGTTACAGCAAATACATCGAATATCCAGTAAAATCATTTCCATACAGGAGAATGGCATACTAAACTGCTACCAATCTTATATACTGTAGATAGGCGATAACATTTTTCTACTTTTACTGAACAGTCTTTAGTTCACAATACAACGCTTACACTATAAAGAGTAACGTATACTAGAATATAGATATTATAGATACAGTACTGTAAATAGAGCATAGATAAATGTAAATAATAACCTTATAATAAGCTATATAATATCCATTTTGTAGATACGTGTATATAAATGGGAAAATATACCAACTCATTTCGCGTGAACGAGATCGAACATTGGTTACGATATGGCTGAGTGCTATCAATAGAATACTATAAAATAGGAATAGAATGCACTTCAAGGGGTTTTGAAAAAATTTCCTACCGTATATAACCCAATGCGGCAAAAGGCAAAGGCAAGTAGAACACATTCTCGTACTGTCGTCATCGTGGGCTCCAAACTCTTACAGATAACCGGTTGAAATTTGCAGTTTCTCAACGTCAAAGTAGAAATTTGTTCAATAATTTGGGCAAGAAAGCTGTCTACCACAATTATGCCCCTATACTTTACCGTCAATTTACTGTATTATCAATCCTGATGAAGGTTGTAAAACTCGATACTGAAGAAACTAAAGCGCATCTCATTAGATATGAAATATGAATTTAACCGCTATTACTGTGTCGATGATTGCGTGCAGTAGCTGATTGGGCAGTAACGTAGATACGCGCGTAGCCTAGATACCGAAGAAAAACGCCTTGAGTTAGGTTTCACTGTAGACCTGAGAAAGGTTCGGTTCGGTTCAAACCGTTATCATCTACAGTATAAGCTTCAGGCTATGGTTTTAGGCAATGTGCAAATTGTTGTACACTACTGTAGTGTACAGTGTATAGTACAGTGCTTACAGTACTTTTTACTGTACTGAACAGAACTACCGAACACAGTTAGCAGCTGCCATTCGAAACGTGTGAAATCTACATTTAAAAGAGTTAAACGAGAGGCTACAAACTTGATATTATAGATCGGTATACAGGACATATTAATAACTGTAAAGTAATAAAGTTGTTACACATGTTCTCGGGTTGCTTTCCACCCGGCATTGAGCTATTACTACAGTTTTCGCAGCGATTTGTGCATTCGAATCGAAGTACAGATATTGTAATACTGTAGATTTAGTACATCTACGATGTCATGAGCGATAGTGTGATGACATTATGATCTTTCCCATTTTAAATGTAGTGGATAGCCATCATTTAATGCAGTGCAATTATATCACTTGTACACCGTGCATCGAATAAAATTAAAGGGAATTTTGTGTTTTGTCAATAGTTTTCATAGTTTTAACAAAATATCAAAACCATTGACAATAAACAAAACTCCTCTAAAATCAATTAATTAAATGAAGATTTTTGCTATCGTTTACAAGAGCTGTCGGTTAGAATATTATCATGACTATCCAAATAAAATAATACTACTGAAGTTGTATATTCACACACTCCTTATCACTCTTTTCAATTCATGATTCCTTCATTTGCTCTAAAATTGTCATCAAAATTACAGGTATATACTGTACAATGTACAGTATATGTATAATGGCTGAAGGTTATAACTTGCATCAGTATAGATTAATGATATTTATTACAGAGCGTTTGCACAACTTTAGCCAATGATAATGAATTCTTATTATCATGCAGCTATAATTTGATATTACAGAAAATTGAAATAGTAGGCGGTATAAATATTGATGTAGCTGGAATATGTGTTCTATTCTAGGATAATTATGTACAGTATATCAATTTTGAGCAGTAATTAATAGCCTTTTCGGTTATACAGTTGTGTACTACTGAATAGCATTATACGTATTATTATTCTATGTTAATATTTCAAAGTTAGAGAGATTGGATCTATAAAGTTGTTTTCTTAAGCCAAGCAGTAATTATACTGATCTGATCAGGCTCCATTAATGCTGGGGCATGACCTACATCTTGAAATGAATAGGACTCTAGCTGTATGGGATACTGCTTCATTGTTTTAACAACTTCAGCTGTTACCAAATCAGAGTTTGCACCATGGGTCAGTAAAACTGGGCAAGAAATTTTTTCCCAATATTTCCAAAAAATAATATTTCCATCTTCATCAATATCTGGTAGTGCATCGCTTTCCTGATGGCTAGGATCAAGACCTTGCGTCATACAACGAGAATCCGCTTTGATGGTCCATCGACCATCTTGTAGCTGTTTAACGGTATGCTTGAAAATATGCATCCAGTGCTCATCGTTCTTTATTCCAAAAGGTGCGTAGTTCTTACGCATCGCCTGGCAAGCTTCGTCGAAATTATTAAAATATGCTTCTTTACCTGCATAAGCCTGGATCCGTTTCAAGGCAGCTAGTAACACGATTGGACCGATGTCATTCATTATCAGGCGGCGAATGATCGTATTTGGTTGTGAAGCAATCATCATCCCCATCAATCCACCCATTGAGGTACCCAGCCAATCTACTGTCTTAGCTCCGACCTTGGCAACAATTGCAGTAATATCTAGGATGTACTGATAATAAGAATAATTTTTAGCATCTCGAAAATGATCGCTTTCGCCTCGTCCAACAACATCAGGACAAACGGCACAGTAGCCTTGATCTGCTAGTGTCTTTCCAATATAGTCGAAATCATGTAAATTCCGCATAACACCGTGACAACATACGATGACATTATTTCCATTGCTTTCTCCCCACTGGCGGTAGTAGACTTTGTGAAATCCCTCTGCAGAATAGCACCAGACGTAATCATCCCTCATTGCGACACCATGTACACTTGTAGAGTATAGAAATGATTCGCGTGGGTCAAGTATCTTATGATATAATGGTAAGGTACAGTATGCTTATTACACGTTTTGAAGTTTTAATATTGTCAATGCCACAATAATATCGATCTTTATCGTGCAAGTGCTGGTATATGAGTAAGTTATACAGTAGGTTAGCTGTAATCGGAGATGTTAAAAGAATATGCAAATATGGTGCACTGTTCTGCACAGTGTACACTGTATAGTAGCTACAAGCCCTGTTGCAGAAAACAGTAATCAGTTCCGACAATCACAATCACGGGATTTGTGGATACTATCATAGAGGGTCTCTGCTGTACCGTTTGTCACAGTCCATTTTCCCGAAAAACTTTGACAATAAAATAATAAAGTTTCTGTCGATTTTCAATAAAATACAAGTCAATCGATAGAGGAAGAGTTAAATTACAAGAATCCGTTGACAGAATATACGTAGGAAGTCTAAGTTCTTCATAATTGAAGTTCTACCGTCGTGTACGGCCACAGTACCAAGAAAAAAAAGGGTTTAGCATGGTAACGCCTCCTTTACTGTACTGTATGAGTGTACTGTAAGCAACGCGCTCCAAGCCAATGACATCATCATTTTCGGCGACTTTCAGTCCAGCCCATTGCCTTCATTAATATAGATGTCCTGGAACGATTACCATATTTGGCAATCATGGAAGAAACTCTCTCTCTCTCTCTCCAAGTATAAGTGTAAACATTACTTTTATCTTGCCTTTTTTGTGTACAGTATAATGTTTCAATGTTACATTGCCATCAATTCTATACTGTACACTGTACAGTGTACAGTATACCGTTGTGTATCAATCGCCATCATTCTTTCTAGCCATAGAAATCAATGAAGCACCAAAAGGAAGTATTTTGAAATGGATCGTCTCAGATAAACGCAGGCTTGCTTGATTAAGACCTTAGCTCTCTGAACAGTAAAAGCAGTTTTCAAACTCAGCCACCAGTCTACAGTAATAGAACATTGAGCGAAATAGACTGTCTCCTCTCATCTTGCTCCTGTTTACCGACTGTGTAGTAGACTGTATGTAGAAAATAGAGGAAAAAGAAGCCATTGCACATTGTAATTGTTTATTTTTAGATAATTATATAATAGTATGGGCCAGGATGAAATTTCTTTCTTTGTCGTCCAATTTTGGTGATGTCCAAGTATAGTACAGTACTTAGCAGGAGATCCAGTAGTACAGTACTGTGTACTGTAAAGCCCAGTCAAACCAATGGAAAGGTCAGCGTGGATAGTACTGTACTGTCCACAGTGTAGAGTGTACAGTGTACAGTGAACGCTGAGCAGCGTGCTGCTTACAAAACGGAGTACACTGCTGATAGTACGCTCAGTACCTCAAGTCATTGCTCTTCTTTTTTATAGTTGGTTCCTTTCACAAAGTGGGAGACTATTTTTGCATCACCTTTTGGTAACTGCTCGTGAATATTGTACAATAACTATCGCGTTATTCGGATTGTGGAAGAACGTAGAGACTGACGATTCGTTTCCCTCCATTTAATATTATTTCAAATTAAACGAGATGTCTTTCGCTGGATTGAAAAAACAAATCAATAAAGCCAACCAAGTAAGTATTGCAGTTGGCAGTACCAATTGACCGTAGTGCAACGATGACGATGGATCACTGAAACTCTATAGTGACTAGAGTACTGTACTTCCATCGATGTTATCCCAATGGCCCACAGTTGTCTGATAGAAGAATTGATTGAACATTTTAACGCTATTTTAATGCTCGTCGTAAATTTAATCTTGTCTAGTGTTAAAAATAAGCAACGTCTAGAGTTGAATCTTTTAATAACAAGACTGCAAAAGCCTTATAGCGTTCGAAAATTGTGAATGTATAGCCACTATAGGATAGTCGGTTTGAACTGGCTCAGCATTGACCAGCAGCAATGAACCACATTGTGTCAATTAGGCGTAGATAATCTTAGCTGTTTTTTCACCATCATCAATTTACTACGATGAGTGTGCATAGTGTTCATGGACACCGAGTAGTAACTCGTGTAGTCTAGTCAACCTATAATAGATTGTGTTTGAAAGAATCCTTTATCAATAGTCATGGGGAACGGAAAAATTGACTCGTTCATCTATAGCTTTTTTCTACTGCATAGACACGTATATTCCAATAGTCATGGTGAACGGGAAAATTGACTCGTCCATCTAATAGCTTTTTTCTTCTGCATAGACACATACATATACTGTACTCGTAATATATATCACACATAACTCGACAACTCGAATTTTTACAATAACCATACATTGATCGATTGACAGTGCATCCAACACCGATTACGTATTCAATTCATGCCGCTCAACAGTATGGCATGAGAGATCGCGACTTCTTCAATACTCCATACCGTGGCCAATTTTTATCCTTTCGATCCGTATGTTTGTACACCAATGTACGTATACTTACCTATCTGCCGACCGCTCGGTATGCGGAAAAGGGACCAAAGACACTTTATTTCATTGGATACTGTTCAAAATCATAACATCATTGAAATTGCTCTATTTCCATCCTTGCCGTGTGAAATAGAATTTCCAAGTTTTTAGTACAGTATTTGATTAACGTTATAGGGAATCCTTTCGCAGCTGTTTCTACGCATATTAGTATTGATTACATTATTAATCTTAATCTTATCTTGGGCTATGAAATAAAAATGTATCTAATTTTAAGGGTTATCTACTAGACTATCTTATTGTATACGGATAAAATAATTCAATTATACATAGTATACTTCCATAGGAATTGCAGTATCTTACACTACATAATGAATTAACAACAACTGTGATATAATTCGATACTATACACTCGTATGTTTCTGTTAAATACTCGTAACCGTTTGCATCTCTTTCGAATTTTTGATCTTGTATAAACAGTATCCAAATATGACTGATGTTATAAATTATCCATAATTTTGCCTACTGTACTGACGACACAAGCTAAACGTAGAAGATAGTTACAGCAGCCAACAATAGTACAGTTCAGCAATGGATATTTAGATTACCTAGAAATGACCTGATGTGAACGAGTAAATAATAATAGAACTGGCTTAATACTTAAAACATCTGTACAAGTGAGGTAGCAGCAGAATAGGCTAGCTTGCGTCTCTCCTCGTTTGTGGATGATCTGGAATGATTCTAGTACTCTATTCAAAATTCGTATTGGTAACTTCATCCTATAGTATATTATAGTATGTCAAATAGTAATCGTCTCAGAAATTTAAATTGCCTCACTGTACTGCATTGTACAATATGAATATACTTCATTGACAATCGAAATCCTGTAAGCAAACTAAGAATTTAGTACATGTTAATAATTATAATCACTGTCATATTACCACAATTAAGAAGCATACGGTAATCGGTATACACTGACTAAAACAGCATTTATTGCCTGTAGACTAGCTGTAGGCATAGAATTCTCTTCATACCTCAGTATGCAATCATACAGTGTATTAAACACCATGACTTGCTATTTACTTAACGACAAAATTCAAATACATGTGCAACAATATTTCGTGCCTATGATGCTGTCTTCCGACAGTTTGGACAATTTACACTTTTCGATTATAGATATACAAAGCATTTAATGATGCGATGGAATATTGACGCTTCCACAGATTTAAATTACAATCAGCGGCGACAGTTATAATTACACCTTATTACTGGCGTTGACTACATTTACGTAATGACTCTAACCGAACTAGTTGGTGTACGGTAAACTAAACCACTTTAGTAATTAGTGCCTAATTACAAATATCCAACTTCTTGAATTTATAATACTGAATTACTAATATCTTATTATAATAGCCACGTGCCTACAGTACAATCCGTTACTAAATTGATTAGATAAACGATTATATAAGCCATCGTAATTTCAGTTTACTGTTCGTTGCTGTGTTATAAAAACTGCTATCGTGAATTGGTGATACGTATGTTAAGAATATTCTCACTGTCAGTACAAATTCATCGCTATTAACATTAACGACGGAAGCTGATTGTCGATAATAATCGAGTAGTCAATTGATAATTACTTATTTTTGAAACTGTAATACTAATTAGTTATCCGATTTTTGGTCTCATACTTAATTATATTAATAATGAATTATAATTTTAGATTGGTAGATAGGCATAGAATTAGTTAGTAGCATACAGTAGTGCTCTATATTACCGAAGGCGCTTTCTATTACCTCCTCCTCGCTAGACATATTCAATTTCATCCGTGCGGTACGATATTTCTACATTACTCGTTTTGTTTCGAATCAGCTCAGCTCCTCCAGCTAATTAATTTAACTTGTAAATATATATATCAGCATAGGGTCATTTTGCTGCATAATTTCTATTCTGTGCCTTGTTTATAAAGTTAGGCAGCTTGTTAATTCGTTACTTCATTGTACGCATTACATCAATTCTAATAGTTTTGTACAGAAGCTTACTGAATTACTGTATTGTGATCTAAATCAAGCACTACTGTAAAAAAACTCTCTACTAGTAACCCTTGTTCTGAATATACGTGCGTTGTTATAACGCTAATAAAATGATACACGTAAAGAATATACAATATACCTATGACATTATAACGTGTTAAGTGAGGACGCCATTGCCAACACTGTTCAAGATGGACAGACGGTGCTGTTATACTTTGTAACAGATTACGAATGACAAAATAGTAAAAAAATACATCAATAAATAGATTGCTTATAAGTAGTTCTCCAATTCTAATTAAAAACAAGTTATCGCTTTTAGATTTTTATCAGTTCGAAATTTTTATTGTATTTTTTTGTCGTGGTAAAATTTACTGATAATTTAATTTCTAATTTCTAATATAGTATGTTAGCGAGAAAGTTGGTGGCGCCCAAGGGACCAAGTTAGATGATCAATTCTTGGAATTAGAAAAGGTATGTACCGTAACACACGTACAGTTTACTAGATATAAGACCGGGATATTTATCAGTATGGCAACCTTATGATTGAAAACAAGAACATCATCTCTATCCGTTTTATCGATTATAAATTAATAACGATATTACTTTTAGACCAAAAGATATTTTTACTGATTTTACTTAGTGATAGACAACTAACTTCTTGCAGTTAGTTACTTGTGAAAAACAGTTAGGTCATCTTTAAGTACTTGTAGTATTACGGTAGTTTTCAATGAAAATGAATGAGATAACCTACTACTGCGAAATTATGATATTTTGTGTTGTGATTAGAGAGAAATCGTTCAATCAAGTGTTTAGAGTATTTTAACATATTTACTTTGCTATATCATTAAATAGCAATAGATAGTACTACGTATTACTGATAACAAGGATGATTTAATTAATAATTGTGAATACGTTAATCTGTTAATTTTGCTACAGTAATATTACAATTTTTATAGGCATTGTTTGCAGATGATGATCTAATTAGACCATACATAGCTCGTAACATATATGTCTACAGTCAGTTACTTGAGATTTAAATTCTTTTAATTCTACGTAGCAAACTGACGCTCTAGCGGCATCGGTTGAAAATATAAAAAGCAGGACTATTGAAGTTCTACAACCGAATCCTGCTGCCAGATTCAAACTACATACGCAAGGCGCATATCAGAAAATAACTGGTAGTGCGAAAAATGTTAAATATCCACAACCTGAATTTGTATTGGGCGAAGTTATGATAAAATCTTCTACTGAACTTGGAGAAGATCTAATTCTCAGTAAGACGATAACATTCAAATATTTAACTTTAATTATTATACTTCGTATTGCTTCAATGATTTATTGAATTATTTATTTGATCATAGGTCAAACTTTAGTGGACGTTGGTGAATGTATGAAACAGATAGCGGATGCTAAAGATGCTTTGGTAAATAATACCATCTGTAAATTATAAATTATTAAAGTATTAATAAATTCGACTTGATTTCATAATAATTTACATAATACCTGTAGCTAACTTTGGCAAACTTTACTCTTAGGATGCAAATATTAAGCAAAATTTCCTAGAACCTTTAACTTTGCTGCAAACCAAAGATTTAAAGGAAGTCATGGTTAGGATGCAATAATAAACTTAACTGTAACGTCACTGATTTACCTATGTTATATAATCCGAGATGACTAATATACTGTACTTCAATCCCTATATAATAATAACTACATGCAGCATCACCGTAAGAAGCTTAGTGGCCGTCGCTTAGACTATGACTGCAAAAGACGAAAAAAGGATAGAGGTAATATCAGCATACAAATTTATGGTATTGCTGAGCGGCACCCCGCTATAGAACCTTTCATATAAATATGAGTAGCACAGTAAAATAGCCTAAGATACAAGTAGCCATGTTAAATTTATATAAACATCTATTACTTTATGCTTTTCAGGCAGTAACGTAAGCGATGACGATTTGAAAATAGCGGAAGAAAAATTCTTGGAATCGAAAGAACTTGCTGAAAGTGGAATGATTAATCTGTTTGATAATGAAGTGAGCTATTAACTTACGCCTATAACAATAATTATCGGATTCAAACCTTTTAACTATTCTATAATTTGTAGTAGAGTTTCATTCAAGATTCATTACGATAATTTAGATAAATTACAGCGTTAACCTATACAATCTATTCTTAGAGTGATCAAATTGGGCAGCTGTTGGAATTAATTAAGGGGCTTATGCAATATTATGCCCAAGGCGCAGAGTTACTGGGTAACTTGACTCACGTTGTACAACAGAAGTTAGTGCAAATTTAACGCCGATATTAATTTTTAAACGTGAATCTAATTAGATTTTTTATACGAGTTTATTTAGTCTTTATTAAAGCATACGATATTTTTACTTTTTTGGCAATAACACGCAAGATAATATTAAATTGCTTTAAAATCATTAGAATGGATGAAGCAGTAGCTAAACCGCGTACTGAAAGACCAATTATTAAACCAACTTCACTGCCTCCAAGTTATGATGAAGTAAATCCAGATGATGATGATGATGATACCTATGCAATGGCAGCAAATAACGACTATGCCATATACAATAATCACTCAAACAAACCTGGAGGTGGTAAGCCATGTGCAAAGGCATTATATGACTTTTCTCCTGAAAATGAAGGTGAACTTGGCTTCCATGAAGGAGATCTGATTTACTTAATCAATCGCATCGACGAAAATTGGATGGAGGGTACATGTAATGGACAAACTGGTTACTTTCCAACAACTTATGTTGAAGTCGTGGTTGCACTTCCGTAGTCCTTTATCATAACTGCGTTTATTGATGTGGTGCATTTTAGTAGCCAATCTTACTGTAAGACTTTCACTAGCAGACTTTGCCATGTCTTTATATCGTCTATTAAATACCTCTATGGAAAAGCACTCTGTCTTGAGCATTCGCGTATGTTCAAACAGGGTGTCCTTTACCTCTAATAGATTAGCAATACATGCAGGTATGCGATTTTCGCACTTAGATTGCTTATCTTTATTAGTTATTGAGATTCGTTAAGATAGAAAACTTTTGTAACTCAACATGTAATTGACATTAAGCTTCTGCATTACATTCTTTAGAAAAATTGTATGTACACTAGTCACCAAAATAACTGTAATATTACTAAAATTAGTAAATCATTGCTGGATACTTTCAATCAGTTATAACTACATTGACATTAAATGTATGGTATAGTACTCTGCCATTGTTTGGACTGATTCGCAAATATTTTTAGCTTGCTGATTTTAAGTATGCTTACAATCTAACTGTGCTAAGTGATAGATTTGGGATCTGTTCTGCATTGAATTCTTTCTTTCTAAAGCCTTTTGCACCGCAGGTGTGTTTTTAGAGTCTGATGCTTGCTGTTGTGCTCTAATGTACTGGTTCTAGTGACCATTTAAAGAAAGTGATTTATCAGAAAGCCTTAAAGTAGACCACTTACTAAAGACTCTTTATGGCGTAGATAAAAATTATTACCCGCTAGGCGATTAAATTAATTGTATGGCGTCCATAGATGCATATTGTTAAGGATAAAAATTTAATGTATAAAATATACTTGAATAATAGCTTAGCTATTGCAATCGGGAAAGTGTGGCGCTTTTTATTAACTGACGGAATTAATAAATAGCACTTATTTTCCTGCCCTGCATTATGATATACTAATGTGATAAATATCGTAAAAAGTTAAAGTCCATAATGAACGAATGTTGCGGATAACTGATTGTGATTCAATTCTACCAACTTGTCGCCTCTCGTTTGTGTTTCAGCAACCTTTGGTAGAGATGCTTTGCGTCACGTTTTCTTATAAGTACGTAATTGGCAATAAACCTATTAAAGTGTTGTTTTAATTTTTGTTATTTCCCACCGCTGTTCATTTATTCTAAACTTTTGTAACTAAATTCGTTACGTTGTGTTCTTAACATTTGGCAATTTGACTTACAAATATCGAGGCATATGAACGCTACGAATTTGGGAAAAACAGCGCATATTTTTTGTTAAGAGCACAGCTAGCTAGGTATGGTCGTCAAATTTCAAGTATACACTTATCATACTGTCCACTGTAGCTGCCACTATGAAATAGTCGCTGCGGACCGAATCTGCTGACGAAAACATACTTATCAATTTTCGTAACGCAAGGACAAAGAAACCCTGTACGATCGTATAGTCGGTTACAAACAAAATTCGGTGTTGATTCGTTTCGCAACTTCTATAATCACTTATGCGTATGTTTTCTTATATTAAGTTTCGTGCTAGACCATGCAAGTTAATGTACACAAATACATGCACTTAAACGGAATCAGCCTTTAAACTGGCATGCTGTTACTATACGAATTATAATATTCTCCTTGCTTTCCATAGCTAGGAAATAACCAATGCGCTTAAAAAATGCCCATCGTGTAAATGTACCTAATTTAAAAGATACAGTAGCATCTCTTAAGATTTTACAGTGTCTAGATTTGCGTTACTAAACCTAATACTTCTAATAAGTAATTCAACTATACCTTCTTGGATAAATGAAAAGACTAAAAAATATCAATTGCCTATCAATTACAACAATTCTTTAACTCATATACGGTAATTGTGCACAGTGGTCTATTCTGTCCTATCTACAAATCACTGTTATACAAAGACAGAATAGCCACAGACTATTCGAAATTTTTGGTTTCTAACAGTCTATGATACAGCTATATATTAGGCCGGATCAGATTCATTCTACTACCTGTGACTTTGTAAAATGCATAGGTTACGTGTAAATACTCGTATATCAGTTTGATGCTGCATGTTTTGTTGACTCACTACGTAATATGAAAACAACAATAATAACACATAACTATTTTGTACTACTGTATTTGTATTTTACGGTACTTACTGTAAGGAATATTTACAGTACCGGTATATTACGCCGAATAATTCTAGTTGATTATATCGAATTATATCCAGATTTAATTTATAATTTTGAATAAATAACTTTTCAATAACCCTGAATAATAGCGAAACATTACTATAATGAAATTAAATCTTAGCTTTAATTGATCGCTAAGATAAAAAATTTAATCATGATCGTACATTTCATTTATTATTACTATTTATTACGTGATATATCGAACTAATTAACGGTATAGTTGGCTATCCTATTACAGTAACAGCGTAGACCTCGAAACCGATATAATTGACTGTTCCGTCCTATCTTACAATATCTAGCAAGAATAAATTAGTAGAAATATCAGCGAGTGATTTCACATTTAAAATCGAGCTAGATAGCATGATTTTATAAATTTAAAATTAATGTCTAATCGATCAAGATAATAACGGAACGACATACTGTACATTACAAAAATACCATTCATACAGTATTTGTGTATACCGTGGCTAACGATCATAAAGCGGAAGATAAATAGAAAGTTACTAAATTTTTAAATTCTGAAAAATTTAAACAGAAATAAATACGTTTATCCATTCATGCCTACCATAAGGCCAGTAAGCAAAGCATTGGTCTGATCTAATTTTCCTAGAGGATTATTTTAAGTTTAGCACTACTTGGAGATCACAACAAACATTCTATTAAATAAATTGAACATTGGCGCAACAGCAATGATGTACTACTAGCAATGCTGCCACCTTTCAGTTGAGATACAATTATTGTTATACGTGTATAGTAGTAACAACGAGCAGTTGAACAGAGTTATTTATAACGTCTGATTAGTATTTCAAAATGTAACACAAATCTCACTCACTATTATCCTACTAAAAGACTGCTTTGTTATCCTGGTTAAAATAGGATTATTGTAATCGGTCAATAGTATTATAATTATATACATTTATCTTTATACGTCATCATCAGCAATGAGTAGCGAAATAATAATTAGGATCAACATTTCTAGGAATTTTCAATGTTAGTCTAACTAAGTTGTTAAAGCAACAGTTTGTCGTTGAAATTGTCGATATGACATGAAATAAAAAGTTATTTGACGTAATGAGTGTGATGGTACTCTATCGGCATTCATCAATTAATCTAGATTAGTTGAGTCTATAAAATAAGTTATACTTAATTATACTTGTCTTCCTTATCCGCTTCCGATTAAGCACAAGCTCAATTCAATAAAAAAAATCCCTAAATCAATTTTTCCTTTAACGATTTTGCTATAGTAGTGCGATACGAAAACATCATCTTAAGTAGACTGAAAGATAAAGTTGCCAAGAAGATCTAAATTATCCTTTGTTGTCTTATTATCTATCGAGTAATTGTATTAATTTATTTTTTTCCTACTTGGATAATGCTTGAAAGTGTTATTATTGAAAACTATTATTAATGCCTAGATAATAGAAAACGTTAGCTTAAAAACAGCTCACTTTTCAAACATCTACTACAGTTTATTCAAGCTTCTTATGGATTCTTCCTACTGTAATCCGTTAGTATAGTTGCTATAGGGAGCAAAACTAGCAGTAAATGCTATTCAACACAGTCTCCCAAAGTTAACTACGCTAATTGCAAAGCTAATACTCTTTTTGCTAGGCAAGCAAGATTACAATTAATCCTAGTATGCACGCATATATATAATCGTGCCCACTATTTGTTTAAATATCAGTTGCAGCTTACCCACTATTCAACCTGCTCTAATAAGACTAATTTGAGTAATAGAGCGATTTTTTTCTTTTACAGTATTGGGCATTTAAGGCATGACTAGAATGTACTACATTGTGATATGTAGAACCATCTTATGGCTAATGAAGGTCAAAGAAATGGTTCTTTTATTCATTGATATTACTCCAGTTCAGTAGAGATCAGAGATTTCTCTCCGTTGTACATTGCTACGACAGAACTTCAACTATTTAGAAGATTAGGCCTTCCTCGAAAGAACTAATTGCAAGGCAAATAACGATATCAATCGTTCATCATAAATAGAAATTGTTCATTTTTCTTTTCCCTACGCCTTGATCCCTATAGTACCATCCTTCGTCTCCATGTGGACATAACGTCCTTGATCACTATGACAATATGGACTAGTACGCTTAGCTCCGGCAACGTATTGGGGTTGTATCATAGCAACGTAACCATAAGCACAGCAGCGGATAAAGCGTTTTATGTCCGCCATAATGGATTAATATTGCTATCGGTTGATGAATAACGGTACTCTTCATTATTGGTCATGGTGATGACAGCTATGAAGAGTATTAGAATATCAATCTATCTCTATATAAAGGTTGGATGTTTCTGAGTCACTGCGTGCAATAACAGCGACCAGTGGTTACCCTAAAAATAAAAAAAAAATAGGTCAAAATGTTTAGTAAGTTCTACTATCATAGATGAATATAAAGAAACCACCATCAAAACAATGATTATATAATTATTATTGTCATGATGATTGTTCAAGTGGCATGATGAACTATACTCTATCGAATTCATCAATAATTCAAATTTTAATTAATGTTATTCTGTTTTCAACGATTGGCACAAAGTATTTATGTCGATTATGTCTGATTAGAATCCCTTCCAGACAGACAGACGATGACGTACGCATGCAGAGAGTTCACACCAACCAATTGGCTAATGTATACTTTAGAATACAGCATTAGCGCTACTTTAATATCACCCCCTGGTGGATACAGACGATTTTATTAATAATCAATAATAAATCATGCTTTATTTCTACCCCTGTCCTCGTTTATATTTCACTCTTGAACAATTATTATAAAATAAATTCCATTGGGCATTTTAATCATCATAACTGATCAAGTCAATCCTCAAATTGGAATTTCTTTTCCCCTCGCTGCAGTCCTGGTTGAACATTTATAGAGTTGATCTTTAACGATTTCAAGTGGTAAACTGAATAAAGGGATCCAAAAAATTACGTTCTGGACCACTGTAGAAGAATCCTCTAACGAAAAACCAACTATGGTGACTAGAGATCAATAGTCAACCAATACAGTTTTAAAGCAAATAATTTCAACATAAGATTGAAAATTATTCATCAACGATATTAACAATTACTTTAAATTAGTCGATACTCATCTGATCATCAACTTCAAAGTGAAACGATCCCAAATCTTTCTTAAAACTATAAGACACGTCCAATCATCAAGAAAATTAACTCTTTCATTTCACATTCATAATTTCAATTTTGAATCAACTGGACAATATCATAATTGTTGATCCTTCCCGGTGAATAAAGCTCAACTACGGTATTAAAACAACTGCTTACTTCTAGGTTAACGTTATAAAATGATGACTGTTACGACCCATCATCGTTAATTGGATACTGTTAACCTAATCTATTTCCCCCTAGTTCCCTTATTATAAATTATTCAGTGAAGATCGTCGTCGATAGAGAACATTTTGGTTAATAAGCAAATTATTTAAGACAGACATTTGACCCCCCCCCCCTCCATTTGAAAGAAAGTTAAAGTAGTGAAGAAAGAAATTCATCAATCTTGTACGATAATAGAAATTATGCTTCTATAATAACGTCTATATTTACTTCAACTATTTTATTTGAATGATTTATTTCTCTACTTGAAGTCTGGCCCTTTTGACCTTCTTTGGCGCTAGCGGTTTCGCTATCTAATACATTTCTCGAGTGTTAGATTATTTCATACTATTATAAGGAAAGAAGTGTTTTAAAGAGATTAGGAAAAGGAAACAAAATTGGAATTGATCGTTTCTTTCCAAAGCTATTCCCAAGTATAGAAAGTGCCCGCGCTCAACGTCTACTTACTTGTATTACTCCTGATTATTTTTACCCAAGTCCAAATTAATAATGTTAATTTGAATATTTGGCTGGTGGTTATTGGATTCTTAAAGTAGATGTTAACCATATCATCTATTTCACCTGTTAGCTAGTGTTAACGCTGTTACTATTAATGTATTCGTATTCACCAGCGAATAACAGTTTTTCTAAGGTAACTTGGATAAAAGTCCCGAATCACCTTGATTTTTAATTTTTTTAATGGATGATTTCTAGCAGTCATTCCATTTAATAACAGACTGTAGATAACTTTGATCCAATTCAAACATTGTTCTACTATTATACGGATATTAAGCCCCTTTTAAAGTTGATTGATTTAACGCTTGTTGAATTACACGAGATCAAAACAAGTTCAATCGTAAACTCTTGGTATCTAATTGCTATCAGGAAATTTACCCTAATACTATCCTTAAGTACGATCCTTTTATAATCGGTAGCAAAGGTCAAGTTTATTTCATCGTGGTTGAATTAATTGTATGGTGGATGTCAACATCGATTTAAATTTGCCTCTAATCGCTTTATTTTAACCAAATTCTCTTTAAGTAATTCTACAACTGCCGTAGAACTATATTCAATCAATCTTTAAGAGATAAAACAACCTCAAGACGACGTAATATAGTACATCTCTCTCTTTGATTAAGAATACGTTGAAATTTTCCATTTTCGAAAGGATAATATCTCTAATAAAGTAATCGTCAAAGTTCAAAAATTTTGTTTAACGTAGTCAACCTCTGGTACCGTCAAGGACTCATTTACTTAAGTTTCGGTTTACATAAACATAATTTGAATATACAGTATTTTAGTTATCATGTCAGCTAAACTAAGATCACAACCAATTCCAGTTGTACCTCATACACGAATTGAAGAGGAAAGCGATCTAGATAAAATTTATCATCGCGTCAAAACTTTAGGTAAAGGAGGTTTTGGTGTTGTATATAAGGCAGTCCATCGTCAAAGTGGACGCCACTGGGCTATTAAAATCATCCATAAAGAAAAGGTAAGACGTTTAAATTTCTCTGTAGGTAAAGTAGGCCTTTAACGATGGCATAACGTTATTACAGTAGTATGATATTGTCACCCATATTACTTTAAATTTTTATCGCCAAAAAATGTTGGTTCTTTTCGCTATGACTTTTAACTTACATACGTATATAGGCTATAAAAAATAAGATTCTAATTGCATTACCAGAAGGAAATCAAATTAATTTAGCGATGATACAATTAGCTATAGTTTTAAATATTTTTGAATAGAAATTGTTGTAGGGATAGTATTACTAGTAGGGAATACTACTAAATGGATTATATTTTTCGCGGAAAGAAAACATTTACCATAAGAAATTTCAACGTTTCAATTTATTTTCGGAATTGATCAATATTACTATCCCATTAATTTCTATCAATCTGATAATTATTCTTAGTGGTATAGTACTGCAGCTAGTTTGCATGGATAACTTATTAGAATTGGATAAGGTTCCATTGTCGGTTAAATTCCTTTTCGCACATATTTTAAGTTTTCTATTTCGGTTTGAAACTATCAAATTGAATATTCAGCATACGCATATAGGCTATACTGTTGTGTAATCAAAGAAAGAGTCATCAATAACTCCATTTGATGTAAATTGGGGCATAATACTGGTTGTTCATGGTTGGAAAACAACCATGAATAATTCAATTAAATACTTGATAGTTAATGTATTAGTTAATTACCTCATCTCATACGTTACTACCTAGGAATGATTCAAATTACTCAAGCGTAGAAATTCATTTTAATTGTTATTTCTATTTCAGTCATATATATTTAACTTTGATATTGATGAAAAACCAATCTTTAGGCTGGTAGCTCAGCTATTCGTAATCTCGAGCGCGAAGTAAATATCATGAAAATGGTACAACATGAACATATTGTCAAATTACATGAAGTTTACGAAACATCCAAGGTATTTTCTTAATTTATCAACCTTTAACTATAAAATGATACTAACATCGATTTAAAATGATTGCTGCTACTACAAGTTTTTCAAAATTTTTAAATTTTGATTATGTTTATAAAAATAATACCCTGCTTCCTCTCATAAATAGCTAATAAAAATTTTTATTTACCCTTCTGAGTACTTTTAAACTTTATAACGTAACCTTCGTTGATAACTAATTTTCATTACTGTTTATGTGGAAGTGTTAAGTAAATATAAAGGAAAGAAATAATCTAGTAATGGTACGAAAGTTTGCTCCTTTCTTCTTTTAATTAATAATTTATTAATGCAAATAAACAGTTTAGGAAAATCGTTTGTAAGTGTTGTTAAAACTAATATACTTTGGTATAACAACACATTTCTCTCTTCATTTGATATTGGTACTGATTTCAAAGTCAAGTAATTAAGCTAGGAAGCAAAAGTATGATCCGTTGATACTATTTATTTTTTCTTTAATTATCTTATAAAGAAAATCCTCACTTTAGATATGAATTGAATTAAACTTACATGTATTGTCTTTGATGAAACCATTACAAATGACGATATCCAACATTTGATTACGATTAGACTATGTTGGTTGATGTTTACCTTCAAAAGATTTTGCCTTCTATTTTAACCGTAAAATTTGTACTATCGTGGCCTTTACGACCCTTCGTTTTATACTTTTCGTTTCAACTATACTTAATTATCGATCGTACTTATTGATAGTAGAATTATGTATGAATTTTAGCCGCTGATAACGTTAACTAATGACAAAAGGATCTTGTACAGAGTTGACAGTACATTGCGTAATATCAGCAATTTCTATATTTTCCAACTGAAGATAGCATAGAATATAGATGATCAGAGCTTAGTATATTCACCTGTCATCACACGTTAGAATTAATTTATCCTATGTGCATTGGCAACGTTACAATTTCAGTGATAATTGATACAAATTTGAGAAAGAATTTAATTAAGAGTTATTTATCTTCAATTATGCTTTTAATACTTTAATTAAGCTCACGATTGAATCTTGATTGCTACGTTTTATATTGAACACAGCACTGTGACTGATTAAGATAAAGCGATATCTCTTCTTTGATCGAACTATTTTAGAATGTATTGATCTAGAAATGATTTTTGATTTAAAAAATAATTTGCTTCGCCTTGTTTATATTACAAATAGTTTGATCAGCTTGGTCTTAATTATAATACATTATCTTTTCTCGAGTTGTATTTCACTTTCCTGTCAAGATTGGTAATTTTTGATCATACAATTCTAAATGTAATTTAAGTTAATAGCTTATAAATATACAGTAGTCTAATAGTAAGAGATTGAATCTTTAATGCTCTTCCTATATTATCATTTTAGTAATAGTATTGCTCCTGATTTATTATTATGCATATTTATCAATTTTAAGTTAGTTTTATTTGAAAAAATTAACACACATAAATTATCAATTAATCTTGAGTACAGATATTAATTATGTATTTCTTTACTTATGCATAGCAAATGTATTTGGTTATGGAATTATGCGATGGTGGAGAGATATTGATCGATTTAAAAAATCGTGGTTCTTATACAGAAAATGTAGGTTACAATGACTTAACATGGTATCCATTCCTATCGAATCACTTTCCTTAATGAAGATAGATACATAGTCGTGGAAAAATAAGAAAATAAGATCAGAAATTGACAATAGCAATATGTGATAGGAAATGAAGAGCTTATCACTGTAGCGAAATCTTTAGCACGATATCACAAATACATAATCAGTATTGGAAATAAAAATTGTAAACCTCATACGATTAATTAAAATGTATATTAAATAATATCAAAATAAATTTCCATTTTAGTTTTCCTTAAATAAATATAATTTCACCACGCTAATTTTATCTTAGCGTTAACATGATAGATATCCAATAGCTTTTATAAAGCAGATTTAGTGATTGTTGATATGATTTACAGATAAGTGTGGAAATATAATGTGAAATTAATAAATATCTATTTTATAATTTACACAGCAAACAAGAACTATTATGAAGCGGCTAGCAAGCGCTGTAGCTTATCTAGACGATCACAGTAAGTATATTCTCTACAATAATGAGTAATATATAAAATTAAGAGAGAATTATCATTATTTAACTGTACCTTGAAATACAATTAACGTAAGAATCTTGGAATTACTCTACATGAAACTCATCGGATTACTTGTAATTCAGATATCGTCCATCGGGATTTGAAATTAGCCAATATATTACTGAAAAAGTCAGGAGATGAGCGTTCACTGAATATTAAGGTACGACTTTTACTAGACAGTTTGAACATATTAATATTGAATATTTCTATCGTATTACAGCTTTATTAAATTATTTGTCAACTAGGTGAGCGATTTTGGATTAGCTTGCATAGTTTTGGATCAATCTGGTTATGCTATGATGCAGACTACTTGTGGCACTCCATTATATATGGGTAAGATGAGAACTTTAATACGCATTATATTTCGATATTAATTTATGGTACAATTTTTATTCAGCAATCAGTCATTTAGTTTGAATTAAAGCCGCTATTTTAAAAAATTTTCAATATCCTAATAACATTTAAAATGACAATGTATCTGTGCTATGATAATACTCTTGCCACTTAATAATAATTAATTTTGTTGCACGTTTATTAAAACTCTATGACGAGCTGAAATTTATACTACAATCATGTTAGTAGTTTACTAACAACGTACAATGTTCTTCTGTGTACATAGATGTATTTAATTTACTGGATTTCAAATTATGTCCTTGTTTTTACCTTGTGATGTTGTGCAATATTTGGAATACAGACACTGTGCACCTTTAATTTTTTAATCTTTGTTTGATAAACTTTCTGGTTCGAAATTTTTAACCATAATATATTTTTTATTGTTTCATATATAGCTCCTGAAGTTATTAATGATTTAGGCTATACGCGAAAATGTGACGTTTGGAGTATTGGAGTCATCATGTATATGTTGTAAGTTTCCTATCTGCGTTTTATCTACTACACAATTAAGCTACGCAAGAGTTTATAATACGCGTATTAACTTCCTGAAGAAGTATTTAACAGGTTGCAATGTACTTATTTGTCAATATAGATTATGCGGTGAAGGCCCTTTTATTGCAGATGATGAAGATAAACTTTTTGAATTAATTAAGAAGGGAGAAATTACTTTTAATCAACCAATTTGGAAGACCGTTAGTGATTCCGGTAATAATATTATAATTTTGGGATATATAGGTATCAACTTAATCTGCATTTGTTTTAATTCCATATTAAAAATTTTAATAACATTCCCATATTTAGCCAAAGAACTGCTCCAACGTATTTTATGTGTTAATACTGCAAAACGCTATACTGCAAAGGAAATTCTCAATCATTCATGGATTACTGTATGTGTTTGAGATATTATCTATTTTAATTACTAACATTCTGATATTTTAAAAACGTAATAAGATTAAAATTTTATATCGATGCACGAAGTGATAGACCTATAAAATATTAATAAAAAATATAGGGTAGCGAAGGATCAGATGGTCCAACCGCATTAGAATTAATGAGAATTATGAATGAAGAAAAGAAGACAGTAGAACAAGATAATTCGGTAAGATGATTAATATTCATACCTACTTAATTATAATATAAGCCTACACTTTCAGCTAAATTATTATATACATTTTCAACTATATTAATTTAAGCAGCTTTCAAGGTTATAGCACTGATTAGTTCTGTTTATATTTAAATGTAGCCTTCTGAGTATAATGAGAGTAAAGAGAACCAGGAAGTCGGTGTTACATTTTCTCGTGAAGGAATAGCCCCTAATAAGATCAATCCGGATTATCAAAATGGATTAAGCGTAGAGGTATAGATTGATACGGCTAAAGATAGGCTTAAAAGAGTACAATATATAACTGATTCTTAAATAATAGAATTGATGATTAATTACTTTGCTTTTTCATCAGTCGTTTTCTGCGATGCAACGAGCTTCTTCAACTCCTTCTAACCTAAATAATGTGGGGAAAATTCCGCAATCTCCACCAATTGCAATAAGGTCTCCTACGATAAATACTCAAATATCGAATCAAAGTAATCGTATAGGATCAAATGCTAGAAAGACTGGTCGGTCAGTTAGCAGTGGTGGTAAAGCAAGAAATAATGGTGCTATTGATAAAGTAATCATCTACCTATTATATGAGATATGATAACAAGTAATTTTTAGTTGAATAATTATTTTATAACCTGTTTCTCTCTTAGCATGGAGTTGAATCCGCGCGATCCCATTCTTTCGCCTACGTACCCAATACCAAACAAGCGGAATCGCACAGGCGATTAAATATACCACCAAATTCAATTACAAGAAGTAACTCTAATCCTCCACAAATGCGAGGTTACACTAGAATTAATTCACCTTCGTCTACAGTTCCAAAATTGCCGCCCGTCAGTTCTGTAAGAAAGCGATAGTTGCTTTGAAATTATGAATATATAATTATTCAGATCTATTACATTCGAAAATGACTTTATGATAGTAATATATGATTCACTGCTCGTTATAGTCATAATATTTCAAACTTTTGGTTAAGTAACATATCATGCTGAAATAAATTTGAGAGCTAATAATAGTACAGTCTACTGTATTCATGTATTGAGGAGATATTTGCAGGGAATAAGAGAAAATCTACAACGAATTAGTTTCAAGGCTGAATCATTAATTTGCCAAATATAATTAATACAATAATTATAACATAATTTCATTCGTCTGTAAACTGTTATTTTTACTTACGTTTATTATAATTAACAAAATTATGTGCGGTATCAGTAAGATACGGGAAAATATTTGTAATAGCACGATTGTAATTTGGCTTGGTTGAAAGATTGTCGACCTTCTACGTATGACTTTCTTAATGAGAAATATTGCAATAATAATGTATATTCAAAGTAACAATAATAACCTTTCGTGATTTTTTATATTTTTCAAGACGAATGCTTATAAAGTTAGTGAAAGAAAAAATTTTATTATCACCATTGATGGTATTCATATTGCTGCAATATTATGGTATTTCATTACAATTCAAATAATATTGTATAATACAGTGCATTTTATGTCGAAAATTGTAATTAAATTTGTATGATACTAAGCTGCTACGGTTGTATTGTAGCTGTTCGTAAGCATTTGTTGTTCACGTGGAACTGTGCTTATGCTCGTACGTCGGATATGCATGTCGTCATCGCAAATCATTCGACTTTTAATGTTGATGAGGACGATAGTCACTGATGAAATGATATGACAAGCAAACTAACGTAGCTGAATAATTGTAATCGATCATGAATAGTAACTACAATATTCGCCTTCTACAAGATACCGATATAGTTGATTTTATCCATGGTAATAAATCGATCAATCCTACCTCTCTTTAGAGTATACGCATATATTTAAATATCGTATTCGTCTATTAGCATTTCCCTATCAGATACCAAGTACCGTACAATTTGCTTAGTGAATTAAATTGAAAATAGGAAGGTGATGATATGAAGAAAGCTAGTTGTATGATAAGTTTAGATGGATACAAAATGCATAACGTCGAAAGAGACGTAGATATCAGATGCATTCATAATACAATAATACAATATGCTATATGTAGACTATCAGAGTGTATTGATCAATCTATCACTACAGGTACAGCAGCAGGATATTTTATTGTCACCTCTGTATTGAATACGATAATATAGAATTGATCAATAATAACAATCTATTTACACTTATGGCTTGTCCTCCATTCTACTGTACTTTCTCTATATACTAGCTGATGTAGCATCGATGGACGTTTTGGTATTTCATTTTTACGTGCAATATCTTAATTAATGATCATCAAATAAAAAAGTGACTATTGCATTTTATTATTTCTCAGGCATATCCATTCTGTAGGATAACATACAATTATTCAGTATCCTAAACACTGTATATTTCATGTCAACATGGAGTAGTCTAGTTATGGTGGACAGCAGTTGTTTGCCCAATTCGAGTATAACATACGCATAGACGTATGTGGTGTTCCCTATGTTTACAAGCAGAAGACATTATTCAGCATACACTACAGTATGACATAGTAGGCTATGTTTGCTACCTATCATAGTTAACATGATTCCATCATTTCAGTTTAATTTTAGCCTTGAGGTAAAAGAAAAAGCGATTCCTTGTTGAAATATTATTGAATATGAGTAAATTTTTGTTGTATACAGCCAATATAATTTTACTTTATAGTTGCCTACACACAGTAAGAGTCTGCAAGAACCGTTGCACACTCAGTGTAGATACTCTAAGTATAGTTCATGGACTACTAGATACTATATGGCTATCCAGTAGTCATGCTAGAATATTCAACAGTAGATGTGTTGTTCTACAATCGGCTTGGTGAAGGTGCCATCGCGATAATACACTCAGCAATGTAGACAGTGGCAAAAAGAAAAAGACGTTTTACCATCATGGTAAAAAAGAAATAGCTACAGTATACATTTTATCTCCATCAAAGCGATAGAGGTAGTGTCGTAGAAGAAAGAAAGAATGCTTCTATCTTATAGATGATTAATTATTCTAATTTGTCTTATTAGAAGTCCCTTATTCTGATTCTGCTACTGTAGTCTACGTGTACAACTAATAGCCAGAGTAAGTGCAATAAAGAAAATTGAACATCCAAAATCCTATTCTAAAGCTGTTAAGACCTCAAAATGTAGTACTTAGTATTTCGTATCCATAGAAAAAAGTCCAAAGTTTGTAACCTTTCTTATCCTATTTATAGGATAAATGAAGATATTGAACAGGCCACGGAGCGGGTTATTTAGCTGTTACAAGTTTTTCTAATTAGTAACAGTACGCTCTTAATTCGACAAATGATTATTTTTTTTCACGAACGGCATTTTTTTTTCCGGTACAATTCTTATTTTCACTCGAATGCTTTATTTTTAAAATTCTTATTTACGACCAGTAAAGTTTAATTAGCAATAAAATGTTTGAATATAGAAATTTTAGATTTTTCTCTATTTTTCGAAGCATTCTAAGGAAATTTTCGACCATGCCTGCCTGAGTAACTGAAATTCAATTCTACATTGTTACAGTGTTCTACACTGTAATATCGAGATTATAGTAGAAACATCTATGTTAGGATAATTTTGTTGCTTTACCCTTATACAGTATACTTTACAGCCTACTGAAATTAGTAGTTTAATTAGGGAATCGAGAATAATCTTCTTACAATTTAAATCACTGTGATTGTAATTTACTGACGGTAGATTGTAGATTATGGTAGAAATGTTCCGTGATAGGACATATTGTAATCTGACAATTTTGTATTAGTCATTCGATGTCTATGTTGGTAAATACTGTTGTCTTCATTATAGGTAGCAGTAGATAAAATTAGCTTTTGATTCATTATCAGGTTTTAACGTTACTATTACTAACTGGGATGTCTTTGCTATTGTAAAAGAGTGTATAAATGCGATAAATCGTCTAATAAAGTTAGTTCTTATGATTCGTGTTTAACGTAAGATACGAGGCGTTTCAGTCTTTTTGTAGTCTACTTGTATAGGAAAAGTGTTGCTGAAAGAGTAGATACTGCTCGCTGATACGTGGTTCAGGGAATTGACTGAATGATTGTGCATTACGTTATCTTGTTGCATAGCTGTTTTGTAACCTACATATACTAAAAAATTAAGTTGATTTGGCCGTCAAAGATCTTGTTGCATAGCTGTTTTGTAACCTACATAAACTAAAAAATTAAGTTGATTTGGCCTCCAAAAATGGCCGTCAAAGAGCTTTTATTGGACTTTATTTGCCATTAGTACAGTATACAGTACTGTACATTACAGTACACGATACAGTACTGTACGTACAGTACTGTACAGTACTGTAGTCACAGTGAAGCGTCCTGTACAGTACAGTACTGTACTGTACAGTACGGGAAAAAAACTACAGTGTACAGTACAGTACTGTACAGTATAATCCAGTGGAGACTGTCACTAGTGGACCACTGTACTGTAGTACTCCATACTGTACGTAGTTGACTCACTATCATTCAAGTCAGAACGTATTGCTGTCGTAGTAATGGATGCCATGCCATTGCTATGGACGACGAAGTAGCAAAATATCCTATGGATATACCGGTAATCGCCTGCTTGTTATCATAATTAGGAGCGTTTCTTGTGATTGATAAAGGATAAATTCAGTAGGAGTAAATAGATGGATTTAGATAGGGTTAATGTATGGAAATATTTTCAATATTAGCGTCCGTCAAACATGTTATCACCGGAGGATAACAGTGAATTTGATCAAGAAAATATCGATGATTTCAATGACGATACATTCGGCTCTGGAGCAGTTGGTAAGTGCATGTTATTCCTTTTGAGTGATTCATCCGCTCAATAGAAAAAATCGTTAGCACATAAATTGGCTAATATATCATTATTAGACATGCAATTTGCATTAGTCCTAGTGTGATAGACCTTGCGACTACAAGAAAATGAATGTGATGTACTGTATAGTGCCATGTGAGCGCCAAAGCATACATGACATCAGTATTGGCGGGTATCAAGGGTACGGTATTCATTCTCGCGCGGAAGCATGGATAAACTTGTCGCCATATTCTTGCCCAAGAAAAGGGACGCTTAAACGCTACATTTCTTATGACAATATGTATAATACTCTTAAAACTAAAGATATTTCAACCAACTCTTTAACTAACCACACACGATAGCATAGTGAACTATGTCAAATTTCATCTATTTCAAGGCATACTTGCGTCATTCATTGACACTCAATCAAAAGCATTTCATCCATTAATTTAGAATTAAACTTACTTAGTTACTTCTTCATGGTAGTAGAAAGGTCGAAAATCGATTCGATATACGGGTATAAAGCAATTACAATTTTAAAATCCACCTCTCGATATGGTTTATTGTTTGGATAACTACTGTACCATGATGTTACCAAGTTGTTAATATTATGACATGTAATTAATTTAATAGTTGATGACTGGGAAAGCGCCCATCAGCAGTTGTCTGGACTATGTCACAAAGTGGATGAGAGCAGTGGAACAGCAGCAACAACGCAAGTCAATGGCAATCAGGGATTGAAACTCTATCAGCATAGTGGCAATCGCTCTGTTGACGTAAGTTTTTGCGCCTAGCAGATTAAAAAACATTCAATTAATATAAGTACTGATGACACAGCTATTAATTGTTACAATGCACCATCTTCGACGTATGATACATGAGTATAGAATTATATAATCAACGAAAAGTATTAGGCCATAACGTGATGTGTATATATATATAGCAATGTAATCATGATAGTATAACACCGATTACACTATCGGCCATAGCATTGCGCCATAATAACTGATAATGACTGCCATAAATTCTACTTAAAGTCATCATTGTCAATTTGATTTATTGCATGCAACACTAAATGCGATTTGTTATATGCATCGCATGTCCGGAAACGTGTAACGTTTCAGTTTTAATTACTGCATCGAAATGCAATAATTAAAGTTTAAAAGCAGCTATGATGCAGGAGAACTAGTAGAATAGGATCTTACATTTCGTTGAGTTACGGCGTAAATCTTGCTTTAGTGACGTATTGCGGTCTTTTAATGTGGTAATGCACATCAAAGTCAGATTACTTAATGTACTATCATCTTGACTCGAATATAAATCTATCACTTTTGGAGATTCTACAAGCTGTACGTTTTAATTAAATATCATGTTCAATTTGATAGAACGATGATAATTTGCAAGGAGGTTACAGCCCTTTTAGTCCAACTATTTGGAGTAGCTTTGACAGTAAGTTACCATCATGGAATAATGATAACTTGCGTGAACAAAACAATCTAGCAACCTTATCGGTAAGTGTCCATATCCTTTCTATGCATAGGCACAGAGAACAGTATAACTACGTATTATTCCCTTATTAGTATAGTATGATTGTTAGATTTAAAATAACATCTTGTCATGATAAAATAACCTTTATCATAGTGTATTAAACGCGAAATACTCTAATTCATTGGCTTATTCGAAGCTACTTGGTAGTTTGTTCATCTAAGCATCATACCTTACTATCCTATGCATTATAGGGCGATAGTATTATCAAAAGTATTTCTCAAAAGCCACCAGATTGGCATGATAAGTCTAAACAGAAGCTAACTGTTGAAGAATTAGAAAAAGAAATTTTAAAACAGCGTCATGGTAATTTAAAGCATGCACTTTTCTTGATTCACGATAACTAAAATTACTAATGCAAATGCAATTTTCGAGAGGATATATCTTCTATAAACGACTATTATCTATGCTTCCTTATTTATACTTTATCTAATGTTTTATCGAAAAAATTATTGTGGAATAAAATGAAAATCATTTGCACTAAATTAAACCTGACCTTGTCATTTAGATCATGAAACCGTAAGTGATAGTGGTATGGGTAACCTAAATAGGTATGTATTCAAGTTCAGTAGTTTGTTGTAGTGGCATAGCTAGCTAGAACTGCAAAAGATATAAAGAAGTAAAAAATAATTTTCGAATTAATCTGCTACAGACTTTTACAAAATGCCAAAATTTTACCTACAACACCGCCATTCCCAGCTAGACCGAGTACTCTCCCTCAACACGATACTGCACCACCATCGTCACAATTTTTACAGGTGCCGCATATATAACTGATTTAAAATATAATCTTTAAAAATATTTTTGTTAAATATTATAATTTACAGATCGGCTTTACTCTATTACAGGGGCAGCCCTTGGGTATACGAAACGTTCCTCCTCGCTTTGAAATACCTAATTTCCCGATTCCTGTTAATAGACCTCCTTATCAACGTTTTCCTCGTGAGTTTCGTCAGCCGTTTCCTCATCGCCCATCAATGCACCCTATGCCACTATGCCACCTATGCCAAGACCAAATTTTGGAAGATATCAGATGCCTCCTAATAATAACAACAAAATAATGGGCCACAACACTAGATGGGGTCCACCTAACTCTCCGTTTATGATGCATCCGCACTATAATAGACATGTACGGCCGCCAATTCACCCGCATTTATATCCGATCCGCTCTAATTTGATAAGACCTAGATTACGGACTGAAGATCGTGCAAAAGCTTTCACCGCGTTCGATAACATAGATTTAAGTGGAATTGGAGAGAGACTTGGCATCTTAAAGCATGACGAAAGTAACTCTCCTGATAGCCTGATGACTAGAAAGGAAAAAGAATGGCTTCTCAAAATTCAGTTGTTGCAGTTAAATAACCAGGATCCATATGTTGACGACTACTACTTTCAGGTAGTAATGTAATAGCCGATAGATTTTTTTAATATTAAAATTATTTATTTTCGACCATTGGTACATCTAATATTGCAGTTTATATAATATAGTATTTTGTCCAATCATATTACTAGATGTACGAATTAAAGAAATTAGCAAAACGCCTTGGTGTACCAATAACGGATGATTACAAAGCACTACTTGAGCTTTCTAATCAACCTGATACTGTTTCTAAATTGCAATCCAAAGACGTTGATCAACATAATCATGAAATGAACGTAACAGCGAACTTAGTTAAGCCTTCGACACTTGATATCAAAGCTAGAAAGCATGATCCTGGTAAAGTCACTAGAAGAAAAAATTTTCTATACGAGATTTTTACCCCTAGCAAATTGGTTGTTTTTCGTTGCATAATTTAAGAACAATTTGTTTTTTGTCTAAATACATTAGTTTCTTTCGAGAATACTCTTGGTAAAGTACCTGTCTACTCGTTAACAAATCCGCGGAAAGTCATTGATGCTGTACAGAAAGTATTTGATAGTGACGAAGTTAAATCCAGCACACCATCAAGAGAAGCCTTCAGGAAAAGACGTATCACACTACATTCTGTAGAGAAGGTCATTTGATGTCAATAATATTGCTCTACATAGTAAAAAATTGCTTACTTGTAAGTCTTTTTGCTAATAAAATTTAATTTAATATGAAAATTATTAGATTTATTCTCTATTATTGACATTGGATGATTTCGATCGAGAGGCTTTATGCACTGACGATGAAAGTGTTAAGTATGTCCATTGTACTTGTTGCTAGTGGATAAAGCTATAACTGTTTAAGTAATGAGATGATTTTGATAATAATATATGACTTCCATTTTAGGAAGGAAATTGATATGAAGAAAGATATTACTATTAATGAAATGTTTGAGATATTAAAACTGAAAACAACTACTGGTGCACCTGAAAAGTATGAAACAGAATTTATATACCATTCTAAGGCCTTATTGTATACGGTATTACAATGGTCATGTGTGATGACTACTAGTCCATCAAGTAAAAATGCGATAATACAGTATCTGTTTGTAACGGTATACTATCATACTGTAGTAGCGTATAACAAGCCTCGAATCTTAGATTAGATTAAATAATATGCTTGATATTTTGACTGCTTGCAATATAGGAACGATGACGATATTCTAGTTCAAATCTTGATGATTCAAAAGGGAAAAACGTTAATAAGTCGATTGCTACGTTTCCTAAACCAGGTTCGAATAGGAAAATTGTTGCTTATATTGCTTTATAATTTACCAACGAATACATAAAGAAAATAACAAACTGGGTTTTGAAATTGTCTTCCATCACTTTTTACTGAACGTAAAAATGTCGAATTTTTTAAACATGTAGGATCAAGCTTTTGCAATTGTGGGCACTATATCCCAAAATTTACCTATAATAATTAAGAAGGACCAAACTGACAAGGTAAGAAAGAAAGTCTCTTCATAATGACAACTTATCAACAAATTTTGAGAACGAACAAATTGTACTTTTTAAATTTTATAAGTAATTATCATACCAATTTTGTTTTATTACATTATGTTCAAGTATATTTTGCTAAATTAGCTTGAACTTTATATTTAAGGTATTAATGGTAATGAAAGATGCGATTCAGAAAGTAATTGTTGAAATGGCGTTGGCAAATTGCATAATTTGCGCTCAGAATTTATTGCACGGGCCTATAAATAGCCAAATAAGGCCTGGACAAAGCAAAGTTAACCCGGTAGCTATTGCATATAAAAATGAGGTATGCAACTTTACTATTTTCATTGAAAATTGCGTCTTAAATGATCTCAAATTGTGCCATTTTTTATTTATTAAAACAGTTTGGGCTAATATTCCTCAGATTATTGGTGCAACGAGGTAATGGCTGTATATCAAATGGTGAAGAAGATGAATCTCTTCATTTAAAGTGGTAAGATAATTAAAAAGTACTTATATCAATGGCTAACTCATAGATTGACGGTTTTAATTGTTTTACAGGCATGATATTGTTAAGTCTATTTGTAATAATTTGGAAAGTATAATAGCAGCTGAAGCTGTGACTAAAGACCGTTTAGCATTACTTGATGACATTATTAAGTATTGCGATGAAGAATCGTGCAGTAAATTTATATCTCTTGTAAAGTAAGTATTGTTTTGGATTTTGATATTTCGATGCGTGCCGCTAAATCTCATATTGCAGTGAAAGTGAAGAGTACATCTTTTAATTTACAAAATTACTAAGAAAGGATATATTTGTTTTTAGGTCGTTGGAGGTACACAACGGATAATAGATCACTAACAGTACAATAATAGCGAGAATACGAAATGGTTAAACATATATTCGGCAAATTATCGACGTTATAATGCAATATAGTTATAAGCATTTACTTCCTTATAATTTACTGTAGTGTATGTAGCATATAATACCGCCAATACTCACCCGTTCTTTTTATTTTAAACCTTTACAGACTTATCGTTATACATATTTGATGTATTGTAATCTACTTGCATTCGTATTATAATTATGTTAACACAACAAATTTACTATTTAACACAAGTTACTGTAACGAGAGTGATTTTGAAGCTATTAATCACAACGTGATTACCGTAACATGACTACTATTTACTAGATGAATTTGCAGTACAGTAGATACGTTATTTATTCTTTTCCATCAATTAGGTATTCAGCCTCTGTCGTCGATCGTATGATATTAGAAAGTAATAACAGTCTTGTTAGATCGTGATAAATGATTTGAAATATAATACTTGATATGTTCGGCTAAAATGTGGAGTACTGCTTTGTAATGCTTAGACATTACACGTACTAGCGCCAATAGATTTTCAATCTATGTGTACAATAACTTGAAAAGTTGGTTACTTTCATCTAAATTTCATGTATAGCATCCAGGAGATAACCTCTATCGTTCGATGAAGCTGTTCTTGATGCGAAAGAAAACTCATTTTAATTTCTTTGCAATCCTTGAACCTTTAAGTTTAGTATAATTGAACGCTGTTTCACGTATTAACACTATTTGGTATCAGTATTAGGTTGATGTTTTAGTAACTTAACCGAAGATCCTTTTTAGCTTACCCAATGACAGTCCTTAAGAAATTTAAAAAATTTTTTAACAGCTTATCTAATTTTTTATTAGCATTATAATTGAAGATTCTGTGTATTGATAAATTCTGTTTTAACATGCAAGTGATAATATTTTAGTCTGCTTTTAAACCTGGTGAGTAATTTTATCGGTCAACGGTTGAGAAATTCTTTTCAAATTGTGATGGACAAATTTGATATTACCGTACCATGGGTCATGTATCCTCCTGTTATTGCTTTTAATTTGTAATTTTAAGTATAAATGTTATTAGAGTTACGGTGATTGTAGTAATATTATCACACGTTTAGCAGACATTTTGCAATGTTCATACCTACTGCTATAATATCTAACAATTTGTACGTTGTGTCGTTAATGAAGGTTTATGGACTTCGTTTCAGCCGTGATTAGTACTTATTATTTTGTTTTTATAATAAAATTTACCTAATAAAAATTACACCGCCTAATGTTGAGCATAAAATTAAAATAATGTTATTTGCATAGTCATTGTTTAAGAATGATGTAATTGCTAATTAATCAAAATAACGAACGAAATGATGCTATTTTAATAATTTCCTGGCAGGGTTGATATATACTTAATAATGTATCGGCATTAATATCTTGAATGATTATTTTGGTTATTTTGCGTCAGTACGTTAATATCGAGTACTGTTGAAAATCCACAGAAAAATCGTGATGCAATAGTAAAAGTTCGGTATAATTTACAATTTATAACCAAAATTTATATGGTATTTGAGTGCATGGCTACCTAAATTTAAACACACGTAATGGCTTCTTACAATTTAGATACAGCATCAACAACAGCCAATAATTAAGTAATGAATTAATACGGCATTGCGATTTTAAGAATAAAACAGCGCACAAATCAGATATTTAAACTTTAATTAAACACAAGCGTTGATGGCTTAACATATATTTATCAGTTAGGTAATAATAAAAAATTTTAACTCTAAGACGTAAGATAGGTCAGGCTTCAATAAGGTGCTGTCATTTTTATTTATCGGATATTATTTTAGCTTACGATTGTATTGCTAGCATAATAGAAGATAAATTACGGTAAAATTACTTAAGTATTCATATTGAAAAATGATCGTATGTGTGAGTACACTTGGTGTAATATCCCTATAACATCTTTTCATAATGAAAATATGAACTCATATAGTTATTAATTTGTCTTTCTAACTAACTTGCTGGATATGTTTGCCTAACGAGGAAAGGAATTTAAGATCTTCGGTATCATTTTCGATTAATAAGCTGGCTATTAATACAGATTTTTAACTATAAACAATAAAATAATCTATATTAGTAAAGCAATTAATTTTACCGAATTTATTTAAGTAATCACAGATCTAAGGTGAGATAGTCTTTACCAATCTAATATCACTTTAAAAATATAAATTTTACTCTAATATTTTAATTAATCATCGAACTTACATGAAAAAGTATCAATGACGATCAATTACTGATCTACGGGCTCTTTCTGAGTAAAATTCTTATTGTTCGTTCTATGTTGTAATGTGCTTTCCTACAAAAATAGATACCGTTAAACTCGATTTGTATATTGTAGGTAGACACACCGGACTATCCATTGTATAGGTATCACTTTAGAATGTAGAATACCATTGTAAACATAAGGTAATAGTCTTACCTCCCGTCGCCCTACGTACGGCGGTCGGGTATTAAGATTTGCACTATCGATATATTGACTATTCGTAAAACCATTAAAAAATTTTAATTGATCGATCATTGATTTTAACTGACTTCCAATAATAACCATGGAATTCACAGCCTGTTTCACAAGAAAGAAATCGTCATCTTAAAATTCAGCATGGACTGGCTGTTGTAGACTGCAGTATTAATATTATATTATGGCGCAATGAACGAAACCGTAATTTTTGAACCGTTTTAGTACCTAAAGGATTGCAACAAAGTACCCTTAGCAATATACAGTATTTGGTCTTGATTTGTATTAATAATGATTTAGTATGTCTAAATGCAATACTTAACTGGGGTTACGGTAGTCATTTTTTGCATTATTATAAGTAATATATATATACTCTTAATTAATCTTTTCTATGTTATTAACATATCTGTCAAACGATTAATCAAAACATCCAAACTGATATAAAATAAATGCGATGGTATATTTATGCATATTGTCTTTGCATGTTTTGTATATGGACGTATATCCAATTCTTTGATACTACATAAGAAATATCAACTAGTAACTACATTTCTTAATTTTACGTGAATAAGATATTAATTGGTAAGGTAAGACACTACCAAGAGTATTATTCAGCTCCTTTTTAGCTCTTAATACTATTGACAATCGGTTGGGAGTTATTCCTTAATTAATAACACAAGTAGTTTTCGTTTTTAAGTTTTTACCTCTTCCATTTTCAATAGCATGTATTGCTCCGTAGTTAAAGTATTCGCAATAGAAAATTGACTATTTTCCGTGACAGCCATAGCTGGAAATTGTTTGATCGCATGTATGGGTTGCAAGATAGGAATGCCTATTTCCAAATGCAATCATGAATGTTATCAATTGTACTATGAAAATGAGAGAGTTGGTTCTATTATAATATTTTGCTCAATTAAGTTCTGACTTAAATTATAGACAAGTCGAAGTGAGACAGAATTATATATGTAAAATCTCATCATTCTGTTACAATAACGTGTAATCGATATCTTTAATCAATTTATCCATTTTTGATATTAGAAATTTAAAATAAAATTAACCGATATTGACGGCAGGGCCACTGACAGTGGATATTAATGGCGTTGATGATGGTGTTGATGTTGCTACTGACATTTCCGCTGGCGTTGGTACTGAATGGAAGCCTGTTGTTGTAGGCCCAACTGCTGGAGTTGGCGCTAATTTTGTTGATGTAAGCGTTATAGTCTCTGTTTCCTCTCTTTTTTAATGATAAATGAGGAATAGTAAGACGAAAATAAACTTATTCAGCGCACTATTATTGTCTCTTTCAAATACATTTTATAAAATTCTATCACTGCATACATTAAAATCATAATTGCAGCAATGGGTTTACTTGGCTAGTCATAATTGATATTACACAATTCGGTGAATTTACTTATCATACGGTACAAACTAAAATAGTCTTTGTAGTCCTTACGAGCTCAATTTTGTCATACGAGAGGGTGGCGGACCATCATCTAATATAAGCAAATCAAAATAATGGACCAATTATAAGTTTCCTAATATTCATCTGTTTGCTGTCCACTATATTGAGTGATTTAATTACTATCTGTTATTCTCAAATTGATGTGTTTATTCGTTACTGTACCTTCTCTTTCATTACATATGTAGCCGTTGTCGTTATTTTTCCTTTTGAATGGTATAAAAAGCGGACATGGACCATGCTAACAAATCAATAAGAAATGTATTTAATTTCTCAATGCTATTAAGCGTTTTTAAACTTCAGTTTGTTAATTAAGTTGAACGATTGGTTGAAGAAAATACAAATACATTAATGAACTGTTGTACTATTATAACTTTCCAAAGCCAGTTAGTGTATAGCCATAGCGGAATATAACAACTTACATACCAATCACAAAATATAGCAATAAACAGGAACTTATGCTACATTCCTGCTTTATGAATTAGAATACAACTTTCATAATGAAGCTAATTGTAATGAAGTAATTAAAATAAATTCTAACTTTTAGATCAAATTAAGTAACCAAGAAATTAATATCTTTTTTTGCTAATTCTGTAATCAGATTGTTCTGTATCTGTGATCGATCAAAGATCACTTTTACTTTTAATTTGGATATTAGAAAGGCAGTTGTTAACATGGCAAGTAAAACAACAGTTTCACATTGCACACTGGCAAGTAATATTATTACATTTCTACTCTAATCAAATTTTACCGTCGGATTTTGAGTAGATACGACATGAACCGCTATGATGCCTGCTCGAATTAATTGGTGCAATGGATGTCCGGCGTAAGTAATATTACGTCCCCAGTCTTTAGACGATGTAATGCCACAAGCTGTTTCAAATTCTATCGGTGTATACCACTTACTTTGCAATTTAATGCATTTACCACGAGTTCCAGTGATAAATTTACTCTTGTAGAATTCTGCGGTCTACAGAGACATATAAAAGTGCACTAACATTAGTTCTATTGTGAATTAATTAAAAAACGATAGAGAAATCAATAGCGGTTAAAAATGTCTGGCGAAACCTAGAAGATTTATCTATACCCTAAAACAACTTTACCCGATCAGGAAAATATTCTATAATTATTCTATCTAGGTAACGTTGGTTGTAGTACGGTATACTGTGCTAATTTTATATACGGAAGATAATTTTACTACTGGTGTTTCATTACCAAGTAAATTTAGGACATCGGTGCTAATTAACTACATGTATGAAGGAGATGATAATCTTTTTGCGTTAAAATGAATATGGTAGCGGTAATTTTAAATTGGCCGCTAAAATATAATGTTACTTTGATTATTCTTTGTAAAAGTTATTTCTTGATTGCTATGATAGCGAATAGTACACCTTGGAAGTTAAAAGCTTCACAATTTCAGAGTAGAAGTATTATAAAAAGACGCTTTCACTTACTATTTATATATGCGAGCCTACTACATTTTAGATGCTATGATTAACTCTACTTGAAAATTTTCTCTAGTGGTGAAGAACCATGAAATGCATCGTAGATGAAATGAAATGCTGGAAGTTCAACTATTAAACGCGTAAAATTTATAATCATAGTGATGGTTTCAATTTAGGCTATAATATTACAAACTACTGAATTTGCTTATATCAGTATCTCATTTCTAGTTAAAATAAATGGAATTTTGTTAGATAGAAGGACTGAGAGTAAAATAAATTTAATGTAACTCTAATATACGTGTATAGTAGTAGGATTATTATAGGTAAAGTGCAATGAAGTAAAAATCAAATAGAAAATACGACATGTTAAAAATCATGAGGTTACAGTTTATGCATAAATAAAACGGCAATGTCCATTGAAGAAATTTTTGTCAAAAGTTGGTGAAATAGGATAAAATAGTAATTATAGTCCTGAGATGATCTCATATAGATCAATAATATTAAATAACTTTTGTCCTTTGTATTAGCAAACAGTATAAGAAATAGAAGGAAATGTAGATGTGAATTAATTTGAATTTCAAGAACGGTATCTGCTATGGAGGTGTTATTTCTAGTAATAATTCATGATCAGTTTTATATTTTTGTTCGTAATATATACCATGGCCGACTATTATGCAGTAATAATTAGTTTTCACGTAGGTTTAACATGGGTAATTGAATTTCAATTTTGTCAGTTCAATTTTTTACTTTTTCGTTCATTTTACAGTGCTTATTTTACATGCTTGTAGCGGTCAATTAAATACTATCCAAGAAACGATAGATCATGAAAAATTTGATACTAGCTAAAGGATTTTAATTTTATCAGCTGGACATTATCCATTTTTTATCATATTATTTTTATCTGTTCTACATAGCTACAGTAGATTTTAATTAATAACTATGCAGGATAGGATAACTCAATCGAGGATTGGATAAGAGCCGTAAGATATTTTAATTTTATCAACTACAGTATACTTATCTCCTCACTTTAATCCTATTTATTCGCCATTATTAAAATGGATATAGGTGAACTATACTGGAAAAGATAAATTACTAGATTATCTAGTATTATTAGGTTTGATCTTTATCCCACAACAAGGATTTATACTACACAAATGGGGATACACCATAAACGATTTGATGTGGCTAACAGAATTTTAAAATTGTCAGCGATATTTTACTTTTCTTTCTCGCTAATCCTGTTCGTTCTACATCTTTATAAAAGATGCTAACGCTGTACAGGATAGATCATTAACTAGATTTCGTATAGTAGTAGTCTAATTCTTATATTGTAAGGGATACTAATGCTATATAAGTACATGACCGATCACTGGCTAGAATTGGTGAACGACTAGCTTAATCTTTATCGTTTTAGTGCGACCATAACTACCTATAGCGATTACAATTGATCATTTTTTAACATTTCTATCATGTCTTAATGACCTACTTCTAAGTAGTTAAGACCTACTCGAATTCACTAATCATTTATTCTAAGAGTGATTGTGAATCGATTTTTTCTTCTTCGATGGAAATCAATTTATAAAGTTTAAAATTATTAAACAAAATATTTCAACATTCATTGTTCGACGACAATTACTACACTGTTGTCAATGCACGTAATAGTAGATATTGAATAATACAAGGCATTCTTGATTTTTATCTCTTAAATATCAATCAGCATGATTAATGTAAGAATAACTTTAATTTTATATAGTGATTAGATGAAAGTATTGCTGAATAGTAATGTTATTGTTCGAATAATATTGTTATTTAATTGCATCTCCAAGATATAATAAGCTAGTAAATAATTCTACTGATAGCTTTCTTTGCAGAGTCATTTCATCATGACTAGCATCAGCTCAATTAATTTTATTGGTTAGTTTTTAATTGTCGATTGAATTCTTGGTGCTAACTTTTCAATCAGACGTCTGCTCGAAAAATGAGAATCGATACTTCACTAACTCAATGGTATCTAATTTTAATTAACATTAGCAAGTAATCAATCAAATTGATAGCTAACCCGGTCATGACAGGTAACTTGTAACATGTCGCTACGATGGGCTCGATGTAACCAAGTGGTATCCTGTTCTTCGTGGTCCGAGAGGATGTTAGAATGTGATGGTAGTTGTGGCGGTGACGAAGTAGGTGATACAGACGAAGACAATGTATTATTTCTGTCACATTCCTGATTAAGAGTTGAAACAGAATGGATAGCTTTATCTGTATATTTAATATCATCGGCTAGTTTAGATGGGGTAGTTGCTTGACTAACTGTCACATTATTAGCCGTATGATGTGTTTTATTGCTAGTGTCTTGATTACGCCGATTATTAGCAACAAAACGAATCCTTTTCTCTGGTAATATCGTTTTGTCCGTGCCTTTTGCGGTCGATTTTGACAACATTGGTGTTGTCGGTTGATATGAAAGATTATCATTATTATGGTTACCGATAGCAGACTGGGTTGCTTGATCCTGGCGGCTTGTAGTAGCTGATTTAACTAGATGATTATTATTCCCATCTTTATTTTGATGGATGTTTTGACCCGTATTAGGGTGCGTTACGTCCGTAGAATGTTGTTTAACCGTTAAATCCATTTCAGTAGCAATATTAAAGTACAAAGATAGAAACAGAGTGGATAATAATGTAGATTTCCTACATAAAATAAGAAAGAAGTTGTGATTATATTAAATTGCTTTCTGAAAATGATAGAAATCTAATGGTAGTGCGATGGATGCGTGCTATAAGACTCGTACGATCGGTACTGAGAAAAAAAAAAAATGCTAGGATAATGAGATTGCTTCATGGCCATCAAATCGATCACAATTTATCTAAGTATATACTATCAAGACAAAAATATTGACCATTAAGATATCCTTTTTACCTTTATTTATCAGTATACATTTTGCACACTTTCCCTCTCATTAGGCATAAGCGAAATACAGTATGATCGCTAATAATAATAATATGTAGTTGAAAGCTTTCTTCTCTTTATTAACTTACTCCATAAAAACGTAAAAGCTCTTTCGTAAAAAATTTCCATTGTGCTGTTTTATTTATTTAAGTTGATAGATAGCCACTAGTGCACTATCTATCTTTCTATTGTGAGCATCTTTTGTTACTTGCTATTATCTTTCAAAAATTTAAATAAAAACTATTTTCCTTCATTATCAAGCTATAAAGTGGCTGAAGTTTATTATCTTTTGATCAAGTCAGGGATCCATTCTACGTTAAACAGTAGGATAATTTTCAATCGGAAACAGAAATGAAGTGAGAATCAAGAGGATGCGATATTTATTCTATATGAAATAAAAATAAAATTTCTATCCGATATTGATCGGAAAGGGAATAAAAATGATCTTCATGATAGCGATAAATTTCATCATGGTAAAGGTATTATTTTATGTTATAAAAAGATATTAATTTCTAATCCCAGATAACTTGATATTCTAATCAATAATACATCATTAAAACTATCATTAATAACCTCCATATAGTTAAATTTAAATTTAAAAAAGTGTAAATAACGGTAGAATTTCTAGGAATACGGGATATTTTGTTACAATACATCGTCCTTCTCATTGTACTCGTATTAATCTATCAACTAGATCCAGCTATTCACTAAAGTTTGCAAGGTAAACATTTAGGTCAACGTCGTGTACTGTAGACATAGTCTATATATAGTTGAATTAGTGATATTAATTACCGCACGGTATCCACGTGCTGGGCTATTTAGATATGGAGCTAATGTACAGTGTCAAAAGAAACTGGCCAATGTGATAGCTGTATTCTTATTTAGTTTAATTTACCAACAATTATATTAATTAAATGGTTAAATTTATCGACTATCATTAGCTGCACATTTGCATTTGTAAATATACTAGTGCAAACTCCCGTCGCTTTGCTGACGGTTTACGATAATGTGCTCATTTAACAGATAGTATTATCATTTGATAGACCTGTCAATTTTGTCTATCATTGTTTTCTTCTTACCTAGAAATCAGAAATGGCATCTTATAACTATTCTAATCTATTATCTTACAATGCTAAACCATTTTAGTGAATACTGGTGGTATCGATTGTTATACTTTGAACGCAGCACGATAAGGTTGATCATATTGAACGTAAGGAACAATAATATCCAAACGTCTTACTCTGTAGTATGCTCTTATGCTAGAGAAAGAGTAATTATAATTGAAAAGGATCATCTACGGTACAAATAATGCGTTGCTTCAGAAATTGAACAAACTGTACGATATGTCAACTACAATCGTTTTACTAGTAGCAGCGACAGTCGTAGCCGTCTCCATTCGTACCATATCATTAGGACGGTAAGAAAATATAGCATTATCAAAATGTTTTTTATTTAGTAAGATATCAATTCCATTTCTTTAAGATTTATTTTCGTAAACTAACATAAGATATCAAATTATAAATTCGTAAATCTAGTGTACTATGTGATAATTTTTGTAAGATAAAATCTTGCTTAAAATGGTAGCTGACAATGCAAAGAATATCGAAATTGCAAGCTAGAGTAATTATCCAATAGATGGCATTGAAATTTTCATTATTTTTACTTGCTATAACCAAATTCTCTTGCATCATCAGGAGTAATATCACCGTATCGCCAGATGTTTAATCTGTCCATTCTTGCGATATTTTCACTCTCTTTGAACTCAGTCACCTAATATAAATTAGTATATTTTACAAAGTTATAAAGGAAATAGTAATTATCACAGCTGCCATAGTCTGTTTAATACTAATACATCTAGGTTGAATTTTACTTACCAATTTAGCAAGTCGTTTTTCTCTTCGATTTTGAACTTGTAGATAACCTTTGCTAATGAGCTCCTTAGCTACGTTCAGTTGATCAGCAGTATACAACGACACGTGTTCCTTGTAGCAAAAATATGAGATACTTACTAAATCATTTAGATACTGCAATACTATGCTAGTACTGCACGGTCAATACTCTAGCTGAATACTAGCTATACTATCTATGAATGGTCTAAAGTGCCACGAAAATACAAGATATTATACGAGTAACAGTGTTATGCCTTACTTGATTTTGTAACTTGAATTCAACCTCCAATCCCAACTGTTGTTCCTGTATCCACAAGATTATTTTCATTTTAATTAAATGCGTCATTAAATTTGTAGTAGTATTTCCATCATGATATTTATTTTTCTTACCGATAATATCTCCATGAATTGCGTCAGCGCTTCACGTTTGTCTTCGTCCTATCGAATTCACCAAAGTATGTTAGTTTAATATAGTTTGAATTTACGAAATAATTATAACGTTATCGTTACTGATTGTAGAACAGTCTTTATTTACATCAGATGGTTCTTGAACTAAAGCTAAATGATATTCGTGAGCTTGAGGAGGAACACTACACGGTATAATGAAATATATATATCAAAGATATAAACTCAACATTTTTATGCTATGTAAACTAATATATTTAAGATTTAATTAACGTTTTAAGAATTTGCTTGAAAGTTTTAAGATTATTGAAGATTTATTGAAATCGTTACCTGTGAAAAGCGGAAGGAAGCGGGGCTAACCTAGAAGTTGAGACGGTGGCTCTCTATCGAGGCAATAAAATCATTATGATAATGTCTATTTTACGTTGGTATACGTTATCTATCCTATCATGTTAGAACTTACATTTCCGTAATCGATATACAGGACTTCAATAGCTGACGATGAAGTAACTTTTTCTATTTGTGCCCTATACCTAATTATTTACCAGAGAGAATAAGGAGGCTTTAGCTTATCTTCATTTGTGATAATGATTAGTAGGTCTATTCTTAGCGATCGCAATCACTTTACCATTCGTCGTCTTCATACATTGCCGCACACAACGCGCGTGGTTGAGGGCTGTATGAGCCAGGAATTGGCGGATTCGATTTGAGGTCACTTCGTAGTTGATTAGTCAAAGCTTCAAGTTTTGGTCCTGCAAATTATGCGAGTAAGTAAATAATTAACCGGAGTAATAACATAATTTACTTTAATTATTGAAATCTACAATCAGTTCATACATGTGCTGACTAATGAATATTACAAAAGAGTACCTGCATCAATATGCTGAGCATAAAAATGGTCAATCCCCAAAATTTCGGTGACTATTATCTATCACGTAGGTTAAAATTTACCGTTAGTTTACTGCTAGGCTATTACAATTTCTATACAAAGTTGTATGAATAATATAAGATCGGAAACATTTTGTAGTAAATATAGCTGTATTACATTTTTCCTTCTAGATTTTGTTTCCTTAGGTGTTTCTGGTATGATCTCTTCTTCTTCTTCCTTCTCTTCAGGTTCAGCAAAGTTTTCCCATACCTTTAAATCAAATAGTTCATTATTAAATAGAAACGTACGTGTGCCTACATATTTATACATGCGATTATTCAATGTTATTGTATTACCTTGATTTTCGCTTTCTTCGCAGCTTCTTCAGCTGTTTGCATTTCGTTATAATAATTTGACTTTTCGGCCGAAAAATGAATTTTAGCTAGGCCGTTCTTTAATTATCGAATAAAAATATTTGAATTAACTTAGTACATAGTGTAGTGTATTCCACTGAAAGATTCTATTATGCAACTAAGCAAAATTGTTATTACCTTGACAAGTTCTACTGAAATATTTAAGCTGTCAACAAAAATCCATCCAATAAAGTTACCAGCCCTATCCGTACCGTCAACCTCAATTTTCACCTAATTGAGAAAATATACAAAAGAAATAAATAATTATAGCTTAAGTTAAGAGTTAAGTAAAGAAATAAGTAACGTTGTTTAAAAATCATGATTCATACTTACATCTCTTTGCATACAAAGGCTTTTAGTATATTCCAAAGCTGCTTCGCCATACGGCTCTGCTTGGCTACGTTGAGACTTTGTTTTTGGACACGATATACCTTTTCAAAATGACGAGCATACGGAATTAATCAAAAACAAGCTACAACGCTCCTATGATTGGAAACTGATAACATAGCAAAACTGCATGCGTTTACGGCAAGTAGCGAACTATAAACTTCTTCTAGTTTCAATTATTAACACCGCGATAGTCATCGATAGATTTTCTGAGTGACACTAACCTGCGAGTAATACTGTTATTAAACATGTTTCTTTTGGAATGAAGACACGTAGACGTGATCCACTTGCAATAAACTGATTAATGTTCAATTTAGCAGTTATTAGTCCAAAAGAATCTTTGCATCAATGTGATATCATTCTCTAGAAATTAATCACCTCTACAACACCAGAAGATCGTCCAGCACGCTGCAAAAATGGCAAGAATTGCTTGGCCTTTGCCAAATCCTAGTGGCAGAGAGAAAGGTATTAGTAAATTAATTACAATGTGGGTATATTAGTGTTTGTAATATCGCTGTATCTTACTCCAGAGACGTCGGCAATGCGGAGTGCGGATGATTCATTTTTACTGTGAAGGCCTTTGCTACCTTTCTGTGCTCTATAAGAATTTCATAGAGATTGTATCATTGGCAAATTGAAATTGAAATGTCTCTGTGCATTTAAAGGTTAGATAGAACAAAATAGATGTTACCTCATTTCGGCGGAGAATAAATCATCGTAGCGCAAAGAACGCTGTTCATCATCACTTCTGTGACGGAGTACCGTTGCATAGCCTTTTCCGATTAGAGCTTCAGCTACATTACTAGAATATAATATTTATTATGAATTAAAATTAAAAATTGAAATTTATCAAAACTTTATTTAAATACTGTTAGATTTAATCTTTATGCCGTAGCAATCATTCTAGAAATCAATCTTACATATCTCCGATCATGACCGTTGCACAAGTTTTTTCAGGATAACCGTCGTTTGCAGGTTTGATATAGTCCACAATAATATTTACCTTTTCAAGAAAGACGAAATAATTATTATGGTTTTAGCATGGCTAATTAATCGAGTACGTGATGGCAAACAAAGAAAATTTCAAAAATTTCAAATTTTTATCTAATGATCTCATGCCTTTTTGTGGATAAGTTTCTTTCTGAGAAATTCGCGTGCTTCAAACATATACGGTATATCGTATAGTGGTCTTATTTTCTTTTTGTCCTGATTAAAAAATGTTTTTGTAAGTTAACTATTAATTGGGTCTTGGTTAAGGTGTCAAAAGTTGTAATTTTGATGATTACCGGAGCATTTTCAGTATCTTTTGCGGGCATTCTAAAAAATTTTGAATAGTACTTAAATAAAATGCTGAATACGCTTATACGCATATTGAAAGTTGATAATTTGCTACATTGTTGCATCACAAGAATAACGGTAATAGAGAATATCAAGCTGCTAAGTAAGATATGTTTCGATAATATACACTATATAACACATACAGTATTAATAAATACGTTAATGGCTACCTAGGAGGACGCAGGCTAGAGAATGTGATTTTTTTGGTTGTGTTATCCGCTAATTTCACCACAATTGTGTCTGCATTTACTATTTCCATTACCTTAATATGAGAGGTGAAACAAAATAAGGTATTTATGTAATGATTTAATAAAGTTTTAGGTTTGTGGTGTAATCGTATACCATACCTTAGCAGAAAATTCCTTTTCATTAGCGTTGACGCTAGACACCGAAGGCTTATAAGACTTCCATATCCTGGCGTGTTTTCCTTTAGCTTGCCTGATAACGTATATTATATTGTTTTCGTTAAACCATCCATACGTTAAATTGCAATGATTGATATCTAGCCGGTGTATTACAGGACTTACTTTTCTGCTGCACGTAGCTTCTCCTTACCAGTGCTCATAACAGCCATACTCCAATCTATACATCGCGCAAGTCCTTCACGTAGTAGAAATTCCGCTATATTGCCGTTCTACGACAGCATTAAATAGTGATGATTATGAGATAATTAGATTTATTGCAATTGATGAGATTGTTAATTAATAGACGAAATACAAAAATTATAGCAAAGAGATTTTAAGGCATGATTACCGGATGATTGATCGTCCCAATGAAATTCTGATTAGAAATACCTTTGAGCAACAATTAATCAATCGTAACGATTAATCGATGTGATGTAGTTGTGAAAGTATACAAAGAAAATGATTTAAAATTTTTATACCTTCAAGAGTTACTTTCACATCCCTTTGTAATATCCTTGATTCTGTGAAGAATTTAGCCTTAGAGTAATAGAACATAAATTCAGTTTTAGATTATTATTGATACTTTATTTTCACTATTAAGATACTCACCTCCTCAGCAAATGATTCCGCTACTTCTTTGTTGCTATCTCTCTTGAAGCTTGGACACTGTAAATACGTAAAGAATCTTGAGCGAAGCGTTACTTACGAACTGCTAAAAATTTTTGAAAGAATGTAATACGTACCTTGATACCTGACATCAGTATTGTTATATACTGGTGGTCAGCCTCGAGAAAAGCGCGAACGGTTGAACCATCTCGAACATGTTCGATAATAGCTACAAGCATAAGTACAATTACAATGGTTTAGATTTAATAATTTCTTTTTAACACTTTAGTTACAACATGAGATAAAAGCAGCCAATCGAAGCCGTAACTTAAGAGTTCAATTTTGATTATACCGTTAAATTCTTTTCCTTTATTTTGCTCAAGGAAACGATTAGCGTTGCTGATATTCCATTTAACATCTCTGATATTCTGAAATTGGTACATTTGTATTACGTTAATAAATCATGTATACAATATACTTGTAACGCGCATTATTATTCTAGATTGCTATGAAATATAAAATGCTAAAGTTAATCCTAATGTGGTCAGATTTACCTTGCTTTCTTCCTCATCATTATGAACACCTTTTTTACTTGCGCGTGCGATTTCTTCAATAGCGCTTAATCTAGTTTGCTCTCTAAGGCATTGATGAGATATTTGCAGAATAAGAAATACTTTGGTACATAATAATTAAATTACAGTGATAAAACAGCAAAGATTGATAATAATACATACATGGGATATCATAATAAATCTAGTAAGTATACTGTCATAGTATCAATGTGCATAAAAATCAAAAATTATAGTTATTTTAAATACTCTAGTTCTTACTCGCTCGCTTTTCCTCCTGCTTTTCTGACAGTTGCTAACCCTTCAGCGACTATAAGATCAGCAATATTTTCTAATAAAGAGTATACATAAAGTGCTATTATCATAGGATTTCGGTAAAGGTTTACGAGCTATCAAATTTCTGTTGTTGACCATTGTAGACTAAGTGAACATTTTCATTTTTGGATTAAATAAGTTCTTTGTTTATTTAATAAATTTATACTTTGAGCACTAAAGAAGGTCGATTACAGTACAGCAAATGAAATTAATGTCATACCATGCCCTAAAAGTACCACCGCATACTCGCGTCCAGTTGATGGGACTTTATAGTCAACATAAAATGAAACTTTGCGGCCAACGAGTTTCTTTCTTAAAAATTCACGACTTTCCCAAGCATATGGCTAGAATAGTAGCATAATAAGAAAATTTAAAAGGTCTTCAGTAAATGAATATAAAACAAGCAACACACAAGGGTACGTGTACCGATTTAACATGACATGGCTCAATTTTACGCCATTCAATTTCAAAATCTTAAAAGGTACGGTTTTACCCTACCCTGTTTTATATGACTCACTCATAAGGACATTTTAGTCTCCATAAAGAAGAAGACGCTATGCTTTACTCATATGCATACAGTGCTTAAAATCTTGATTATTATAAAATTATAAACGTGCAAAGACTGCGACACCATGGAGATGCGTTGTATCGACAGACGGTACAAGAGAATATAAGTATATCATATCATCACATGCTGTAGTCTCTGAGCATATCAGGGATAAAGACTACTGTACTAGAAAGAGATACGGACGAGAAGTGGCAGTTTAGTGTAAAATAAGATAGGCCTGTTATTTTTCTGCTCATTCTACAGTACGCTATCACCGAAATCGTATACTACATTGCATAAAATCGATCAAGCAGTTAATTAGTAGACTGGCAGTGTACTGTACTGTATTCATTCAGACCTTTTGCATTATACAAAATTAAAAAACTACAGTATTGTAGATTACTAAATTTATAATATTTGGATTCACTATTGGCATCATACTGTACCTGTATAAATAAATAAATTGTTAAATATAACTATGACACAGAAGTTAGCCATACGCAGAACACTATAACGTACTGTATCGTACATAGGTATAAAATCGTGCCGAATTAATATTAGTGGTGTGTGTACTTGAAGAGTTTACCTGATCTTTTTGGTCTTGCTTTCCATCGCCACTTCGGCGACCTAATCTTGGGGCAGTTATGCCGGATAGATTTAATTGTCTTTCAGGTGGAGGACCACCACGTGGTTGATCGCGTACAATTATTGAATCACCAGCTAGTACCTAGAAATCAATGAATGGCATGCATCAGTATATTAGATTTAACCTAAATTACTTAGTTATCTTATTTCAAGTACTGTATAGATCATCTGTATCTCTATGGAGATTTGCGGATATGACTGAAGTACAGCATAATGAATCTTTAATGTAAATAAAAAACTATTTTCATTTATTTTATTTGCAGTTTCTTTTTTAGTCCTGTTTTATATGTACACTCGCTCATTCATACAATAAACATCATGTTAGTATCTTGCATATCCGTATTCTGTATTAACATTAGTATCTTTTCTCAGTAACTTTTTTTCAAGGCCGATCTATTGATTATTTCACGTTGATGAAACTATCGTATAGTTATATATAGCATACTGTATACGTTAATAATATCGTTAAATGTCTCTTTACAGTGTGGACTGGTACAGTGAGTGCACAGTACAGAAGGTAAGTAGCCGCATTCAATATTATTTGTTATTAGACGAGTGCAACATTAGCGAAACAGCATAAATGTTCGCTTAGTCTTAGTAGTCTGTTAGTAGCCGGTAAGTCTAGCAGATGTGACGTTTAATGATAATATACTATATATAATGTACAACCATGGATTACTAAAATTTAACGTAATCTATATACGAGTGTACGCTAGATCCTGTATACTACACCATTCTTCCATCGCGACACTATTATTAATAATATAATTAATTAATAAATCAATTCATGAAACAGTTGCTATATATCACAGCACCCTAGTCTCTCAATGCCATTCAGTAGCTATACAATAAGGAACATGAGATTCATTTTTATAAAGAGTTTCTGCTTTAAATTGATAGGAGCATAGTGAGTGCATATCGAATATTAATTGAAAATTAAAGTTATTGTTGCTAGCGTGCAAGTACACTAGTCATTGTAAATTCAGAAATTCTAATCAAATATCGATAATAACAGTGTAATGAGTACAAGACTTGCCAATATTTCGGTTACAGTAAGTGTAGCTCAGTTGTAAGTTAATAGCATCACGTCGCATGTGCATTTCAATAATTAGCCAAAACTTGTTTCGAAATTGAGATCAAATTGATCGAAGGATTTAAAGACTTCACAAAAAAATAAGATTAAATACGATACTTTGAACTTCTCGAACAGTAAAACTACATGCAATGATTTCTATCTGCGACAGCTACCTTCATCCTATTATATTATATTACAATAATGTCTGAATGAGTGCATTTAATGAACTCGAGCCTATACAGTTTAATTAATTAGTAACAGTAGATTTCTAATAGGATCATAAAGTGATGGATTCCTAATCAGGATATGTCAATGCTCAGCATCTGAATGACAGCAACATTTATCAGTAGATTATAAATCGAGTCTTTAAATTGTAACCTGCTTGAAATCAGCAATGATATATTGTCTATAAAAAAATGAGTGGTAGGATTCTTTCATAGCAGGCTAAGTACAATTGGTAAAGGTTAACGATTAATTTTAAGGTCATGTATTGTGATCTTTGAATAAAGTAAACGCTCTAATCCAAGAAAGGCTATTTCAATAAATCAATACTAGGTATTTATCGCCAGTAGAATAGCAAGCATGTTCAATGTTTAATATTGCCTGTAATATTAACTGTCAGATTTAGCAGTGTTCAATAAGGCCTCTAATCTTTTCTAAAGACTTGCAGTAGTATTCGATATTTAACTTTCGCTTAACTGACAACCATACGACGCGTATACGCGTACATACGTAGAATATATGAAACATCTTTAACGTTTTATTGTGCCATGTACTAGGTTTTCGTGTATCTCTAAGCAAAGAACTAAAAAATGTCGTCACAGTCATTTGAACTCACTACAGTACTCATATTACTAATCAGGGACTACGGGACTAAAAGAATATGGTTATTTTTTTTGTCCCTGAAGTAGATACTCGAACTATGACATCTACAAACTTCATTTTTTATACGACATTAGGACGCAACCCGTTTCATCTTCGACATAAAAATTGTCACATGTCACTGTTTTATTAGCCATTTCAGTAGTTGAAATAAATGAAGTTTTTGATTCCAAATTACTACTATAGTAATAATCCTGTAAGGTACGGTACAACATGAAAATTAGAAAAGACTCCATTTTGTTTTGTTTACGATATAAATGGGAAAAACTTTTATCTGTTTTCGTCCTTGCATGATGCTGGTAATAAAGCATCATAATGTTAAGAAAGCATAAAATTGGCAATTGAAGGAGCACTGTAAAGTGGCAAGTGCTACAATTTACTCATGTACATTGTAGTACGAGTATATTGAGCGCGTGTCTAATAGCATTTTGGTTTAGTATAGGAATCATGAGATTTGATAGCCTCATTAAAAATTTAGATTTATATTAGTGGCTACTAATGGTAAACAGGCGGTGATCATACTTGTATACTTGTAGCATTGCAGTTGTACAATTTTGAAAAGTTGAAGTGCAACATGCAATGTCTGCTCTCTGTCGTAAAGCTCTGTGAAATGCTAATTTCTTATAGTGAGTGAGTGAAAATTAAACATCCCAAAATGATCATAATAGACAAGACAAAGAGTGAGTAGAATTTCGATAAGAGCAGGGTAATGCTGTAATTTACAATGTGTACATGTTGGCCATTTGGTACGAATGACTTAAGGCCAATCTTCGAAAATAGATAATCTTACGATTGGCTAGACTACTGAACTTACTTAGAAATTTCAGTTAGAGATCACCTAAATAAAATTCGTTCTACTACATGTACATTACACTTTACTAGAGAGTATTCACTAGTTCTTGATCTTGGAAGGCGAAAGAAAAAAGGCTTTTGTTGAATTTCAACAAAACTTTCCAACATCAAGTTCCCACTTGCTCGTATACAGTACATGTAAGTATTTAGTGTATTAGAAAGTGCATTGTTTAAGAGTGAACACTGGAACCAGATCATATCTGTGGTCCTATTTACTGTACTTGGCTGATCCATGTGTACTTTTATGCTTTTGGCGATTACTGTACTGTGCATCAACATAATGAAGAAAATGAGCTCAATAATCCTCCTTCCACTGCGATGACTTTGCGGGCATTGCCATACAAATTGTTGTCGTGACATGTGCAAACTGATACGCAATCGCATAGTACAGTTGCCTTAGGACTATGGCTGTCGCATCAGTCCCTGATTCAGGTTCCAATTTTGACTTCCACATTTCATTCGGTAATGACAAATGATATGTGATTGGACTTCCACTTGGTAAATAGACATTAGCACACTACAATTCAGCCACTGGGAAAGTGTTGAAAGAAAGAGAGGGATTGTGGACTAGGACGAAACGCATCATCAAATCCAATGGTTTAGTGAGAGATCAATACGAGTACATGTGCTGTCACTGTGACGATTAGGTTCTATACAGTTTTGGTGTTGCAATTAAAACAATTCGATCACAGTCACGACATTGTATGCGTCAATTTGGCTCTTTATATATATACAGTATAGACTTGTTTTTGAAGGAAAAGGATGACAGTGAAAAGAGTCAGTAACAAAGTAGAACCATTAGAACTATCCAGTACATTGAAGTCCATTAGCAAAAGGGTGCTAAATTGCAATGTGGTACAGTATCAATTACAGTCCATTTTTACGACTACTGTAGAATACTGCTTGTACTATACTGCACTATAGTACTGTACTGTACACTCAGTAGAGTTTTAACCGGGCAGATCTCGGCTGGTGGAGACTGGAGTAAGCCCGTAGATTAAATGAAATTTTCAATGATTTTACGATGATAACGCATACCCATACCTAAATGTGTGAGCGGCACAGTAAAGTATCAAAGTTATAAATACATACAGGTGTCCAAAATCGACTACCAACGCTCATTGCTCATCCATGTTGTATCAAGTAGAACATGGCTGGCTAATATGGTTGATTACTTTGACTAAGTTGATATCATTTGCTGTGGTTTTCAAGTCTTTTTAAGCCTATGTCAGTCCACAGTGTTGCATTTATACGACTTGTAAGGAAATGACATCCTACTGAACTAACCTGTTTGACAATGGCACTCTGATAACTTGGCGCTTGAGCCATGATACCAAAATCAAATAGAGTAGAAAGAAGAAGAGAACGCTTCAAGAGCACGGAACGGTTCGAATTCTTAGATTGACGAATAGGAGATGTCTCGTGGAGATAATCTCCTATGCAATGGAGTTATTTTATTCACTGTTAGTGAGTGTAGGTTAAATGGAATGGGAAAAAGGCCGACAAGGTCACATGGGCAAAGTTTTGTGCATATCTTCTTGCCATGGTACCGTACAGTACAGTACAGTACACTGTAGTACAGTAGTGTATGGTACTGTAGAACTTGCAATCTACTGTAACAGTATAGTACTGTACAGTACTGTACTGTACTACAGTATGCAGTATAGAAATTCTTTTTTCACAACAGTACAGTACAACACGTACTGATTCTGCTCTGTAAAAAAAAGTTGTCCCTTTTGGTACTGTACTCTGAGTGGGATTCTACTGTACTGTACACTATTCGTAGAATTTTCACTGTGTCGTGCTGTCGAATTCTACAGTACACGGTAGAATTTGCACTGTACTGTACAGTAAAGTTATCCCTTTTGGGCTACCGTACTGTACTGTACAGTACTGTAGATTCAATCGAAAATCTACCATAGTACTGTACTGTATGGCATACTGTAGAGGTTAAGAGAAAAAACTATGAATGACCAGTGACCATGCGGTCTCGGACACTGTACCAGACTTACAGTACAGTGTACAGTGTACTGTACACTGTACACTTGATGGTTTTTTTTCCTCTAGTCTGGTTAACACTCACTTTTCTTTTCGCTGGAAAACATGCTGCATAATATATATAATTAATTAATTAATGTTAGTAGTACTTACTGTACGTACGTATTGTACATACTGTACTGAACTGTACTGTGCTGTATCCATGTTGTTTCTTTCCTCAACGACTGCATCGCTTTTGTGCTGTCAGTGTACTGTCATTAAGATGAACCATACTGCCGAAAGTAAACCTCACGCTGCACTGGGTGGTACGCTAACATAACAACACTACCGTGGAGGCACCTCCATGGCAACCTAATATTCCAGGGATAGTGCCACATTTGCAAAGTGCTAACAGTACAGTACTGTACAGTACTGTACAGTAAGCTTTTACAGTAACTCAATACGTGTCAGTCACTGGCTGTGACACAGGGTGTAGCCAAAGTGTGACTGCCTGAGTCGTATGAGAGATAGAAGATATCTCTATGGCCTGATACAATCCGCCGTCGAAACCATATTTAGGCACTGTACTGTACTGTACTGTACATACAGTGTACTGTACTGTATAGTACAGTAGAGTACAAGGGCGTCCGGAAAGTCTGGACACATTTGGCTTTATATGAAAAGTGTGTCTAGATTTTTGGACACTCTTTTTTCCTCGTACTAAAGCTGTTAATCTAGTTTTTGCTGATATCATTATCTAAATTCTACAGCGTACGCATGATCAAATACAGTATACACTGTACAGTACATTGATACAGTATTGTTCAAGTTTAATTGTTCAATACCGTACTGTACAATATGACAGTCATGCATTACACTGGTATTTACTGTACAGTACTGCATATGCAAAGCTATACTGTAGTTTGTTATGTTCATACAGTGAGTACGATACTGTACAGTACAGTATGATAAAACCGCAACAATAGGTACAGTACTGTACGTACAGTACATTTGAGGAGTGCAGTGGGATTTGAAGTTCTTCAAATTTGGTTATTCAAAACCAAGTTTTGAATAAAAGAGTAGCAATCACTTCATGGCGGAAAGAGTATTTAAATTGACGGTAGTTCGTCATGGAGAGACTGAAGCCAATAGTCGAGGCATCATACAAGGTTGGAACGATAGAATTAGAAAATTAACTGAAAAAGATTTCGATTTCAATTAGGCTAATTGTCTTCGTTTAATCTTGACCTTATTTATTGAAAATGTTTATCATGTTCAATCAATGAAGATATTCCTATTATAATTGTATTAATAAATTATGATTATAGATCATTACAAGAATACCTGGTCTTCTTCTAATAGTCCACAGTAATATGCACTGTACTGTGTACATCTCCATATACAGCAGCATATCATCGTGTATTCAGTATACGTAAAATTTCTCTGCGATGAGTATAGTTAATGGCCTTCTCTGTTAAGTACTCGCATTAACGCTAGTGCTAAATGCGATACTACTTTACTGTATATAATCATTTATGTACTGCTTGAAATAGGCATTATCGTATCACCGAAATGCTTGATAATAAATAAATCACAAAATTTTTAACTGATCATTTAAAGTAATACGTACCTTCGCCGTAATTCTTTTTGTTAGCCAACTAGTTGCAACTTGCACGACAATGGTGTACTGTACTGTTGCAAGGCCAAGACCCCTTATTTAATTCATTAATTACTCGTACGAGACGTATACGTATTATCGATGGAATGCTTTATCAATAATTTTTACTTCAATACGCATTGATGGATTTTTAGGGCACACAGATTGTCCGTTGTCTAATATAGGACGCCAACAAGCTGATTTACTCGGGAAAAGATTAAGTGGCTCGAAATTTACTCACTTGTTTAGCAGTGACCTGAAACGAGCCAGGCAGGTACTGTACTGTATCTGAAAATTACATAGAATATTGTTGTGCTGACTTGATCAGTATTTCTATGATACAGTATTATATTCTGATTGCATAGTTCAGGTCTGTGGCTAAATTTTCGTTTTGCAACTTTGTTGAAGTGAACTGTAAGCATAAAAGATACTGTAAAGTATACCCATATAAGTACAGTAGTGAGTGCAGCACTTTCCAATCTTCTACATACAGTAAGTTGTTATTTTACTGAAGCAAGTCATGCAAGTATTTATAGATTTATCGTTTCTATACTGCATGATAAATGATGTACAATACAATAACCACACCTGTCTAAATAACCTTGGCTGAAACTATCCTCCATAATGTATCGGTAAGACAGTCTCTGCGAAGTATACAAAAATTTTTATTAATACTGTACAGTACAGTATACTTCACATGCTATCCATTGTTATCAATGTTTCGTCCAGATGTTAGGGAATAGGGAGCCTTGTGCCCTTGTAATTACAGTATCAATAAGTTTGACAGCAGTTTTTTCCTATAAAAATTCAGTAAAGCTTAAGGAAACACAAAGATGCAGTGGGATGGAAGCATCATAATATATAAAGCTTGTATTCTGGTGACTGAAATAGATTAACGCAGTACGCCATACAAAGCTATTACTTACAGTATACATATATTTTTATGAAATTATAGTCACCTGATTAAGTGACATTTATCTTTATTATGCCACTTAAGAGTTTATTTAAAAAATAATAATGCACTATTTCCAACACACATGCGTGGCGAAAGACTATGGACGCTGTGGTTTTAGCAAATATCAGCGATGTCGAAGTAATTGAAGATAGGAGGTTAAGAGAAAGGGTACGTGAGTAATATGAAGGATTCTTAGCTTCTCTGCTAACTACATGATCATATAAATATTGCGCAGATCTCTTCTATGTACTGTAACAGATCCATCATAGGTGTTAGCAAACTTAAAGTATTTCATAAATGGTATCATTACAATTCCGTTTGTGTTAGAGATAAAAGTGCTTCTCCATCAGTAAAATCATCATTATCAAACTTAAAAAGGTTTCATCACTACTCGGAGGTACCGTAGCATTTGAATAATCATGATATTGATTATTACATTTCATATTATATCTAATACTGTACGCTCAGATGTTAGTACTGTACTACCTTGTTGCCTCTGGTAATTTCATTATGATACGGTGATTTGATCAAAGTGGCACGTTTATAATATGTCATACAGTTTAGGATGGATAAAGAAATGACTATATTCTAAGCCTTATAATATTTACTTCGAATCAGTACACTATGACAATGTAATTTAATCGTAAAATGTATTTGGGTTCTTGACAGATGTCAAATACATTCTGTCTTGAAGCAACTTACTGTACTATGGGCTGTAATGATCCAATAGTGGACATTGATGTTTACATTTCAAGTAGTGCTTCGATTGAAGTTTTTAGATGATGCTTTAAAAGGCTGTGATACGAATTCTTATAACATTTCGTTAATAGAATTATGGAGTGCACGAGGGTATAACATTCTCTGAATTACGAAAAGTTTGCAAACGGAAACATATTGGTATGGAAAATATAAAAGACGGTCCAGACGCTGAAGATACGAAGGATTTATATAGTAGGGTAGTTTCTTTTTACAATCACCTTTTTAAGGCTTTGATGGATTTTGCTACTTCAAATGAAACTTTGCTTCCGATAGTTGACTGTAAAAATGATGTTAATCATTCTGATCAAGTCATGCAAGTAAACGCAAGTATCTTAATAACCACACACGGAGGCCTTATTCGACAGATGTTACGTTATTTTAATAGTGAGCTCGGCTGTAATTTATTATATGACGATATTAGGAAGTGTTCACCAAACACTGGAGTCTCTACATTTTTAATTCGCATACGCAATCATGATTGCAAAATACTAGTTCAGCGACTAGAATTGCATAGTGAACGTCACCTCAAAGCATGATAATGGTGTTGGTGTATTTATCATGCTAGTTATCATTTGTATTCAACTTAACTACGACTTTATTACGGTTAAGTGTGTATTTACGATGCTTTTGAGCTAAACGTATAGTAAATTGCATTGCTACTTGTTAGAATAAGACAGCCAATGGTATGCGTCTTATGGGCGTACGTACTGCGTTGTACCTATATACTATTAAAATTTCGTGTACAGCGAGTCGTTGACTGAGAAGGATTGCCCTTTAAATGAATTTCTATTCGTCACAATTATAATGATCACTTGTAAAAATTATTGTTTTTAGTTCATTTGCCAGATTTGCACGTTAGACATGATTACGATTAAAATCTTTATGTGAGCTATTGAATTAATGTATATTTTGTGATTAAAGAAATTTTTAAGAATAATATTTGAGTCATTTTTTGGTGTTGTACAGTGTACAGTGGCCTGAAATATGGTATTTAAGGTTGGGGTTAGGCGAGTTAGGGTAGCAGTGGTCAGGGTTGCGGAGTAGGCACGAGAGTATCACGCGATAATGGAACAGTAAGACCTTGCTTAGAATTGCGGTAGCAGTTTTGATCAGCGTAAGCTGTAATTAAAGCAAAAACTTTTTACTTGCACAAGTGTAAAGTTCTCAATCTGACATAACTAAGATAGAGTATGTTTAGTGACGTATGGAGATATTATAAATTAGAATTGAATTCATTATTGACTAAATCTCTGAGCGTTTATAAACCGCAGATAACTAAGTACTAGATCGTCTCTATGACTAGTCTCATACAAAAACAGCCAATAACCGTATACGGTAATTAAAGTTGATTACTAAGCAAACATGAAGTTTTCTCGAACATCTCAACCAAGTTTCATATTTATAGAAATCTTTAGATGAAGATAACCTAAACGAGTTTAGATAATGACAACTCATGCAAAATATTTCAAACACGATTCTACTTGAGCTTAGTCAAAAGCAGTTAATTACTTGAATAGTATAAGCATCAATATAAAGACAAATAGCGAAAGTATAGGCCTTTAGACTATAAATACCGTTATGCAAAGCCTACTGTATGTAATTTATAGACGTTTTCACGGTCAAGCTTTGAACGTGACAACTGTATGATTTAGACCTCGGCACTTTTAACATATCACTTAGGCTGTTTTGGAAATGACGTGTTAAAAATGCTGGTCTACTGTGCACTGAGTGTACAGTAGCATACAGATTCTAAGTATACTAGTACTAGTATACTGTATCACCGGTAAAGACAAGCTAAGACGCAGCAATTCTGAGTCCTGATTTTAGTGATCATTCTCAAAGTGGACTGCTTCATTAAGATTATAAAATTGATAGTTTAGCATGAAACGCATGCATCAGATTGCGAGTACACTATATCGATAGTTGACTTAGAAATCATCAAAATCTTGTTATTTGTTTACTGCACATGGACTAAATCTTAACCGGTAATCTTTTTAATCTTTTTTTTTATGTGCTTAACATGCACAAGACAGGTCTGTCGCTTCATTGTACTGTACTGTACTGTACTACTATGGTACAATAGAGTTGAATACAGTACTGTCGGTACACTTCCGAATAGGGATGTTAATTTGACTGGACGAAAATTTAGTCGAACTGCAGTAAATCCAGACAGTAGTCAACAGTATGTGTACACGTGATAGTTGTGACGAAGTCAGTTTGAAATACAGTACAGTACAGTCCTGTAAAGTAGCATACTGTACACTGTACAGTCCAGCACAGTAAGTACTGTTTCTATGGTAGCCTACAGTACTGTACATTGTAGAGTATGTACTGTACAGTACAGTACACTATATTACACAACAGTTGAGCCACGGTACAGTACAGTACAGTAGATCGAAAGTTTTAATCCACTTTTAAATTCATGCACGGTATGACACATTTATTTCTCCGACAGGGTTGTTAGCGGACATTGTTGTTGGTAAGCAAGTTATTTATTGTCACTTCTTGTATCCTCCATTTATTTGCTTGTTTGTAATGCTGTGGTATTTATGAAAGTACTGTTGTTCTTCTCTAAGATATGTAGTTAGAGAGATTAAATGCAATTAGATTGATTTCTTTGATGGAAATGTTGAATCTTTTTCGCCAGAAATGTGCTATTCAAGAGCATACTGTGCAGTACAGTAGAGTGTACACTGCTGTTCGTCTACAAATACGTACAGTACAGTACAGTATGTACTGTACGTGCACGTTGATGATAGCATAGCGTACTGTGATTAATGTAATAAATCATTGAGAATACTTTACTGCACCATTCATGACCTAGTGGATAGCTCTACTGTACTGAAGACTTGCCTTACCGTTATACGTCACCTTGGATTAACGTTTTATTGCCAATGTCGATTGGACAGGCTGCCATTGCTGTGACTGTATTCGCTAGCATGCTTTTGAATTGTTCAACATTATGGCTTGGTGCATAGACAGTTTTCTTACTTACAGTTGGTTAGTTTAATTTAGTCTAGTTGTTCATGGCGTAAAAATAACCTTGCTAGACTGGTATAGCAGTACTACTCCGATTTGACGTTAACCTGTTATGTTATGCCTACATTTTAAGCACATCCGATTGTGTCGATGCGGCGCGAGTAGAATGTGGTAAATTCACTACAATTTGATGCTGTCTACTACGACTTTGGGATTAGTGGGTGTACCTTATGAGCCAAATAAAATTAAAATCATCACTAATTAGGGTAGTTCGACAGTAGTGCTTCATTTTTCCAATGCTATTCTAGCTTATGTAATAGAATAGACTGGGTACTGTATACTGCACGTATGCGAACACATTGATTGAATATCATATACTGTTACGAACAGTACAGTACATACGAATTGTAGGTCTTATACAATGCAATTTGCACGGAACGATAACGGCGGCTTTCCATGTACCGTACAGTATACACGTTGGTCGATTGAACAGTGTCGTTTAAGACCAAGTCTATCAAAACATAATTGACTCCAATAGCACTTTCCTGTTTTCGTTAGCCAATCCTGCATTAAAACTGTAAAATTGAGCATATTTACTTCATGTTCTGGAAAGAAAATGGGGAGAACTACGCCAATGCGCTTTTTATCGATGCTAGGAGTAGCTGAGAGATAAGCGTGCTCGAATTGTTACAGTCAATAGTACTGTAGTCATTATAAAAGATCAAATTGGCTTAACGTTCTTAAGAAGTGGAGGGAAGGGGTGATACTTGTTTCTGTCTACTTACGATCATTCTACATTTGCTTGATCAATCAATCGTTCATCTAACTATAGTAATGGATAAGTCATTTCATGTTGTAATTATGCTACATTCTTAACGGCATCCTTCGTTTTATTTATGGATGGATAAATTTATCTTCATATTCATGAATCCATTTATGATGTATGAGTAGTCAATTTCATCAAATGTTAACATAATTATGTGATAATACGCGTATTATGCTGAATCATAATTATAAGTACTGTATTGCGTACATTATCGGGTTGAAAGCTTCATGATTTGATCCTATGATACTTTTCAAAGTATTTATGCACTGATGCCGTTCACTGTCATGGTAAGACTGATAAGTGTTAAACCGTTAACTCCAAGTTGTTTAACAACGGGAAAGTGCGATGTGTTGGCATGATCGATTATTATGGTCGTGTGCTTTGCTATGCAGTATTTGCCTTTGCGATATTTTACTGTATTTTGGTTAATAAGCACTCTTGTATGGCTAGTTGAAACGCTACGCAGGTGCATTCCCTGATAGCACTTTAGTGAAAAATGGCATTTAAAGTGGTTGTGTTTGCAAGGTTTAGTTTAGTGCATACTCAGTTGTATAAAAAAAGTTGGACAACGTCGAAACTTAGTTAGTAAACTCTCATTTTAGTTGAATTAATTAGAAACTATTTATCTGATAATTAATTAATGGTACAAATGTGGGACACATAAAGTGAAGCTTGGTCTATGAAGTTAAAAGGAAGCAGTAACACTTTGAAGATCTGAAGAATCTTTTTGATAAGGCCTATCACTTTTTTGATTCACCATGATTAAGATTGATGATAGCTTGCGGTAGTTGCGTGATACGGCGATAAGTACAAACTGAAACTGGAAAAAATCGCTACATTTCGACATCACTCCTATCAAAAACTGACGGACCATGCAAGAGTCGATAAAATTATTGCTAATATAATTGAACAAATATGAAAATTCGACAGCGTCGATGCCCATCATGTGTCCTATGTGACGTACGCTTATACTATCTGTATTGGATATCCATGGCACTCCGGAAGTGCTGATTTGGTTGGCTACAGCGAGAGCCACTGGTTGGTTGTCGGCAAGCTTTCGATAAGTACAGTACAGTACAGTACGGTACGGTACGGTACGGTACACTTACACGTACAACAACTTAGCGGACGACAGCACTGTACCCTACTGTAGTTGTTCCTCGTTGTCTCTGATCGTACGTACTGTACAGAATGACACTACCCAGTTGCACGTCAGCGGTAATCGCAGTGAGTGGTGTCACCTGACGATTTGATACTGTACTGTACTGTTTTACAGAACCCCCCCCCCCCCGCAGAAAGCAACCCACTTTCGCCACATTTTAGACTTGAATTTGTACTATTGTAGATTTGTTAGAGTAGGATCGTAAAATCCAGTACATAAAATTGTTCTTTGAAGAGAAAAGTGTCGGAATCAAATCCATTTTACAAATGCCGTTTTAGTGGCGATCATGATCTGCTTTTAGAGCGGTGAATTTAGTACTCTCGCCTGTTGCAATTCATTTCTGGCTGGCGGCACTCAATCGCTAAATTGATCGCTCCGATCGGGGACAAGTGACTAACGGATATTGGGTAATGGGGATGTCTGCACTAAGTGGGTATTATACTAATAAGTATATCACAGCACCTACAGTCCCATAATTGTAGCTTGTCTGAAGGAAATATGTCGCCAATAGCGCATACATTTGGTGTTTTTTTTCTTTTTGGGGGGATATTCTAAAACGTTTCGTAATA